CATAAAAGACGTCAGGAAGAGGTTTGGAAACGGACAAAGCACAACAACAAAATATCTACTTCCACAGCTCCGTCTTTCTACAGAAGAAGAAGAATCTGCCTTTTTGTACAGACCGAGCGAGGTCAATAAATGTTTTTTTATATGACTATTTTTAATTTATGCAAATATCGATCTCCGACTTGGTTTTCCTAATCCTGTTTGTACCTTTCTGATCTGTAACGAAGTTGTCGATCTCTTCTTGACTGTGAGGAGTTGTGTTTTCGTCGTTATTTGCTGTTATTACTTCCTCTGGCTCTTCAAGTGTGACACGCTGCGGACCGATCGTCATGGTAACGGTCCGAGATGGGAAAATATCAGACCGCAAATCAGCCAATCAGAGCGCGCGAACGAGCCAAGTCAAGTTTCAGTCCATAACAGTTACTGAGCTGGAGACACGGAGCAAAACTGCGTCCATGAGCACTTCCCTGTCGGGCTTCATGGAGCTAGCGTGTTAGCATGGTCCTCTTGTGTGTGTTCTTACCGGACGTGTGTGTGTTCTTACCGGACGTGTGTGTGTTCTTACCGGACGTGTGTGTGTTCTTACCGGACGTGTGTGTGTTCTTACCGGACGTGTGTGTGTTCTTACCGGACGTGTGTGTGTTCTTACCGGACGTGTCCCACATGTTCAGCTCGATCCTCTGCTTCTCGATCTCAAAACTGGCCGTGTAGTTTTCAAACACCGTCGGAACGTAAGTCTGAGAACCAGAGAGAGACTGTTTATTTCTATAATCTCTGCAGTTTACAGGAACGGAGGGAGCACAGGGACTGAGGGAGCACAGGGACGGAGGGAGCACAGGGACTGAGGGAGCACAGGGACTGAGGGAGCACAGGGACTGAGGGAGCACAGGGACTGAGGGAGCACAGGGTCTGAGGGAGCACAGGGTCTGAGGGAGCACAGGGACTGAGGGAGCACAGGGACTGAGGGAGCACAGGGTCTGAGGGAGCACAGGGTCTGAGGGAGCACAGGGACTGAGGGAGCACAGGGACTGAGGGAGCACAGGGACTGAGGGAGCACAGGGACTGAGGGAGCACAGGGACTGAAGGAGCAGGGACTGAGGGAGCACAGGGACTGAAGGAGCAGGGACTGAGGGAGCACAGGGACTGAGGGAGCAGGGACTGAGGGAGCACAGGGTCTGAGGGAGCACAGGGTCTGAGGGAGCACAGGGACTGAGGGAGCACAGGGACGAAGGGAGCACAGGGACTGAGGGAGCACAGGGACGAAGGGAGCACAGGGACTGAGAGAGCACAGGGACTGAGGGAGCACAGGGACGAAGGGAGCACAGGGACACACAGGGAGCACAGGGTTTAAAGACACACAGGGAGCACAGGGACACACAGGGCTAGGGCTGAACAATCATAAAGAATTGAAACACAAAAAACAAGAGAAATGTTCAAATAAAACGATAAATCCAAAGTTCAGCTCAGACAGAAATATAGTTTTTCTGATTTGGTGAAAACTTCAAACAAATCATGTTTTTTACTTCTTCCCAACTTCATTTTGAGCTGACAAAGAACTACATCTGTAATTACACATTGAACTTAAACCAACACATCATGAACCATGGCACAGACTGAGGCTTCACTGAATATTCATTATATTTATATATATATATATATATATATATATATATATATATATATATATATACATATATATAAACTGACTGTAAGCAAAAAGTATCTCCGTAAACTGAGAAATGTCGATATTGTAAATACTTCTGAAAGTATAGTTTCTGCTCAAACGAATAAAACCAATCCTTATGTGTCAGAGAAAACTAAAGGTTAAAGCAGAGTTTTGACCTCAGCACTTTACGCACGAGGACAGAATCCCAGGACCATTTCAGAACAAGTCAGATTACTCTCTCTCTATTCTGTATCCGTGAGTCTAATCCAGATTACGAACTGCAAAATGACGTGTACAGTGAGAAACGACGGAACCGGTTTCTGACAGTTCCCATGAGTCTGAGTCATGTGTAAATCTGGTTCTTTCCCATGGCCCGCGTCGTGGATCCTCAGCCCCGCAGTCCGAGCTCCTACCTCTGGGTACGAGTCCTTGGCAAAGACGTGGAGGAGAGCGGTCTTCCCACACTCCGTATCCCCGACCACCACGATCTTACAGCGGAGCAGTCCCTGGCGCTCCATCGTCACTGGCTGCCTCCGTCTCTGTTTCTCATTTAGCTCCAAAAAAAACTCCGTCTAAGTCCAAACGCGGCTCAAACTCTGCCTCTTTGTGAATGACAACAGCAGAAAACAGACGTGAGAGAAAGTTTGGCTGTTCCCAGGAGCGGAGGTGTCGGCGTCATGCTCTGCGTAAAACCGCACCGGGTCTGATCCACGGCTCCGGCGCAGACGCGGAGCAGGGACTGAGAGCACCGCCCAGATGTGGAGCTCAGAGACACACAATGATACACAATAATACACAATGATTAAAGTTGCCAATTTGAGAACAGAAAAATAAGGGACACCATTTGGGTGGATCGGGTTGAGCACTTTTTAGTCCTAATTTCAATCTACACAAGAATCATTGAATTTCATCATCAGTTTTTAGAACTTCATTTATTGACTACATATATATATATATATATATATATATATATATATATATATATATATATACAAATCCTTAGTCAAAATTGAAATCAAATAAACAGGTGGAACTCTTGAGACAAATGCTGTAACATACATTAGTTATGCATGTTACAGTAAAGACCATTTACTGTAAAAGCAAATTAAAGAAAGAAAAACATATGTATTCATTTAAAATATAAAAAACTCACAAATGTTGAAATCAAAGTCTGTAGCCGTTAGATATAGTCATTATTTATATTGTCTGAGAGTTTAGTGCGTGACATGGCTTCATTAAAAGCTATTGTTCGTTTACAAAGCTGTCTTGACATTTGTTGACGGTCCCTAAGCGCTTTTCTCGGCGCTTGCAGCAATGGACTTCTCAGCATTAAAACCTTTAAAATATACAGTCTATGATTAAAACAGCGCGTTGGATTTGAACAATCGATGTAAATGTGATCATTATGGCACAGTTTTGATACACAATAACAAAGACTACAAAGAAGAGGGTTAGGGTTAATTATCCGCGTCTTAAAACGGACGGTGCAGGTTTTACAAACAGTGAGGGCGTAAATCTGAAAAGGAGAGAAGAGAAAAGTCCTCATTTCTCTAATCACTGCAGTTCACAGGTCAATGACACTTCACTGGGAGAGAGGACGTTTATCACAGAAACTAAAATACTAATATTTGGTTCATGTCACAAGAAAAAACAAGTTTGGATCCAAAAGCAAATAAAATAAAAGGAAAATAAATCCAAAATCGTCGTCATCTAAATTGACACACGTTTTTCAAAGAGTTTTTCCCTGAGATGTAGTTATGATCTGTCAAAATATGAATGTAAAATGTTTAATATATTTGAAAACATGAGACCTCAGATCTAATGTTCATAGAAGAAATAAACTCCTATCACTGAAAATAATGTGAAAATCAAACAGGATGCACTTGTTTGATTATTTATTTAAAAAACACACTTTGATAAGAATGACGTATACTTTTGTTCATGAAGTAACTCACAAACAGACACAAATAATAATAATAAATCTGTTTTTAAACCCGCTCTAAATGGAAAGCGCCTGAAGCATTACTTTAGAATCATGTGGTTCTTTTAATTTCCTTCTTTATGCTAAATTACGAAACAACTAAAACACATTCAGATGATTTTTTAAATTAATAATTTACAAAGTGTTAAAACCGACTACAACGAACGCCACGTGACCGAAGGCTTCACGAAACCTGCGTCACAGCGACATCTTGTGGACAGAGCCGCACACGCAGCACGTCGGCGTTTTCAACCCGGTACATTTTATATTATTATTATATTATTATTATTATATTATTTATGTATGTATTTATTTTTTAATGGTGGACATGAAAATACATATTACAACTACACATTTCAAACAATTGTAGTAAAAAGGAGCCGAAAGAAGAGCATAAATCTTCTGTGGCCTCTTTCTTAAAACACGTATAAATTAAATACAATTTCAAACTGTTTTTATTTAATTTTTGTGTTTTCAAAATTATCTATATTTTCATTTTTAAACTAATCTTCACTCCCCGTTAAACTCCATGTTCTAATGTGATCTTTTACAGCTGTCGTCTTCACATCTGCCAAAGCCACGGTCACGGGCTGCACTTTGGAGTCCGTTAAAGTCACGCGCGTGCCAGGATCCAACCGGAAGTGACTCCAAAATAAAATAAAAGATTAGATAAGATATTCCTTTATTCGTCTCGCAGTGGAGAAATGTCAGTGTCATCGTTACACATTACAGCAGAGAAAGAAGGAGATATGAGCTCTCAGATTACACTCATCAAACAGTCAATACATAACAATAATACAAAATAAAATAAACTCTGGAGCTATAAATGTACTACATATAAAACATATGAAGTCTGACACAGATGGCAGAAGCATGACGCCTTCTTGAACTGGACATTCTTGAAATCCCGGTCGGAACAGAGCCTTTCTGAGTGGAGTTTGCACGTTCTCCTCGTTTCCTCCAAGTGCTCCGGTTTCCCCTACCACTAAAAACATGTTCAATAGGTCTGTGCCTCCTGTTCTGGCCCCTCTCCCTTCTCTGTGGAGAGAGAGAGACTCCGGTCTGTGGAAGGCGTTACTTAAAATACAGATGACTTTGTGTTGAGTGGAAAACAAAAGTTACAAATACATTAATAAATACAAATAAAAGTAGATTGATTCCTAGTTTGTGATTTCCTGTTACTAACAAAGGCAACACCACAGACTGTAAATGTGAATACAGATCATTCTGAGTGGGATTATTTTGAAAATCCAGACCGGAACAGGTTCGCTCTGATGCTGAGTGTGAGTAACTTTGCAGCAGTCACTTGTTGAGCCTCAGGAAACCCCAGAGAAAATCACCTCATTCTGGAAAAAAAGAGGCTTGTCTCCTGCTGGGAACAACTTTTGTCACCGCTCTGCTGCAGAAGGATCTGGGTTCTAGGCCGAAAGCATCTCCTCCTCCTTCTGTCGTTAGTAAATAATAATATCCAACCATGTCCAGTGGAAAGGATGCGCCCGAGGATCAGCCACAGCCCGAGCCCCAAGAACCGAAGACCCCCGGGGACCCCCCTGCCTCAGAGCCCGGGGAGGCAGCCACCATCTCCGTCCGGGGGCTGGTCCTCACGGGGTACGGCGGATACGATAAGATCAAGCTCCAGGTGAAGACTATGGCCAAGCCCCGGCTGCAGTCCGGAGAGATCCTGGTGCGCGTCAAGGCGTGTGGACTGAACTTCGCGGAGCTGTTGGGCAGACAGGGGATGTACGAGCTTCTGCCCTCTCCCCCCGTGACCATGGGCATGGAGGGGGCAGGGCTGGTGGAGGCTGTGGGTCCGGACGTGGAGGACAAGAAAGTGAGTATGCAAAAAAATCAAAGTTTCTGTCTGTTTTTGTTCATTTACAGTTGTGTTGCATGCGCCCCTAGAGGAAGGCAACTGCAACTGCAAGCGCATCTTCCATTGATTAGATACATCTTATTTTCCATTTGCAATAAAACATTATAAAGTGCTCAGTGTGCATCAGACATGTACATATTTAAACAAGCTCAATAATATACAGGGTGCAATTACCGCTGTGAAATCAGTCGACAAAAACAGATTCAAGAGAAAATTTGACCGTTTATTAATCGCTAATGAAATCACACACATTGATATTTAGGGAATTGTTGGAGTTTGTTCTAAATATTTTAATTAGGAACTTCCCTGTTTGACATCCCATCAATGATATGTGAGTAGACTGACAAAAGGTATCAGTGGTTTTTGAGTATTTGGACAGAGTACTTTGGACAGAGTACTTTGGACAGAGTACTTTGGACAGAGTACTTTGGACAGAGTACTTTGGACCAAGTACCTATTCCTTAAATCCTAAGTGAGAAACCTCTAGTCCAGACATGTCCAAACTCAGGCCCCGGGGCCAGTTGCGGCCCTCAGTGTCAGTGTATGTGGCCCTCTGCCTCGCTAACCCACAGTAGTCTTTGAGATCATAAAGTTCACTGTGTCATCCATCCAACTTCAGCTCAGACAATATAGACCTTGTTCTAAAACCCTGTACGTCTGGAATTCAGCTGTTGACATGTGAGATGGTTAACAAGTGTCATTCAGCCAACTTCAGCTCTGTTATAGATCATCTTAGAGCTCAGAACAGCCAGTCCGGGCCCTGGACTAGTCTTGTGATCTGAAGTGGGCCTCTTTCTAAAATGTTTGGACGGCCCTGCTCTAGTCTAAGTCTGAGTGATTTATTGCATATGTTTAACAAAGCCCCGCCTGCTCCTCTTCAGTCTGCGGCTTGTTCTGATCCAAAGGTTTTCCTTCGATGCATTTCACTTTTTGCTAGTTTCATCCTGTAAACTCTCTCGCTCCCTGATAACTCTGAGAAAGCGAGATACACAGCAGTTATAACAGAAACGTTCCCGAAGTCGTGACTCATTCTCCCGGAGCTTGGAGAAGGATGATTCAGATTCAGATTCAGATTCATTTTATTCGCCATTTGCAGTAACACTACATTGGAATACATTTGTATGAGTTCCCAGTGTGCACAGGACAAGTACAGACACAAAACAACATTAAAAGACAAGAATAAAACAAATTTTAAAAACAGTAAACAAATGTCACTGTGAAGTTGACCAACTTAAAACAGATCTATACAAGTGCAAAAACATTAAAGTGCTCTATGGGGCGGCACGGTGGCTGAGTGGATAGCACTCTCGCCTCTCAGCAAGAAGGTCCTGGGTTCGAATCCCGGTTGGACCAGGGCCTTTCTGAGTGGAGTTTGCATGTTCTCCCCGTGTCTGCGTAGGTTTCCTCCGGGTACTCCGGTTTCCCCTACCACTAAAAATATGTCCAATAGTTCTGGCATGTGCCTCCTGTACTGGCCCCGCTCCCATCTCTGTGTGGAGTGAGAGACAAATGCCCAAAAATATAACAATTGTAAACCGCTTTGAGACTCAGATCTGCAGTGAAAAGGCGGTATATAAATAAAAACTTACTTACTTACTTACTATTCAAAGTGATAACAGCTCGTGGAAAAAAACTATTAGCATAACGAGATGTCCTGCATCTCAGAGAACAGTATCTTCTGCCAGAGGGAAGAAGCTGGAACAAGGCTTTTCCTGGGTGGCCAGAAGAGTCATTGATAATTCTCAGGGCACTGTTAAAAAGTCTGGATTGATAAAGAGCCTCCAGGATGAGCGTGTAGTCGGTGAGATCAGAGGCAAAGAGGAGAGCGGCAGGACTCAGGGTGTGGCGCTTTTGTTTCAGATGTTGTAAAATACGACCAGATGTGTTTCGCAAGAGTCTAATAAAAACTCACGTCTCTCTCAGTGTTGACCTCATTGTTGGACGTTGGGCTGAAACACGCCACAGACCTGAGCGTGCGGCATCAGCTGAGTGACAGATGTGTTTTTGGAGGTCACATGGTTGCGTTGAGTCATTGGCATTTCCTACAGCGTGCACGGTTTTATTTATGTTTTCATTTAAAGGAGCAGTATGTACATCTGATCTGTGTTATCTGTGTGTATCTTTGTGTTATGTCTGTGTAAGCCTGGTCGTACCACACCATAGTACTAATTACACTTTGTACTAAGGTCTGGATTGGCTCCAGTGACTCCGTTAACAGGTGGGAGGGGCTAACTCCTTTGATTGAAACGATTGGATCTGAGTTTACTGTGACGTATGTAATGAGCATAGACTATATATATTAACGAGTCACGCCTATCTCCGCCGTTCAAACAAATGGGCCAAAATAACGCATCTGTGCATGCGTCAGCTGCGAGAGTTCCATTCATTTGAACAAGTGTCTTCTAAAGTCCACAGCGACTAAACTAGACTGGTCCAGAACACTCAGCATTGACACACATGTGGAACGGAGCTTTGGGCCAAGAGCCACTTTTGGACCATCCTGTAAAAGAAGATGCTATATGTTAGCATTGGCTAATTCTACTTCCGGGTCCACCCCCACAGGCCCCGGTTGGTACTGCAGCATGTCGGCGCACGTCATTTTGGCCACTTTTGAGCCGGGACCCTCCCCACTGGTAATGAGCCTGAGTGAGTCGTTAGCATTTAGCCTAGCTTTAGCCTAGCTTTAGCCATCTCCTTTGCTGCTAACGGAGCCCGTGGGGAGTAGCAGCACAATATTTGCAGTGATTACATTTGCTAAACATTCCTCTTGCTCCGGCTTCAGTTTCTCGATAGAACCAGAACAGAATACTTTACTATCGCATTCTTCGACAAACTACAACCTGCCCGTTCGACGCAAACTCTTGACATCACCCACATCTAACTACAAGACCCGCCTCCCGCGCTCTCTGATTGGTCGGATGGGATTAAACAGACTGTAATCACAGACACAGGGACCAGACCCAGACGTTACAGGCAGGACATGATGATTGAGCGGAGAGTACGGATGGATAAGGCCAGGGTAGTGTCATCTGTGTGTATCTTTATGTTACATATGTGTGTATCTGTGTGTTTGGTGTGTATTATCTGTGTGTTTGGTGTGTATTATCTGTGTGTTTGGTGTGTATTATCTGTGTGTTTGGTGTGTATTATCTGTGTGTTTGGTGTGTATTATCTGTGTGTTTGGTGTGTATTATCTGTGTGTTTGGTGTGTATTATCTGTGTGTTTGGTGTGTATTATCTGTGTGTTTGGTGTGTATTATCTGTGTGTGATCTGGGCCTGCTGAGCCTAAAGGAAGTGTGTGCGTCCCAAAGGAAACTGCAGCCTGAGTTCTTTCCTGTGTTTCAGCTTTTTGTTCCTGATGTCACGGCTCCTCTGAGACTTGAGACTTTAAAACAACAACATAAAACACTGACTTTTATGACACCAGCCTTTGATGAGGGCAGTGTTTCTCAACCAGTGGGGCGTGGCCAGCTTCAAACCAACAGAGAGACTTAAATGTGTTTCGTGGTTCTGTCTGATGCTTCTGCTCTGCCTCATTTGGTCTTTTCAACATCATTCCTTCTGTTTTCTTGCTTCTGTGGTTTCCAGGTGGGAGACCGGGTCATAGTCTTGGGCCGCAGTGGGATCTGGCAGGAGGTGGTGGTGGTGGCGTCCAGCCGGGCCGTGGTCATGCCGGAGCAGATGAGCTTTGAGGAGGGCGCCGCTCTCCCCATTAACTACCTCACTGCGTACCTGATGCTGTTCCAAATGGCCAACATCAAACCGGGAAAGAGCGTCCTGATCCACATGGCAGCGGGTAATGCATCACGCTTTGTTATGGCATGTTCTCCACTGCGTCTGTGTAGGTTTCCTCCGTGTGCTCCAGTTTCTCCTACCACTAAATGGGCACAATAAGTCTGAATGTAATGAGAGAGGGAAGAGAACGGCTTCTGTGTTGGTCTGTGAAATGTGCTGAAAAAGAAATGCATCAGTTTTATATAGCGCCTTTTGGACACTCATACACATAGCCACAGCTGCCCTGGGGCACACTGACAGAAGCTGTGTCATTGGCCCCTCCCACCACCACCAGACTCATTCTAATGTGGGGGAAGTGTCTTGCCTAAGGACCCAGTGGCAGTTTACAGCCGCAGCCGCCCCAGACGCCTCTAAATATTGTTATTGTTTTCATTTCGATGTCCCGCCCTCCACCGTTTCACCAATCAGAAAGTCTGTGATCCGGGCGCCAGAACTCACCGCGTGGAGCTAATCTCACTGGTAAAGTACCATGTGGCGCAGAACTAAAAAAGGTCTCGTTATGATTCTCAAATCATTAACGACAAAACAAGGAATAAAACCAGGATTTCTATCTTTGTGAAAAAGGTGTTGGTTATAGATTTGTTGTTGACAAAACTCTTGTCTATTCAGCTGTTATGGTCCCAGCTGGATTTGTCTGCATATCTGGCAACCTGAGTCAGGGAGAGTGGGAGAGTCTGCAGTACCACTTTTGGCCACATGTTTACACACTGCTCCTTTAAGTAAATCAAATCCAAATGTACAAACACACATATTCCTGGTCCGTGTCTCCGTGGACACAGGTGACTGCAGCCTCTCCTCATTAGTCATTAGTAGTGTCTAATAGATTCCTGCGCTAATTACAGTCTGTGGTTACCAAGCAACCACCCTCCGGGCTGTGAACATGTGGCCTGTACCTTTGCTAACACACCGATACATAGATAGATACTTTATTGATCCCTGTTAGAGAAATGCAGGTGTCCAGAAGCAGCAGAAACACATCCATAAAAACTAAAACATAAATAAGTATATCTGAAAAGCAAACAATAGTAATAATAAAATACAGCAGTCCTTCAGGTCACAGCAGCAGGTGTAGCTTGGTTCAGACCATTTTCTCTGCTCTGGTCCAAAGCAAAATGATAAATGCTTCATTAGCATTTTTCATAAAGTTAGCATTCCTCCTGTGGATTTTCATCTGATCCACTTGGTTCAGACCATGAATCCTCTCTGCTCTGGTTTGGACCAGTCTAAAACCATGAATCCTCTCTGCTCTGGTCTGGACCAGTGTAAAACCATGAATCCTCTCTGCTCTGGTCTGGACCAGTGTAAAACCATGAATCCTCTCTGCTCTGGTTTGGACCAGTGTAAAACCATGAATCCTCTCTGCTCTGGTCTGGACCAGTGTAAAACCATGAATCCTCTCTGCTCTGGTCTGGACCAGTGTAAAACCATGAATCCTCTCTGCTCTGGTCTGGACCAGTGTAAAACCATGAATCCTCTCCAATAATAAATCCATAAAAACCCAAACCCGAGGATATCGGTCTATAATCCTGACACAGATCCGTCTCCAGGGAACGTTCTCAGTTTCTCATCAGTTTGATGAATGCGGTGAACCCGGGGTCTGGGATCAGCTCTGCGGGTGATCCTCGGCCCCATATCGACCAAATGGCAAAACGAGATCAGCAGCGGTTGCTACGGAAACGGGCGCCGCCGCCGCCACGATGACCAAATATGAACAACGTAATAGGAACTCACTGGAGGCTTTGGGAACTCTGTAACAAGGCGCTGCAGCTGAACAGATAAAGAGGTTTATCTGTATAGCACAGGTCATACACACAGCATCTCAGTGCGGAACAACAACAAGAACACATTAAAATCATAGAAATCGCTTTAAAATTGTTAGTAACTTTTAGAATGGTGTATTTTTTTGTTTTGATGTGTTTCTTCATATCTATCTAATCTAAGTAAGGAATGTTTATCTGTATAGCGCAGTTGTTTGCACAGCTAAAGAACGGACTGTAACCTGACCCCTGTCACGGTGCAAAACTAACGCCATCAAAACAAATGTCCTATTCTTGGGTTCCATACGACGTCAGGACAGTGGTGAATGACAGACGTAGGACAGGACGTGACGTATCCTGGCGCTGCAGTCTGCCGGGTTTATACACGGAGATATAGTAGAAGAAGAAGTGGTTTATACACAGAGATATAGTAGAAGAAGAAGTGGTTTATACACGGAGATATAGTAGAAGAAGAAGTGGTTTATACACGGAGATATAGTAGAAGAAGAAGTGGTTTATACACGGAGATATAGTAAAAGAAGAAGTGGTTTATACACGGAGATATAGTAGAAGAAGAAGTGGTTTATACATGGAGATATAGTAGAAGAAGAAGCATCTTTTTGTGCGGTGTACGTTTGTAGCAACCGCACAAATAGAGAAAGACCAGAGTTTGTTCATGTTCCAACTGTGGTCTCATATAAAGGAGGACACTTTGAAAAAATCACTGGAATGAGGCGGAGGTGGATCAAGGCTTTCCCAGATAAGCGCCCCCTGCAGGCCACCCCAATGAAACGCAGCCATTTCTTCTGTTTTTCTTTCCAAAAATGCCCAAAATCAAGACTCTTTTGAGAAATATTTGTTAGTTCTCCCTTAGAATTGAGTGTTCCCGGTTAAGACCGTTCCAACAACCGTACACCGCACAGGAGGAGAACCTTTAGACTACCTCTGCTCTTGCGCCCCCTACTGGCCAGTTTAATGAAACCCAAGAATAAGGAAATGGGCTCCAGCTTGTGTTCTAAACTGGCTTCTTCTGCATTAAGGCTTGGTCGGTCCAGTCCTGTTGGTCACATTTCTGACATTCTAGCCCAGCCATTCCCAAACTCAGTAACACCGAGGCCCCCTTAAAAATCTGACGGGTCTGCGTGGCCCCCCAAAATAATAACCAAGAAGACAACATTAAGAATAGGCTCTTCTGGTTGTTTTATTTTGGGGAAATAGCCTCTGCTACAAACATTGTAATACAAAAATGATTACAGTGGATTATTCAAGTCAAATAATGAACACAAATATTTTAATATTACAAACTAAACATTATAAATTTAACATTAAATAATTATATTATTTTTTTATTTTTTTTATGACCTCCCGCGGCCCCCTGCAGTACCCTCGCGGCCCACCAGGGGGCCGCGGACCCCACTTTGGGAGACACTGTTCTAGCCTATTCTTATTGATTTTGTTTTTCTTATTTTTATTTATAAATTATTTCAGGCAAACACAGGAGCAGCACAGTTGCTATTATCATAAAAACTCACAAAAATCTAAAAAATATTTAGTCTGAAAGGGAGTGGGAAGAAGAGAACTGAACTGACAGAACTGAGCATTTTTATACTTATTGTGTATATTATGTGTGTATTTTGTGTGATCCCTGTCCTCTAAGTGCGCTGCAACACTGACATTTCCCCAGAGTGGGACTAAAGGATCTTATGGTGTCTTATCTTACTCAATCCCAGTTTATCTAAATCCAAAACAAACAGGTTAGATGTGAGTGATGAGAGGATGAAGATGGCAGACGCTGCAGCAAATTAGTTTTTAAAATATTTACAGTTTTTTACATAAAGTTATCGAGGTGTGCGATGGCGGATCACTCGGACGTATCGGTTACAGCTGAGCACGGATTTTTATAAAGCTGTAAAGAAGAGAAGGAGGAGCAGGTGAAGAAGAGGAGGAACGGGTGAAGAAGAGGAGGAAGAGCGGGTTAAGACGCCATGACCTTTTATATTCTCAGTGATTGAAGCCGCTTTTCATCTTCACGTTTTTATAACCTCAGGGCAAAGGGAAATGGGAGATACTCTCTTTAAGACCTAATATCAGGCCTAATATAAGACCTAGAATCAGACCTTAGAGAAGAAATGTTGAGATTGTCTCCAAATGTAGTGAGGAATATATTTTTATTCCTATTGTTATTCACCGGTTTCATATTATTATTATTCTTTTTCCGCATCTTCAATTCGATTTTTGACCCTGAAGACATGCACAAAAGTCTGCACATGGGGGGTCTAAAACAACCGGTCCGGCGAAAAATTTGATAAAACGGACGTTTCCAGATTGTCCGACAAAAGGCGAATCAATAGCGCCCCCTTGAAAATTCAAAATTTACGATTTCTATTGGAGGCAGGCTTGCATATTTTGGAGTAGGTACACGAAATTTGGATGAGTGATAGATTTCTATGAGACGAGCATAAAAGCCGGTTTAAGCACATGTCGGGCTGCCAATTCGTCGCCGTGACGCTTGTGGGACTGGCGCCCAGGAGGCAATCGCAAGAGGGGCGAGGCCTTTCATCGCCGCTTGCGTCTTTAATTAGCTATTGTTGTTCGCTAGTTTCATATTAGTTTTATATTTCCGCCAAAAGGATTAGATTTTTGACCCTGAAGACATGCACAATGTCGGCTCATGGGGGGTCTAATGCGACTGGTTTGGCAAAAAACGTATGTTTTGAGATTGTCCGACAAACAGCAACTCAATAGCGCCCCCTGGAAATGTCACATTTGCAAAGCCTATGGGAGTAGGTACACGAGACCAACAGGAAGTCGGCCATGATGGGTTCGGGTCGTTAAGGTTCGGGTCGTTAGGGTTCGGGTCGTTAGGGTTCGGGTCGTTAGGGTTCGGGTCGTTAAGGTTCGGGTCGTTAGGGTTCGGGTCGTTAGGGTTTGGGTCGTTAAGGTTCGGGTCGTTAGGGTTCGGGTCGTTAGGGTTCGGGTCGTTAGGGTTCGGGTCATTAGGGTTCGGGTCGTTAGGGTTCGGGTCGTTAGGGTTCGGGTCGTTAGGGTTCGGGTCGTTAGGGTTCGGGTCGTTAGGGTTCGGGTCGTTAGGGTTCGGGTTGTTAGGGTTTGGGTCGTTAGGGTTTGGGTCGTTAAGGTTCGGGTCGTTAGGGTTTGGGTCGTTAGGGTTCGGGTCGTTAGGGTTCGGGTTGTTAGGGTTTGGGTCGTTAGGGTTCGGGTCGTTAAGGTTCGGGTCGTTAGGGTTCGGGTCGTTAGGGTTCGGGTCGTTAGGGTTCGGGTCGTTAGGGTTTGGGTCGTTAGGGTTCGGGTCGTTAGGGTTTGGGTCGTTAGGGTTCGGGTCGTTAGGGTTCGGGTCGTTAGGGTTCGGGTCGTTAGGGTTCGGGTCGTTAGGGTTCGGGTCGTTAGGGTTCGGGTCGTTAGGGTTCGGGTTGTTAGGGTTCGGGTCGTTAGGGTTTGGGTCGTTAGGGTTCGGGTCGTTAGGGTTCGGGTCGTTAGGGTTCGGGTCGTTAGGGTTCGGGTCGTTAGGGTTCGGGTCGTTAGGGTTTGGGTCGTTAGGGTTCGGGTCGTTAGGGTTCGGGTCGTTAGGGTTCGGGTCGTTAGGGTTCGGGTCGTTAGGGTTCGGGTCGTTAGGGTTCGGGTCGTTAGGGTTCGGGTCGTTAGGGTTCGGGTCGTTAGGGTTCGGGTCGTTAGGGTTCGGGTCGTTAGGGTTCGGGTCGTTAGGGTTCGGGTCGTTAGGGTTCGGGTCGTTAGGGTTCGGGTCGTTAGGGTTCGGGTCGTTAGGGTTCGGGTCGTTAGGGTTCGGGTCGTTAGGGTTCGGGTCGTTAGGGTTTGGGTCGTTAGGGTTCGGGTCGTTAGAGTTCGGGTCGTTAGGGTTCGGGTCGTTAGGGTTCGGGTCGTTAGGGTTCGGGTCGTTATAGGGTTTGGGTCGTTAGGGTTCGGGTCGTTAAGGTTCGGGTCGTTAGGGTTCGGGTCGTTATAGGGTTTGGGTCGTTAGGGTTCGGGTCGTTAGGGTTCGGGTCGTTAGGGTTCGGGTCGTTATAGGGTTCGGGTCGTTAGGGTTTGGGTCGTTAGGGTTCGGGTCGTTAGGGTTCGGGTCGTTATAGGGTTCGGGTCGTTAGGGTTCGGGTCGTTAAGGTTCGGGTCGTTAGGGTTCGGGTCGTTATAGGGTTTGGGTCGTTAGGGTTCGGGTCGTTAGGGTTCGGGTCGTTAGGGTTCGGGTCGTTATAGGGTTCGGGTCGTTAAGGTTCGGGTCGTTAGGGTTCGGGTCGTTAAGGTTCGGGTCGTTAGGGTTCGGGTCGTTAGGGTTCGGGTCGTTAGGGTTCGGGTCGTTAGGGTTCGGGTCGTTAGGGTTCGGGTCGTTATAGGGTTCGGGTCGTTAGGGTTTGGGTCGTTAGGGTTCGGGTCGTTAGGGTTCGGGTCGTTATAGGGTTCGGGTCGTTAGGGTTCGGGTCGTTAAGGTTCGGGTCGTTAGGGTTCGGGTCGTTATAGGGTTTGGGTCGTTAGGGTTCGGGTCGTTAGGGTTCGGGTCGTTAGGGTTCGGGTCGTTATAGGGTTCGGGTCGTTAAGGTTCGGGTCGTTAGGGTTCGGGTCGTTAGGGTTCGGGTCGTTAGGGTTCGGGTCGTTAGGGTTCGGGTCGTTAGGGTTCGGGTCGTTAGGGTTCGGGTCGTTAGGGTTCGGGTCGTTAGGGTTCGGGTCGTTAGGGTTCGGGTCGTTAGGGTTCGGGTCGTTAGGGTTCGGGTCGTTAGGGTTCGGGTCGTTAGGGTTCGGGTGTGAGAAATGTTGGGATTGGACTGAGACCTTATAAACATGACATTGTTTCTTGTGTGTGTTTTCTCCATATACAGTGATGCATAAAGGCCACAGCCGCTTGTAAGACTGATCACATGTGTGTGTGTCTGTGTGTGTGTGTGTCTCTGTGTGTGTTTGTGTCTCTGTGTGTGTGTGTGTGTCTGTGTGTGTGTGTCTGTCTCTCTCTCTGTGTGTGTGTCTCTCTGTGTGTGTGTGTGTGTGTCTCTCTCTGTGTGTGTGTGTCTGTGTGTGTGTGTGTGTGTCTTTCTCTGTGTGCGTGTGTGTCTGTGTGTGTGTGTGTCTCTGCAGGGGGGGTGGGCATCGCCGCCACACAGCTGTGCCGTTCCGTGCAGGATGTGACCATATTTGGCACGGCGTCTGCCTCAAAACACGAGACCATCGTCCAGGGCGGAGTCACTCACGCCATCGACTATCGAACCAAAGACTATGTGGAGGAGATCCGAAAAATCAGCCCCGATGGTACCAACATGAGACAGATGGTGTATTTTCTCTGTGTTTTATCAGTTTTGAAAGCATTTAAGTGCTTGTGTTTTTGTGTTTTTTGCAGGCGTTGATGTGGTTCTCGACCCCCTCGGTGGCTCCGACACACAAAAAGGGTTTAGTTTACTGAAGCCCATGGGTTCAATCGTTGTTTTTGGTGAGTCCAGATTCTTACATTTCAAACCCTTTCAAACTTTTCTGAAAGGTTTGTGTAAATGTGCTCTTTACTAAGTCGTTTTTATCTATTTTAGTGCCATATAAATAAAGTTTCACCTCCTCATGAGTCATCGTAGCAGTATTAGTAGTAGCAGGATTAGCAGGAGTAGCAGTAGCAGTAGTAGTAGTAGTAGCAGTAGCAGTAGTAGTAGTAGCAGCAGCAGTAGTAGCAGTAGCAGTAGCAGTAGTAGTAATAGCAGGATTAGCAGGAGTAGCAGTAGCAGTAGTAGTAGCAGTAGCAGTAGTAGTAGCAGTAGCAGTAGCAGTAGTAGTAGTAGTAGCAGTAGCAGCAGTAGTAGCAGCAGCAGTAGCAGTAGCAGTAGTAGCAGTAGCAGTAGCAGCAGTAGCAGTAGCAGTAGTAGTAGTAGTAGCAGTAGCAGCAGTAGTAGCAGCAGCAGTAGCAGCAGTAGTAGTAGTAGTAGTAGTAGTAGTAGCAGTAGCAGCAGTAGTAGCAGTAGTAGCAGCAGCAGTAGCAGTAGTAGTAGTAGTAGTAGTAGTAGCAGTAGCAGCAGTAGTAGCAGCAGCAGTAGCAGTAGTAGTAGTAGTAGCAGTAGCAGCAGTAGTAGCAGTAGTAGCAGCAGCAGTAGCAGTAGTAGTAGTAGTAGTAGCAGTAGCAGCAGTAGTAGCAGTAGCAGTAGTAGTAGTAGTAGTAGCAGTAGCAGCAGTAGTAGCAGCAGCAGTAGCAGTAGTAGTAGTAGTAGTAGTAGCAGTATCAGCAGTAGTAGCAGCAGCAGTAGTAGCAGCAGTAGTAGCAGTAGCAGTAGTAGCAGTAGCAGTAGCAGTAGTAGTAGCAGCAGTGGTTTTATAAAAGGTTAATAAGAGAAAACACTAAAATGACTCTGATGAAAACCGCGATGACGTTGAAGACCGTTCTCAATCCACTGCTTTCAGGAGCTGCCAACGCCGTGACGGGCCAAAAGAAGAACCTTCTGGCTCTGGCTAAACTCTGGTACCATCAGCTCTCTCTGTCCACGCTCAAACTGATGCAGGCCAACAAAGCAGTGTGCGGCTTCCACCTGGGATACCTGAAGGACGAGGCGCTCATCACGGACGCCATGGCAACGCTGCTGCGGCTCTACGCCCAGGGACACATCAAACCACACATCGACTCCCGCTTCCACTTCGAAGAGGTTGGTTCTTTGAGTTTACTCACATTTCTCTGTAAATATTAGTGTGAAAAGGCAAAGAATAACAAGGGAATCTTTACATTTTGGTGAGCCCACTGTTGTGATTTAAAGGTGCTATACCCGTTTCTGCAGAATTGAATGTTTAGCCCCGCCCCCAACTCGCTCACAGGCTTCTCATTTCCCCTACGCTCTCCTCCCACGGAGCCATCTAGTTTTGTTTGCGATCTGATGCATATGCTAACATTAGCATTAGCACAACTTAAGCTGTACAACAATCCCTGATGAAATGGTACAAAAGCAACGCACTGCTAACAAAATATATAACTGACAGATTACTGCTAGTTTCACGTCCAAATGTAGTCTGAGCGTAGATAGTCTGAGCGTAGATAGTCTGAGCGTAGATAGTCTGAGCGTAGATAGTCTGAGCGTAGATAGTCCGAGCGTAGATAGTCCAAGCGTAGATAGTCCGAGCGTGGATAGTCCGAGCGTGGATAGTCCGAGCGTGGATAGTCCGAGCGTGGATAGTCCGAGCGTGGATAGTCCGAGCGTGGATAGTCCGAGCGTGGATAGTCCGAGCGTGGATAGTCCGAGCGTTGATAGTCCGAGCGTTGATAGTCCGAGCGTGGATAGTCCGAGCGTGGATAGTCCGAGCGTGGATAGTCCGAGAGTGGATAGTCCGAGCGTGAATAGTCGGAGCGTGGATAGTCCGAGCGTAGATGGTCCGAGCGTGAATAGTCCGGGCGTAGATAGTCCGAGCACAGATAGTCAGAGCGTGGATAGTCCGAGCGTGGATAGTCCGAGCGTGGATAGTCCGAGCGTGGATAGTCAGAGCGTGGATAGTCCGAGCGTGGATAGTCCGAGCGTAGATAGTCCGAGCGTGGATAGTCCGAGCGTGGATAGTCCGAGCGTAGATAGTCCGAGCGTGGATAGTCCGAGCGTGGATAGTCCGAGAGTGGATAGTCCGAGCGTGGATAGTCCGAGCGTAGATAGTCCGAGCGTGGATAGTCCGAGCGTAGATAGTCCGAGCGTGAATAGTCCGAGCGTGGATAGTCCGAGCGTGGATAGTCCGCGCGTAGATAGTCCGAGCGTGGATAGTCCGAGCGTAGATAGTCCGAGCGTAGATAGTCGGAGCGTGGATAGTCCGAGCGTAGATAGTCCGAGAGTGGATAGTCCGAGAGTGGATAGTCCGAGAGTGGATAGTCCGAGCGTAGATAGTCCGAGCGTGAATAGTCCGGGCGTAGATAGTCGGAGCGTGGATAGTCCGGGCGTAGATAGTCCGAGCGTGAATAGTCCGGGCGTAGATAGTCCGAGCGTGGATAGTCCGAGCGTGGATAGTCCGAGCGTGGATAGTCCGAGCGTAGCTAGTCCGAGCGTGGATAGTCCGAGCGTAGATAGTCCGAGCGTGGATAGTCCGGGCGTAGATAGTCCGAGCGTGGATAGTCCGAGCGTGGATAGTCCGAGCGTGGATAGTCCGAGCGTAGATAGTCCGAGCGTGGATAGTCCGAGCGTGGATAGTCCGAGCGTGGATAGTCCGAGCGTGGATAGTCCGAGCGTGGATAGTCCGAGCGTGGATAGTCCGAGCGTGGATAGTCCGAGCGTGGATAGTCCGAGCGTGGATAGTCCGAGCGTAGATAGTCCGAGCGTGGATAGTCCGAGCGTGGATAGTCCGAGCGTGGATAGTCCGTGCGTAGATAGTCCGAGAGTGGATAGTCCGAGAGTGGATAGTCCCAGCGTGGATAGTCCCAGCGTGGATAGTCCCAGCGTGGATAGTCCGAGCGTGGATAGTCCGAGCGTTGATAGTCCGAGCGTGGATAGTCCGAGCGTGGATAGTCCGAGCGTTGATAGTCCGAGCGTGGATAGTCCGAGCGTAGATAGTCCGAGGCGGTCCCGCAGGTCTCTCCCATAGACTGTATATATTAATGGACAGAGTCACGCCTATCTCCGCCGTTCTAACTAATGGGCCAAAAAAGGTGCTCTACTGGAGCAATCAAAAATGGCCGCGAGTGGTCCCGCCCACAAGAAAATTGTGAAAAAACGCATCTGCGCATACATCAGCCGGCACAGCTCCATTCATTTAAACGAGAGACTTCAAATATTCACAGCGACTAAACTAGACTGGTCCAGAACACTCAGCATTGACACACATGTGGAACGGAGCTTTGGGCCAAGAGACAACTTTTGGACCATCCTGTAAAGACGTTTTCGAGAGGTCTGCCAATGCTATATGTTAGCATTGGCTAATTCTACTTCTGGGTCCACCCCCACAGGCCCGGGGTGGTACTGCAGCATGTCAGCGCACGTCATTTTGGACACTTTTGAGCTGGGACCCGCCCACACTGGTCTCTCCAGAGGATACGATGTAAGCTAGCTCTGTTCAGGGCTTGGTTTCTTCTTTGATCATGTTGTGGCTTTAGTTCCTCTTCTCTTCCTCACTGTTGTGTGGTTTGGGCTGTTTTGCTGTGTCTGCAGTTACAGCCAGAGGAGTTATAGCCACTTATGCTAACATGCTACTGTGTTTAGCAGCGCTGTAGAGGCTAGAGGACGCAGCCTCGTTCTGTGATTGGAGGAGAGCGGGCGTCACGCTAAGTCTCTACTCAGCACTTTTTACGGCCTGAATTCATAAACAGCTGAATCAATGAGCTCAAGTTTTACGTTAAATTACGGGTTTTAATACAACTTGTATGAACTAAAAAGCATTATTATGAACTCATTAAAATAAATCGGGTACAGCTTCTTCAAGGCTATACACGAATAAATACATTGAAATAGATTGAAATTGAAATCGATCAAACTGTTTCTATAGAGCTCTTTACAAACACTAAAGGCGACAAAGTTCTTCACAATAAAAAAGTAAAAAAAAAAAAAGTATGAAATAAGTGCCACTGCGTGTTAAAAGTGTTAAAAGTGTTAAAAGCCAGTCTGAAAAAATAAGTTTTGAGCCTTAATTTAAAAAATGTCTTGTTCGGTTCTGATATGGTACTGTTCAATTCTGATGCGGTACTGTTCAGTTCTGATGCGGTACTGTTTGGTTCTGATGCAGTACTGTTCGGTTCTGATGCGGTACTGTTCGGTTCTGATGCGGTACTGTTCGGTTCTGATGCGGTACTGTTCGGTTCTGATGCGGTACTGTTCGGTTCTGATGCGGTACTGTTCGGTTCTGATGCGGTACTGTTCGGTTCTGATGCGGTACTGATGCGGTACTGTTCGGTTCTGATGCAGTACTGTTCGGTTCTGATGCGGTACTGTTCGGTTCTGATGCGGTACTGTTCGGTTCTGATGCGGTACTGTTCGGTTCTGATGCGGTACTGTTCGGTTCTGATGCGGTACTGTTCGGTTCTGATGCGGTACTGTTCGGTACTAATGCGGTACTGTTCTGATGTGGTACTGTTCGGTTCTGATGCGGTACTGTTCGGTTCTGATGCAGTACTGTTCCGTTCTGATGCGGTACTGTTCGGTTCAGATGCGGTACTGTTCGGTTCTGATGCGGTACTGTTCAGTTCTGATGCGGTACTGTTCGGTTCTGATGCGGTACTGTTCAGTTCTGATGCGGTACTGTTTGGTTCTGATGCGGTACTGTTTAAAACGGCAGATAAAAACATTTCATGACAATTCTAAAATCCATGATTGCCTCATGACGTCATAAAGGCCTCATGACGTCATAAAGGCCTCATGACGTCATAAAGGCCTCATGACGTCATAAAGGCCCGACTTAATCCCTTCATAAACTTTGGGCCGTCTTTAATTCATTTATCGTCACATTGTAGTTTGTTGAAATGATTAAGTCAAAATCGAGCGTTTTAGGAAAAAAATCTGTGGCTCTTAAAGATTCAAAGATACAGATTTTACACTTGCTTCTTTATAGTTAGACCTTTTATTTTAGTTATTATTCATGTATCTTCTTCCAGAGTGAATGTGTTTTGGCTGCGGTCGGGTTTGCTTTGAAACGCTGTATTTTCTGAAGGTGATTCTTTAAAGAGTCACGTAGCCGCTCCATCGTTTATGCTAGCAGTCATCTCTGTCTTTATTGACACCGTGCGGCAGGAAGTACTGTATACAGTGCCTTGCGAAAGTATTCGGCCCCCTTGAACCTTTCAACATTTCGCCACATGATCCAAGAGCTGTAGTTCTCCCACAAAATCCACCCGTCCCTCCTCTAACCCCATAAGTATTCCACCCCCCCCTCCTGCTCATTTAGCCCACCTCCCCCCTAACTCAGCACCAAGAAACCCTCCACCTCCACTCCCCCCTCGTCCACCACCCAACTCAGCCTGCCCCTCTCCTAACCCATCACCAAAAACCCATCCACCTTCAACCCCTCCCCGTCCAACTCCCAAGAACCACCCGCCTCTCCATCCTCCTCCCGCGCCTTCCCCTTCCCCTCTTTTCTCTAAACACTAGGATGCACAGGGTCTCTGCTTCGCAGCCACTGGCAGTCTAGTTAGAGGAGAGACCCGGCTGGGGCCCTGTCATGAAGCCACCTGTGCCATTCCCTTAGTGATAACACAAAGAATACATTACAGAAAGACATCTGGAGTTAATCAGTCTAATCTGGAAAATCTAATTCTTGTTCCGTGTAAGAATCAGCCGACCACAACCGCTGATCCTGAAACTTTTAAACTTGCTATGCTAAATGTCAGATCTCTTTGTAACAAGTCTTTTTTAATCAATAATTTTATTTGTTCTTATAATCTAGATCTTATGTTCATGGCTGAAACATGGCTTGACCAAAATACAGAAAATGCAGTTTTAATAGAAGCATCACCACCAAATTTCAAATTTGAATCTGAAATACGGGAAAACAAAAAAGGAGGAGGCTTAGCTGCCATTTTCAGAGACCACTTTGTCTCCCATAGAATGTCTCTTGGGAAGTTTTCGTCTTTTGAATATGTGTCTTTTAAAATACAACAAAAACAATCTCCTCCAATACTTTTCGTTGTCCTATACAAGCCACCGCAGTCATGTCACAGTTTTATTGATAATTTTACAGAGTTGCTTTCAGTTGTATGCACAGATTTTGATAGTTTAGTTATTACAGGTGATTTTAATATTCATGTGGATAATGTTGATGACAGAAATGCTAAAGAGCTGAGTTCTCTTCTTGAATCTTTTGGTCTCACTCAGCATGTGAGTGGCCCCACCCACAGCAGAGGGCACACTCTAGACCTGTTAGTTACAAAGGGGGCGAACATTTATAATGTAAACGTGGTCGATGTTGCGCTTTCGGATCATTTTTGTGTATTTTTTGACATGTGTTTCACTAACAAACCACCAGTGGACTCTGCAACTGTACGAAGAAGACACATAAATTAAAATACGGGTGAACTATTTATGGGAATGATAAACTTTGAGAATGCATCGTATTCTACTGTAGATGAACTGTTTAACTCTGTCACCTCTAGTGTTTTGAATGTTCTGGATACCGTTGCTCCTGTGAAGGTTAAAATAGTGAAAAATAAGCAGAAGGCGCCGTGGGCTAAAGCAGACTCGGTCAGAGCACAAAAGAGAGAGTGCCGGAGGGCCGAGCGGAAGTGGCGCAAGTCCAACCTCCAGGTTGATTACGAGATCTTCAAAGATAAGTTGTGCGAGTTTAACCAGGTGCTACGTAGTACAAGAGAAAGGTATTTTTCTGAAATGATTGAAGGCTGCAGTAACAATCTGCGTGTTCTGTTTTCAACAGTTAATAGATTAACAAACCCCCCTGTTCAAATGCCATTAGAGCTAACTTCCAAACGTAAATGTAATGAGTTTGCACATTTTTTCAATGACAAGGTTCAAGGCATCAAAAACGCCATTGTCTCCAATCCACAGATAACAATCCAACAGCCAGAAAGGCTCTTTGAGCTAACTTACTTTGCCCCTGTAAATGATCAAACTGTCCAAGAGATAATCTCCAGTTTGAGCTCCTCCACATGCAGCCTGGATGTACTACCCACTAGATTTCTGAAGTCTGTTCTGAGCAGTCTGTTACCTTCACTCACACAGATAGTAAACATGTCCCTTGATTCTGGAATATTCCCAAAGGCCCTGAAAACTGCAGTCATCAGGCCCCTGCTAAAAAAGAGCAGTCTGGATGCTACGGTACTTAACAACTATCGTCCCATCTCAAATCTGCCATTTATGGGGAAAGTCCTTGAGAAAGTTGTCTACCTACAGCTTACTAGATTTCTTATAATCAACAACTCATTTGATATGTTTCAGTCCGGCTTTAGACCCCACCACAGCACTGAGACTGCTCTCGTTAAGGTTACAAACGATATCCGGCTGAACACTGACGCAGGCAAAGTCTCAATCCTAATCCTGTTAGATCTGAGTGCTGCCTTTGACACTGTCGACCATGAGATCCTCTTACAGAGACTAGAGGACTGGGTTGGCGTCGCTGGCACCGCCCTAAGTTGGTTTAGGTCTTACCTTGAAGACAGGAAGTACTTTGTGGAGATTGGAAACTGTGTCTCAGATCATATGGCCCTGACCTGTGGAGTACCACAGGGGTCGATCCTGGGACCTCTTCTGTTCAATCTCTACATGCTGCCGTTAGGTCAGTTAATACGCAGAAACAAAGTGTCCTATCATAACTATGCAGACGACACTCAGATCTATGTCTCACTGACTGCAGGAGAACATGGACCAGTGGACTCACTCCTTCACTGTATCCAACAGATCAGTGAGTGGATGCAAAACAACTTCCTTCAGCTAAACGCAGACAAAACTGAAATGATTGTCTTTGGTCCCCAGAAACAAAGAGAGAGCGTCATCTGTCATCTACAGTCTCTCTCCCTAAAACCTTCAAACAAGGTCAGAAATCTAGGGGTAATACTGGACTCAGACTTAAATTTTAATAGCCACATCAAATCAGTAACATCAGCAGCTTTTTACCATCTAAAAAACATTTCCAGGATCAAAAACATAGTGTCTAAAGCAGACTTGGAGATTCTTATCCATGCATTTGTCTCCAGTAGGTTAGACTACTGCAATGGCCTGCTCACAGGTCTGTCCAAACAGGCTGTAAAACAGCTGCAGTACATTCAAAATGCAGCAGCTCCAGTCCTGACTAGAACCAGGAAGTACGACCACATTAGTCCTGACTAGAACCAGGAAGTACGACCATATTAGTCCGGTCCTCAGGTCTCTGCACTGGCTTCCTGTGGCTCAGAGAATAGACTTTAAAACAGCTCTGCTTGTGTACAAGTCTCTCCATGGCCTCGCACCAAAATATATTAGTGACATGTTAGTCCCATATGAACCAGCCCGGACTCTGAGGAGCACAGGGACTGGACTCCTGTTAGTGCCCAGAGTCAGAACTAAACATGGGGAGGCTGCTTTTCAGATTCATGCTGCTAAAATCTGGAACAATCTTCCTGAAGATGTGAGACAGGCCTCCTCTCTGACAATGTTTAAAACCAGGTTAAAAACGGTGCTGTTTGGCTGTGCATACAACTGAGGGATTTTATATTTTTATCTTTCGTTTTAATGTTCTGTTATTATTTATGATTTTAATGCTATCTTGTTCAGCACTTTGAGTTGCCTTGTGTATGAATTGTGCTATACAAATAAACTTGCCTTGCCTTGCCTTGCCTTGCCTAGTTATCTGCAGTTCATCCAGAGTGATCATGGGCCTCTTGGCTGCATCTCTGATCAGTCTTCTCCTTGTTTGAGATGAAAGTTTGGAGGGACGGCCGGGTCTTGGTAGATTTGCAGTGGTCTGATACTCCTGCCATTTCAATATAATTGCTTGCACAGTGCATTCTATTTATCATCATCAGTCATTTAGGACAACATTGGATCATTCAAAGATCCTCACTGAACTTCTGGACTGAGTTTGCTGCACTGAAAGTAAAGGGGCCGAATAATATTGCATGCCCCACTTTTCAGTTTTTTATTTGTTAAAAAAGTTTAAATTATCCAACAAATTTGATTCCACTTCACGATTGTGTCCCACTTGTTGTTGATTCATGACAAAAAATTAAAATTTTAAATCTTTATGTTTGAAGCCTGAAATGTGGCGAAATGTTGAAAGGTTCAAGGGGGCCGAATACTTTCGCAAGGCACTGTATTTAGAATTAGCGGCGCACAGAGGAGCGTGAGCGCCGTGTGCCGGGGCCTCAGGTTGGAAACGTCAGTGGTTTTGCCCATTATCAGACTGGATGCTCTCTCCTCCGATGGTACTTAGCCGCGGTTGCTAGGTGACGCTCTGAGCTGTTGCCGCTGGTGTGTGTCACTGGTATGAGTTCTGGTTTGCATCAAGGAAAGACTGGAGTGTTTGAGGAGCAGGGTTTTTGTATTTAAGTCTTGCTTCTTCAAAGTTGGAGATTTAAAACGTATTTATTTATTATAAAAATACACTTCCTGCTCCTCTGTCCTGCTGTTGTGTATCTTGTGATACAACACTGAAATTTCCCCACTGTGGAACCAATACTGGATCCCTTAATCTTAATCTACTGGATACACCTTCGATCCCATTAGATTATGTCAGTAATTCCACTCAGTTCGACGGACAGGGGCTTTTTGTGTGGAGTTTGCATGTTCTCTCCGTGCTCTCTCCGTGTCTGCAGAGTTTATGAACGGCCTCCGCTGGAACGCTCTCTGCCCCATTCACATAAACAGATTCAATAAACACAGTGGCTGAGTGGTCAGCACTCTGCAAGAAGCTCTGGATTCCATTCCACCTCCAGACCGGGCCTTTGTCAGTGGAGTTTGCATGTTCTCCCCTGGTCTGCTTAGGTTTCCTCCTGGTGCTCCGGGTTGCCCTCCCACTGTAATGGGCCCTAAACGAGCCGAGCCTCTGGAGCTGGGTCTGCTCCTGACAGACGCCCAGTGGCATCAGGATATGGGTCAAATGCACAGATCCAGAGAGATCCTTTATTTGTGTGTGTGTGTGTGTGTGTGTGTCTAAACGTGTGTGTCTAAACGTGTGTGTCTAAACGTGTGTGTGTGTGTGTGTCTGTCTAAACGTGTGTGTGTGTGTCTAAACGTGTGTGTGTGTGTCTAAACGTGTGTGTGTGTGTCTGTCTAAACGTGTGTGTGTGTGTGTCTAAACGTGTGTGTGTGTGTGTGTCTAAACGTGTGTGTGTGTGTGTCTGTCTAAACGTGTGTGTGTGTGTGTCTTGAATTGTGTCTTTGAGTTTTTTAGTTTTTGAAAAGCACTATATTAAACCGATGTATTATTATTAATATTATTATTAAAATAAAATGTCTAACTCTAGCATAAAAAGAATCAGTATGAAACATCTGAAGCAAAATAAAGAAGTAAGTCTAAAATCTCCGGCTTCAATCTAAAAACCCAGACTAAGAACCAATCGTGTCTGGATAAAGTCGGTCTTAATAACGTGTTAATAATTATCCTCATGTTTCCCGCAGGTTGCAGACGCCATGAGACGAATGCACGAGCGACAGAACATCGGAAAAGTCATCCTTCTCCCTGAGCCCAAGAAGGAGGAACAAGAGAAACCGAAAGCTCCGACTGAAACTGAGGAAGAAGGGCAGAAAAGTGAGGAAGAGGAGGAGAAACCTGAGGCGGCTGCTACAGAGGTGAAGGCGGAGGTGACGGAGGAGGTGACGGAGGAGGTGACGGAGGAGGCAGAGTAGAACCAAACAGGAAGTATCGCTCAGTAATGGTTTGGGTTTTACATTTAAGGTGGAATTGATTTGGTGCCACAGTACATCCTTAATTATCATTATTATCATTATTATTATCATTATTATTATCATTATTATCATTATTATTATCATTATCATTATTATTATTATCATTATTAGTATCATTATTATCATCATTATTATTATCCATCCATCCATCCATTTTCTACCCTTTAATCCATTTCTGGGTCAGGGGGGTGGCAATCAGAGATGCCACCCAAGTCTCATAGCACCAGCCCCTCACTGATCCTCTGCAGGTGGTGAGTCCACAGGAGGACGGCTGCTCTCTGAGTGTGAGCATAGCCTTGATCTTTCAGTGGGGGCTTTGGGCAAAGTGGGGTTAAGTGTCTTGCCCAAGGACACAACGACAGCAGTCATCAGTGGGAGTCGGTGGAGAAGGTGCAGAGGTGGGAATTGAACCCACAACCTTCTGGGCTTAAGGCCAATGCTCTACCAACTGAGCTACTGTCGCCCCATTATTATTATTATTATTATATTATTATCATCATTATTATTATTATTATTATTATTATTATTATCATTATTGTGCCTAAATTACAGCTTGGTGCTTTCTAAATCCTCTGAAAAAAGCAAAATGAACAAAACCCCATGTTCACGTTGAAGTGTGTGACATGTTTTGTGTTGCACTGTTATGATGTGAAGTGGAAGCTCCAGAAGTTGTTATTATCGTGTTTTTGTGCCAAGAAAAATGGGGAAAATGGGAATATTGCGTTTAGCGAACAATGTGTATCTCCTGAAAGTTGTTAAATATGTTTGTATGTGTGTGTTACTCTGTGGTTGTGCCAAAATGCAGTTGTGGTTCCTCCTTTAGTTGTGTGTTTTGTATTTGAAGTCGTTGGGAGACAAACCGGTCTTGGGACGTTTAAAAAGATTTAGTCTTTAGTTTTCCACAATATTTCTCTCTCTCTGTTTTTGTGTTGCTTTTGTTCCAACCTCGAATAATGTTGTGTTGATGTGAGACAGTCCGGCTGTGGGTCGACCTAAGCCTTCTGAAGAATCTGTTGGCATTCCTCCTCCTCCTCCTGCCTCTCTCTCTCTCTGTCTCCCTCTGGTCTCTCTCTCTCTCTCTCTGGTCTCTCTCTCGCTCTCTGGTCTCTCTCTCGCTCTCTGGTCTCTCTCTCCCTCTGGTCCCTCTCTCTCTCTCTGGTCTCTCTCTCCCTCTGGTCTCTCCCTCTCTCTCTGGTCTCTCTCTCTCTCTGGTCTCTCTCCCTCTCTCTCTGGTCTCTCTCCCTCTCTCTCTCGCTGGTCTCGCTCTCTCTCCCTCTCTCTCTGGTCTCTCTCCCTCTCTCTCTCTCTGGTCTCGCTCTCTCTCCCTCTCTCTCTGGTCTCTCTCTCTCTCTGGTCTCTCTCTCTCTCTGGTCTCTCTCTCTCTCTGGTCTCGCTCTCTCTCCCTCTCTCTCTGGTCTCTCTCTCTCTCTCTCTGGTCTCTCTCTCTCTCTGGTCTCTCTCTCTCTCTGGTCTCTCTCTCTCTCTCTCTCTCTCTCTGGTCTCTCTCTCTCTCTGGTCTCTCTCTCTCTCTGGTCTCTCTCTCTGGTCTCTCTCTCTCTCTCTCTCTTTTCTCTCTCTCTCTCTCTGGTCTCTCTCTCTCTCTCTCTCTCTCTCTCTGGTCTCTCTCTCTCTCTGGTCTCTCTCTCTCTCTGGTCTCGCTCTCTCTCCCTCTCTCTCTGGTCTCTCTCTCTCTCTCTCTCTGGTCTCTCTCTCTCTCTGGTCTCTCTCTCTCTCTCTCTGGTCTCTCTCTCTCTCTCTGGTCTCTCTCTCTCTCTCTGGTCTCTCTCTCTCTCTGGTCTCTCTCTCTCTCTCTCTCTCTCTCTTCTCTCTCTCTCTCTCTGGTCTCTCTCTGGTCTCTCTCTGGTCTCTCTCTCTCTCTGGTCTCTCTCTCTCTCTCTCTCTCTCTCTCTCCTCTCTCTCTCTCTCTGGTCTCTCTCTCTCTCTGGTCTCTCTCTCTCTCCCTTTGCCTTCAAACCTGTGAATGGAATGGAATGTTGTTGTTTACATGTGTGGCGGCGGTCCTCAGTCTTGGACCAGGTTCTGAAAGACTCGGACCAGGTTCTGAGTGTCTTCGTGCCTTTGTGAAGTTTGTTCAATAGTGTGACTTTTAAATTGTAAAAAAAAAAAAAAACAGTATTTGTGATGATTTCAGAGTATGACCAATATTAATGTAAATATAATAAAAATACATGTTTGCAATTCTATTTGGTTTAGTTCATTTGCTTTCGTGGACATGGCTGCACTGTCCTGTGGCCAAACACTGACATCTAGTGGTGAAGATGTGTTTTTCCTTTTTCCCCTTTTTTGTCGATAATAGATATAGATACTTTATTGATCCCCGTATTGGAGAAACTCACGGGAGAACAAATGAACGCATAAACTCGGGTTATAAAAATATACACAACATATAATACATACATAACATACATACAGATTTTATATATCCTCCAGCACATTTCTCATACACCACACAGGTCACCACATACACTGTACGTATACACACTATACTTATATATATATAAGTATATAAGTATATATATTTATATACCACACCTCCATGTTATGTGTGTTTCTATTTTGTGAGGAAGAAACTTGACCTAAATCCTTCGTGGCAGTTCTGGCTCCTACCACCAGGGGGCTTCGTCTGCTCCATGGATGAATCTTACTGACAAACTGATGTAGAGACAGTGATGTGATGTTAGATGGTGAATATTGGAGGCTGTGGAGGTTTGAGGTCCTTCTAAAAAAAAAAAAACCGTCCATCACAGATTTATATGACAAGAAAGATACAAATACAAATGTGTCTCCTTCAAAGTAAAAGCATGAATCTTTCCTCTATGTTAGTGTGAACTTGCAGCTTTAAAGGTGAGACTGTGCTATGGTCGGGTGAAGAAGTACAAATTCCAGATGACGACGAGTCCAAGAAAATGTGACGATTCAGCTAAAGATGTGACATCACAACTGCTGATGTGATTATTCCCACAATCAGGAAGACTGTGACGTCCTCCTGCCCTTTGCACCGACACCTCCAACTTATCTCCAGCTCTTCAACATTCCATTCCCACCACTTCTTAGTTTTAGATCATTCAGTTTTACATTTTCTGGTTTGACAAATGGACTGCTTTGAAGGAAATAAAATGCATTCGTTCATTGTGTTAACGGTCGAGTTGAAAATGAAAAAATTCTGTTGATTTGAGTCCAAACAATAACAATCTATGAGTATTTATATTTTTGCATGAATTAACTTTGCAAAAATAGTCTGAAAATAGATCTTTGCAAAAACATGGCCATTCCAAAGGTCGGACACATTAAAACCTCCCAGAATAAATACACAAGTTCCACAAAGGACTTTTAAATACATCTGTCTCTCTGACTTTTCATCTGGTTTTTACTTCTTAAAAAATCTCTTTTATACAAATAAAAAACATTATTTGATGTGTGAAAAGTGGTATTCATGTAAATATAACAAAACATGTGTAGATTTTATTGTTGCGTTGTCGCCAATGGAGGCCCCCCCTGAAGAGCCCTGGACCTCGCTTTGGGAAACCCTGAGGTAAGAAACCAAAATCTAACTACACACATAACAGAAGATAAACTTTATTGATCTCACAATGGAGAAATTCGGTTTGATGAATAGTCATATAAACATCAAGGCATTCAGCTGTTACTGCCGCACTCCTTATAGGCATCGTGGGGCAAAGTGTCTTGCCCAAGGACACGACGACGGCAGTGGGAGTCGGTGGGGAAGTGTCTACTCTTGAGTATCTAATATTTGAGGACATTTCTGCCCGATCTGTTGCGTACCATCCGCTCTGTCTAATCCACGCTACTCTTGCGCAGTTATTCCAATGTGGTTTTACAGCAAATGGTAAATCAACTGTCTCTGGCTGTGGTTTAAAATACTAATACTGAGGCTGTATCCGAATGTCCACGCTATTCTCCAAATAGTGCACTATATAGGGAATAGTGTGGACATTCGGATACAGCCTAATACTTTTACTCTGAAAGCGCCTGGCGGAAGTGCAGGAGCGATGACGTAACTTGACGTAGCGGCTTTAAATGGGAATACCCTCTGTGTGCTCCTTCACCAAATCCTGCCGCGTCACTGGGATGAGGTCGAAGCCGCTCGGAGGCGCTGCTCAACCAGTACCATCAGCAGCAGTACCAGCAGCAGCAATACCATCAGCGGTGAGTCCTGCGCGTCTGTCTGCATTCTCTAATCTTTACGCACGGCACAGTTCAGCGCGTCTCCTGCAGAAATAGCGCCGCAGGAGTTAAATATAGAGGCTTCAGTGAGAGTAAATATGTGCCAGAGGGAGAAGGAGCCAGGCCATTACTTGACACCCGCATCGGCCCAGAAAGGTCAATAAACGGCCTCCAAGTGCATCACGGTGAACATCGGTTACATCAGGAGCTTTGTGGTTGTGATAAAAGGTCAGAAAGCACTTTTATAACACACATGCTCATTATTACTGTCGTGTCTATGTTTTCAATTGGAACCAAGAGTCTGTATGATAAAGTTGAATTGAATATAAATGTAAAATGACACTGGCTCACTGGGTTTCAGAATGACAGCGTTGCCATGGCAATTAGAAAATATGTATACTTTTTTTTAAAGGACAAAGTCTTGGGAAAACCATGAGTATACTATGAAAAAAAGATGAAGAAAATCTGTTTTAGTGAAATGTCAGTGTTGCATCTGCAGTTACAGAACAGTAGGAATGAGAGACAAGATGATTAAACTATAACTATATACTTTAAAATATAATCTCTAACTTTAGCATAATACAGAAGCTAGTATAAAATCTCTAGCTTTAGCATAATACAGAAGCTAGTATAAAATCTCTAGCTTTAGCATAATAAAGAAGCTAGTATAAAATCTCTAGCTTTAGCATAATACAGAAGCTAGTATAAAATCTCTAGCTTTAGCATAATAAAGAAGCTAGTATAAAATCTCTAACTTTAGCATATTTCACATTCTGACATTATTTCCAACTAAATAGTTATTAATAAATATAAAAAAATATTGTTATTATTATTATCACTCCTATTGTTATTACCCATTCCTTGAGGCTCTGATCCCAGTTGACACCATCAGCAGCTGTCTGGTCACGTGTCCAGCTGTAACACCATAAACAGCCTGTAGGGTTACAACAGTGTCCAGCTGTAACACCATAAACAGCCTGTAGGGTTACAACAGTGTCCAGCTGTAACACCATAAACAGCCTGTAGGGTTACAACAGTGTCCAGCTGTAACACCATAAACAGCCTGTAGGGTTACAACAGTGTCCAGCTGTAACACCATAAACAGCCTGTAGGGTTACAACAGTGTCCAGCTGTAACACCATAAACAGCCTGTAGGGTTACAACAGTGTCCAGCTGTAACACCATAAACAGCCTGTAGGGTTACAACAGTGTCCAGCTGTAACACCATAAACAGCCTGTAGGGTTACAACAGTGTCCAGCTGTAACACCATAAACAGCCTGTAGGGTTACAACAGTGTCCAGCTGTAACACCATAAACAGCCTGTAGGGTTACAACAGTGTCCAGCTGTAACACCATAAACAGCCTGTAGGGTTACAACAGTGTCCAGCTGTAACACCATAAACAGCCTGTAGGGTTACAACAGTGTCCAGCTGTAACACCATAAACAGCCTGTAGGGTTACAACAGTGTCCAGTCAAAGTGACGCCTCAGAGAAACCTCAGGGATGCTCCTGAACGGCTTCGTTCTCAAAGGGGAACATTTGGAGATAGATCCACATTTCATGGGTTATCATGTCTAGTCATCATTAAAGGGCCCTAATCTGTCATCATTAAAGGGCCCTAATCTGTCATCATTAAAGGGCCCTAATCTATCATTAAAGGGCCCTAATCTGTCATCATTAAAGGGCCCTAATCTGTCAGCATTAAAGGGCCCTAATCTGTCATCATTAAAGGGCCCTAATCTGTCATCATTAAAGGGCCCTAATCTGTCATCATTAAAGGGTCCTAATCTCAATCTGTCATTATTAAAGGGCCCTAATCTGTCATCATTAAAGGGCCCTAATCTGTCATCATTAAAGGGCCCTAATCTGTCATTATTAAAGGGCCCTAATCTGTCATCATTAAAGGGCCCTAATCTGTCATCATTAAAGGGCCCTAATCTGTCAGCATTAAAGGGCCCTAATCTGTCAGCATTAAAGGGCCCTAATCTGTCATCATTAAAGGGCCCTAATCTGTCATCATTAAAGGGCCCTAATCTCAATCTGTCATCATTAAAGGGCCCTAATCTCAATCTGTCATCATTAAAGGGCCCTAATCTGTCATCATTAAAGGGCCCTAATCTGTCATCATTGAAGGGCCCTAATCTGTCATCATTAAAGGGCCCTAATCTGTCATCATTAAAGGGCCCTAATCTGTCATCATTAAAGGGCCCTAATCTGTCATCATTAAAGGGCCCTAATCTGTCATCATTAAAGGGCCCTAATCTGTCATCATTAAAGGGCCCTAATCTGTCATCATTAAAGGGCCTTAATCTGTCATTATTAAAGGGCCCTAATCTGTCATTATTAAAGGGCCCTAATCTGTCATCATTAAAGGGCCCTAATCTGTCATCATTAAAGGGCCCTAATCTGTCATTATTAAAGGGCCTTAATCTGTCATTATTAAAGGGCCCTAATCTGTCATTATTAAAGGGCCCTAATCTGTCATCATTAAAGGGCCCTAATCTGTCATTATTAAAGGGCCTTAATCTGTCATTATTAAAGGGCCCTAATCTGTCATTATTAAAGGGCCCTAATCTGTCATTATTAAAGGGCTCTAATCTGTCTTCATAATAAACTGCTATTTTCAAATTATTTTTTAACTGATGACAGTATTTCAGAGATATTTGAATTTCTAAATTATTTTTACAGTCCCTAAATCTGAGTTGCCAGAACTCACTGCGTGGAGCTAATCTCACTGGTAAAGTACCATGTGGCGCAGAATTAAAAAAGTCTTGTTATAATTCTCAAATCATTAACGACAAAACACGGAATATTGCTCCTTTAGAGTTGAGTGTTAAATGTTGAGAATGTCCACTTTGGATTCTTTACTTTCTAAAATGTTTTGCATAACAATGTGAGGTTTTTATTCACAAGGTTTTCCATTATATTTATCTCAATCTTTCTTTTGTTTTTCTTTCCCAGCCCTAACGCAGCGACAGTACCATGAAACACATTTGTTACTCTCATGCAATAAAACCATAAATGATTCTTCTTCATATTCCCGCAGCTCCATTCTTCAGCTACAGACCAAAGATGACCACAAACTTAACCCGCGACCTGCCGGACCAGCACCAGCACCAGCACCAGCAGCAGCGCTTCCTGGTGCTTTTCGATTTCGACGAAACCATCATCAACGAGAGCAGCGACGACGCGGTGGTGCGGGCGCTGCCGGACCAGCAGCTCCCTGATTGGCTGATCCACAGCTACAGGGAGGGGCACTACAACGAGCACATGCAGAAGGTGTTAGCTTACATGTCCGAGCGAGGCGTCACCAAGGACTCCATCCAATCAGCCGTGGAGAAGATAGCGCCCACTCCTGGTCTCCTGGTGCTACTGCAGTTCCTCCAAAACCACCAACGCGACTTCGAGCTGGCCGTGGTGTCGGACGCAAACATGTATTTCATCCAAACGTGGCTGGAGCGCGCCGGAGTGAGCCATCTCTTTAGGAAAATATTCACAAATCCAGCTAGCTTTGACGCGTCGGGTAAGCTAGTCCTGCTGCCGTTCCACTCCCACTCGTGTCAACGCTGTCCCGACAACATGTGCAAACACGTGATCCTGCGGGAGTACCTGGCGGCGCGGCAGAAGGAGCGCGGGGGGGCGGCCTTCCACAGGGTCTTCTACATCGGGGACGGAGCCAACGATATTTGTCCCACGCAAGCTCTAGGCCCCAGGGACACGGCCTTTCCCCGGAGGGACTTCCCCATGCACAGGCTCCTGGGGGACCTCCAGAAGACGCAGCCGGCCCAGTTCAAGGCCCACGTGGTTCCGTGGGCGAGCGGGGAGGATATAGTGGACTGTCTACAGAACGTCCTGGAGGAGAGGGCAAACATATGAAGGAAAAGTGTGATCCGTGGAACTGATCACGATAATAATAATAACAATAATAACAATAATAATTTCATTTCATTTCATTTCATTTTCAACCCCTTTGTCCATTTCTGGGTCGGGGGGGTGGCAATGAGAGCTGCCACCCAACGCTCATAGCACCAGTCCCTCACTGATCCTCTGCAGGGGGTGAGTCCACAGGAAGATGGCTGCTCCGTCAATTCGGGCGTTCTGCTCTCCCAAAATTTCATCCACTGAGCGGCGCTGTGATCAAAAAATGACACCGTTTGTTGCCCAGTTCACTTCCGGTTGATTTCATACAATGGCGAATATGGCTCACGAAAACAACAAACGATTGACAGTTCCTGAATTGTGTGAAAGGTTGAAGCGAAAGGGTATTTGCAGTGTGGGAAAACGAAAGGAGGAATTGTTGTTGCTAGTTCAACGAGCGGATGGTGTTTATGAAGATTTAGAAGAAGATGACAGCGAGCAGAGTGAACGAAAACGGCTGTGTGTGCGAGTGACAGATGGTAACAATGAGAATGAAGTTCAGCTAAGAGGGAAGAATGTGAATTGGACGGATGATTTGCGCGATATGCCACTAGTTAGAGACGGGAATGTATTTGCATACAGAAAATGACGAAAACACTCAACCATTTAGAGAAAATGCGCCGGGCAGAGAGAACCGGAAGTTGCGAAGGCAAGTGTTACCCATAATGCAACGCAAAATTCAGTCGCTCCCCCGCCCATCGGATGGAATTTTGGGAGAGCAGAACGCCCGAATTGTGAAACAGCCTTGATCTTTCAAGGCTGTTTAACAATAATAATAATAATAATAATACATGACAGTATTGTATGGGAGAAAGTAGAGATGGAATCAGGGCTGCACGATTTAGCCAAAATATATCTACAAAACTCGCTGGACTTTGAGATTCTCTTTCAAGTATTAAGTATTAACAGATCCTTTACTGGTCTCACAGTGAGGACATTTCAGTGTTGCACAGCAAGTTAAAGGAACAGTAGGAATGAAGTACCCTGGCCTTATCCATCCGTACTCTCCGTTCAATCATCATTTCCTGCCTGTAACGTCTGGGTCTGGTCCCTGTGTCTGTGATTACAATCTGTTGAATTCCATCCGACCAATCAGAGAGCGCGGGAGGCGGGTGTTGTAGTTAGATGTGGGCGACGTCAAGAGTTTGCGCCGAACGGGCAGGTTGTAGTTTGGCAAAGAATACGATAGTAAAGTATTCTGTTCTGGTTCTATCAAGAAACTGAAGCCGGAGCAAGAATGTAATCGCTGCAAATATTGTGGCGCTACTCCCCACGGGCTCCGTTAGCAGCAAAGGAGATGGCTAAAGCTAGGCTAAATGCTAAATGCTAACGACTCACTCGGGAGCATTACATTCGTCACAGTAAACTCAGATCCAATGGTTTGGAGTTAACCCCTCGCACCTGTTAACGGAGTCAATGGTGCACCTCCAGACCTTAGTACAAAATGAAATGTGTACTATGGTGTGGTACGACCAGGCTAGGAATGAAGAGCACACAGCACAAGATAAAGGAACTAATTAACTAACAATCTAACTCTAGCATCAAAGAATATAACATCTCTTTCAGGTGGTTTAAACTCTGCAGCCAATGTGTGTATTTTTATTTTGTTACAGCATCCTCTGGGGTTTTAATTTTCATTTAAAGTTTTAGTAAGAACGGGAATCACGTTTATCGTCAAACTAGATTTACCCAAGTGCTTTGATCATCGCAGTGCGTTAAAACACTGTCAGTTAGAACAGCTGTTAAGTAATCACTCCACACAGAGATGGAAGCAGCCGTTGGTGAAGTTTCATTACAACTGAGGCTTATATTCAAGTGCGGCTTATATGTGGACAAAATGTACTCTCTTGACAAATGTGTTTTTATACAGCTGCGGTTTATAGTCCCGGCAAGTCTGATTTTCGTTCCCCAGACTAGTCCAGGGCCCGACATCACGAACTGAAAAACTGTCTTGACTGACATCGGGCTGTTCTGAGCTTTATGATGATCTATAACGGAGCTGAAGTTGGCTGAATGACACATGTTTACCATATCACCAGCTACACAAGCACCAAGAATATACTGGGCTTTAGAATGAGGTACGACATGTCTCTATTGGCTGAGCTGAAGTTGGATGGATGACTGTGACTAATCGTGCAGCCCTAGTTCGATTGTTAAGTTTTACAAAGGCATGCAGTGTATTTGAACTTACACTTTACTCCCTTTGGAATCATCCACCAGTTAATCCTTTAAAATACTAAAATATGTATAAGAAGTATGAAGATCTCGTGCATGTTACCGATAAGAACAACCACGATACGAACAATTCTGACACATTTTAGATCCATCTGAGAAAGTTTCGACACATTTTCGTACGTGAGAAAACCTGCAAAAGCCTCTGGACTAACACCTCAGACACTAACACCAGTGTTTAAATATTTATTCCTCATTTTGGTGGATGTTTTTGACCTGTACACTATTTTATGCAACATAGATCGATAGAGTACTTTCATATAAGCAAAGTTTTGTTTTCTACGCACTCGGAAATACCCAGTGTTTTTTGCCTTGGACTGAAACCGAAGTATCTCGTCTCCAAGTCCGTTTTAGATTTTTGTTGTTGTTCATGCGGTAATGTCCCTCCGCAGCCGGGGGCCCCCCTCACGCTGGGACTACTGTTACTGGGCGTCCCGGGACAACAGTACAACCATGTCTTATCAGTGTGGGACAGACGCCGAGCTAAGGCTAAGGTGACCGGCTCAAACACAACTGATAAATAATCTATAGAGCTGGATTATTCAAGAGAAACTCACACCAGCAACACAACAAACCAGGACTTTGCGAGACTAGCAATGGAGTGAACACGGGATTATTTGTGAATAGAGAAAATAAGTGATAAGAGAGTAGAGCAATATAGTTTACCAAATAGTATTTATCTAACTATTTTCTTGACTCTGTTCTTCTCATTAATATATCGTGTTGTGAATGTGTTATTGTGTTGATAATCACGGTTTGTGTGTCAGACCAGTGCTGAATGTGAAGGACAGGGTTTTGTTTTTTGATAATTAATGTTTTATCATCGACCCCTCTGTCTGTAATGAATTCTAATGTGTGATCCATGTCGTGGACTTCACTACTTGAAACGACTTCACTTTTGTGCAATAATCTGTGTACACTTTGCAATTGAGTAAAAGGGACTGATTCAGGGATGTCACTTTTACGGCATTAGTACATTGTATTGTGTTGTCACTAAACTCATGTGATATATTCTGTCACTCATAGGAATATAAAGCCATCCTCTGATCCATCTGTTTGATTGGTGCATTTTTTTTAGGTATATTTGAGGTAAATAAAGGTCAAAATAGTGAAAGTAGGTTATTTCCAACTTCACCACCAGAGAGCGCCAGAGTCACACTTTCTGCTCACAAGAGAAACGCCATCAATGAGAAATGTCTGGTCTTAAAGCTTTTTTACAAATGTTTTTCTTCCCTTTACGTTCCTTTTTTACATTATTAATAACACACTGATATTTTTTTCCAGAAATTCTTTGTGGAGCAGACAAAAGTTGAAGCCTTGAAGCTTTACTAGTCTTACATTATGTGTTTTGGACTCTCAAAGACACATTTTATGTTATTAGTAATTCACTCTGTACACGGTGGTGATGAACTACTACTGTAGCCACAGCTGCCCTGGGGCACACTGACAGAAACGAGGCAACCAATGTGCCATCGGCCCCTCCCACCACCACCAACCATTCACACACACACCAGACTCATTATAATGTGGGGGAAGTGTCTTGCCGAATGACACAACAGCAGTTTGACACTTGACAGCCACAGCCGCCCCACTGTGGCACCTGCTGTTCCCAGAGGTCTCCCATCACAGGACTAACCAGGCCCTGCCCTGATTACCATATGTTGAGTTGGTGCTCTCACTATAATTAATATTATTATTATTATGACTGTTTTCTCTGTATGTATGTTGGCAAAACTCAGTTTACTGATGGGCGTGGTTAATAAAGTGTCCAGCGCCGCAGCTGACGTTGGTCAATGGCATGAATGGAATGCAGTGTCCTGAGTAGTTTGTCCTCCACATCTTTCGATTTTAGGTTAGATTAGGTTCACGACGCGATACTGCTGCTGGTTTACCTCTGCCAATAGCGTACGAGGTCTGAGGGCATCTGGCTTTCACATGATGCAAGTAAGACCACAACCTTTAAACAAGGAAAGTGAAAGCAAAAAAATGTATGGAAACCTTTGGGGGTTAGCCAGGTCGCTGTATAGAAAGTGTCCAGGAATCATGAGCTCAAGCAGCAATTGGTGCCTTTAGGGTTCGGGACAGTGAAGGCATTCGGAATTTTAAATCTTGTTTTCTTATAACTCGCCTCTTTCCTGAGATTGGGCCAAATTACAAAGGATCAGGTAAAAGTACACTGTAGAAAAACAAAAATTATTAAAAATTATTTATTATTATTTATTATTATAAATAACTCTGAAAAACTACAAAACTCTAACTGTATATAACTATTTTGACTTGTGTAGGAAATTGTGTATTAATGTGCTGTGATCATTTGAATTGAATATGACTTGTGCTATAAATATAAACTTGCCTTGCCACGGTGGCTGAGTGGTTAGCCCTCTCTCTTTTCAGCAAGAAGGTCCCGGGTTCGAATCCCGGTCGGAACAGGGCCTTTCTGAGTGGAGTTTACACGTTCTCCCCGTGTCTAAAAAATCACGCACAATAGGTCTGAATGGAGGGTGTTTGGTCGGAGGTTTTGATGGAGCTATATCTGAGCTCTGTAAAGGGCTTTGTGTGACAGTAGTCAGTAAAAATGCGCTATATAAATAACCATTACCTTATTGCCTAGTCCCGGGGGTAAGCTTATGTCACTGTTGCCTTTGCCACTCAATACTAAAGCTCCCAAAGCAGCAGCTGACGACACACACTCAGGTCCATCCCATTGTCTCCTTTAATAAAACCCATTTACAAAACACCCCCGACCCTTCTGCTGAAATCGATCTTTCAATTAACTACACACAGTTTGTTGGAAGCGTACAGTGTGTATCTCGAAGCCAAAGAGGCAGAACATAACCCGCCGTCCAAACCAATTTTCCGTGACCTCTGAAGGGAAGTGAATTGATAGAAAATCCAATTAACATCTATTTGTGCAGAACGATGACGAATCACATCGAGAGGACTTTGTGGTCGTCGATATCTGCAGAGACTAAAGTGACACACGACTTCGACGCAAATGAAATGCCGGCGTTTCCAGTGATTCTGTCCACGGAAAATCTGTATTGATCCCTAAAACATTTGATTATGCAGCGTCTGAGGTGAAAGGATGAAGGGAGTTAGGGCTGGTTCCTGGTTCGAGGTCAGTCTGTGGAGATTTGCCTTAAAACTGTACGTACAACCCACCTTTGGACACATACTGTACATTTTCGGGTGTTTTAACTCTTTAACATGACCCACCACAGTGATTAAAAGTAGAGGAGAAATACTACACTGCAAAAAATGATCAAATATGAGGTAATAATGGTTTGAATTGAGTGGTTTTTATGTTAATCTGACATAATCTGACTGTGTTTAAACTAGATTCTCAAACGGGACAAAGCCATTTACTCTTATTTCAAGAACTGCTGCTATTTCCTCATTCCAAAGGAGATTTTTCATGTATATTTTTTAAAACAAGATCATTTAGCCAAATTTGAGCTATTTTGTAATTACTTTTCATCTCTTTTTCCGAGTAAATTGGGTCTAAAAGAGTCTAAATGATCCCGGTCTGGTCAAGTTTTGAAAAATTATCAAAATTCAGCTTGAAAAAAAAAGATTTAGTTTGTTTTTTAAGTGCGGTGGTGGGTTAATTTACCCCGGATAGCCAGACCCTTTGAACATAAACTGTATTTATTTTGTTTAATCAAAGATGGAACTTAAAAGCAAACAATTATATGTTCTGTACATTATTCTAATCAATATTATTACTCTGACATAAACAGACCACATACAGTTCAGTCTCCCTCAGAAATGTGTGCTCAATTTTAACGATCAAAGAGAATGAGAAAGATCTGAACAGTAATGTATGTTGTAATGTTACACTTGTTATAATATTTAATCTTATGTACGATGTTGAACCTTATGGACAGGTCAAGAAGTGTAGTGTCCACTGCAACAGTTACATGGTCCGTACCAGGCGAGGGAGGAGAGGATGGAAGGAAAGGGCGGAGTGACGCTTGTCTATGTCCTTGAGATAAACGTCAGAGATAAAAACAAAACCCTCCCGGCTCATTTCTCGCTAAAACAATACTCGAATTGTCTGCGCAAGTCCTTGAGGATTTAGAGAATCTGAAACTCTGCCAGCAGCTGTAGTCAAAACGACACAAAAGAGACACAGGTGAACTTCCAGCATTGTCAAAAAACACAATAAGACAGCGTAAAGCCAGTGTAAAGCCAGTGTAAAGTCAGTGTAAAGCCAGCGTAAAGCCAGTGTAAAGCCAGTGTAAAGTCACTGTAGGGTCAGTGTAAGGTCAGTGTAAGGTCAGTGTAAAGCCAGTGTAAGGCCAGTGTAAAGCCAGTGTAAAGTCAGTGTAAAGCCAGTGTAAAGCCAGTGTAAAGCCAGTGTAAAGCCAGTGTAAAGCCAGTGTAAAGCCAGTGTAAAGCCAGTGTAAAGTCACTGTAGGGTCAGTGTAAGGTCAGTGTAAGGTCAGTGTAAAGCCAGTGTAAAGCCAGTGTAAAGCCAGTGTAAAGTCACTGTAGGGTCAGTGTAAGGTCATTGTAAAGCCAGTGTAAAGCCAGTGTAAGGTCAGTGTAAAGCCAGTGTAAGGCCAGTGTAAGGCCAGTGTAAAGCCAGTGTAAGGCCAGTGTAAGGCCAGTGTAAGGTCAGTGTAAAGCCAGTGTAAGGCCAGTGTAAGGCCAGTGTAAGGCCAGTGTAAAGCCAGTGTAAGGCCAGTGTAAGGCCAGTGTAAGGCCAGTGTAAGGTCAGTGTAAAGCCAGTGTAAGGCCAGTGTAAGGTCAGTGTAAAGCCAGTGTAAGGCCAGTGTAAAGCCAGTGTAAAGCCAGTGTAAAGCCAGTGTAAAGCCAGTGTAAAGCCAGTGTAAAGCCAGTGTAAAGTCAGTGTAAAGTCAGTGTAAGGCCAGTGTAAAGCCAGTGTAAAGCCAGTGTAAAGCCAGTGTAAAGCCAGTGTAAAGCCAGTGTAAAGTCACTGTAGGGTCAGTGTAAAGTCACTGTAGGGTCAGTGTAAGGTCAGTGTAAAGCCAGTGTAAAGCCAGTGTAAAGCCAGTGTAAAGCCAGTGTAAAGCCAGTGTAAAGCCAGTGTAAGGTCATTGTAAAGCCAGTGTAAGGTCATTGTAAAGCCAGTGTAACGTCAGTGTAAAGCCAGTGTAAGGTCATTGTAAAGCCAGTGTAAGGTCATTGTAAAGCCAGTGTAAAGCCAGTGTAAAGCCAGTGTAAAGCCAGTGTAAAGTCAATGTAAAGCCAGTGTAAGGCCAGTGTAAGGTCAGTGTAAAGCCAGTGTAAAGCCAGTGTAAAGCCAGTGTAAAGCCAGTGTAAAGCCAGTGTAAGGCCAGTGTAAAGTCAGTGTAAAGCCAGTGTAAGGCCAGTGTAAGGTCAGTGTAAAGCCAGTGTAAAGCCAGTGTAAAGCCAGTGTAAAGCCAGTGTAAAGCCAGTGTAAAGCCAGTGTAAAGCCAGTGTAAGGCCAGTGTAAGGTCAGTGTAAAGCCAGTGTAAGGTCAGTGTAAAGCCAGTGTAAGGCCAGTGTAAAGCCAGTGTAAGGCCAGTGTAAAGCCAGTGTAAGGCCATTGTAAAGCCAGTGTAAAGTCAGTGTAAAGCCAGTGTAAAGCCAGTGTAAAGCCAGTGTAAGGCCAGTGTAAAGCCAGTGTAAGGCCATTGTAAAGCCAGTGTAAAGTCAGTGTAAAGCCAGTGTAAAGCCAGTGTAAAGCCAGTGTAAGGCCAGTGTAAAGCCAGTGTAAAGCCAGTGTAAAGCCAGTGTAAAGCCAGTGTAAAGCCAGTGTAAGGCCAGTGTAAAGCCAGTGTAAGGCCAGTGTAAGGCCAGTGACACAGATCCTAGCAACATGCCCCTGTAGGAAACCCTTCTCTAAAAATGGTTCAATTGTTGTGCTTCCCGTCGACCGAAAACCCTAAACACATGTGTCCTCTGCTTGTTTACCGATGCTATTTAGAGAATTCACATGAACTTCAAAGACGTTTCCCAAATCCAATCAAACTAGAACGACAACGAAACCGTTTGCGTCTCTGCGTAGACGTCCCAGTCCTGAGCATCAAGCCTTTTCATACAAATGTGTTTAAAGAACTGTTTTCCTACTGTTTTTAACCTGGATTTTAACATTGTCATTGTACATTTTCAAAAACCAGCCTCAGATTGGTTTATATGGTAGTTCCTTTTGTAAACCAGCAGGAAACTATAAGGAAACCCTGTGAACATGTGCCTTGATGTCCCTGACCCCAGAACCCCAGTCTGACCACATATTTCCCGGCTTATGTCAACATCATGCAGCCAAATACAGCATCTGTTTACTCTGGATAATGCCACACTATGGAGCCTAAAAAACCAGTCAAACCAGAAGAAGTGATGCAACTAGAAAACAAGAAGCTCGTCTGCCATTGGTCGATCACCTTTTGAGTCACTATAACTAAAAACATGTTGAAAACGTCATTAACATAACAAAGGAAGTTGTAAGTATGTACGGTTTGTTTTTCTTCTGATTTTCAAGCTTCAAGTAGAAAAGGTGATCGACCAATCGCAGAGTAGCTTCTTGTTTTATGAGTTGTAAATGTATAAAGGTCCAAATCTATCTCTTTGGGGCATGTCTCACTTGGTTTTAGGCACGTTTACCATCAAACTGCATATTGACCATTTGGTAAAGGCCTGTAATAAAAAAAAAAAAACTAGTGGTTCAAAAGAAATAAACCCAAAAAATAACTAAAAACTAATTATTTGTGTTATTTAAAATTATAATAAAATCAAACCATACTTTACTTTCTTCAAGGAGTGAACATTAAAGGGTTAAACAAGTTCCTTTGTTTTGTTAAGGACGTTTCCAACATGTTTTTGCATCTGTCTAAAACCGAAGTCAGTGACTAAAGTTGGTCTCATTATGAACAGGAAGTGATGCTGACAGGAATCCCACTGTCCCCAAAGGAAACGTGACATTTGGCTCCAGTCTCTGTTTTCATAAAGAACCTTTGAACATTTGTGAAGGAGATGTAGAAACTGTGGAACATTTATTTTTTGATTGTAATTATGCAAAATTACAAATCTTGCTTCAAAGTCACCCAAAGTCGTTACATGATCCTGTATTCTGCCATAGAGAAACAATATATTCACAAATATACAGAGCCTTGTGTCAAGTCATAACTACATCAGGGGCCATTATGATCCATTTAATGCAAACAATGGACTCCAGGCCTCTTTAATTATTTGATTGTTTAATTAATTTTCTGTTTTTATGTGGTGTATATATAGATATTTTGTTGTAAATTGTGTGTATAATGAGCAACCTGTATTTTTTTTTTGCAAAGGAGAAAAAAAAACACATTTTTCAGTAGCTCTAAAAGTACTCGTGTGTTTTTCCCCCATGTGTTTTTGTAAGCAAACAGGGATCAAAGGGACAAAGCACTTCCCTTTCTCTCACCCAGATGTACTCTCTCACCCAGATGCACTCTCTCACCCAGATGTACTCTCTCACCCAGATGGACTCTCTCACCCAGCTGTGCTCTCTCACCCAGCTGTGCTCTCTCACCCAGCTGTGCTCTCTCACCCAGATGCACTCTCTCACCCAGATGGACTCTCTCACCCAGCTGTGCTCTCTCACCCAGCTGTGCTCTCTCACCCAGATGTACTCTCTCACCCAGCTGTGCTCTCTCACCCAGCTGTGCTCTCTCACCCAGATGTACTCTCTCTCCCAGCTGTGCTCTCTCACCCAGCTGTGCTCTCTCACCCAGATGCACTCTCTCACCCAGCTGTACTCTCTCACCCAGATGCACTCTCTCACCCAGATGGACTCTCTCACCCAGATGTACTCTCTCACCCAGATGTACTCTCTCACCCAGCTGTACTCTCTCACCCAGCTGTGCTCTCTCACCCAGATGCACTCTCTCACCCAGCTGTACTCTCTCACCCAGATGCACTCTCTCACCCAGATGGACTCTCTCACCCAGATGTACTCTCTCACCCAGATGTACTCTCTCACCCAGCTGTACTCTCTCACCCAGATGGACTCTCTCACCCAGATGGACTCTCTCACCCAGATGTACTCTCTCACCCAGCTGTACTCTCTCACCCAGATGAACTCTCTCACCCAGATGTACTCTCTCACCCAGATGTACTCTCTCACCCAGCTGTACTCGCTCACCCAGATGTACTCGCTCACCCAGATGTACTCTCTCACCCAGATGGACTCTCTCACCCAGATGTACTCTCTCTCCATGGATGCACTCTCTCACCCAGATGTACTCTCTCACCCAGATGGACTCTCTCACCCAGATGGACTCTCTCACCCAGATGTACTCTCTCACCCAGATGGACTCTCTCACCCAGATGTACTCTCTCACCCAGATGTACTCTCTCTCCATGGATGCACTCTCTCACCCAGATGTACTCTCTCACCCAGATGGACTCTCTCACCCAGATGTACTCTCTCTCCATGGATGCACTCTCTCATCCAGCTGTGCTCTCTCACCCAGCTGCACTCTCTCATCCAGCTGTGCTCTCTCTCTCCCAGATGTACTCTCTCACCCAGATGTACTCTCTCTCCACAGATGCACTCTCTCATCCAGCTGTGCTCTCTCACCCAGATGTACTCTCTCACCCAGCTGTACTCTCTCACCCAGATGTACTCTCTCACCCAGCTGTACTCTCTCACCCAGTTGTACTCTCTCACCCAGCTGTACTCTCTCTCCACAGATGTACTCTCTCTCCACAGATGTACTCTCTCTCCACAGATGTACTCTCTCACCCAGCTGTACTCTCTCTCCACAGATGCACTCTCTCTAGTCTCCACAGATGCACTTTCTCACCCAGATGTACTCTCTCACCCAGCTGTGCTCTCTCTCCACAGATGTACTCTCTCTCCACAGATGTACTCTCTCTCCACAGATGCACTCTCTCTCCACAGATGCACGCTCTCTCCACAGATGTACTCTCTCTCCACAGATGCACTCTCTCTCCCAGCTGTACTTTCTCACCCAGATGTACTCTCTCACCCAGCTGTACTCTCTCACTCAGATGTGCTCTCTCACCCAGCTGTACTCTCTCACCCAGCTGTACTCTCTCTCCACAGATGTACTCTCTCTCCACAGATGTACTCTCTCTCCACAGATGTACTCTCTCACCCAGCTGTACTCTCTCTCCACAGATGCACTCTCTCTCCACAGATGTACTCTCTCTCCACAGATGTACTCTCTCACCCAGCTGTACTCTCTCTCCACAGATGCACTCTCTCTCCACAGATGGACTCTCTCACCCAGCTGTGCTCTCTCACCCAGCTGTGCTCTCTCACCCAGATGCACTCTCTCACCCAGCTGTGCTCTCTCTCCACAGATGCACTTTCTCACCCAGATGTGCTCTCTCACCCAGTGTGCTCTCTCACCCAGATGTACTCTCTCACCCAGCTGTGCTCTCTCTCCACAGATGCACTTTCTCACCCAGTGTGCTCTCTCACCCAGCTGTGCTCTCTCACCACAGATGCACTCTCTCTCCACAGATGCACTTTCTCACCCAGCTGTGCTCTCTCACCCAGATGTACTCTCTCACCCAGATGTGCTCTCTCACCCAGCTGTGCTCTCTCACCCAGCTGTACTCTCTCTCCACAGATGCACTCTCTCTCCACAGATGTACTCTCTCTCCACAGATGCACTTTCTCACCCAGATGTACTTTCTCACCCAGCTGTGCTCTCTCACCCAGCTGTGCTCTCTCACCCAGATGTGCTCTCTCACCCAGCTGTGCTCTCTCACCCAGCTGTACTCTCTCTCCACAGATGTACTCTCTCTCCACAGATGTACTCTCTCACCCAGCTGTACTCTCTCACCCAGCTGTGCTCTCTCACCCAGCTGTACTCTCTCTCCACAGATGCACTCTCTCTCCACAGATGCACTCTCTCTCCCAGCTGTACTTTCTCACCCAGATGCACTCTCTCTCCCAGCTGTACTTTCTCACCCAGATGCACTCTCTCTCCCAGCTGTACTCTCTCTCCACAGATGTACTCTCTCTCCACAGATGCACTCTCTCTCCCAGCTGTACTTTCTCACCCAGATGCACTCTCTCTCCCAGCTGTACTTTCTCACCCAGATGCACTCTCTCTCCCAGCTGTACTCTCTCACCCAGATGTACTCTCTCTCCATGGATGCACTCTCTCTCCCAGCTGTACTTTCTCACCCAGATGCACTCTCTCACCCAGATGTACTCTCTCACCCAGCTGTACTCTCTCTCCACAGATGCACTCTCTCTCCCAGCTGTACTTTCTCACCCAGATGTGCTCTCTCACCCAGATGTGCTCTCTCACCCAGCTGTGCTCTCTCACCCAGCTGTACTCTCTCTCCACAGATGTACTCTCTCTCCACAGATGTACTCTCTCACCCAGCTGTACTCTCTCACCCAGCTGTGCTCTCTCACCCAGCTGTACTCTCTCTCCACAGATGCACTCTCTCTCCACAGATGCACTCTCTCTCCCAGCTGTACTCTCTCACCCAGCTGTGCTCTCTCTCCCAGCTGTGCTCTCTCACCCAGCTGTGCTCTCTCACCCAGCTGTGCTCTCTCACCCAGCTGTGCTCTCTCTCCCAGCTGTGCTCTCTCACCCAGCTGTACTCTCTCACCCAGCTGTGCTCTCTCACCCAGCTGTGCTCTCTCTCCCAGCTGTGCTCTCTCTCCCAGCTGTACTCTCTCACCCAGATGCACTCTCTCTCCCAGCTGTACTCTCTCACCCAGATGCACTCTCTCACCCAGCTGTGCTCTCTCACCCAGCTGTGCTCTCTCTCCACAGCCATGGCTCCTCCTCCTCTGTCTCCGTCCTCTCCCTCCGCATCTGCTGCTGTTCTCTGCATGGATCACATTGGATTTCTTTGGTGGATTTAGCTTCAGCAATTATCATTTCACTTGATTTTAATCCCTTCAAACTCCTACTTTTTCCTGAAGATTGTTTTCTTTCTTTCCGCGTGTTTTGCTGAAGTCCATGAAGAAACTAAACTCGCGCTAAAAGTCTGGACTGAAATTGAAGGTAATGTGTTTTTTAAATGTTTTTTTTAAATAAAATACATACGTTGTAAGAAGGGATGGAAGTCGTTTTAATATAAATATATAATTCACTGTTACGTATTTTAGCAGGAAAGTTTACGTTAGCTCACGTGGGAAAAATACATGTCAGCTAGGTTAGTTAGCTTAGTATAAATAGCGTACTTTTATTGTATTAGTTAATTAAACAAAACAAAAAACCGTGTATTTTTTTAGCTAAAACCCCCAAAAACAAACATTTTCTTAGCTATAAAAAAGAAAAAAGAAAACCTTGTATTTGCTTAGCTGTAGTTATAATGGTTTTTGGCTGAGTGGTTAGCCCTCTCGCTCCTCAGCAAGAAGGTCCTGGATTCGAATCCCAGTTTGCAAAGGGTCTTTCTGAGTGGAGTTTGTATGTTCTCCCAGTGCCTGCATATGTTTCCTCCGGGTGTTCCGGTTTCCCCTACCACTAAAAAACTTGTACAATATAGTAATCAATCGCTCTGGTCCTGACCTAGCCTGGTTTTATCCATCCGTGAACTTATTATTATCCTACTTGTACGAAATGAAGTTTGTACGATGGTATGGTGCGGCCAGGCTAGTCCTGACCATGCCGAGCCCCATCTGGAGCTGGGTCCTGGGGCTGTTACTTCAACTACTGCTCCTGACTAAGCCATCAGGGTCTGGGTCAAATGCAGAGCAGGCATTACTCCCCTACAGAGGAGATTATTAAAGTGCACATTTATCTTGACTTTGTTTTTTTCTAATGATTCAAATATTGGCCGTAAACTGTGACATTTGAGATCTTCAGAGCTGTGTCTCATTCACACTCTCACATTCTGCTGAGAAGGTTTCAAACTGTCCGAGCTCCATGATTAAATATAGAAAGTTATAAGTTATTTTATATTCTGTGTTTTTCCAGGTTCTGGTGAGTGGTAATGGCTTCAATGTACTGTCCTAAAGGGAACGGATGGGAAGGATAAGAAACAAGGATTTCACAAAAGAACAGGTATTTTTCTTTTAATAATTGATTCTACTAAACTGTTTCATAATAACTGAGGGATTTTAAGCAGATTTCACTGTTTGTCATCGTTAGGCAACAACTTCCAAATTAAGTATGAATATAATAATATCTATATCTGTATCTTTTCAGTTAAATATTTGAGCTGATTTATTTCACTTGTTGTGTTTTTCGAATGGTCTGGAAAGATTCGCAGCAGCTCAATGTCCCCAACACCTCCACATTTCTGATTCTGAAAACCATAACGTTACACGTTTTGTGTTCGGGCCGTTGTCATCAAGAAAACTTTTCATTTATTACATTTTAAACACTTTTTTTTTCTCATACTATATTTTTTTCACTTTTTAACCAAAATACTTTCTACTCAATAAGACTTTTCAGATGCAGTGGTTAGCTTTGCTTCTAAGTCATAATCTCGACAACATTTTAATATTATTTAAAACACAATCTTTAATATATTTTCTAAGTTATTAAAAAAAACCAGTTCTCTTTCTTTTTTTTAACTTGAAAACACTCCAAATCCTATACTTTTGTACAATTTAGACTTTTACCAGAGTTGATCTTTGCACTAGAATCTATACCTTTACCTCCTCTGCTGCGATGGCCCTGTTGAAGCTCTATACGTCCTAGTTTGTTGCCGTGACCATACACCAAAAATGTTTACCTTACTGCTTTACAGGCGGCTATCGCTGGATTAATTTAGCAACGATAGCTCAGTGTTGTGAACATAAACGCTGCCATAAACACAGAGGGATTGTATACTGCCTGAATTCCTGCTTCTAATTGGCTGCTGTTCTATACGTCTGAGGTTGTGGCCTGTGCAAGAGTTTTTGTCACGGTGTGGATTTTGTTATTTTGGACTTTAGTTTTATTTTGATATTCTGTTCTCTGTGCTTTGGTTTTAGTTTGACTTTGACGCCCTGTTGCCCCTGTCTTGATTGTCTGCCCCGCCCTGATGTGTTTCACCTGTGTCTGTCTATAATTACCCTGTGCTCCTCTGCTCTTGTTGCTGGTCCATTGTATTGTCAACCTCCGTCCTCTCTTGTCATGTCTGTTCCTGTTTCGTTGCTGCTTGTGCCTTTTGGATTTTTGAGTTTTAACCTGGACTTTTATTTTGTTATCATTAAATAATAATTTTTTGGCATTCCTGCTTTTTGAGTCCTCATCCTTCTCAGCACGTGACAGTTTTTCTCCAGTGAAATCCTTGTAAATGAACCGTGATCCAAGTCAAAGCACAGGACGAGCCTCACTCAACCTCAAAGTGTTGTGTAGCTGCTTTAAACCATGGCAGGACTCTTGGTTAAATCTCTCCCCGTGCACTTCTTAAGGCTTGTGTGATGCTGTGTGGGAACTGTGTATCTAACAAGGTAGAAAAACATACCTCACAGAAACCCGGTGCAATGTCAGCAACAATCCCGCATCTACAAACTTTTTACAGCCTTCTTTAAAGTTAATGGCGAGCGAATGTTGCACAGGGAGAGCGTAGAATCAGGGCGGAGCGCTGCTTTAACTGCTTGGAAGAAAAACCTGCATCTTTTTATGTTCACAGCTTGAAATCCTTTGAGATCGGATTGAACAAGACTTGGTTGCTCTTTAAAAATACTCTCCTTAAATAGTGCTTTTACTGGCGCTGTAGGAAACTGGAGGCTGCCGGTCTGATGTGCAAAAACCTCTGGGGAAAAATGGACTGAGCTGAGGTGGATGTGTCGGCGTGTGGAAACATGTAGTTTAGCCCGGGTTAAAGTTTGTCGGGGATTAGGTGTCGGTAAATTTGAGACGATGTGAAAAGACGCCTATCTCTGCTGTTCTAATGTGTCATCACTTTTGACGTCTGTGGGACTTTTTTTTAAATGGCCGCCGGCAGCCCCTCCCTCAGGAAAATGTGGAAAAACGCATTTGCGCGTTAGCTGCACTAGCCGCATTCCTTTAACGAGTGCATTCTAAGGTCCTAAAGGCTAAACTAGACTGGTCCAAAATAGGGCTGGGCGATAAAACGATAACGATATATATTGCGATAGACATGTGTTCGATATCAATAGAGAATGGGGTCGATAGAATGTTCGATAGTTTAACTTAACTCCGTCAGGAAAAACAGGAAGAAAACACCGGAAGTAAAGCCGACTCATAAGCGCATGGCATTGTGGGGGATGTAGGCAGAGGCTTCTCGACCAATAACAGCCGAGCAGGAACCGCAAAACTTTCTCGGAAATGCAAAAACAACAACAACCACACCATGCGCAGCGTCCATGGATCTATAGCTCGTGTTTCAATGCCGTGTCAATGGTTGTGCACGTACGTGCGCGGAATAACATGTGCGGCGGCAGAGGCAGTGGACAGACACGATGTATTTGGCGAAAGCAAGAGATTAACTTTTTCCTCGGGAAGCATGTGCGGCACAGAGAGCCGCACGGAGCGGTCACGGGGACACAAGACCCTCAAACAGCTAAACCAGGAGCTAAACCAGGAATAAAAAACCAGGATAAAACCAGGACTAACAACGAGGGACACCGTGTGAACATATTCCTCCAGCCTCATCGCCCCGTGACTGTAAACAAGGCTGCTAAGGTTGGTTAGCCCACATGACAAATATATTTATTTAGGTTAAAAAAAAACTCAATATATATCGTTATCGACCGATATGAATGACTTATATCGTGATATAGTTTTCAGCCATATCGCCCAGCCCTAGTCCAAAATATAGACTACCCTCAACATCAACAGCATCTGGAACCAAGAGGATCAAGAACCACTTTTGGACCATCCTGTAAAGATGTTTTTGAGAGGTTAAGCAGATGCCTTGGATAATTATCTTTCTGGGTACACCCCCACAGGCCCGGGGTGGTATTGCAGCCTGTCAGCGCAATGGACAAGAGATCCGTGATGTCAATGTCAATTTTATTTGTATAGCACATATACAACAACACCAGCTGCTCAAAGTGCTTCACAGGCACGAAAGATAAAAATAATAAAACAACATGAAATACACACACATACATGTAAAAAATAAAATGATAAAAACTCAATTGGTGTTAAAAGCCAAGGTGTAAAAATGTGTCTTTAAACTAGACTTATAAACTTCCAATGAAGGAGCTGCTCTAATGGACAGAGGTCACTGTTCCACAGTTTGGGGGCAGCAACAGAAAAGGCTCGGTCTCCACGAGACCGAGGCACGTTCAACAGAAGCTGGTTCTCAGACCTGACTGATCTGACCGGAGCAGACAGCGATAACAGCTCCGACAGATATACAGAGGCCAAACCATTTAAACATTTAAAAACAAGCATCAGAATCTTAAAATCAACCCTGAAGGTAACAGGAGCCAGTGAAGTGAGGCCAGCACGGGGGTGATGTGCTCTCTCTGTCCCTGTGAGCCAGTGAAGTGAGGCCAGCACGGGGGTGATGTGCTCTCTCTGTCCCTGTGAGCCAGTGAAGTGAGGCCAGCACGGGGGTGATGTGCTCTCTCTGTCCCTGTGAGTCAGTGAAGTGAGGCCAGCACGGGGGTGATGTGCTCTCTCTGTCCCTGTGAGCCAGTGAAGTGAGGCCAGCACAGGGGTGATGTGCTCTCTCTGTCCCTGTGAGCCAGTGAAGTGAGGCCAGCACAGGGGTGATGTGCTCTCTCTGTCCCTGTGAGCCAGTGAAGTGAGGCCAGCACAGGGGTGATGTGCTCTCTCTGTCCCTGTGAGTAAGCGAGCATGAGCAGCAGCATTCTGCTGAAGGCGCTTTAATGAGCCGAGGTCCAGACCACAGAACAGCGAGTTGCAGTAATCTAACCTAGATGAAATAAAAAGGTGGATAACTCTCTCAAAGTCGGTGGGATGTGAACCTTCACTTTGCTCAAGACTCGGAGCTGATAAAAGCTGGCTTTGATAACAGAGTTAATTTGCTTGTCCATCCTAAAAGTACTATCAAAAATAACAGAGGAATGGACATGAGCAGAGAGTGCACCTGCATCAGTGAGCTCCACAGGGACTGGAGCTAAAAACAACAATCTCAGTTTTACTCTCGTTGAGAATTAAAACATTTTGGGCCAGCCAAGCTTTTACTTCCTGGAGACAATCAAGCAGATGGGTGCATAGCATACATAATACAAACGCCCTGCACAAGAAGGGCCAAAGTCGCCTCTTCCTTCTGAGGAGGCTGAGGTCCTTCTGAGGAGGCTGAGGTCCTTCTGAGGAGACTGAGGTCCTTCTGAGGAGGCTGAGGTCCTTCTGAGGAGGCTGAGGTCCTTCTGAGGAGGCTGAGGTCCTTCTGAGGAGGCTGAGGTCCTTCGGAGTGAGCAGGCCTCTGCTCAGGACTTTTTATGACTCTGTGGTAGCTTCTGCCATTTACTACACTGCCGTGTGCTGGGCCCCGGGCAGCACAGAGCGGGACAGAAACAGACTGAACAAGCTGGTCAGGAGGAGGTGGGGGACAGGAGGCCCCTGGACTCTGTGGAGGAGGTGAGGGACAGGAGGCCCCTGGACTCTGTGGAGGAGGTGAGGGACAGGAGGCCCCTGGACTCTGTGGAGGAGGTGAGGGACAGGAGGCCCCTGGACTCTGTGGAGGAGGTGAGGGACAGGAGGCCCCTGGACTCTGTGGAGGAGGTGAGGGACAGGAGGCCCCTGGACTCTGTGGAGGAGGTGAGGGACAGGAGGCCCCTGGACTCTGTAGAGGAGGTGAGGGACAGGAGGCCCCTGGACTCTGTGGAGGAGGTGAGGGACAGGAGGCCCCTGGACTCTGTGGAGGAGGTGAGGGACAGGAGGCCCCTGGACTCTGTGGAGGAGGTGAGGGACAGGAGGCCCCTGGACTCTGTGGAGGAGGTGAGGGACAGTAGGCCCCTGGACTCTGTGGAGGAGGTGAGGGACAGGAGGCTCCTGGACTCTGTGGAGGAGGTGAGGGACAGGAGGCCCCTGGACTCTGTAGAGGAGGTGAGGGACAGGAGGCCCCTGGACTCTGTGGAGGAGGTGAGGGACAGGAGGCCCCTGGACTCTGTGGAGGAGGTGAGGGACAGGAGGCCCCTGGACTCTGTGGAGGAGGTGAGGGACAGGAGGCCCCTGGACTCTGTGGAGGAGGTGAGGGACAGGAGGCCCCTGGACTCTGTGGAGGAGGTGAGGGACAGGAGGCCCCTGGACTCTGTGGAGGAGGTGAGGGACAGGAGGCCCCTGGACTCTGTGGAGGAGGTGAGGGACAGGAGGCCCCTGGACTCTGTGGAGGAGGTGAGGGACAGGAGGCCCCTGGACTCTGTGGAGGAGGTGAGGGACAGGAGGCCCCTGGACTCTGTGGAGGAGGTGAGGGACAGGAGGCCCCTGGACTCTGTAGAGGAGGTGAGGGACAGGAGGCCCCTGGACTCTGTGGAGGAGGTGAGGGACAGGAGGCCCCTGGACTCTGTGGAGGAGGTGAGGGACAGGAGGCCCCTGGACTCTGTGGAGGAGGTGAGGGACAGGAGGCCCCTGGACTCTGTGGAGGAGGTGAGGGACAGGAGGCCCCTGGACTCTGTGGAGGAGGTGAGGGACAGGAGGCCCCTGGACTCTGTGGAGGAGGTGAGGGACAGGAGGCCCCTGGACTTGGCTGACTCTGTGGAGGAGGTGAGGGACAGGAGGCCCCTGGACTCTGTGGAGGAGGTGAGGGACAGGGCCGGGAAGGAGGCCCCTGGACTCTGTGGAGGAGGTGAGGGACAGGAGGCCCCTGGACTCTGTGGAGGAGCTGAGGAGCTCCTTCAGTGGAAGACTGAGGCACCCTCAGTGTAGGAAGGAGCGCTACCGCAGGGCCTTTATCCCCACCGCTGTCAGACTGTACAATAAGTCACTTTAAGTCACTGTATAAGACTGAAAAACCTGCACTACTATTGACAATATTTCTGATTGCCACTTTTAAATTGCCACTTTTTTATGTACATAATATATCCTGCATTTAACATGTTTGCACACTTCCTCCTTTTTTGCACAATCTGAGTGTTTTTATCCATGCCAAATGTGACATGTACATTTCTCCTCCTGTGAGATAAATAAAGCACATCTTATCTTATCTTATACATATCACTGTCACATGTGATTAATGGAGTATTCCTTCTCTTATGATGAGTTTTGAGCAGGTCTGAGCATGACCCTCTAAAGTGCGGCCCCGGGGCCACATGCGGATTCACGTTTCACATCCACAAACTTTACACTGTTTCCCCCAGTTTTAGATGAATACGAGTTAATACCCAGTGTGGAAATGGCATGTCAGGCTTAATATTAATTCATCAAAAACATCTGTTTACATTACAGAACCTTCATCAGCTTTAGTCCTGCTTTGGTTCAATCCCAGAAAGAATTAAAATTGAATTCATATTTCATAAGAATAATCATTTCCTTAAGGTTCCTCCTATAATATATAATGTTAACAAATATATAGCCACGACTGAGGAAGACGAGCTAATGCGATAAGATACCAAGATAACACTGGATATCGTCACATTCCGTCTCCTTTTCCGTGAATATTTGCTTCATCAAATACACACTGTCTGGAAGTAATAATAATAATGCATCGCTTTTATATAGCGCTTTTCTGGACACTCAAAGACGCTTCACATGTGTCATTATTCATTCTGTCCAAACACGGTGGTGATAAACTACTACTGTAGCCACAGCTACAGCTTTACAACTTTACAGCCGCAGCCGCCCCACTGTGGCTGCTGTTCCCAGAGGTTAACGACAGCAGACAGTGGGAGGTGGGCTCGAACCCACGACCCTCTGGCTCAAAGGCCAATGCTCTACCAACTGAGCTACTGTCACTCTGAAGTGTAGCTCACTCTGAATTAAATGGTAACCACATAAAAACGAGTCCGCTATATGTTAGCATTGGCTAATTCTTCTTCTGGGTCCACCCCCACAGGCCCGGGGTGGTATTGCAGCATGTCAGCGCACCTCATTTTGGCCACTTTTGAGCCGGGACCCGCCCAGACTGGTTATTACACGCTCCTCACAGCAGCTGATTTGAATGTAATTTCACAACTTTCTCCGATCATTATTTCTTGATAACTGACCTCTCAAAACAATAATGGCCGCTGCCCTTTGGCAACGCACTCTCTGCTTGGAATTGAGATGTGTAGATTACTCCGACAGTAGTTCCGGCCACTCCGGAGCTATCGGAGCTAGCCACGCTCAATAAACGCAAATACCTATCAATAACACATTTAAATGTTAATGGGAGAATACATTAGACATAAACAGTCTTAACACACGTGTACAGAAGTATCTGTTAAGGTTTTCAAAAAAATACTGTTTTAATGAGCGGCGCACGGTGGCTGAGTGGATAGCACTCTCGCCTCTCAGCAAGAAGGTCCTGGGTTCGAATCCCGGTTGGACCAGGGCCTTTCTGAGTGGAGTTTGCATGTTCTCCCCGTGTCTGCGTAGGTTTCCTCCGGGTGCTCCGGTTTCCCCTACCACTAAAAATATGTACAATAGGTCTGTGCCTCCTGTACTGGCACCCCACTCAACAATTGTAAACCGCTTTGAGACTCCGATGTGCAGTGAAAAGGCGGTATATAAATAAAAGCTTACTTAATGAGAGAAAAAGCGATCCCGAAAAACCCAGGTGTAGATTCCGGGACATTTTAGGAATTATGGATTAAGGTTAAGTTTATGTTTGGGTCACTCACGTCGGGGTCCGCTGCGCCCTGTCGGTACTTATTATTCCAGTCATTAAAAATAACATGGTTATGATTTGGGAGCGTCGTGTCTCGGTGTGATCTGAAAATAAATGTTACTTTTCTAATAAGTACCGCATTTACCAGGTTTTGGTTGAGGTTGATGTTTTTCCATTTGAAAAAGGATCAAACATGTGAGTTTGCAGCTTGTAGTGGAAAATGACTAAACCTGACTCATCCTCCTGCTGGTTTCCATGGTTACGATCTACAGCATAAAATGTATTTCAGTCCATGGATATTTTTCATTGAATTATGCAGGTTTTCCAACCATCATGTCTCTTCTGTCGGTCGACTCCCTCCTCATCAGACTGTGCTGCGTCAGAGTCATAAACCATGAGAACATATTGATAGTAAACCATGGGTGTCAAAGTCAAGGTCCGGGGGCCAGATCCGGCCCGCAAGACAATTTTTAGTGGCCCCTAGAATTATTGTTTATTTTTATGAACTTGCAGCATTGATGGTAATGGGCGACCAAAGCAGGAACAAATTTAATATATTTAAACATTTTTACCCAATAACACATCATTAGAAGTTAAATAGTTCAATATAAAATGTTTTTACTTTATATTTGATCCAGTTTTGGTTCAATCTAAACAAACACATTTTGTTTTCATAAAAATAAACCAGAAAATAACAGTGAAACTCGTGTCACATTAAATTCATGTTAAAATATCTTCATAATGTAAAAAACTATGATTAGAAAAGTAAATCTCTATTGTTTCTGCCCCGACCAGTTCCCATGTTTATTAATCGGCCCCTGACCAAAAAGAGTTTGACACCTCTGGTCTAAACGTAGGGACTTCCTTTTTTCAATTATAAAACTCTGTTATTTCATTACACATGTAACTTAAAGTACATTAGCAGTTACTAATAGTAGTCAATCTCATTTTTATTATGTCAATACTTAGTCTTTGGTCAAGTCTCATTGTGGACATAAAAGGAGAAAAAGTCTGGAACCAAATGTGTAATGACATGACTTAAAGAATGTCCCACTGCACGTTCCTTAATGTTTCAAATATGCAAATAAACGTCCTCCAATGATAATTCACACACTTCAAAGACAGTCCAACCACCAGTGTATATTTGACCAGACTCTTTCCCAAACAGTCTTTAAGCAACTATAATTCATTACGTCCTGTTGGTGCTTTGGGAACGCACATGTCTCTGTGACTCTCTGACTTTCTCGCCGATCAGAAAAGTTCTTATAATTCTCTGTAAAGATGAATCCAACGGGAGTGTGCTCTGTGACCTCAAAGGCATTTCACAGCTTCTTGAGATTTGTTTTTGGGTGGTACATGTCATTACACAAGAGGCCAGATGTGCTGTTTTTTAAAAGGCACTTAATGAGACAATCGGCCTCTTTCCCTCTTCACAGACCGGCACATTTACTTTGCAGCAGCTGGTCATAATTTGTAAAGTGTGTTAGTGTTGAATAAATTGTTCACGTGTGGTGCTGATAAACGTTTAGCTCCATGAAATCACATCACAGTACGGGCACCAGACAAGCATGTATTGTACAAATATGACTTTCACTTCATCCAAATAAGAACAGTATATAGATGCAGTGGTGGGATGTGTTAGAAATAGCTTTAGGTTTGAGCTCACAGCCATTATTATAAGTCAGGTCTTGTGTATTAAACCATGGAGATGTTTAGACAGGCTATTGCAGACTGCTTTCCAAAGCTTAGAGCACACATGTGATGTTTGCGACGTGAAAAAAGTAGGGATAATTGTTGTAGTTTGATTATACTAATATGACCCATATTTATGAGAATGTGTCATGGATTATGTTAGATAAAGAGCCTATTCTAAACACTGTACCATAGGGATGTAAAAAACTATGAATTTTCATGACCGACCACCGAGCCTCATTAACCGGTTGAAACCGGTTAACCGCGTAGTTTAAAATAGTCCACGTTCTTTGAAATAACAGCCATTTCGAGCCGCGTACTTTTCATAAGTGCAGCTCTGCGTTCTACTGGATCAGAGCCGAGACAGCGGCGCCCAAACCCGCAACAGCTCCGGCACCTTTGCGCACAAAGAACTGCTTTTTTAATCTTCCCATTCTGCGGAGCTGCGGGTTAATACCAAAACTTTCTAGCAGCAAACAACGGCTCGTTCACATGGTCAGAGCAGCGAGTGACGCGTCTCACAGGTCTTCACAAAAGTTTAAATACAAGTGATGTGTGTGGAGCTGATCCCGAGGACCATAAACACAAACATGTTTCCCCTACAGCAAAACATGTAGGGGAAATACGCGACTCCCAAAAGGAGCCGCGTATTTGCGCGAATCCTTTGGGCTCCGTGACACAGAGGAGCGCGACAGACCGGTATGTGTGTGTGTATGTATGTGTGTGTGTATGTGTGTGTGTATGTATATGTGTGTGTGTGTAAATGTAAGCTCCAATGTAGTTCTGACCCGCGCCAGTGTGCAACTTTGACGGTAAAAGAGGGGAGAGATGATGCGTGTGGATGTTACGCATGGAGAGGGGGAAAGTGTGTGTGTGTGTGTGTGCGCGCGCGTGCGTGTGTGCATATGTGGCTCGTGCGGCGTGAGAGTCGTCCCGGAGTTTATAATACATGGGCGCATACAGCTAGATACAGACCCGCTCGTCACACCGTGCAAATAGGGCTTAAAATAGCGTTATTAAGAGACCTCCCCTTTTTCTCTTTTTTAACCGACAGCTTTGACCGGTTAACGCTGTGACGGTCAACCACCGGTTAACCGGTCGCCGATTTACATCCCTACTGTACCATCAGCCAAGCAGTAAGCAAGACAGAAGAAATGGCATTATATTTACTCTTGGCATAAACACTGGTCTTTTGTCTGGTTGTGAATGCAGGCAGTTTCTTAAGCAGATATGTCTTACATTAGCTGTTCCCTCCACAAGTTAAAAGAAAGCAATAGCATCTCTCTGTGATTTTGGGTCTCATTGGGTTGTGTTGTGTTCCCAGGGCGGTTTGCAGAGGTGTGTCCCGGGGCTCCATCCCGTGGCTGTCGTTATCATGAGTTGGAGCTTCCTGACGCGTTTACTGGAGGAGATCCACAATCACTCTACGTTTGTGGGAAAGATATGGCTCACTGTGCTCATTGTGTTTCGAATCGTGTTGACAGCGGTCGGAGGAGAGTCTATCTACTACGATGAACAGAGCAAGTTTGTGTGCAACACGGCCCAGCCCGGCTGTGAGAACGTGTGCTACAACGCCTTTGCTCCCCTGTCCCACGTTCGATTCTGGGTCTTTCAGATCATTCTAGTGGCCACACCGTCCCTCATGTATCTGGGATATGCGGTTAACAAAATTGCCCGTTCCGAAGAGAAGGCGGGTGGTTCCCCTCGGAAGAAAGTGAAGAAGCCGTATCTGTCCGGCAGACAGCAGCACCGCGCTCTGGAGGAGGCCGAGGGGGACCAGGAGGAGGACCCCATGATCTATGACATGGCTGAAGTTGATCCAAACCCTGTGTCCAAAGCGAACCCCGAAGCTCAGGAGAAGTCCAAAGCACGCCATGATGGTCGCCAGCGCATCAGGCAGGACGGCCTCATGCGCGTCTATGTGCTGCAGCTGCTGGTGCGCTCCGTCCTCGAGGTCTCCTTTCTCTGTGGACAGTATGTTCTTTATGGGTTTGCCGTCCCGCCCGCCTTCGAGTGCACTGACCGCCCCTGTCCTCACCGCGTGAACTGCTACGTGTCGCGTCCCACGGAGAAAACCATCTTCCTCCTCATCATGTACACTGTGTCTGTGCTTTGTTTAGGCCTCAACATTTGGGAGCTGCTGCACTTGGGCGTTGGCACGGTGTGTGAAATCATGCGCTCACGGCAAAAGCAGTCGGACGAAGACGAGCTGTGCCGATTGACCAAAGGACTGGGGCCTTTTCACCAAACGGACCTGAACAGAGAGGATTACAGCGCTTACCCTTACTCCTGGAACGCCCCGTCCGCTCCTCCGGGCTACAACATCGCCATCAAGCCCCTGATGGTGTCCACGAGCCCCCGCGACCAGCTGCCCATCACCGACCTCAACAACTCCAAGATGGCGTGCCGTCAGAACCACGTCAACATCGCGCAGGAGGAGCGGCAGCACATCTGCAACAACCATGAGAACCTGTGCAGAGGAGACAGCTCCAGGGGCCTGCGCAAGAACAAGCTGGAGGCCGAAAAACAGAGCTTTAACAAACAGCAGAGCCACAATAACAACCAGAGCAAACCGCAAAGAGAGAGGAGGCAGCGGCCGAAGGAGGACGCCGACCGGGGAAGCAGCAGCACCAGCAGCAGCAAGTACGGAGAGATCAAGGGCTCCGAGTGGATCTGAACCCATCGCTACAGTGGGATAGATTTGGGCTGCACGGTTTATCGCAAAGAAAATCGCAATTTTGGTCAACCCCAAAGAATGTGGTTATTATTATTACGTTATTATTATTTACAAGCGGCAAATGATCTTGTTGGATATTTAATAAATCTGTCCATCCCTGTGTTTTGAGAGTAGAAATACAAGCAAATAAGTGCATGTATAATTGTTCTGTTAATTGAGAAGGCTAGAACTTTATTTTAGAACAATTGGATTTTAACGCTCAACTTGCTTGTCATTTAATTTCAACAAATTTAGTTTCATTGAGTTATTATTTTCCCTCATATTTGAACTTCCCCTGGACATAGATTTATTTTATCTCAAACCTGCAGAACACAATGTCACATCTTTAACACGTATACAGGTTTGAAAAGGGGTTGGATGAAGCATTGTCTCAGCTTCATAAGAGAAATGACAATAGCTATATCTGATAAATCTTTGAAATCGTGCAGCTCTAGAATAAATGAGACAAATCACAAAACGGCCTGAAAATAAGGAAAACGCTTGAATTATTGCTTAGATCTCAGTAGCAGGTCTTGAATTCCAAAACGTCTCTCTGTACTGTCGTTTATGAACCACTGAACAAGTGTCTTGATTGTTGTTTACATTTTATTGTTTAAAAAAACCAAAACCTTAACATTAACTACTTTTAATCCAGATAATCCAAGACTGCGTTCTAATCCCGGGGAGGCTTCTGTGGCACATTTCGTTTGAATATTATAATCTGAGATATTTTTATTGGTTAAATGTCACGTATTGCCTTAGGAGACATTTTCAGCCTTTTGTTACTCTGAGATTGTGTGATGTTAGCCTCATATACATTTGTTTAAGAATATGGGAGACACTATAAAAATATAAACAGTTATTTAAATGTTAAACTGTTGAAAATGTGTTCAATGAGACAGTTGCCTGAAAGTTTGAATCTCATTTGAATTACTTAAATATAGAAATCGTTTGTTCCATATCGTTCAGTTTTAAGAATCTCTGACAAAGCAATATGACATTTGCAGGTACGTGTTCAATTACTACTATTACTCAGAGGGTTTTAGATCTGGGAGGAGGTTTTTATTTGCCATTTAAGTCATTACAGTGTTAAGGCTTCATTTTGGAAGAAGTTTTTCATGTATTTCTGTTTTTTTTAAACTTTTTATAACAAATAAAGTTCATAGATTTTCCTGGTTTTGTTTTTATGTTTGGATATACAGCGTGTTACAGTCAGGCTTCTTAGATACAATTTAGATTTTATATCATTTTAATAAAGAAACACCTTTGAAATGTCTCCACTGTGGAACGAATAAAGGATAATTGAATCTTAACCTCTTGTAGTTTGGTGCACATCGCCCTCTGCTGGATTAAAACAATTTAACTACATTACAGTCTATGAACGTACAGGAGTAGATTATAGACAATCCTTCTCTACTTTCTTTGAGTTTGACTGATTCTTAGCATTAGCCAGTAGCCATTACATTTAAAACATTCAAAACACAAAGTACAGAAGATAAATCACTTTAAGATAAGTAAAGTTTATTTATAGCGCCTTTCACAGACCAGGATCTCAAAGCGCTTCGCAGTTAAAAACACAGTAATAACAGTACACGTACAAGTCAGTTCCATTAACAAGTAAACAGAATAATGAACATGTTAGTGAGGGGAGAAAGCCTGTGTAAACAAAAGGTCTTTAGTTGCGAAGTTGCGTTTAGGAATTAAACCTGAATACTAACCTCTGACTATGCTCGTTTGTCTGACTAATTACCACTTCTAAAATAATGAATAACAATGTAAAGTAATGTTGACATGATATACATAGAATAAAATATAAATAAAAATATATGTTTTTTCCACCCGCACGTGCACCGGATGTGAGCAGCTGACTTCCGGTCGTCTCTGTGTTGTTTAAAAATCGGCGGTTTGAGTCCCAGGTCCGACCATAAAACCATTCTGTCCTCCTAAAGTACGTAACGTGTATCTGTCTTTCATGGTTCTTGTTTGCAGTAGAGGAAGCAGTGTATGGTGTAATTAAAAGTGCAAGAGTAAATTAAGGTACTTTTAGGAGTGTTCGTTGAGTCAGCACTTCATGAGCGAGTCTGACGGAGCTAACTTCAGCTAATGCTAACTCATACTAATGCTAATTGCAGCTAATGCTAACGACACCTAATGCTACATATCATTATTGTAAATATAAATGGCTGCCATTGATTGTGTCCGTTATATTTCTCCATAATTTGCATTTTGAATATGTATTAGTAATGTGTAGATAAAAAAAACACGCTATTGGACAAATAAGATAAACTTTATTGATCTCACAATAGAGAAATGTACACGTCACATTTGGCATTGACAGAATCACTGCAAAAAGTGTGCAAACATGGTAAAAGTTTCAAAAACAGTCTCCTTTCAGCAAGATTATGTACAATAAAAAAATAAAGTGACTATAGCAGTGCGAGTTTTAAGTCCAGTTCAGGTCATTATGTGCATAATATATTTTTAGTGACTCCTAATACTATGATAAAACTACCTCCTAAATGTAGATTTTATATTTTACATTTTGTTGTCATTATTACAAATTTAAAGTTCTCTATAAACTGTTTCTTGACTTTACACTTTTTTAGTTTTTTAGGAATCCTGGCATGTTTTGTTAAGTGATGGAGCAGCGGAAGTTCAGAGAGAAAGGTCTTCTGGGTAAACTGGCTTCAGGAGAGAAGAAACTGGATGGAAGGACGTTTTATCTCGATAGAGTAAAGAAGCGGTCCACAGCCCTCCTTCTGGAAGCCATCACTCTGTTTGGAGGAGTGAGTTTAAAGTCAACGATCAATGCTGTTGGTTTTTAAGTGACGTATTGACATATTGTGCACTATTTTGTAGAAAGTTGAAAGCTTTCTGCACAAAGATGTCAGTTTTGTTGTGACTGGATGTCTAGAAGAACTTGAGCCAAAGACATCAGACTTTAACGACAAAACAGCCAATGAAACTACACCCTGTAAACAACTGCAAAGTGCCCTGAAGAAAGATGGGCCAAAGCAAGCGACTCCCAGGCCTGCACTCACTGTAAGTCTTCTTCTTCTTTATTGTTTATTGAAACAGGGACAATGTACAAAAGAAGAGATGATTTGTACCAGATTTAGCAAAGTAGCTATTTTCCATCTGCAGTCCCTGGACAGGTGAGTACAAAAAACATTACAATCTATAAATCTAATCTACAATAAAATCACTATATAAAATACATTAGTTTTCTGTACACTTCTAAAAAAAAAAACATATAAACAATCCCTACAGTTTACAATACATTCATCAATGCTGACACGATTGATGATCTAAAATATACTTTTTCAAATTTCGAGTAAAACTATTATGATCTACAGACAGTTTCAGACAGTCTGGAAGCTCATTCCACTGTTTAATGGAGCGAAATGAGAAGGCACTTAGTATCTCTGAATCCTATTTACTGCGTTCAGCGTGACTCTATTATGGCCCGGCCCTTAGTTTTTGAATCACAAAAACACATTTATTGCCAAATGTGAGGTCTGATGGAAAGGCCTTTACGTTTTTGCGGAATAAAATGTTGCCCCTGCAGGATTCAATGAACAATAATTAGGGTAATGTATTCTGCAAGTTACTTATTATATTGTATTGAGGGGCGACAGTAGCTCAGTTGGTAGAGCATTGGCCTTTGATCCTGAAGGTCGTGGGTTCGAGCCCACCTCAAGACCTACTTCACGACTCCCACTGATGACTGCTGTCGTTGTGTCCTTGGGCAAGACACTTAACCCCACTTTGCCTGAAGCCCCCACTGAAAGATCTCAGCTCCTGTGGACTCACCACCTGCAGGAGGATCAGTGAGGGGCTGGTGCTCTGTGACTGGGTGCAGCTCTGACTGCCACCCCCCCGACCCAGAAATGGATTAAGGGGAAGAAAATGAATGAATGACTTATTATATTGAAATGTACATTTTCTTCTGTCTCTCGCTCTCTGACTATTTCTGTCAAATCTACCATGTAATAAGCACAGATAAAATATACATTAAAATTGCATCACGTCCCTAAACGGCTTTAAAACCAGATCCGACTTGACCAAACCTGTAGCTACTGTATTATTGTTGCCAAGTATTTTAAGCAAACCTCTTTGATGTGTTGTCTAAGGCGTGTGGAAGTCGTGGGAAGGCTCTGTTAGAGAAGGCCATGCTGAATAATGTAAGTAGACCTCATGTTATACTAAAAATGTCTCGTAAACCATTTCATACATTGTCGTTTTGAACCGAGCAGGAGCGACTACAGGGGAGCAGTGTTTTGACCAACGCCCGGTCGTGGGGAGTGAGGATTCTCTCTGCAGATGGTATCCTTTCACTATGTCTACATCATTTCCATATGAAGAGTGTTATTGGATGTAGGGTGCAGTACCACTCTGCCTACAGAAGGTGGCACTGTGTTACAAACGTCCATTGATATGAGTTTTACTTGTGGCAAACCCTTAATGCCTTTTCAGATGTCATTTTTTACCTAAAACAGTTGTCGAGAGAGAGTTTCGACCCAAAACCAAAGAAGTCAGAGGTACTGTTTATTTTATTTGTATTTTTGAATCCATGTCTAACTTTAATTATCTGTTTCAATGCTTTTATTTCCACAGGTTCACACCAAACAAAACGTGAATGTTGTAAAAGGTGATATTATTTTAGAACTAGCAACTATGGCACTATTCCTAAAGACAGATTTTTATTTCTGATGATACATGCATATAAATAGATACATATTAAGATGGCTCTGATGCAGCAACTGATGTTTTGTTGTTTTCGCAGCTGCACCATTGAGGTCCCCGTACCTCAAAGTGGAAGACTCCAGCAGGTCGGTTCCACTTTGTTTCAAGATTTTTTTATTGTTTACTTTAGGAAAGATATGGTTTGGACCAATGGGTGTGTTACATTTCAATCCAAAATACACACACACACACACACACAGTTCTTGTCCCCCCTCAGAGTTTATACAGAGTGCCACTATAAGAACTGGTTTCCATTAGAATTTCTCTGCTCATTAATACTCACATTATTTCTAGATAAGACACTTTGTGAACAGGATAAGACACTTTGTGAACAGAATAAGACACTTTGTGAACAGAATAAGACACTTTGTGAACAGAATAAGACACTTTGTGAACAGAATAAGACACTTTGTGAACAGAATAAGACACTTTGTGAACAGAATAAGACACTTTATGAACAGAATAAGACACTTTGTGAACAGAATCCTCAAACCCTCATTTCCAAAAGTGTTTGAAGCTGAAACTGCTGTATTTGTGTTGGTCGCTTTTGCACAATAGACTAAAAACTCAATCAAATTATCAATGTCAGAAAACTTTATTGATCCCAAAGGACAATTCTTTTGCAGCATAAACTCAAAGCAGAACACAGACACACACACATACTGTACACAAACACACTCTACACAAACACACACACATACTGTACACAAACACACACACACACACACACAGACTACACACACATACTCTACACAAACACACACACACACACACAGACTACACACATACTCTACACAAACACACAGCAGCAGGTTACACAATATAAGTTAAAAACCACAATGAACAACACAATTCCCAAAGTCACACACCTCGACCAGAGTTCAACAGTTTTATGGCCGAGGGCACAAAATAATTGGAAAAACAGTTTATTTTCTGAGCTGGAGCATAAAACGACGTCCTGAAGGCATCAATACAAAGTCAGCGATCAGAGGATGTTTGGGCTGAGCCAGAATACAATCATTTGTATAGCACATTTACATACAACATTCACAGGCACAAAAGAAAGTCGAGGCGTAAAAATATGTCTTTAGATTTAAAAACCTCCAATGAAGGAGTTTCTCTGATTGTTGATCTTTGAAAGTAAATCCTTTGTGTAGCTGTAGCTCTGTCCTTAGCTTCCCTCTGGGGCGTTCTGCTGTGTAGGTGATTAGCTTAATTGAGCGACATAAGGGCGTCTGTGGTGTCCTGTATCAGCCCCCAGCAGTGCTGCCCCCCGGAGGACGAGCAGATACTGTTTCTGTTTGAGGCTCAGCGGCTCCAGAGCTGCAGGGGGTCTCTGTCAGAATAGCTCTTTTCATTAGCATCTTTTTCTCAATTAGCACAAGTGGTCTGGCTCGGCTCCGAGAAACTGAGCCGATATGGAAACATTCCTGAATAAAACTTGGCTCGAGCTGTTCCCAGTTGTCTGTTTGCTACATAAGAGATGCTTTATTTGTCCCACAGTGGGGAAATTTCACTGTTGCAGCGCACAGACAGGACAGGAGTAAGAGACACAGGGAGCACACACAATATAGAAAATAAGTAGTAGCTATGTTTCTTAACACGCTTTTTTTATTTATATACAGTGCCTTGCGAAAGTATTCGGCCCCTTTGAACCTTTCAACATTTTGCCACATTTCAGTCTGCAAACATAAAGATATACAATTTTAATTTTTTGTCATGAATCAACAACAAGTGGGACACAATCGTGAAGTGGAACAAAATTTATTGGATAATTTAAACTTTTTTAACAAATAAAAAACTGAAAAGTGGGGCGTGCAATATTATTCGGCCCCTTTACTTTCAGTGCAGCAAACTCAGTCCAGAAGTTCAGTGAGGATCTTTGAATGATCCAATGTTGTCCTAAATGACTGATGATGATAAATAGAATGCTCCTGTGTGTAATCAAGTCTCCGTATAAATGCACCTGCTCTTTGATAGTCTCAGGGTTCTGTTTAAAGCACAGAGAGAACCATGAAGACAAAGGAACACACCAGGCAGGTTCGAGATACTGTTGTGGAGAAGTTTAAAGCCGGATTTGGATACAAAAGGATTTCCCGAGCTTTAAACATCTCAAGGAGCACTGTGCAAGCAATTATATTGAAATGGAAGGAGTATCAGACCACTGCAAATCTACCAAGACCCGGCCGTCCCTCCAAACTTTCATCTCAAACAAGGAGAAGACTGATCAGAGATGCAGCCAAGAGGCCCATGATCACTCTGGATGAACTGCAGATAACTACAGCTGAGGTGGGAGAGTCTGTCCATAGGACAACAATCAGTCGTGCACTGCACAAATCTGGCCTTTATGGAAGAGTGGCAAGAAGAAAGCCATTTATCAAAGATATCCATAAAAATTCTCTTAAAGTTTGCCACAACCCACCTGGGAGACACACCAAACATGTGGAAGAAGGTGCTCTGGTCAGATGAAACCAAAATAAAACTTTTTGGCCACAATGCAAAACGATATGTTTGGCGTAAAAGCAACACAGCTCATCACCCTGAACACACCATCCCCACCTCAGCTGTAGTTATCTGCAGTTCATCCAGAGTGATCATGGGCCTCTTGGCTGCATCTCTGATCAGTCTTCTCCTTGTTTGAGATGAAAGTTTGGAGGGACGGCCGGGTCTTGGTAGATTTGCAGTGGTCTGATACTCCTTCCATTTCAATATAATTGCTTGCACAGTGCTCCTTGAGATGTTTAAAGCTTGGGAAATCTTTTTGTATCCAAATCCGGCTTTAAACTTCTCCACAACAGTATCTCGGACCTGCCTGGTGTGTTCCTTTGTCTTCATGGTTCTCTCTGTGCTTTAAACAGAACCCTGAGACTATCAAAGAGCAGGTGCATTTATACGGAGACTTGATCACACACAGGAGCATTCTATTTATCATCATCAGTCATTTAGGACAACATTGGATCATTCAAAGATCCTCACTGAACTTCTGGACTGAGTTTGCTGCACTGAAAGTAAAGGGGCCGAATAATATTGCACGCCCCACTTTTCAGTTTTTTATTTGTTAAAGTTTAAATTATCCAACAAATTTCATTCCACTTCACGATTGTGTCCCACTTGTTGTTGATTCATGACAAAAAATTAAATTTTTATATCTTTATGTTTGAAGCCTGAAATATGGCGAAATGTTGAAGGGTTCAAGGGGGCCGAATACTTTCGCAAGGCACTGTATATATTGTCAGGAATGAAGCAGACAGAGACGGATCGAGGTGCGCCAAACTCTGGACGTTTATTTAGGTTTCTCTCAAGTTCCAGTTGTTTCAATTGTTTCTTTCTCTCAGACCAAAATGGAGTCAGTACATGTTATATAGTCATTGTTACGTCACACATCGAAAGACACTCACAGTATATCAGTCAAAACATGGATGCGTCAGTCTGCACTTGTCCTCCGTAGGTCAAATAGCTATATAATCCTCACACTATATATGGATAGATATAGACAGTGCAGAGTTATATACTGTGCATATAGAGCAGGAGTAATCAATCAATCACTTTATTTATCCCCAAGGGACAATTAAAAAGCAGAGAGTTGAGAGTTACATGCTAAAAAGCTCAATAAATATCACATAAATACACACACACATCCTGTCTAAGTTATATACTGTACATGTAGAGCAGGATAATAAAGTAAAGTGACGTTCTGAAGTTTCAGTATTGCACATGATTGCAGCATTTCCTTATTTGCAAATGAATGACATTTACAGGCTCAGCAGTTCTCGTTGTACATTCTGACAACGAGAGACACAAGAATTATATTTGCCATTTGCAGTAAAACCACTTTGGAAAAACTGAAACGCTTTGTGTTTTTCTCCACAGAAAGTACAAACCTTTACACATGCAGTCCGTGAACTTTCCCAGTGTGTACTTTGCCGGACGCTACAGCCCTTTCGAATGCCCTCCCCCCCCTCGCTTTGAGAAATGGGCTGAAAAAGAAGAGAAGGACATGTTAGTTTTACATTTACCCTGAACATTCATCATCATCGCCCTCATTACGGCCTTTTGTTTGGTTTCAGTGAAAACCTCAAGGCAGTACTCAGCACCGAGGACAAATGTGGCACTCCTCTGAGCGGCCGTCCGTCTCCGTGGAGGACGCGCAAAAAAGATAGTGCTTTTTGTGAATGCTGTCGTCAAGTTTACAACAACCAGGACCAGGTACGACTCCAGCGTCCTCCGGCTCAGAGTTTATGACGACTGAGAATCTCCTCCTGTGTTTTAGCATCTTCAGTCAGACCAACATCGGGCTTTTGTGTCCGATCTGTCCAACTACACCGCGGTGGAAGAACTCTTAGCGGCTATGGATCCTGGTTTTGACCCGGATCCTCCACCGCAGCCCAAAGAACTCACCGGGTCAGTATTTTAGCATCTTAAAGACCCTTTGTTGGTCTCTCTGTGGCACCAGTTACAGAACAGTAGGACAGGTCTCTACACTTAACCCTTTAAGCGCCAAAGTCGCAATATTGCGACAAGCAGCATTGCTCACTTAAACAGGCTGTATGTAAAAATGTGGTGCAGAATCTTGTTAATACTTTTCACCAGGGGTTCGTGGACATGTGTGCCTGTAATATGAGCAGCATTTGTGGGTGTGGTTATATTGAAAGTTTTAGAGTAAATTGAGTTTGTAAAACACCTGCGGCGCAGCAGCGCGGAGACGAAGCAGCAGCGGTAGAGCTGAGAGGAGCCAGAGCAGAGGGAGAGAGGGTTTTTTATTTTACTCACGAGGTCTTCAGTACCAGAGAAGTACTTGGTCTGGTACTGGCTCACTCAGATTCAGAGGAGGAAGACACACAGGTGTCCAGTGAAGCAGACACGGACATTATTGGTGACGGGGAGACCGCGCCATATAGTCCACAATCAGCCCCTGTACAGCGGCTGCTTGTCCTCCGTGTGGCCGCGGTAGAAGCATTCTGTGAACACCAAGCAGGGTCCGTGGTGGCGGGGACAGGGGGATCATAACACCGGGCATGTGGGAGAAAGTAGCGGGGGTAGACATCCACGGGGAACACGGGAGAAGTCGCGGAGGAGCCGCGGGAAAAAAACACATCGCTAATCGCGTTCACTGCCTTTACCAGCAGCGATGATGAGGATGAAGGCAGTTCTTGAGAGAAAATAATCCACAAAAGTGGATCAGAAGTGTTGAAGAGCCTGTTGTATGTTGTTGAGACGATCTGACATGTTCTGAGCCCATTCATTTCATCTCTCTGTTTCTAAACGGTAAATCCAGGAGCCTCATTTCCACTGAGAAAAATAGTAAGCCCACTACTTCTCTGAAAGGGAAATATTGAAACCAATCTCCAGATTTCATGACTGTAAACTATAAAGAGTGCTGTCTTGATCACTGAAGGTCTTTGAAAATAATACAATTCTGTATGGCCGCGAACCAGTGCTAAAACATTATCTATAATCTGGATCAGGGAATTTATTTCTATCCCAAATTAATTTTATACTAAAGATATTTCACATTGACTGTTTATAGTATTCCCTGATCTCAAATAACTCCCAAGCTACAGCTTTTTGAAGTCTTTATACAATAATTAACATTTTCCAAAATGGCTGCCACCTTGATGACGTCACAATATGCAAATTAGATGACGAATCAACTTCCATCCCAAAGTTTGGTTCAAACTGAAGATATTTCTAATTTACAGTATGCCTTTATCTCAAACCATTTTAAAGTTATAGCCTTTTGAAATCTTGAAATCAAAATTGTATATTTTCTTGAAAAAACTCTGGCGCCTAAAGGGTTAATATAATAACATAAAATAAAATCTCTAACTCTAGCATGAAGAAGAAACAAGTATAACATCTCTATCTTTAGCATAATGAGTACAAACTCTGACTTTAGCATAATAAAGAAGTATAAATCTACTAAATAAGAAGCAGAAGAGTATTCTAGTGCAGTAATATATAGTCTGTACAGGTTAGCAGCAGCGAGGTGTGGGATAAAGAGACTCAATGTCGTTCTATATTTCACTTTTTTGCATTAAGTTATTTCCGCATAAATTAGTGAGTAAAGTAAAGTGACACCTTTGGTTCTGTAATGCACATTCTGACGTTAGTTAAGGATATTGCACCGATGCATGACATGTGCGGGTCAACTACACAACCATTTTCTTTAACTCCATAACTATTATTCCTTTCACACAGAGAAACTTTTCCAAACCCTCCTGCACTGGAACTCGAACCACTGACGGATTTGGAAACCAACACCGCCGTGAAAGAGTTGAAAGAGTCCAGTTTTCCCAATAACACCTCGATTATCGTGATAAGTGACTCTGTTTCACCAGTTTGTTCAAGTCCGCCTGAAATACAGCCCCCCACAACCAATCAGAGCCCGCTTATACCTGACCCGACCAATCAGAGCCCGCGCATACCTGACCCGACCAATCAGAGCCCGCGTATACCTGACCCGACCAATCAGAGCCCGCGTATACCTGACCCGACCAATCAGAGCCCGCGCATACCTGACCCGACCAATCAGAGCCTGCGTATACCTGACCCGACCAATCAGAGCCCGCGTATACCTGACCCGACCAATCAGAGCCTGCGTATACCTGACCCGGCCAATCAGAGCTCGCGTATACCTGACCCGACCAATCAGAGCCTGTTCATTCCTGACACGACCAATCAGAACCTGCTTATCCCTGACTTGACCAATCAGAGCCTGCTTATCCCTGACTTGACCAATCAGAGCCTGCTTATCCCTGACTTGACCAATCAGAGCCTGCTTATCCCTGACTTGACCAATCAGAGCCTGCTTATCCCTGACTTGACCAATCAGAGCCTGCTTATCCCTGACTTGACCAATCACAGCCTGCTTATCCCTGACTTGACCAATCACAGCCTGCTTATCCCTGACTTGACCAATCACAGCCTGCTTATCCCTGACACGACCAATCAGAGCCTGCTTATTCCTGACCTCCGCCCTCCGAGTCCCTCTATGCCTGTTCTGGAGAAGATTCCACAGGACCCGCCTGAATTAGAACCTTATCAAGACTTAAAACCACTGTCTCCTGGATCTGGGGGTTCCTGGATCAGTCACGACCCGTTCCCACCGGTGCTCAGCCCCCAAGAACCTTCAAACTCCCACTGCTCATATTTAGAGCCCCCGGTGTTAAGTCCTCAGCCGTTTCCTTCACATGAGCCTAGTAAAGAAGCAAACGTTTCTCAGTCTGCTGCCGAGTCTCCTGCCATGAGCCAGTTGGGTTGGGTTTGTTTTAACGTCCGTAACCCTCGCTCCCGTTCGCTTCCGTCCACGACTGCGCTCAACACAAAGAAGCGAAGCCGATCAGCGAGTCCCGAGTCCGCCTCAAGCAAAAGGCGGAAGACGAATGAACGCGGTGGATTTAAGGAGACGGAGCAAGGACAGACCTCGGAGAACACAGGGTTGTTTTTGGAAAGCACTCGTAAAATTGTCCAATCTTCTCCTAAACCCGTGAGGACTTTGTCTAGTTTGGAATGTGGAGACTTCACTCAGACTTTCCGTGAATTCCCCGCCCCCAAAATGTTGTCAGTGAAAGCGTCTCCGAGTCAAAACTCCGAGCGCTCCAACTCCCACTCCACCTCGGTCTGCATCGAGTCCGCCCTCATCCCGGACGTAGCGGCCCTCTCCTCCTCGGACTCGGACTGGGACTGCGAGCTCCTGTCCCGGCTGGGCCCTCCCCCGCTGAGCGCCCAGACCCCCCTGGAGCCCGGGGGGGAGCTGGACCAGGACGTCCTGCACCGGCCCTGCCCCTGGATGCACGACAGCAGCTACGAAACCCGCCTCCACCGCATCCTGCAGCCCGGTCCGCAGCCAATCACAGACTCCACGGCCTTCTGTCGGACGGTGGTGCAGGTCGTGGAGGTCCAGCACTGACTTTGATCCGTCACTTATGGGAACATTTATTTATTTTTATGGAGTATTAAAGGTGCACTACGTCACTTTTTTGATGGGGGCGCACCTTGCTAGTTACCGTTGGGAGTTAGCTTAATTTTATGGCGTTGGTTTTCACACTGTTTTGAACCGTTTTCAGTTCCTGGTACCTTTTTTACTTCCTGGTTGGGGCAGGTGTCTCACAGTTAGCGGCACCACACTTTACAACACTAACTTTAGAAATCTGTCCTGATGAAGAAGCGGCTTTCTGCTTTGTTTTTTGTGGGATTTTTGTACAATACGGCAGTTGCCCAAGCACCTTTTAAAATGAAAAAATACATTCTTAAATCTACAGACTAAAACCTCTTTGAAATGAAAACCGGTTACTTCGATACAAAACAATTTAGTATTTTAAGTTTTTCCCTTTTTTCTTGGACAGTTTCTGCCTTGATACAGTTTGTTGATCCTCAAGAGAAAGTATGTAGTTGTTTTTAAACCTACACCTCATGTTCATTCCAGTTCCAACCATTTTTCTGTCATTTTTGCAGCGTGAAAAACAATCAGAGGGAGTTTGGGAACTGTGGGATTATTGGGACTAGTTCCTGGTTCTAGTTAACACCTAAAGAGTAGCATTAAAGGCAAACTTGCAAACCTTAAGAAAAGTTGTGTATTGCACCATTAAGCCTTAAACTGAACGTCCAACGGTTGAATGATTGGTATTTGTCAGATTTAGCTCCAGAAACATCTACGAGGCTGTGTTTGTAATTCATTCAATTTTTATGTGATGGAACCTTTTACTTAGACTATTTACCTGAAGCGTGGGTGTCAAACCGCTCCTCAAAGGGTCAGTGCCGCTGCAGGTTTTAATTCCAACCAAGCAGGAGCGCAGCAGACTCCACCCACTCGAGGAAGTGGGTGGAGTTTGCTCTGCTCCGGCTCGGTTGGAACTGAAACCTGCAGCGGCACTGACCCTTTGAGGAGAGGTTTGACACTCACGCTTCAGGTAGTAGTGGGGTTTGTTTTCAGAGGCGGAAATATCATTTTGTAGCTAAATGTCTCACTTTAAAGTCACAGTAAATCTCTTTCAGTTTCCCTCCAGATTTATTGGGGCTTGACTGTGTAGATGCCTGTGTGTGTGTGTGTGTGTGTGTGTGTGTGTGTGTCTCTGTGTGTGTCTGTATGTGTCTCTGTGTGTGTGTATATATGAGAGAGATGAAGTATTTATTACAATGTAGATAATATATAAATCTGTATTTTTTGTATATATTTTTTGCCTCCTCGTGAAAGCAGCAAACATGACATTCGTCTGTACTTATCAAATTGTTTATCTTTGAGCAGCTATTTCCAGGAACTCTCTGCGGTGTTGAGATTTTAATGAGGCTTTCTGAAGGGGCATTACTCAATTACTGTGAGTGCTGTGCCTGGACGCGAGCCCTCAGCGCCGGCGTTGATGGTCAAACACGAGACAAAGTCGTTCCTTTCAGAGGTTGGACAGAACATGGGAGGGGCCGGCTCTGCTAAAGGTGGTCCGCAGAGACTCCCTGTCACCAAGACAAAAGGTCGTCCGTGAAGCGCGGGACGGAAAGAGGTTAAAATATACGTGTTTTGTTTGGATGGACTCGGGACGTTTGAGTTATGTTTTGGAATAAATAATTTTAATGATTTTTTTTCTTGTGTATTATTTCTTAAATGAAGGAAAGCAGCTGTGACCCGTTAGAAACATCTTAGTTGAACCTCCCGAGAGCAGACTTAAGGGTAAAAACTAAAATAGAGCGGGATCATGTCCTTTCTGTGAGTGTGTCTACTTCCCTGAGAATCACGTTATTTATAAAGTCATTTTCATACAGAAAATCGAACTGGGATTTTACAGTTGGGTTAAAAACACAAATCCAACAGACCCTCTTCAAAGTACACACACACACAGAGAGAGAGTCACATAAGATTAGTAAGCTGGGTAAAACCGTGAAAGGACATTTGGCTGGGTGCAGGTGTATCCAGAAGAAGCGCCATCTGAGGAGCAGTCTGTGCCTGGAGCAGAGAGCCATCTGGAACGACACAGGACCCAGAGGAGAGAGGAGGCCCCAGACCCCCACCAGGTCCAGGAGCCAGACCCCCCACAGCAGAACACCACTCCCAGTGCAGAAGGCTCCTCCAGAGGAAACACTAAAACAATAGCAAGTGAAACTAAATACACTATAGAGCACTAATGCATAATTAAAGAAAAATGTCTAATGGATAAATAGATCATGTGACATTCCACACTAAATAGAAATTAAAGAAGAGTTTTAAAATGTTTCCTTAGATTCACAGTCAAGTAAATTCATATTTTTGATTTAAAATGGGAACTTTTGCCCACAGCGACCCTCAGCTCCTGTTGAATGAGACCCTAGTCTCGCGTTCGCAGATAGACCCCCCTCCACACCGTTATTGACGGGGCTCCGCGGGGGTCCCCTGTGTGGGTGGGTGGCTCCGTGTCCCACGTGCTCCTTGTTTCCATGTGCACCGCTCCTCGCGCGCAGACGCACTGTCATTGGACGCGACGCTCGCATCTTCTCCATCACCTCCGCGCGTAAAAAGCAGCGACAGAGAGAGAGAGACACAGAGAGATACAGACAGACAGAGAGGGAGACACAGAGAGGGAGACACAGAGAGAGAGACACAGAGAGAGAGAGACACAGAGAGGGAGACACAGAGAGAGAGACACAGAGAGGGAGACACAGAGAGAGAGACACAGAGAGAGAGACACACAGAGAGAGAGACACAGAGAGAGAGACACAGAGAGAGAGAGGGTGAAAACATGTCTTTGGCTCTGCTCTCAGTTACTCAGTGAGAAACCAGGTGAGAAATGCGCGCGTCGTGTTGGACCAGTGCTTGCCGCGGCGTTGATCTTCTCCGTAAGCAACAGTCGAGCTTCGTATAAAGACGCTGCTCAGAGGATTCACCGATTATGTGATCGAAACCATGCTCGCTGTGAGATGCCTCCTGTTCGCTGCAGTTTTCCCACAGGGACCAGGTAAGTCTGACCAGATCACCTTTTTACTCACAACTGTCGTTCCCCTTTAATAAATCAAGTTATTTTATGAATATGACAAAACTGCTGCTTCCAGATTCTATACATTCACCGAAAGATTGTTGCTTATTTACTTGTATCTGTCATTTAACCTGATTTCTCCAATGTCCCTATTCTTTTCTCAAGGTTACTCCAACATGTGTGACAATTAAATGGGAATAGGTGGAGCAGCTATAATTAGAATTTTGCAATAATTGTCAAACTGCTCTAATTCTGCGGAGAAAGTGGGTAATATATGGAGATTGGCTGTGATGGCTCAAACAGATATGGACATTCCCATTTTATTCCAGAGGCTGAGCTCTCTGTAGTTTGGTGGAAGTGTGTGAGTTTAACTTTTGTGTAGTCGTACTGTGGTTGTGTGTTTGTATGAGCTTCACTGCATTTCGCTTGTGTTAGTTTTTGTTTGACATGTGTGTTTTCAGATGTGTTTTTTATGCCTCAGGTGAGATCGATAAAGTATAAAGAATCTGAATCTTATTTTTCTGTTAGTTCTGTCACATTCACAGACAGCAGAAAGACTAATGCAAACTCAAGTCATCAGTGTGATTAAAACTAACCTGTCTCACGAGGCTCTAACCCCAGAGTTAGAGTCGACACTGAAGGTTCAGACTAAAGACAGATGTATTTGTCACTAGTTATTTCACTGCATGTTATTGACCAATGATGAGAAAGTTGTTAACATTGTATATGACAAATAAATACATATCTACCTACCTTACTGTAAGGAAGTAAGTAATCTGCCCAAAAATAACCTCTTTGTGACTCTGGTCTGTGAAAGGCGGTATATAAATAAAGATTACTTACTTACTACCTTACTGGCTGTCTATCTATTTGTCTGTCTCTCTGTCTGTCTATCTACCTAACTACCTAACTGTCTGTCTCTCTGTCTGTCTATCTACCTAACTGTCTGTGTCTCTGTCTGTCTATCTACCTTACTACCTAACTGTCTGTGTCTCTGTCTGTCTATCTACCTTACTACCTAACTGTCTGTGTCTCTGTCTGTCTATCTACCTTACTACCTAACTGTCTGTGTCTCTGTCTGTCTATCTACCTAACTGTCTGTCTCTCTGTCTGTCTATCTACCTTACTACCTAACTGTCTGTGTCTCTGTCTGTCTATCTACCTTACTACCTAACTGTCTGTGTCTCTGTCTGTCTATCTACCTTACTACCTAACTGTCTGTGTCTCTGTCTGTCTATCTACCTATCTACCTAACTGTCTGTGTCTCTGTCTGTCTATCTACCTAACTGTCTGTGTCTCTGTCTGTTTATTTGTCTGTCTATCTACCTAACTACCTAACTGTCTGTGTCTCTGTCTGTCTATCTACCTAACTACCTAACTGTCTGTGTCTCTGTCTGTCTATCTACCTAACTACCTAACTGTCTGTGTCTCTGTCTGTCTATCTACCTAACTACCTACCTGTCTGTTTGTCTGTCTGTCTGTCTTAGTCTATCTACCTACCTGTCTGTCTGTCTAACTACCCATCTACGTGTCTCTCTGCCCCACACACACCCAGACCCACTCTCCTCCCGACATGCTGTTCTTTGTTCTTCCTGCAGGTCTGGGAGAATGGGTCGGTGCCGGGGACGGACGGGGCCCTTCAGAGCAGATAGTCCGACCCCAAAGACTCCTGCAGCAAATCCACTCGGACGAGGAGCTGCTCCACGGAAAACTGGACACACGGGTCAAGAACCAGACCTCTGCCCTGCTGGTCAGTCTCTCCTCAGACCTTCACACTTTATCACTGACTCTACTGCACTGGGCACAGATCTCAGTGTGTTCATGGTCCTGCTCTGGGCTCTGATCCTGTGTCCTCTGGGCTCTGACCCTGTGTCCTCTGGGCTCTGACCCTGTGTCCTCTGGGCTCTGACCCTGTGTCCTCTGGGCTCTGACCTTGTGTCCTCTGGGCTCTGACCCTGTGTCCTCTGGGCTCTGGCCCTGTGTCCTCTGGGCTCTGACCCTCAGATGTAGAGGCTCCTGGTATAACAGAGAACACATGTGTTTGCTCGTCGCTCTGGGGTCCATGCTTTGAACAGTTCTAACATTAACCTGTTATTGTCTGTGTCTAAACTTTTCTTCACGGGAAACGTCTCAAAACAAAAAACTTTTGAACGGTGTTAGAGATGTTTAATGTTGCCTAAATACATAACTCTGTGTAAATACTGTGAATATAAAGTGATGTTGCTAAGTTTCTTACTGGAAACATTCTGTAAGTTACATCCTCACTTCCTCAAAGCACAATATTCTCTCTCTGGAAATGTAAATGAATTCTTTCACTGGACTCAAACCAGATGTCGAACCGTGAGGCTCGTGTCTGAACCAGGACAGACTTTACCTCAGTCCCGGACTCAGGTCACAGCAGCACTTTAGGCCTCAGCAGCACTTTAGGCCTCAGCCTCAGCAGCACTTTAAGCCTCAGCAGCACTTTAAGCCTCAGCAGCACTTTAGGCCTCAGCAGCACTTTAGGCCTCAGCAGCACTTTAAGCCTCAGCAGCACTTTAAGCCTCAGCAGCACTTTAAGCCTCAGCAGCACTTTAGGCCTCAGCAGCACTTTAAGCCTCAGCAGCACTTTAAGCCTCAGCAGCACTTTAAGCCTCAGCAGCACTTTAAGCCTCAGCAGCACTTTAGGCCTCAGCAGCACTTTAGGCCTCAGCAGCACTTTAAGCCTCAGCAGCACTTTAAGCCTCAGCAGCACTTTAGGCCTCAGCAGCACTTTAGGCCTCAGCAGCACTTTAAGCCTCAGCAGCACTTTAAGCCTCAGCAGCACTTTAAGCCTCAGCAGCACTTTAAGCCTCAGCAGCACTTTAGGCCTCAGCAGCACTTTAAGCCTCAGCAGCACTTTAGGCCTCAGCAGCACTTTAGGCCTCAGCAGCACTTTAGGCCTCAGCAGCACTTTAAGCCTCAGCAGCACTTTAGGCCTCAGCAGCACTTTAAGCCTCAGCAGCACTTTAGGCCTCAGCAGCACTTTAGGCCTCAGCAGCACTTTAGGCCTCAGCAGCACTTTAAGCCTCAGCAGCACTTTAGGCCTCAGCAGCACTTTAGGCCTCAGCCTCAGCAGCACTTTAGGCCTCAGCAGCACTTTAGGCCTCAGCAGCACTTTAAGCCTCAGCAGCACTTTAAGCCTCAGCAGCACTTTAGGCCTCAGCAGCACTTTAGGCCTCAGCAGCACTTTAGGCCTCAGCAGCACTTTAAGCCTCAGCAGCACTTTAGGCCTCAGCAGCACTTTAGGCCTCAGCCTCAGCAGCACTTTAGGCCTCAGCAGCACTTTAAGCCTCAGCCTCAGCAGCACTTTAGGCCTCAGCAGCACTTTAAGCCTCAGCCTCAGCAGCACTTTAGGCCTCAGCAGCACTTTAAGCCTCAGCAGCACTTTAGGCCTCAGCAGCACTTTAAGCCTCAGCAGCACTTTAGGCCTCAGCAGCACTTTAGGCCTCAGCCTCAGCAGCACTTTAGGCCTCAGCAGCACTTTAAGCCTCAGCAGCACTTTAAGCCTCAGCAGCACTTTAAGCCTCAGCAGCACTTTAAGCCTCAGCAGCACTTTAAGCCTCAGCAGCACTTTAGGCCTCAGCAGCACTTTAGGCCTCAGCAGCACTTTAAGCCTCAGCAGCACTTTAGGCCTCAACAGCACTTTAGGCCTCAGCCTCAGCAGCACTTTAGGCCTCAGCAGCACTTTAAGCCTCAGCCTCAGCAGCACTTTAGGCCTCAGCAGCACTTTAGGCCTCAGCAGCACTTTAGGCCTCAGCAGCACTTTAGGCCTCAGCAGCACTTTAGGCCTCAGCAGCACTTTAAGCCTCAGCCTCAGCAGCACTTTAGGCCTCAGCCTCAGCAGCACTTTAAGCCTCAGCAGCACTTTAAGCCTCAGCAGCACTTTAGGCCTCAGCAGCACTTTAAGCCTCAGCAGCACTTTAAGCCTCAGCAGCACTTTAAGCCTCAGCAGCACTTTAGGCCTCAGCAGCACTTTAAGCCTCAGCCTCAGCAGCACTTTAAGCCTCAGCAGCAGAGAGGATGTGATGATTTATTATTATTGTTATTATTATGGACATTGTTACAGACTTGGACCTGGTAAAAAGTCAGTGTGTGTAAAACAGTCTCTCTGTGTCCTCAGCATTTGGCCCAGAGCAGCTTCCTCGTCCAGGCGTTTGGAACGTCCTTCATCCTTGACCTGGAACTAAACCAGTGAGTCTTCATCATCCACACATTTAAGCACCATTTGTTTTCACAGATTTATTATAAGTACGATGTATTCATTCCCCTATATCGTGGGAGTGTGTTCTAGCATCTGTTAGCGTCTGTTAGCATCTGTTAGCGTCTGTTAGCATCTGTTAGCATCTGTTATCGTCTGTTAGCATGCATCTGTTAGCATCTGTTAGCGTCTGTTAGCGTCTGTTAGCGTCTGTTAGCGTCTGTTAGCATCTGTTAGCGTCTGTTATCGTCTGTTAGCATCTGTTTGCATCTGTTAGCATCTGTTAGCATCTGTTAGCATCTGTTAGCATCTGTTAGCGTCTGTTAGCATCTGTTAGCATCTGTTAGCATCTGTTTGCATCTGTTAGCATCTGTTAGCGTCTGTTAGCATCTGTTAGCATCTGTTAGCGTCTGTTAGCATCTGTTAGCATCTGTTAGCGTCTGTTAGCGTCTGTTAGCATCTGTTAGCGTCTGTTAGCGTCTGTTAGCATCTGTTAGCGTCTGTTAGCGTCTGTTAGCATCTGTTAGCATCTGTTAGCATCTGTTAGCATCTGTTATCGTCTGTTAGCATCTGTTTGCATCTGTTAGCATCTGTTAGCGTCTGTTAGCATCTGTTAGCGTCTGTTAGCGTCTGTTAGCATCTGTTCATTTCTTGTATGTTTGGTTTTGAAAGAAAACCAGCTCAAAGGCAAATGTTTTACTTCAGGTTTCTGTTTGTTTTGCAGTAACCTCCTTTCAACAGATTATGTGGAGCGTCACTTCGATGAACACGGACAGATTTCTCAAAACACGGTAAGATCAACACGGCAAGCTTTCGTCAAACATGGTCCAAAGTGTTTAAATGATTGGTTTGATTTTGATCTGAAATGTGCCGTAGTAGTGCTGACTGAGTGTTAGCCCAGAGTGGAAGAAGCTGATTTTAACGTAAGCTAGCTGGAGCCAATTTCCTTACATGGGCGTTTGTTCTGACGATGTTAGCTTAGGGGCAGACGTGTTGCTAAGATTGTTGCTAACCCAAGCTGGAGTTTTCCCCGTGATTGAAATGATAGTTAAGAATGATAGTCTTGCACCGTGTGGCCTCAGTCCTCGTTCTACAGTCTGAGTCCTGGATCTATAATCTGTCTATTGTCTCCCTGTGGACTAATGGCTCCTATGTGTTGCTCCCGTGTAATGTTGCATTTCTGTGTTGACGTGCTGCAATCTCACTCCGGCTCTGTGGGGGTGTACCCGGAAACAGTATTACCCAATGCTTATATATATTCCTCTCGAAAACGACTTTACAGGATGATCCAAAAGTGGTTCTTGGTCCAAAAGTGGCTCTTGGTCCAAAAGTGGTTCTTGGTCCAAAAGTGGCTCTTGGTCCAAAAGTGGTTCTTGGTCCAAAAGTGGTTCTTGGTCCAAAAGTGGTTCTTCGTCCAAAAGTGGGTCTTGGTCCAAAAGTGGCTCTTCGTCCAAAAGTGGGTCTTGGTCCAAAAGTGGGTCTTGGTCCAAAGGGGTTCTTGGTCCAAAAGTGGCTCTTGGTTCAAAAGTGGTTCTTGGTCCAAAAGTGGGTCTTTGTCCAAAAATGGTTCTTGGTCCAAAAGTGGCTCTTGGTCCAAATGTGGTTCTTGGTCCAAAAGTGGTTCTTGGTCCAAAAGTGGCTCTTGGTCCAAAAGTGGTTCTTGGTCCAAAAGTGGTTCGTGGTCCAAAAGTGGCTCTTGGTCCAAAAGTGGTTCTTGGTCCAAAAGTGGCTCTTGGTCCAAAAGTGGCTCTTGGTCCAAAAGTGGCTCTTGGTCCAAAAGTGGCTCTTGGTCCAAAAGTGGCTCTTGGTCCAAAAGTGTCTCTTGGTCCAATAGTGGCTCTTGGTCCAAAAGTGGTTGTTGGTCCAAAAGTGGTTCTTGGTCCAAAAGTGGCTCTTGGTCCAAAAGTGGCTCTTGGTCCAAAAGTGGTTCTTGATCCAAAAGTGGTTCTTGGTCCAAAAGTGGTTCTTGGTCCAAAGTGGGTCTTGGTCCAAAGCTTCATTCCAGATGCTGTTGATGTTGAGGGGAGTATATGTTTTTGGACCAGTCTAGTTAAGCCGCTGTGGACCTTTGAATGCACTTGTTAAATGAATGAGGCTAATGCAGCTAACACTTGCACAAATGTGTTTTTCCACATTCATTCCACAGAAGCCAAAAGTGATGTCACGTCCGTATATATTTACAGTCTATGTCAGAAACACAAACAAAACAAACATTACAACAGAAAGTCAAACTCTGAACCCAAACTTCGGGATCGGTGCAGTTTGGCTCCAACTCATCAGCAGCAAACATCATTAAGCTCCGTCTCCAATGATCTGCGGCTAATTACAAGTGACATCTGTCTTTAGGACCCTGCGGTAAAGCAATTAGCCAAACTCCCCAAACGCTCTGTTATTGTATTACACTGCACAGTTAGCACAGTTAGCATCGTTAGCACCGTTAGCATCGCGGTGTGTTTGAAGTCAATCCGTCAGCTTCATTTTAATATGATTTGACGGTGCTTTTAACGGAGCTATTACTATAATGTGTTGTGCTTTTAAAGGTTTTATTTCCAGGTCTGAGCGATAATCAATAGGAGGAGATTGTGCCAGTTTTTATTTGTTGTTCATAAATAATACAGTTTGAAGTAACTCTTAATCAGAAATCAAACCACATTCTGGCTGCATCTTCTTAGAAAATGTTTGTATACTTGATAAAAATGAGCCCTGGGAGTCACTATTTGACACTTTGAGCTGAGAGCTGATTGGCTGATTGTTTTTTTTTCTGTTTTTTTCACATTTCTGTCTGAAAAATCTGTTCTAAAGACAAAACAAACTAAGGACTTAATAAATAAAGCATGAGAAAACTAGTGATAGATTCATAGACTGTATATAGATGGACAATGCTAACTCGCTAGCTCAATGAAGCCAAACAGGGAAGTGCTCATGGATGAAGTTTTGCTCCAACTCGCTCTACCTCTGAGTGACTTACATTGAAAAGTAAACTAACCTAGATCGATGGTTTAGACTCTCGGTGATTCTTCAGGGAGGAGACTCTATAGTTTGCCTTAGCAACCGCCATAGCAACCGTCTTAGCAACCGTCTTAGCAACTGTCTTAGCCACCGTCTTAGCAACCGTCTTAGCAACTGTCTTAGCAACCGTCTTAGCAACTGTCTTAGCAACCGTCTTAGCAACTGTCTTAGCAACCGCCATAGCAACCGTCTTAGCAACTGTCTTTACCAACCGTCTTAGCAACCGTCTTAGCAATTGTCTTAGCAACCGTCTTAGCAACTGTCTTTAGCAACCGTCTTAGCAACCGTCTTAGCAATTGTCTTAGCAACCGTCTTAGCAACTGTCTTTAGCAACCGTCTTAGCAACCGTCTTAGCAACCGCCTTAGCAACCGTCTTAGCAACCGTCTTAGTAAGTAAGTAAGTAATGTTTATTTATATACCGCCTTTCACAGACAAGGGTCACAAAGCGGTTTTACAATTGTTATTTTTTTTTTTTTTTTTGGGCATTTGTCTCTCACTCCACACAGAGATGGGAGCGGGGTCGCCGAACAGGAGGCGCATGCCAGACCTATTGTACATATTTTTAGTGGTAGGGGAAACCGGAGTACCCGGAGGAAACCTACGCAGACACGGGGAGAACATGCAAACTCCACTCAGAAAGGCCCTGGTCCGACCGGGATTCGAACCCAGGACCTTCTCGCTGAGAGGCGAGAGTGCTATCCACTCAGCCACCGTGCCGCCCGTCACGTCCGTGACTTAGCAACTGTCTTAGCAACCATCTTAGCAACCGTCTTAGCAACCGTCTTAGCAACTGTCTTAGCAACCGTCTTAGCAACTGTCTTAGCAACCGTCTTAGCACAGGTCTTAGCAACCATCTTAGCAACTGTCTTAGCAACTGTCTTAGCAACCGTCTTAGCAACCGTCTTAGCAACCGTCTTAGCAACTGTCTTAGCAACTGTCTTAGCAACTGTCTTAGCAACCATCTTAGCAACCGTCTTAGCAACCGTCTTAGCAACCGTCTTAGCAACTGTCTTAGCAACTGTCTTAGCAACCATCTTAGCAACCGTCTTAGCAACCGTCTTAGCAACACGTCTGCCCCTGCTACGGCGCAAAGCTAACCTCGTCAAAACAAATGCCCATATAAGGAAATTGACTCCAGCTTATGTTCAAAGTGCTGCATTTGGCAAACAGTAAGATACAGTCTCTGGATAGAACGCAGCTGTGGGGAGAGCGTGGAACTAATTGGATTATTCCAATGTGGTTTTACTGCAAATGGCAAATACATTCTTGATTGTTGAATATTGATTTAATGAAATAGTTCCATATTTCGGGGAATAAAAATGTGATCTTAAATGGAGTTATTAGATTGCCCCAGGGACTTGGTTACACTGCAAACAATAAGTTCAAAAAATACTACAATTTGAGCACATTCTGTCTTAAAACAAGATTTTTCAATGGGACAAAACAAAATGATCTTGTTTTAAAAATAACTTTCTCCTTTTGCAACAGTTCTTGAACTTCCTCAGATTCAAGCAAATATTACTTCATATTTTATCATTTTTTGCAGTGTACCATAACATCCAATGCAGTAACACTTTTATTTACTCTAAATTAGTTAATTAGCTTTTAACTGGTGTTTATTAAGCACTTAGTTGTCCAGATTCTACATATATATACGTTCATATCTTACTAACTACAAGCTGACTCTTTCCCAGGTGGGTTTGGGTTAGCATTAGCCCTTCATTAGCACTTAATTAGCACTTAATTAGCTGGTATTGAGTGAGGACAAATCTAAAATGTTATAATTCTAGATTTAGATTTATTCGAGCTTATACATTTACAACTGTGTTTTAAACATGTACATAATTGTTATATGCATTTACATTAAACGTCATGTGAGTAATCATTTGTGTATAGAATATTTATAATGTTGTATTATGTAAATGTGACTCAGGGTTATTTATGCACGGTTTTGATATTCTACTTTAGTTTCTTGTTACACTTATTTTCTCGAGATAAACGTGGCTTAATTATGCCAGAATCGTTATACTGCAAAAGGGAGTGAGAAGAATTAAAACTATAAACTACAAAGAAGAATAAATCTGTACTGTCTCTAAACCAACTGTTGAATCAGAGTCGGACGTGCTGCGATGGAATTCCCCGTTAATATTCCCCGTCCGTCGTTCCCGGCCTCGTCAATCCCCCCCCCCCCTCGCATTGGTTTTTTTATTCCTCATTTTCTCCGAGCATCTTCTCCAAGACACTCTTTCGGCCTCCGCATCATCAGCCGCTGTCGGGTTGCCGTGGCGACCGGGAGGCGGCGGCTGGCGGCGGCTCCGGGTCCGTCCGATCGTGACGAGAATCGCAAACGTGTGTGTGTCATGAAATCCTCTGAGCTCATTCATTTCCATGGGTGTAGAATGGAGCAAAGCAGAGGAATGTGGTGCTGGGGAACGGAGGAGTTTGATTGGACGAGGGATCCGTGGCTAACTCTGGGACTTCACACAGAATCAAACGGAAATAAATATTATGCATTGTTTTCATGTGACTTTATACGATATTCTAGTTTCAGCTTCAGCCTTTGCTCCTTCGCCACAGTGTCCAGCTTGATTGTCGTTAATAGCAGTGAATCTGTTCTGTTTTGAGTCTCTCTGTGTGGGTTCCTGTGGATGACGGCCCCTGAGCTGCTCCAGATGAAATCTCAACGACTCACAACAAAAAGTGAAATTAAATTAGGCCCGAGGAGAGCAAGGGATCGAAACTGGTTCTTATTCTGTGTCAATACTGAGACTGAGGCAGGGACAGGGGCTGAGGCAGGGGCAGAGGCAGGGGCAAGAGGCAGGGGCAAGAGGCAAGAGGCAAGAGGCAGAGGCAGAGGCAGAGGCAGAGGCAGAGGCAAGAGGCAGAGACAGAGACAGAGGCAGAGAGGGCAGAGGCAAGAGGCAGAGGAAAGAGGCAGAGACAGAGACAGAGGCAAGAGGCAAGAGGCAAGAGGCAAGAGGCAAGAGGCAGAGGCAGAGGCAGAGGCAGAGGCAGAGGCAAGAGGCAGAGACAGAGACAGAGACAGAGGCAGAGGCAAGAGGCAGAGGAAAGAGGCAGAGACAGAGGCAAAAGGCAAGAGGCAAGAGGCAAGAGGCAAGAGGCAGAGGCAGAGGCAGAGGCAGAGGCAGAGGCAGAGGCAGAGGCAAGAGGCAAGAGGCAGAGACAGAGGCAAAAGGCAAGAGGCAAGAGGCAAGAGGCAAGAGGCAGAGGCAGAGGCAGAGGCAGAGGCAGAGGCAGAGACAGAGGCAGAGGCAAGAGGCAGAGGAAAGAGGCAGAGACAGAGGCAAAAGGCAAGAGGCAAGAGGCAAGAGGCAGAGGCAGAGGCAGAGGCAGAGGCAGAGGCAGAGGCAGAGACAGAGGCAGAGGCAAGAGGCAAGAGGCAAGAGGCAAGAGGCAAGAGGCAAGAGGCAAGAGGCAGAGACAGAGGCAAAAGGCAAGAGGCAAGAGGCAAGAGGGCAAGAGGCAAGAGGCAGAGACAGAGGCAAGAGGCAAGAGGCAGAGGCAAGAGGCAGAGACAGAGACAGAGACAGAGGCAGAGGCAAGAGGCAGAGGAAAGAGGCAGAGACAGAGGCAGAGACAGAGGCAAGAGGCAGAGACAGAGGCAAGAGGCAAGAGGCAAGAGGCAAGAGGCAAGAGGCAGGAGGCAGGAGGCAGGAGGCAGGAGGCAGGAGGCAGGAGGCAGGAGGCAGGAGGCAGGAGGCAGGAGGCAGGAGGCAAGAGGCAAGAGGCAAGAGGCAAGAGGCAAGAGGCAAGAGGCAAGAGGCAAGAGGCAAGAGGCAAGAGGCAAGAGGCAGGAGGCAAGAGGCAAGAGGCAAGAGGCAAGAGGCAAGAGGCAAGGCAGGAGGCAAGAGGCAAGAGGCAAGAGGCAAGAGGCAGGAGGCAGGAGGCAGGAGGCAGGAGGCAGGAGGCAGGAGGCAGATGGGGCAGAGGCAGATGGGGCAGAGGCAGAGGGGGCAGAGGCATTTTTTCAGTTTTATTAAGCTATACAGACGCACATACAACCAACATAGAATTTATATGAGGGGAAAATGACTGCGGCTCTTATTGTTGAAATAAAACATTTTAAATCTCAAATTAGTTTTATGAATTCTCAGGGATAGCACAACTGTGTCGGTATCTGCAAGTTCTCACATTAAGGTAACCGTAATGAAAGAAAAGGTCTCGTGCATTCCCACTCTCTATATTTCAAAGTATCCGGTCGTCCCATGAAGCCGTTTAATCCAATATCAATAAATACTTTTGTCTCCCCGCCTTTAGCCTCTGTGCGGTTTGGAAACTAGAAGCCCTTTGATACGTCTGTCCCTTTGATACGTCTGTCCCTTTGATACGTCTGCCCCTTTGATACGGCTGTCTCTTTGACGTGTATTTAAGATGATCTCCCATTATTATCTATGGTTTTTCTTTGGAGTCATGCTTTCTAAGAGGACGTATGTATAATGGCCCAGTGCACTCAGCAGCTCTCAGCCGTCTGTGTCTGCTGCGTCAGCCAATCTGATTTCCTCCATTTATCCTGCAACTGTACCTCTTATTTATTTAATTCTGTTCCAGGGCTAAGTGCAGCCCAAGTCCTACTACTGGAGAAAAGTCATCGAGTTCTTTCCTAAATCAAAATGAACTTTTTTATTTGGACTTTTGCAACATTTGTTAAAAATATTGCAGTGTTTTTGGTACATTATAGAAGTAAAGTATTACAGATAATGATTGAAATATTCTCCATTCATTAAATACTTGTTGCTTTTACCACAAAATACTCTTTAACTTTAATCTTTCTCGGATTATGTGCTTTGTTCTGTGTTTTTAGTGTATATATTTGCACTTTAGTGTCCCGGTGGCTGTAAGAGTGGTCAGTTTCTGTCTCCAGTCTTTTCGGAGCCATTGTTGTGTATGTTTTCTGGTCTGGGGGTCAGATTCATTTATTTTGCCATTTGCAGTAAAACCCCCTTGGAATACAGTCCCCAGTTTGCTCAAGACGAATGCAAACATAAAACACGGTTAAAAATATAACAAAAAAACAGCAGAAAAAAATGGCTGTAGGGTTTTTATAGCTTTACTGTGTCTTCTCCTTTTCTGGTAACTGGATTGTGGGCCAGATGAGGACCATGTGAAGGACCATGTGGAGGCCCATCTGGAGGACCATGTGAAGGACCATGTGGAGGCCCATCTGGAGGACCATGTGGAGGCCCATGTGGAGGACCATGTGGAGGCCCATGTGGACGACCATGTGGACGACCATGTGGAGGTCCATGTGGAGGCCCATGTGGAGGACCATGTGGAGGCCCATGTGGACGACCATGTGGAGGCCCATGTGGAGGACCATGTGGAGGCCCATGTGGAGGACCATGTGAAGTACCATGTGGAGGCCCATGTGGAGGACCATGTGGAGGACCATGTGGAGGCCCATGTGGAGGACCATGTGGAGGCCCATGTGAAGGCCCATATGGAGGACCATGTGGAGGCCCATGTGGAGGTCCGTGTGGAGGCCCATGTGGAGGACCATGTGGAGGACCATGTAAAGGGAAATGTGGAGGACCATGTGGTGGCCCATGTGGAGGACCATGTGGAGGACCATGTGGAGGCCCATGTGAAGGCCCATATGGAAGACCATGTGGAGGCCCATGTGAAGGCCCATATGGAGGACCATGTGGAGGCCCATGTGGAGGTCCGTGTGGAGGCCCATGTGGAGGACCATGTGGAGGACCATGTAAAGGCACATGTGGAGGACGATGTGGAGGACCATGTGGTGGCCCATGTGGAGGACCATGTGGAGGACCATGTGGAGTACCATGTGGAGGCCCATGTGGAGGACCATGTGGAGGACCATGTGGAGGCCCATGTGGGGGTCCATGTGGAGGCCCACATGGATCCGTCTGGACCCGCCTGGACCCGTCTGGACCCGTCTGGACCCGTCTGGCAGCTCTACGTTTCTTGCATTACGTGTTCTGTTCGTAAATATACTTATAATTCAAAAGACCACGGTCACGAAGCAGAGTACAGTCGGGACATGTTTTTTATTGTTTTTTTTTTTACTATTTTCACATCAGCACAGATTTCAAATACTGTTTGTTTTTGTGCGTATCTTCGTGACACTTGTACATTTTATTTAGATCCAATCCACAGTCTCCAAGGGCTGCTCGTGAGAATACTAATTAAAACAAATCCATTGTAAAACAGTAAAATCATTAAACATCAAAACTGAAAAACCACAAAAACAACAGTAAAAACAAAATAAAATAAGAAATAAAATTAGAATTAAATAAAAGTTCATGAAACGCTCTGAGGACTCTTTAAGTGTAGTAATGAATGTTTTTATTTTACAGAGCAGTTTTGGGCACGGGTCTGACTCTGAAGGCTTCATAGAATTGCGTAAACGTTGAATGTGTGTGTGTTTTATATCCCTTTGTGTGTCTGAATTAAAGATCTAAACTCTGTGAAAAATGGACATAACGGCATAAACCAGGCCTGTCCAAACTCAGGCCCGGGGGCTAATTGCGGCCCTCAGTGTCAGTGTATGTGGCCCTCTGCCTCGCTAAACCACAGTAGTCTTTGATAATAAAGTTCACTGTGTCATCCATCCAACTTCAGCTCAGACAATATAGACATGTCGTACCTCTTTCTAAAGCCCAGTATGTCTGGACATTGACCTGTGAGATGGTAAACATGTGTCATTCAGCCAACTTCAGCTCCGTTATAGATGATCTTAAAGCTCAGAACAGCCCGATGTCATTCAAGACAGTTTTCAGTGTGTGATGTTGGCCTCTGGACTAGTCTGGGAAACTAAAGTGGCCTCTTACTAAAAAGTCTGGATACCCCTGGGATAAACGTAAACAAAGGCTGGAACAGAGGAAGTTAGAAAAGCGTCTGAAAAACGTGTTTGTTTGTGTTCGGTCGTAGGGAGGAGAGCACTGTTATTACCACGGGACAATCCGAGGACTTCAAGGTTCCTGGGCCGCGCTCTCCACCTGCCACGGCCTACAGTACGTACACTCATTCATTCATTATTATTATTTATTAATATTATTAACGCTACATCTAATACACCCCTCTGCCTCGTGGAGATACCTCAACCCTTTCTCTAGACCTTAGATCTTTTCTTTCTTATCTTCATATGTTTCCGTTCTCTTCCAGGGGGATGTTCTCTGATGGAAACTCCTCGTACGTGATGGAGCCTCTGGGCCAAGGAGAGGTGAGCCTCAAACCACATCAGCACCACCCACATCAGCACCAACCCCATCAGCACCAACCCCATCAGCACCACCCACATCAGCACCAACCACATCAGCACCACCCACATCAGCACCAACCACATCAGCACCAACCACATCAGCACCAACCCCATCAGCACCAACCCCATCAGCACCACCCACATCAGCACCACCCACATCAGCACCAACCACATCAGCACCAACCACATCAGCACCACCCACATCAGCACCACCCACATCAGCACCAACCACATCAGCACCAACCACATCAGCACCAACCACATCAGCACCAACCACATCAGCACCAACCACATCAGCACCAACCCCATCAGCACCAACCCCATCAGCACCAACCCCATCAGCACCACCCACATCAGCACCACCCACATCAGCACCAACCACATCAGCACCACCCACATCAGCACCACCCACATCAGCACCAACCACATCAGCACCAACCACATCAGCACCAACCACATCAGCACCACCCACATCAGCACCAACCACATCAGCACCAACCACATCAGCACCACCCACATCAGCACCACCCACATCAGCACCAACCACATCAGCATCAACCACATCAGCACCAACCCCATCAGCACCAACCACATCAGCACCAACCACATCAGCACCACCCACATCAGCACCAACCACATCAGCACCACCCACATCAGCACCAACCACATCAGCACCAACCCCATCAGCACCAACCCCATCAGCACCACCCACATCAGCACCAACCCCATCAGCACCAACCACATCAGCACCAACCACATCAGCACCAACCCCATCAGCACCAACCACATCAGCACCAACCCCATCAGCACCAACCCCATCAGCACCAACCCCATCAGCACCAACCACATCAGCACCAACCACATCAGCACCAACCCCATCAGCACCACCCCCATCAGCACCAACCCCATCAGCACCAACCCCATCAGCACCACCCCCATCAGCACCAACCACATCAGCACCAACCACATCAGCACCACCCCCATCAGCACCAACCACATCAGCACCACCCACATCAGCACCACCCACATCAGCACCACCCACATCAGCACCACCCACATCAGCACCACCCACATCAGCACCACCCACATCAGCACCAACCCCATCAGCACCAACCACATCAGCACCAACCACATCAGCACCAACCACATCAGCACCAACCACATCAGCACCACCCACATCAGCACCAACCACATCAGCACCAACCACATCAGCACCACCCACATCAGCACCAACCACATCAGCACCAACCACATCAGCACCAACCACATCAGCACTAACCACATCAGCACCAACCACATCAGCACCAACCACATCAGCACCACCCACATCAGCACCACCCACATCAGCACCAACCACATCAGCACCAACCACATCAGCACCAACCACATCAGCACCAACCACATCAGCACCAACCCCATCAGCACCAACCCCATCAGCACCACCCACATCAGCACCACCCACATCAGCACCACCCACATCAGCACCAACCACATCAGCACCAACCACATCAGCACCACCCACATCAGCACCACCCACATCAGCACCAACCACATCAGCACCAACCACATCAGCACCAACCACATCAGCACCAACCACATCAGCACCACCCACATCAGCACCACCCACATCAGCACCAACCACATCAGCACCAACCACATCAGCACCAACCACATCAGCACCAACCACATCAGCACCAACCCCATCAGCACCAACCCCATCAGCACCAACCACATCAGCACCAACCACATCAGCACCAACCACATCAGCACCAACCACATCAGCACCACCCACATCAGCACCACCCACATCAGCACCAACCACATCAGCACCAACCACATCAGCACTAATCACATCAGCACTAATTACATAAACATTTGTAATTCAAAGAGAAAAAATTTAACATTTTGATATTTATATTTTATTTATTTCTGTTTCGAATTTTTTTAATCGTGGCATTAGCTGCAAATGAAAGCCAGATCCCTCAGACCTCTGAAGTAGGGCAGGGCATGGTTAGTGTTGTGATGGGAGACCTCTGGGAACAGCACAGTGGGGCGGCTGCGGCTGTAAAGTGCCAAACTGCCGTTGTGTCCTTTGGCAAGACACTTCCCCCACATTAGAATGAGTCTGGTGTGTGTGTGAATGGTTGGTGGTGGTGGGAGGGGCTGGCGGCGCAGACTGGTTGCCTCTCTTCTGTCATTGTGCCCCAGGGCAGCTGTGGCTACAGTAGTAGTTTATCACCACAGTGTTTGGAGAGAATGAGTAATAACATTTGAAGCGTCTTTAAATGTCCAAAAAAGCTTTGTTTAAAACCAATGCTTTATTGTTTTATTATTATTATAAATTCTCTACCTAAAAAAGTTTCAAAGTCTCCATTTTAAATGTAATTTTAATTTGAAATGACATAAATGGTCACTATCCCTGTTCTGAATAGTGAGAGTTTCCAAAGGTGTCTGCAGTAGTTCCACATTTGGATGGAGGCTGCAGGTCTCAGGCTCAGGCTCCAGCTCAGTTACATTAAAGACCATAGAAGAAGAGTGGATTTCTCCAGCCGCTCTGTTTTCGTCTCATTTTCATAAAGTATTAATCCGCAGCTCGAGTTAGTGCAGTGTCCAGTCCTGTTATCGTGGTTATGACAGAGCGACGGGTGAATTATGCACGAGGCACTTTCCTCAAGGATCAGCTTCACCACACGGCGCTAATGTAGTTAGATTAAATACTCATTAAGTAGATTATAGCATGTAAAAAAGTTACTTTTTATCAGTCAGAATATCCATGTAAACAATCCTGCTCCAAGAACTTTTAGTTTAGTCACTCAATAAACCCCTTGAGATTTAATTTATTTAAATACTCCCAATATTATATTATATATATTTTTTATTTTAAATAGTCCCCTCTCTTGGCATCAGTAAGATTCACTGGAGGAGGAAAATGAAACCAATGACAAAGAGCCTCAAGGATTTGAATTAATTTCGATCAGGAGGCTGCGGGGGGACTGTGGGCGGGTCCAACTATTGACACAGATATTTATTTTGTTTAATTGTTTATTTTTGTTTTTATTTTGCTTATTCCATTTCTGATACATACAAAGCTGCTAAACCTGTATATATAACTCTGCTGCATTTTTAACCTTCTCCTCCTCCTCCTCCTCCTCCTCCTCCTCCTCCTTCTTCTTCTTCTTCTTCTTCTTCTTCTTCTTCTTCTTCTTCTTCTTCTTCTTCTTCTTCTTCTTCTTCTTCTTCTTCTTCTTCTTCTTCTTCTTCTTCTTCTTCTTCTTCTTCTTCTTCTTCTTCTTCTTCTTCTTCTTCTTCTTCTTCTTCTTCTTCTTCTTCTTCTTCTTCTTCTTCTTCTTCTCCTCCTTCTTCTCCGTCTTCTTCTTCTTCTTCTTCTCCGTCTTCTTCTTCTTCTTCTCCTTCTTCTTCTTCTTATCCTTCTTCTTCCCAGGACCACATCATAAGTCGTCTTCCAGGCATCGAGCTCTTCCGTCCTCCATGTCCCGGTGAGAGACACACGCCCAACATACATTTAAAGTATTATTTACTCATTTCTTAAAGATTTATGAGAAATGTTTTCTTGAAGCATCACAAACAAGAAAAGTCTGGAATTAAGACAAAATACCAAGCTTAAAACCTCACTGCTCAGACTTTTTCTCTAAGATTAGAAATATCTTAAAACTTGTAAAATAATCTTATGACAAACTACATTCAAGCAAAAACAAAAACAAGCATAATTTATGTTATTTTTAGTGCATAAAGATGAGATAGTATTAAACTTTTCCAGTGTAGCCGTGTCTCAGATCCTCTTTCCTGGTGTCATGTTGACTTCTTTAATGTCAGAGTAAATCCATGAGCTGTATCCATGTCACTGATTCATTTTCATATAAATAACTTATCGACCTATTTGTGGATTTATGTGGATAAAGTATCATCGGTGCTTAGTCTTCGGAAAGTCTCCTTCAGAGTCTCAAAGTCACGACAGGAGAAAAAACAGTCTCATTAAAAAGTCCAGCTCAGAATATTAAGATATTATTTAAAAACTGTCTTTTCTGTGTCATGTTTTCACGAGTGGCTGATGCTGAGATAATGCTTTTGTGGTTTTTATTTAGCTTCACTTTAACTCGACAGTAGTTTCATTCATTCATTTTCAACCCCTTTATTAATCCATTTTTTGGGTCGGGGGGTGCTCTACTGTCGCCCCTTTTTCTAGATGTGACAATTACATTTATAATTAAGATTAATGTCATTGAGAGCTGCACCAGTCCCTCTGATCCTCCTGATCCACGGGAAGTGTGTTGCCCAAGGACACAACAGCAGTAGACATTAGTGGGAGCAGTTGGAGTAGGTCTTGTGGGGGATCAAACCCACAACCTACAGGCTCAAAGGCCAATAACTGATCTACTGTCGCCCCTTTTTCTAGATGTGACAATCGCAATTATAATTAAGATAAATGTGCCAAGAAGATTTGATTTAAAAATACATAGTTTAGATTTTTAGAAATATACTTTTATCTTGAATTATTTTTTCTCTTTTTCTCTCTGATAAAAAATATGTAGAATTTGTTTTGATGTTTTGACTTTGGTAAGAACTTATCTTCAATAAATCAACATAAATACAGTATGTGGTTGAAATCCCAAATATTTGTTTTCTGAATCATATAGAAATGTATCGTTCCAAGTCTGAACGACACACAGCCCTGACTAAAAACAATTATGAACTTGTGTTTTGTCCTTTTCTTCTTTCCTCATGATCAAACTTCGGCTGAGAGGAAAAAGATATCACTATTTTGTTTCTCATTTTGACCGGTCTCAATTTCTGATTAGATTCTACTTTTCATTAAACTAAAAAATAACAAAACACATTCCTTCTGATGCTCCTCCATGTTCCCCAGAGTCCCCAGAGTCCCCACGGTCCCCACGGTCCCCACGGTCCCCACGGTCCCCACGGTCCCCACAGTCCCCAGAGTTCTCAGAGTCTTCACAGTTCCCACAGTCCCCGCAGTCCCCACACTCCCCACAGTCCCCACGGTCCCCACAGTCCCCAGAGTCCCCACACTCCCCACAGTCTCCACGGTCCCCACAGTCCCCAGAGTTCTCAGAGTCTTCACACTCCCCACAGTCCCCACAGTCCCCACACTCCCCACAGTCCCCACAGTCCCCACAGTCCCCACAGTCCCCACGGTCCCCACAGTCCCCAGAGTTCTCAGAGTCTTCACACTCCCCACAGTCCCCACAGTCCCCACACTCCCCACAGTCCCCACAGTTCCCACACTCCCCACAGTTCCCACACTCCCCACAGTCCCCACAGTTCCCACACTCCCCACAGTCCCCACAGTTCCCACAGTCCCCACACTCTCTCCCATGTGGCTCTGCTGCTCCCTCTCCTTGTCCTTGGCACATATTGTTTCTCGGTGGCCTCAGTTTTCTCCTTCACGGCTTCACTAAACGGCTCAGCGTCTGAATTGACTCATCTCCTTTTTGTCCCTCTGCTCTACCCTTCCTTCCTGTTATCCAATCCTCTCTCAGCCCATTACCTCCGCTGGCTGCGTGTTATTGATTTCTCCCCGAGATCACAGACCAAAATACACTCATGCATATTTCTGATGACTGGGCACTTTCCTCTCCTTGTGTGTAGAGATTATATTTATTATTGTGACAGAAAACTCAATGTATGGACACAAGTCTGACTATTTATCCAGTCCTGTCCCAGAAGTTAAAGAGGAAGTCCTAACTTTCAAACCTTTAATGTTTTTAACGTTTTTATTATGTCCTGTACAGTGTCCTTGGGTGTTTAGAAAGGCGCTTTTAAATACAATGTATTATTATTATTATTAATAACTTCCGTCTAATGGGGCTTTCACACCGCCAACGCTGAACACTGAAGCCCCGCCCTCCAGACGCGCATTCTCTAGTTTTCAGACGCAGAGGACTTCACACCAGAACGTCCTGACGCGAGTCGGAAGTACCGGAAGTAGCCGGCTCTGATGCTAACAGAGCTATGCTAGCGGCTTCTTGTGTACAGATCTTCTCCAATATGCAGCTTTGCAGCGGGTCTTTGCTCACAGACCTTCCACGGGCTTTATATAACAGCAGTATGTGTTCACGGAGGTGCACCATATGTTTTTTTATATTATTAAACGGTATTTTTGCATCGGTGAACACACTCAAAGCAGTTGCATAAAGTCACAGGAGCATGACAACGCATATTTTCACAAGCACAGAGTCCACCATTGTCAGCCCTGGTTTGAGTTCTGGTGAAGTCTGGTGTGGGTCCTGTTTTGGCTGTTTACAGTATTTTCAGTCTGCTCGCTCAGTCCGCTAATGTCCCCGTGACCACTTTGCTGCTCTCTGATTGGTTGTCGCACAAACGTCCCAAGGAAAGGATGAGCAGAATCCATCTCCTGTGGGCGTCGATGCTCCTCCCTTTTCACTTTCCCGCCAAGTCCGTGCGTCTCTACTGAACAGTCCGTTCGTGCGAACCGAGAGGTCCGTGCGTTGCGAAGGCCGAACGCGCGTCACCGTAGATTTTGCATTGAAACCCGACGCAGCATGATCCGGTCTGAAAGCACCATAAGTTCATTGGGTCTCAAAACAGCTTGGTTCTTCCACTAGTTTTCACATATGTTTCTGGTTTCAGATAGAAACTGTATCTCACTGTAGCTCGAGACCAGACTAGAACCAGGAAGTACCTTCAGATTAGTCCTGACTAGAACCAGGAAGTACCTTCAGATTAGTCCTGACTAGAACCAGGAAGTACCTTCAGATTAGTCCTGGTCTCAGGTCTCTGCACCTGTGACTCAGAGAATAGTCTTTAAAACAGCTCTTTCTTACAAGTCTCTCCACGGCCCCAAAGTACATCTGTGACATGTTAGTGCCTCCTGCTGGGACTTTGAGGAGCACAGGGACTGGCCTCCTGCCGGGACTCTGAGGAGCACAGGGACTGGCCTCCTGCCGGGACTCTGAGGAGCACAGGGACTGGCCTCCTGCTGGGACTCTGAGGAGCACAGGGACTGACCTCCTGCCGGGACTCTGAGGAGCACAGGGACTGGCCTCCTGCCGGGACTCTGAGGAGCACAGGGACTGGCCTCCTGCTGGGACTCTGAGGAGCACAGGGACTGGCCTCCTGCTGGGACTCTGAGGAGCACAGGGACTGGACTCCTGCTGGGGACTCTGAGGAGCACAGGGACTGGCCTCCTGCTGGGACTCTGAGGAGCACAGGGACTGGCCTCCTGCCGGGACTCTGAGGAGCACAGGGACTGGCCTCCTGCTGGGACTCTGAGGAGCACAGGGACTGGCCTCCTGCCGGGACTCTGAGGAGCACAGGGACTGGCCTCCTGCCGGGACTCTGAGGAGCACAGGGACTGGCCTCCTGCTGGGACTCTGAGGAGCACAGGGACTAGCCTCGGGACTCTGAGGAGCACAGGGACTGGCCTCCTGCTGGGACTCTGAGGAGCACAGGGACTGGCCTCCTGCTGGGACTCTGAGGAGCACAGGGACTGGCCTCCTGCTGGTCCCAGAGTCAGGACTAAACCTGAGCATTTCAGATCAATGCTGCTAAAATCTGGATCAGTCTTCCTAAAAATGTGAGACAGGCTTCTTCTCTGACAATGTCCAAATTCAGGTTAAAACATGTTTTTTTTTAATCTACTGTGATTATTTATGATTATTTATTTTTGCCTTGGGTGATTTTAATGTTTCTTTTCTAGTTTTGTTCAGCAGTATGAGTTTCTTGTCTATGAACTGTGCTATACAAATAACCTTGGAAACCTTAAAATTGGTCTCCTTCAGCTTTAGTGCAATGTAGAGAAGCACAGCATGGATTTGTGGATTTGGAACTATAAATTGTGACCAAAATTGTACAAATATATAAGTAATTACAATTATAATGTGAGCTACACAAATGACTGTGCAACTATGTAACTTATGTGTAACTCTCTGTAACGTTTGTGTAACTTTTGTGTAACTCTCGAGTTCTTGTGTGTTGCCGCAGGATGCTCGGACGGCAGCAGCATCAGCGCAGACTTCAGAGCAGAGAAGAAGAACTCGGCTCCTGTCGCTCTGAGGAGGACCAAGAGGCAGCTGGGGTACTCTCCGGTACGACCTCCGAACACATTCATAATAATAATAATAATAATAATAATAACCATTGTGTTGTCATTGTTGGGGCAGAGCTTTAGCTTTAGCTTGACGTTTGCTTTTTTGAAAAAACAGAGGGAATGTCCAGACTTACAGAATAACAGAGGAATGAGGTCTTAATAAGGGTGCTTTGTGCCTGTGGTATAAATACATCCAAGTCTCACACACAGCAGCGAGTTGGAGTATTCTGGTGACATCTAGTGGATTAAAATGAAATTACATCAGTCGACCTTCACTACTGCAGAGATAATTCTGTGGCGTAGGTTCAGGTGTGTAGTTTTACATTCATCTTAGAGTGTAAACAAGGGAATAAGAATGTCTGGTGTGTAAACTATTGCTTTAAACAATGACTACTGTCTGTTTGTTTATGGGCTGTGATTGACAAGCGAGCTGTCACTCAGAGCCCAGACCACGCCCAGCTCTAAGCCCCGCCTTCTTGTCCCCTGGTCCTTCAGGCAACAGCCTTTATTGGCCCAGTCCCAACACTCGCACTTCCACCTCGCGCCCCTCATTTGTGCGTTCCCGATGATGGGTGCGAGTGCGTAGGGTACTGTCCCAATTCTCCAGGGAGGTCTTTGGCCCCGCCCCCTTTGCGCCCCTGATCCACATTTCGCCGTAGTCTGCATCTAAGCGGAATTCTTTGCGGTAAACACCAAAACGTCGGGAAAATGCATTTAAGTGTAAGCTTTGAAATATATATGCTGTATGCGAGTTAATACGTTTAGCTGTTACTTGGAAAGAAGCATAAACGTCTGATGAAGAATTACGGACATTGTATTCAAACAATTTCACTACTTTTTTAATCCAAGCATTCATATAACATTCAATTTAAACTTTACACTTAGTACAATAAACTTAGAATGTATAAAAACTGACCAGATAACAGTTAGTTACCTACATTTAACTTAAAATTATACAGCTATCTCAAATTACGAATAACCAATATACATTTATTTCAACGTGTGTGGAGCAACTCAATTTGTTTCCCACAGAGTCAGACAAAATGAAAGTGTAGGTCTGAAAATGACCATCTCTGGACGACGTAACTGTCCCAATTCCTCTTTTTCTGCTGTAACCTTCCACTCAGACCCTTCAAACAAATGCACACTTCGTAGAGGGGTGTAGGGGGCAGTGTGGGTAATGGGATGGTCAGCACTAGATCATAGACGGAATCAGGACGGAAGTGGAAGTAAATATAACAAACTACCTATTCATGCCTAAACTTAACCAGCCATTCCCATTAAATAACCCCAACCCACCTTAACCCTAAAAAACTTAACCAGTCACCACTTGGACTTATTAGTCTAAAACTAATTCGAAAGTAGGATTGTTACTTCCGGTTTTGTCCTGATTCCGTTTATGATCTAGTGCCGACTGGGATTGGGCCTTAGAGAGAATTTTCAAATGTTCTTGTGGGCGGAGTCAAGCTGGGCACAGGTGTTTAGTTAGCCTTTAATATGGGGGGATTTTATTACATATTTATTGTTTTTTTGTGATTTGAAAGTTTGGTCCCGCAGCTTTAGAGAATATCTTCACCCTAAGTGACAAGGACCTACATATAAATAGAACCGAAATCAGTTCATTTTATTTTCTCAAACTAGTTCATAAAAAAAATATAATAATCAGTGACAAATCTCTAACTTGACACAGTATCTGCTCTAAACGCTCGGACTTAACCTGATCAGCAAAACTAAAGTGTCTCTCGGCCTTGACTTGTTGTGGTCTGAAGGACACGGACTTAAGTTTCACTGCGTCAGCTCCTGGATGTGAGACTTTCTGCCTGTGGTCTCTGTGAAGGTGACATGTCTAACGTGCGCCCCCTACAGGTGAGGAGAGGCCAGCGCACGGTGCAGACTGAGACCAAGTACATCGAGCTGATGGTGGTGAACGACCATGAACTGGTGCGTCGCTACGAACACTGTTGTAAAGAGTTAAAAAGCTCATTCCTAGTGTTAAATGTTTTGCTTTTGTTTTAGTTTGTGCAGCTGCGGCGCTCGATCCCTCACACCAAGAACTTTGCCAAAGCAGTGGTGAACATGGCAGACGCGGTAAGAACTTATTATTTATTTAATCAGTTTATTTGACAGGGACATTGTGCATGAATTCAAAAATAAATACAAATGTTCTGTAAATGCACCAGAATTCACCAAGCAGGGTATTTTCCATCTGCAGTGTCTGGACAGGTGCACAGTCTCCCTAAAGATAACAACAGTAACAGTCGTACAATAATAAAATGCAGAAAAACACAGACAGTCGGGAGAACAAAAAAACATACATGATATAATAAAAATACAGTTCACAAACGAAGGAGACATTTACAAAACAGTGAGTAAATCTACCTAATGCTCATGTGGCTGCTGTGGAACCAAAGCTGTGATTTATATATGATAATTGTTAGATAACTGAATATACCACTGACTGAGCTAAGCTGTAGCAACCACATCATTCCAGTTAAAAAGTCTTAACCTCTTCCCACTCCTTTTTGAGCTGACTATTTTTTAATAAAACTAAACGTACTGTATATTTGTGTATTATCATGTATTGTGTCTTTTTATATTCTGTTGTTGTTCTGTTGTTGTTCTTTGTTCCTGTTTGCCATGGCTCAAAATGAAGTATTCTTTCATTCATTCATTCATTACAACCAAAAACAAACCCAGGCATTGTGGGAATTATGAATGACAACAGTGTTAGTGGTCGAAGCCATATGTAGTGATGTTTTATCTCTATTTTAAATGAATAACATTGAGAATGATGAGTGTACACAGAGCCTTGCAAAAGTACATTTGTATCCCTGCAGCTTATACAGCGATGCGGCTAATATGTGGTTTAATGTGTCGAGTTTATGGGCTTATCATTACTTTGACACTGGTTTTGTGTCAGAATAGGTGAAAGTGAAAGAGTCATGGAAGCTAACGGCTAAGCTAATAAACACCTCTTCGTTAAATCAGGACCAGTTAACTCTTTAGGCGCCATTTTTTATATGTAATGTTTTTCTATGTGTTTTGAAAAACTAAAGAGGTAAAAGTTTTCTTTCTGCTACTTTACAAAATAAAACCCGCGGCTTATATTCAGGTGCGGCTTATACATGGACAAAATTAACTTTCTTTTAAAATATACAGTACAGACCAAAGGTTTGGACACACCACATTCAAAGAGCTTTTTATGTTCATGATTATGAAAATGGTAGATTGACACTGAAGGCATCGAACCTATGATGAACTCATGTGAATTATGTCCGTAGTAAAAAAGTATGACCCAAGTGTAAATATGTGTTTTATTCTGGTTCTTCAAAGTAGCTCCTTTTGCTCTGATACTGCTTCACTCTTGGCATTCTCTGGATGAGCTTCAACAGGACCTGAAATGGTCTCCAACAGTCTGGAAGGAGTTCCCATGATGCTTAGCACTTGTTGGCCCCAAAACCATCTGGACTGGGTTCAGCCCCAAAACCATCTGGACTGGGTCCAGCCCCAAAACCATCTGGACTGGGTCCAGCCCCAAAACCATCTGGACTGGGTTCAGCCCCAAAACCATCTGGACTGGGTCCAGCCCCAAAACCATCTGGACTGGGTCCAGCCCCAAAACCATCTGGACTGGGTTCAGCCCCAAAACCATCTGGTCTGGGTTCAGCTCCAAAACCATCTGGACTGGGTCCAGCCCCAAAACCATCTGGACTGGGTCCAGCCCCAAAACCATCTGGACTGGGTTCAGCCCCAAAACCATCTGGACTGGGTCCAGCCCCAAAACCATCTGGACTGGGTTCAGGTCCAAAACCATCTGGACTGGGTTCAGGTCCAAAACCATCTGGACTGGGTTCAGGTCTGGTCTCTCTCCTTATTGGTCAAATAGCTCTTACACAGCCTGGTGCGGGTCTACAGCAATAGTCATGAAAAGACCTCAGTGAAGGAGAGAGGGTGTCCAAACATTTGGTCTGTACTGTAGGTGGTGCGGCTTATACTCAGGTGCACTTTATAGTCCAGAATGTATGCCCTTTTGGAGAAATGTAACCAAAACCAGGTAAAAGTAATGAAAAAGTCCACACCTCATGACATATTTGCCACAGATCTACAAGGAGCAGCTGCACACTCGCATCGTCCTGGTTGCCATGGAGACCTGGTCGGCGGAGAACAAGGTGGCGGTGGGCGATGACGCTTTGCTAACGCTGAGAGACTTCATGAAGTACCGGAGAGAGAGCGTCCGGCAGCGCTGCGACGCCGTGCACCTCTTCTCGTGGGTCTCTGGGTCAGTTTGGTTCAGTTTCCTTTGATGGTCCTTTGATCTCTGGTGTTTCTGTCTCCTCCAGCGGCAGGACGTTCATGAGCAGCCGGAGCGAAGCCGCATACGTCGGAGGCATCTGCTCTTTGACCAGAGGGGGCGCCATCAACGAGGTGAGGCTGTCCTCAAGCTGGGACTGAGGACTGAGGCTGTAGACCCAGGACTGATGCTGTAGACCCAGGACTGAGGCTGTAGACCCAGGACTGAGGCTGTAGATCCAGGACTGAGGCTGTAGATACAGGACTGAGGCTGTAGACCCAGGACTGAGGCTGTAGACCCAGGACTGAGGCTGTAGACCCAGGACTGATGCTGTAGACCCAGGACTGAGGCTGTAGACCCAGGACTGATGCTGTAGACCCAGGACTGAGGCTGTAGACCCAGGACTGAGGCTGTAGATCCAGGACTGAGGCTGTAGACCCAGGACTGAGGCTGTAGACCCAGGACTGAGGCTGTAGATACAGGACTGAGGCTGTAGACCCAGGACTGAGGCTGTAGACCCAGGACTGAGGCTGTAGACCCAGGACTGTGGCTGTAGACCCAGGACTGAGGCTGTAGACCCAGGACTGAGGCTGTAGACCCAGGACTGTGGCTGTAGACCCAGGACTGAGCTGTAGATCCAGGACTGAGGCTGTAGACCCAGGACTGAGGCTGTAGACCCAGGACTGAGGCTGTAGATCCAGGACTGAGGCTGTAGACCCAGGACTGAGGCTGTAGATCTAGGACTGAGGCTGTAGATCTAGGTCTGAGGCTGTAGATCCAGGACTGAGGCTGTAGATCCAGGACTGAGGCTGTAGACCCAGGACTGAGGCTGTAGATCTAGGACTGAGGCTGTAGATCTAGGTCTGAGGCTGTAGATCCAGGACTGAGGTTGTAGACCTAGGACTGAGGCTGTAGATCTAGGACTGAGGCTGTAGATCTAGGTCTGAGGCTGTAGATCCAGGACTGAGGCTGTAGACCTAGGACTGAGGCTGTAGATCTAGGTCTGAGGCTGTAGATCCAGGGCTGAGGCTGTAGATGTTGTTTTGCAGTACGGCAGTGTGGGACCCATGGCCATCACTCTGAGCCAGAGTCTGGGACAGAACATTGGGATGTACAGGAACAAGGAGCGGACTGCAGCAAGTAAGACCTGTGCTCACCAGCGCCCTCTAGTGGCACCGCTGAGTATCTGTGTGTGTTCAGGTGACTGAGCGCCCTCTAGTGGCACAGCTGAGTATCTGTGTGTGTTCAGGTGACTGAGCGCCCTCTAGTGGCACAGCTGAGTATCTGTGTGTGTTCAGGTGACTGAGCGCCCTCTAGTGGCACAGCTGAGTATCTGTGTGTGTTCAGGTGACTGAGCGCCCTCTAGTGGCACAGCTGAGTATCTGTGTGTGTTCAGGTGACTGAGCGCCCTCTAGTGGCACAGCTGAGTATCTGTGTGTGTTCAGGTGACTGAGCGCCCTCTAGTGGCACAGCTGAGTATCTGTGTGTGTTCAGGTGACTGCAGGTGTCCGGACCCGTGGCTCGGCTGTATCATGGAGGACACAGGGTACAACTGTGAACGTTCAGACTAAACACATTCTTATAAAAGTACTAACACTCTCTTCACAGCTACTATTTGCCGAGGAAGTTTTCCCGCTGCAGCATCGATGAGTATCTGCGCTTCCTCCAACTGGGAGGAGGCAGCTGTCTGTTCAACAAACCAAGCAAGGTCAGGGACCATGAAGACCATGGAACTAAACAGTCAGAGACCATGAAGACCATCAAACTAAACAGTTAGAGACCATGAGACTAAACAGTTAGTGACCATCAGACTAAACAGTTAGTGACCATGGAGACGAGGAGTGGGCGGGGCTTATGGTTCCAGAAGTAATATTCCCCGTGTAAATAATAATAATAATAAAAATTGAGAAATATGAATATAGTGAGTTTTTAAGACATGACGGGCAGTTACCTAGCAACAGTAGTAGTAGACAGTAGTTTCCGGGTTACCTAGCAACAGTAGTAGTGGACAGTAGTTCCCAGGTTACCTAGCAACAGTAGTAGTAGACAGTAGTTCCCAGGTTACCTAGCAACAGTAGTAGTAGACAGTAGTTCCCAGGTTACCTAGCAACAGTAGTAGTAGACAGTAGTTCCCAGGTTACCTAGCAACAGTAGTAGTAGACAGTAGTTCCCAGGTTACCTAGCAACACTAGTAGTAGACAGTAGTTCCCAGGTTACCTAGAAACACTAGTAGTAGACAGTAGTTCCCAGGTTACCTAGCAACAGTAGTAGTAGACAGTAGTTCCCAGGTTACCTAGCAACAGTAGTAGTAGACAGTAGTTCCCAGGTCACCTAGCTCCCTGTGAGCTACTGTCCACAGCACTGAGGTTTCAATGAAAGAATTATTTTGCTTAACTTTGCCATTTTTTAAGATTTTATAAACATTCTGTATTTCTGTAGGTCTGTAGTTATTACTCACCGTTTGCGGATCAGACCTGAACATGTTTTGAATTCTATAAGAAATATCTTGGAGGATTTTATTTCTGAAAACTCTAAGCTCCGCCCACTTTGCAGATTTTGACCATATCCGTCCAACACGTTTTGTAAATATTTGTTTGTGTTGTGTTGTTCCTCCTGCAGCTGCTGGATCCTCCTGAGTGTGGCAACGGATACGTGGAGCCAGGAGAGGAGTGCGACTGTGGATCACTACTCGTGAGTCTGACTCCAAAACCCTTCAACACAGAGGGATTAAAGCTGGGGTACATAACTTCATGAGACCAAACTCTGAAAAACAAAATCAAAACAGATTAATTATCTTTAGTTTTCAGATTCATGTATTTTTCTAGATTTTTTCAGACAAAAAGATCAAAAAGAAAGGACCTTCTTCTCTGTCCCTTTTCTGCTCTCAGACTCAGACCCAGACTCAACATATTTTTTAATCAGATACACAGAAAAAAATCCCTTAAAATAAGTAAAATACTGGTTTAATTATAAAACATCTGATCTGACAATAGAAGAAGAAAATATGACTTAAGATTTCTGAAAATAATGAAATAAAACTAGTCCCAAACGACTTGATTCTAGTTTAAAAACATACATTTAAAGTTATTTCCCTTTTTTTACGTTTTCTTAAATACAGCATCACACGTGTAAGAGTCTGGAAATAAGGCTTAAAACAAACTTAAAAACTCACGGCTCAATAAGATGATTATAGTATTAGTCTGTAAGTATCTATAATTATTATCTTAAAACTAGTGAAATAATCTCATGACAAAATATATTCAGTTAAAAAATAAGCATCATTTGTTTTTTCAGTGAATAAATCAGGAACTGTTTCTTGACTGTTTGTTTCCTGTAGGAATGTTCTCGGAGCGGCGCCAACTGCTGCAAAAAGTGCACTTTAACTCACAACGCCATGTGCAGCAACGGCCTCTGCTGCAGGGACTGCAAGGTACGTACCTTTATCAGCTCACAGGTACGTACCTTTACCAGCTCACAGGTACGAACCTTTACCAACTCACAGGTACGAGCCTTTACCAACTCACAGGTACGAGCCTTTACCAGCTCACAGGTACGAACCTTTACCAGCTCACAGGTACGAACCTTTACCAGCTCACAGGTACGAACCTTTACCAGCTCACAGGTACGAACCTTTACCAGCTCACAGGTACGAACCTTTACCAGCTCACAGGTACGAACCTTTACCAGCTCACAGGTACGTACCTTTACTGGCTCACAGGTACGAACGAGAACCTTTACCGGCTCACAGGTACAAACGAGAACCTTCACCGGCTCACAGGTACGATTGAGAACCTTTACCGGCTCAAAGGTACAAATAAGAACCTTTACCGGCTCAAAGGTACAAATAAGAACCTTTACCGGCTCAAAGGTACAAATAAGAACCTTTACCGGCTCAAAGGTACAAATAAGAACCTTTACCGGCTCAAAGGTACAAATAAGAACCTTTACCGGCTCAAAGGTACGAACAAGAACCTTCACCGGCTCTAAGGTACGAACTTTACTGGTTTCAGGTAGGATTCAGAGATATTTAATTGTAGACGTTGACGTTTCTCTGTTGTCCCTTTGTCTCTGATCATCAGTACGAGCTTCGAGGAGTGACGTGTCGTGACAGTGTGAACGACTGCGACATCCCAGAGACCTGCACCGGGGACTCCAGTCAGGTGAGAGGGTCAGTCCCTGTGAGCCCAGGGCCAGTCCCTGTGAGCTCAGGTCAGTCCCTGTGAGCCCAGGGTCAGTCCCTGTGAGCTCAGGTCAGTCCCTGTGAGCCCAGGGCCAGTCCCTGTGAGCTCAGGTCAGTCCCTGTGAGCCCAGGGCCAGTCCCTGTGAGCTCAGGTCAGTCCCTGTGAGCCCAGGGTCAGTCCCTGTGAGCCCAGGTCAGTCCCTGTGAGCCCAGGGTCAGTCCCTGTGAGCTCAGGTCAGTCCCTGTGAGCCCAGGTCAGTCCCTGTGAGCTCAGGTCAGTCCCTGTGAGCCCAGGTCAGTCCCTGTGAGCTCAGGTCAGTCCCTGTGAGCCCAGGTCAGTCCCTGTGAGCTCAGGTCAGTCCCTGTGAGCTCAGGTCAGTCCCTGTGAGCCCAGGTCAGTCCCTGTGAGCTCAGGTCAGTCCCTGTGAGCCCAGGTCAGTCCCTGTGAGCCCAGGTCAGTCCCTGTGAGCCCAGGTCAGTCCCTGTGAGCCCAGGTCAGTCCCTGTGAGCCCAGGTCAGTCCCTGTGAGCCCAGGGTTATGACGTTCGGACCATTTCAATTCTAAAAGTTAAAAGTTAAAAACAAAGTATTAAAGTATGTTTCTCTTTTCTCTGTAGTGTCCTCACAACGTCCACAAACTGGACAGTTACATGTGTGATGCTGGACAGGTACGAGCTCTCACACACACACACACTGTCGATCACACACACACACACACACACACACTGTCGATCACACACACACACACACACTGTTGATCACACACTGTCGATCACACACACACACACACACACTGTTGATCACACACACACACACACACACACACACACACACACACTGTCGATCACACACACACACACACACACACACTGTTGATCACACACACACACACGTTATGTTCATCACATCTGCACTGGTGTGTCCTTCTCTTGGTGTGTCCCTTGTGCACCAAAATAACCCAAAGTAAAAAATAAATAAAAATACTAACTTGAGCGAGGTTGCCAGGTAAGGAAATGGTTGTGTAGTTTCAGCCTCTTATTGATCACCTCAGACACACCTGCGCTACTTATTCTTCAAAAGGACGTATATCCCAAAGCACTGCAGGGATATGGATTGATCCTAATGAATACAATTATAAAGTGAGGTAGTCCAGGTTTAAGTTGTGTGTGTGTGTGTGTGTGTTTGTGTGTTTGTGTGTGTGTGTGTCTGTGTGTGTGTCAGGGCCGCTGTTACGGAGGCCGCTGTAAGACCAGGGACGGTCAGTGCCGGACTCTCTGGGGCTACAGTAAGTCCTCATTATTTCATATTTATATATTTTATTGGGTTCATATCTGTATCGTTGTGTTTTCAGACTCAGCCGACCGATTTTGTTACGAAAAACTCAACTCTGAAGGAACAGAACAAGGGAACTGTGGTCACGACGCCACGGGACACGGCTGGGCGCCCTGCAGCAAACCGTGAGGACATCAACCTTCTCCACGCCATCTCAGAGACTTCTAACTGTTTTGATTTGATGTTGTTCCAGAGACGTGTTGTGTGGTTTACTGCTCTGCACCAACATGACTCTGAGGCCCAGGTTTGGAGAGTTACGAGGGAAAGTCACCAGTCTGACCATCTACCACCAGAGCAGATACCTGGACTGCAGGTCAGGGCTCCGGGTCTAACCAAAGCAGATACCTGGACTGCAGGTCAGGGCTCCGGGTCTAACCAAAGCAGATACCTGGACTGTAGGTCAGGGCTCCGGGTCTAACCAAAGCAGATACCTGGACTGCAGGTCAGGGCTCCGGGTCTAACCAAAGCAGATACCTGGACTGCAGGTCAGGGCTCCGGGTCTAACCAAAGCAGATACCTGGACTGCAGGTCAGGGCTCCGGGTCTAACCAGAGCAGATACCTGGACTGCAGGTCAGGGCTCCGGGTCTAACCAGAGCAGATACCTGGACTGTAGGTCAGGGCTCCGGGTCTAACCAAAGCAGATACCTGGACTGCAGGTCAGGGCTCCGGGTCTAACCAGAGCAGATACCTGGACTGCAGGTCAGGGCTCCGGGTCTAACCAAAGCAGATACCTGGACTGCAGGTCAGGGCTCCGGGTCACCAAAGCAGATACCTGGACTGCAGGTCAGGGCTCCGGGTCTAACCAAAGCAGATACCTGGACTGCAGGTCAGGGCTCCGGGTCTAACCAGAGCAGATACCTGGACTGTAGGTCAGGGCTCCGGGTCTAACCAGAGCAGATACCTGGACTGCAGGTCAGGGCTCCGGGTCTAACCAGAGCAGATACCTGGACTGCAGGTCAGGGCTCCGGGTCTAACCAGAGCAGATACCTGGACTGTAGGTCAGGGCTCCGGGTCTAACCAGAGCAGATACCTGGACTGCAGGTCAGGGCTCCGGGTCTAACCAGAGCAGATACCTGGACTGCAGGTCAGGGCTCCGGGTCTAACCAAAGCAGATACCTGGACTGCAGGTCAGGGCTCCGGGTCTAACCAAAGCAGATACCTGGACTGCAGGTCAGGGCTCCGGGTCTAACCAAAGCAGATACCTGGACTGCAGGTCAGGGCTCCGGGTCTAACCAAAGCAGATACCTGGACTGCAGGTCAGGGCTCCGGGTCTAACCAGAGCAGATACCTGGACTGCAGGTCAGGGCTCCGGGTCTAACCAGAGCAGATACCTGGACTGTAGGTCAGGGCTCCGGGTCTAACCTGGACTGCAGGTCAGGGCTCCGGGTCTAACCAGAGCACTGGCAGTGGAAGTTACTGTTTGAATACATATTAATAATATCTTACGAAAACAAAGTCATTCTTCTATACGGGGGTCTCAAACTTGTGTTTTTGTGTGTGCAACATATACAGACAATCCTTGTTCTGTGCCCAAAAATAACAATTGTAAACCGCTTTGTGACTCTGGTCTGTGAAAGGCGGTATATAAATAAAGCTTACTTACTTACTTAAAACAACCACTAACGCTCCACACACAGTTTAGCTCCTGGATTCATTAAGAAGAAAGTTAATGTTTGTTCTTGTGCAGAGATGTCAAAGTCAAATACATCAGAGGCCAAAAAAACACATTTGCCACAAGCTGAAAACTGGATCACCAGTTACTGAACAGTCGGAACGATAACTCTGTTCTAAATAAGATTAAATAAAAATCTCTAACTCTAGAATGAAGAAAAACAAGTGTTGTGGTGTACTAGTACTAAAAAGGGGATAAAATAAAAATAAGACCAGGACACGTCTTTGCTCAAGCCTTGCTGGTTTATGAATGAGGAAAGACGGTGACGCTCAAGAGGATCTCCCCCTGCTGGACACTCCACGTAACTGCACTAACAACACAAAATCATCTGGTTACAGTGGCAGTTGTTGAAAGTGTGTTGCCACTGAGCAGCTGCGGCTTCAGCTTCAGCTTGACGTGTGCTTTTGAAATAGCAAAAAGATGGAATGTCCAGAAGTCCAGACTTACGGAATAACAGAGGAACGAGGTCTTAATAAGGCACAAAGTCCATGGTTCCCAACAGACCATTCCACATCCACAAACGAGCACAGTCAAAAAACACTTGGGCCTAAACCCGGGTCAGCTTCCACATGACACTCACGGGTTCCCCCTACTGTCATTAAAAGGAACTGCACGTTACCTGGCCACACCCAAACACACACAAAATAAAAGAATAGGGGCCAACAAAACAAGATAGGGAATGAAATGTTTAAGGCCTCTGCTTTATATTTATCTCTGAAAGTGAAGAGAGTGTTTCTTCCATTTGACGAGTGTGTGTTGGGCAGAGGGGGTCATGCGGTGCTGGACGACGGCCTGGACCTGGGTTACGTGGAGGACGGGACACCCTGTGGTCCAAACATGATGTGTCTGGAGCGCCGCTGTCTCCCGGTGACGACCTTTAACCTCAGCACCTGCCCTGGCTCCTCCCCCTTCCGCATCTGCTCCAGTCACGGGGTAAAAGTCTGTCTCTGAGCTCCCACTACAGCTGACCTACACACCATCCTCCACCAGGGGGCGCCAACCTTCACACAGAGAGATTAAGTCGTTTTTATCTTTAAGGTTTAGAAAGGTTTTACTTTTTACTTTACATTTTAAACTCTTTCAGTTGGGACAATGAGAACACCGATTATTTATGGCAAAAGTTAGGTAACCCAGCTTTAAAAGGTCAATACAAAAACTTTGTCTTGTTTTGTAAAGATTAGTAGGTTTTTATTGGCCCCACAGTGAGGAAATGTCAGTGTTGCATCAGCAGTTACAGAGGTAAGAATGAGGAGATCACAACATAAGAAAAAAGAACCACAACTCTCTACAATAACAATCTCTAACTTTAGCATCATACAGAAACAAGTCTAAAATCTCTAACTTTAGCATCATAAAGAAACAAGTCTAAAATCTCTAACTTTAGCGTCATAAAGAAACAAGTCTAAAATCTCTAACTTTAGCGTCATAAAGAAACAAGTCTAAAATCTCTAACTTTAGCGTCATAAAGAAACAAGTCTAAAATCTCTAACTTTAGCATCATAAAGAAACAAGTCTAAAATCTCTAACTTTAGCATCATACAGAAACAAGTCTAAAATCTCTAACTTTAGCGTCATAAAGAAACAAGTCTAAAATCTCTAACTTTAGCGTCATAAAGAAACAAGTCTAAAATCTCTAACTTTAGCGTCATAAAGAAACAAGTCTAAAATCTCTAACTTTAGCATCATAAAGAAACAAGTCTAAAATCTCTAACTTTAGCATCATACAGAAACAAGTCTAAAATCTCTAACTTTAGCGTCATAAAGAAACAAGTCTAAAATCTCTAACTTTAGCATCATACAGAAACAAGTCTAAAATCTCTGCTCTATATTCTTCTTCCATGTAAATATCATTGTCTTTAAACATGTTTTTAAAGCTGTAAACTCTAACTTCTTCCTGTGCCTGGTCCAGACGTGCAACAATGAAGTGAAGTGCATCTGTGATCCGGACTACACCGGGACGGACTGCAGCGTGTTCGACCCCACCCCCATCCCCACCCCCCCTGAGGGAGCAGCGGCACATAAAGGTGACCCCCCCTGAGGGAGCAGCGGCACATAAAGGTGACCCCCCGAGGAGGCGGCACATAAAGGTGACCCCCCCACCCCCCCTGAGGGAGCAGCGGCACATAAAGGTGACCCCCCCCAGACCCCCCCTGAGGGAGTCCAGGCGCACAAAGGTGACCCCCCCCCACCCCCAGCAGAGGCCTCATGTCCGTCCTCTAAACCCATACAAACACACTGTCACACATTAACCTTATGGGACTGGAGACAACAGAAAACAACTTCCCTTAGAACTCACCACATGGATCTGACAGACCAGACCAGACCAGACCAGACCAGACTAATCTGACAGACCAGACCAGACCAGACCAGACCAGACCAGACCAGACCAGACCAGACCAGACCAGACCAGACCAGACTGACCAGACCAGACTAATCTGACTGACCAGACTGACCAGACTGATCTGACAGACCAGACCAGACCAGACTGACCAGACTGACCAGACTGACCAGACTGACCAGACCAGACTGATCTGACAGACCAGACCAGACCAGACTGACCAGACCAGACCAGACTGATCTGACAGACCAGACCAGACCAGACTGACCAGACCAGACCAGACTGACCAGACTGACCAGACCAGACTGATCTGACTGACCAGACTGATAAGATAAACCTTTATTAGTCTCACAGTGGAGAAATTTCAGAAAATTCAGTCAGACCAGACCAGACCAGACTGATCTGACAGACCAGACCAGACCAGACTGACCCGTCTCCTCCTCGGTGCAGGTCCCAGTGGCACCAACATCATCATTGGTTCCGTGGCGGGGGCCATCCTGGTGGCGGCCATCATCCTGGGGGGCACCGGCTGGGGGTTCAAGTAAGAGCTCTGCATAGATCCTCCTCTCCTTTCTCTAAACAGTTCTGTATGAAGTATTCTCACATCATCACCACAGGAACCGAAGAACATTTATATATCTGTAACTTTTTCATAAAAACACTTTTGTCAGAACTAAAAACTAAAACAATGCTTTACACGAGTTTCCAAACACGGATCATAATAAGATCAGGACAATCCACATGAGGCTCATTTTTTATTTATGTTTTATTTATATTTTATTGGTTTTCTTTTGCAGTCCTAACACTATGACAAAAGTTATAAAGAAATAAAATAAAAAAAAGATGCCATGAGGGGAGAAAATAAGCAAAAATAAATATAAAGTTAATAATATAAATACAAAAAATAAAAATAAAAAAAGTATAATAAATAATAATAATAATAATAAATAATAATGATAATAAAAAAAATATTATAAAAAATAAATAACCAACATAAAGAAATACCTCATATAAAGTAAGAAATAATAATAATGAAGAATATTTCTGTTTACGATTTCCAAGCAAATCCTCCAATCAGAGCGCAGACTGAGGCCCTCATTTGGGTTGCCAGATTGGGAAATGTAGCTGCTTTTGGCTCTTTACTGTTTTTTTTTTTTTTTTTAACAACTTAAAACAAAAATGAGCATCACAGATACTGAAACTAAACGAGTCCTTCCTGTTACTGAGCCACTCCCACAGTTTCAGCTAAACCCCAGCAGGTGGATTGCCTCAGCCTGAAGTCTCTATGAGCACTGTTCCCGTTAGTGTCTGTGTTACACCAAAAACGATACAAAAAAACGGTAAATAATTTGTTCTCCTCTGACACTCGTTCTTTCTCTCTCTCTCTTTTCCACATCGTTCCGAATCAGAAACATCCGCAGAGGAAGGTACGACGCTGCGTTTCCATAGTAACCCCAACATTTCACTGTTTCATGTTTTTTAGTTTTTACGTCGATTTGTTTGTGTTTGTTTTGTGCGTTTCATTTGTAAAGTTGTGTAATAAAAGGTTTCACTTTGATGTTGCTTCTGTTGCTAATGTGTTTCCTCTTCTCCTCCTTCTCCTCCTTCTCCTCCCTCTCTCTCCTCCCTCTCCACCGTCCCCTCCCACCCCTCCTCCCTCCCACCCTTCTCACCCCTCCTACTCCTTTTTCCTCCTCCCACTCTTTTCCCTCCCCCCCTCCCTCTCCTCTCTCCTTCCCACTTCCTCTTTCCTCCCCACCCTCCTCCTCTCTCTCCTCTCTCCTCCCTCCCCCCTCTCTCTCCTCCCCCTCCCCTCTCCTCCTCCCTTCCCCTCTCCTCCCTCCCTCTCCTCTCTCCTCCCTCTCTCTCTCCTCCCTCTCTCCTCCTCCCTCTCCCCCTCTCCTCCTCCCTCCACCTCCCCTCCTCCTCCCTCTCGCTCCTCCCTCTCTCTCCTCTCTCCTCTCTCCCCTCTCTCTCTCCTCCCCCTCCCCTCTCCTCCTCCCTTCCCCTCTCCTCCCTCTCCCCCCTCCCTCCCCTCTCTCTCCTCCCTCTCCTTCCTCTCCCTCTCCTCCTCCCTCTCTCTCTCCTCCCCCTCCCCTCTCCTCCTCCCTTCCCCTCTCCTCCCTCTCCCCCCTCCCTCCCCTCTCTCTCCTCCCTCTCCTTCCTCTCCCTCTCCTCCTCCCTCTCTCTCTCCTCCCTCTCTCCTCCTCCCTCTCTCTCTCCTCCCCCTCCCCTCTCCTCCTCCCTTCCCCTCTCCTCCTCCCTTCCCCTCTCCTCCCTCTCCCCCCTCCCTCCCCTCTCTCTCCTCTCTCTCCTCCTCCCTCCACCTCCCCTCCTCCTCCCTCTCTCTCCTCTCTCTCTCCTCTCTCCTCCCTCCCCCCTCTCTCTCCTCCCTCTCTCCTCCCTCTCCTCTCTCCTCCCTCTCTCCTCCTCCTCCCCTTCCCCTCTCCTCCCTCTCCCTCCCCTCTCTCCTCCTCCCTCTCCCCCTCTCCTCCTCCCTCTCCTCCTCTCTCTCCTCCTCCCTCTCCCCGTCTCCTCCTCCCCCTCTCCTCCTCCCTCTCCCCCTCTCCTCCTCCCTCTCCTCCTCCCTCTCTCTCCTCCCTCTCCCCCTCTCTCTCCTCCCTCCCCCCCTCTCCTCCTCCCTCCACCTCCCCTCCTCCTCCCTCTCGCTCCTCCCTCCCTCCCTCTCTTCCTCCCTCTCTCTCTCCTCCCTCTCTCTCTCCTCCCTCTCCCCCTCTCTCTCCTCCCTCTCCCCCTCCCCTCCTCCTCCCTCTCGCTCCTCCTCCCTCCCTCTCACCCTCTCTCTCCTCCCTCTCTCTCCTCTCTCCTCCCTCCCCCCCTCTCTCCTCCCTCTCTCCTCCCTCCTCCCCTCTCCCCCTCTCCTCCTCCCCCTCTTGCTCCTCCCTCCCTCCGTCTCCTCCCTCTCCTCCTCCCTCTCTCTCTCCTCCCTCCCTCCCCCCCCCTCTCTCTCTCTCTCCTCCCCCTCTCCTCCTCCCCCTCTCTCTCCTCCTCCCTCTCCCCCTCTCCTCCTCCCCCTCTCCTCCTCCCTCTCTCTCTCCTCCCTCCCTCCCCCCCTCTCTCTCCTCTCTCCTCCCTCCTCCCCCTCTCAGATCAGGCGGTTGAGCGTCTCCTGTGTCCAGTCTGGTCTGAGTCCAGTCTGGTCTGAGTCCGGTCTGAGTCCAGTCTGGTCTGAGTCCGGTCTGAGTCCAGTCTGGTCTGAGTCCAGTCTGGTCTGAGTCCAGTCTGGTCTGGGTCCAGTCTGGTCTGGGTCCAGTCTGGTCTGGGTCCAGTCCGGTCTGAGTCCAGTCTGGTCTGAGTCCAGTCTGGTCTGAGTCCAGTCTGGTCTGAGTCCAGTTCTTCCACTTTTTCTGCAAACGGTGAAACTTTCCCAGAACTTTTCCTCCTTTTGGACAATCTTCAGGTTCTGTCTCTTTCTCCTGAATCTCGACTGTTCTTCTTCGGTCTCGTGTCGAGGGACGTTCAGAGACTTCCTGTTACGTGCAGTATTTAAAGCTGGGGAACCTGACTTTTATACATCCTGTTTGTCGCCACAGAAAGAGTCTTGTGAAAGTAAAAACATGTGAACAAATCATCAGTTCATGCATCAGACACTATAGAAGCTTGATTTCAGAGCCAGCAAATTCAAATTCAAATAACTTTATTGATCCGTGACAAACATCATTTACAGACGGAGCAGTATATAAAAACACAGAAACACAAGATATACATTTAAATACAGTAAAAGAGCAGAAATGCATTATTTTATACAGAAAACAGGTCTCCAAATCATCTATTGGGAAGGCGGGCTGAGGAAGGAGGAAGCTGGATGTGGTTCTATGGATTCATGTCTTATTTGTTGTGTTTGAAAGTTAGGTACCGCAGCTTTAATTATTGTCAGACTTAAAGGGGTCGTAGATCGCCGCTGCTTGGCTTTATTACATCATAACTTCTACTTATTATGCATTAACGTATGAATGTATCGTCCCAAAGGGTTTCTCACATGTAGTGTCTCAGAGGGCTGCCTCCGGGTGCTACGGGAAATCCTGTAGCATCACTTTAAGACTCACTAAAAGCACAAGTTCTGCCTGTGGATGTCGGCTGTGCTTTAATTTGTCAAATGTACAGTCGTAGATTTAACAGATCAAAGCAAAATACGACATTATAAAAACGTAAAGAATTCATTCAGGTGTTTTTAAGTTGTTCAACGTGTAATTTAACACCAAGACGTTTGTAAGTGTAAATACTGAGCTAATGTTTTCATAACGTCGTGACATTTTCTGTTTCTTTATAAAGTTGATTTCTATGTCTTTATTTTAATTAAATCATCTTTTGTTTTTGAAATGTCATAGTTTTACCATTAACTCCTAAGAGCCAGCACTAGTTACCATAGCAACACTCTGTTCACGGTTAGCAGTTAGCATTTAGCCTCCGCTGTATTTCAAGCTATATTCACCAGTTTTCACACTTATTTAGAAGTGAGTAAAGGTGAATTCCTTGTAAATACTTACTTTTAAATTTGGTGAAAAAGAAAACATTTTTTGGGTGAATTTAAAACAGTCTCAAAAGCGATTTGTTCAAACAAGCTTTTCCGTAAACCCAATTTTTTTTTTTCCACATTTGAAGTGTCTTTGAGTGTCCAAACAGCGCTATACAAGTTTGATGTATTATTATTGTTATTATCATTAATTTCTCAGAATTCCATTGGTTTGAATGGGAGTCAAAATGGCGCCTCAGGGAGTCTTGGTATTAAAGGGGATGTCAGCTGCTTCAATTGTTTTTAATTTACAAAAAAAAAAAAATGTTTTTCTGACCATGGGACACAAGTATTCTTCAACATTCTTACATTTAAAACAGTCCCGCCCCCTGAGGAGAGTCGTTCAGCCAATGACGAGGAGCCTCAAGAATTTGAATTGATTTTGACCAACCAGGACGCTGCGAGGGTGAGCGTGGGCGGGGCTAACCAGTGGTCCTCTTCAAAAACTTTCACAATTTCAAAAGTTACTGACATTAAGTTAAAACTACAACAATATTAATAAAAGTTGGCACAAAAACGACTCAGCCGCTGCAGCCAATCACAGGGCTTAGTTTCAGGGACCAATAGTTTCTAACCTGTGACGGTGCGGGTCAAACAATAGAGCAATAATAGTTTATGTAGACAACGCAATCTATTAAACCCTAGCTACCTAGCATCACGATATGTCAGCTACCTAGCATCACAGTGTGTTAGCTACCTAGCATCACAGTGTGTTAGCTACCTAGCATCACAATGTGTTAGCTACCTAGCATCACGATGTGTTAGCTACCTAGCATCACAATGTGTTAGCTACCTAGCATCACAATGTGTTAGCTACCTAGCATCACGATGTGTTAACTACCTAGCATCACAATGTGTTAGCTACCACTTTCTCACTTTATTACAGAGAGCACAGTCTCCCAGTGCCACACACTGTTACACACGTCACACACTGTTACACACAGTTACACACAGTTACACACAGTTACACACAGTTACACACTGCCAGTCTCTACAGACCCAGGAAGAAACCACCATAAAACAAAACAGATCTGCCTTTTCAAAACATACAAAACTGTTTTACAAAATACTGCAGAACATGTGTGGGGGCGACAGTAGCTCAGTTGGTAGAGCATTGGCCTTCAGGCCTGAAGGTTGTTCAATTCCCACCTCTGCACCTTCTCCACCGACTCCCACTGATGACTGCTGTCGTTGTGTCCTTGGGCAAGACACTTAACCCCACTTTGCCCAAAGCCCCCACTGAAAGATCAAGGCTATGCTCACACTCAGAGAGCAGCCGTCCTCCTGTGGACTCACCACCTGCAGAGGGTCAGTGAGGGGCTGCTGCTATGACCCCTGACCCCTGACCCAGAAATTGTTGGTAGAGCATTGGCCTTTGAGCCTGAAGGTCGTAGGTTCGAGCCCACCACGAGACCTACTTCACGACTCCCACTGATGTCTGCTGTCGTTGTGTCCTTGGGCAAGACACTTAATCCCACTTTGCCTGAAGCTCCCACTGAAAGATCTCAGCTCCTGTGGACTCAGCACCTGCAGGAGGATCAGTGAGGGGCTGGTGCTCTGGGTGTAGCTCCAACTGCCACCCCCCCGACTCAGAAATGGATTAAGGGGAAGAAAATGGATGGATGATAAAATATGAGGTAATATTAAAAACTAGAATCAAGTTGTTTTTTATCTTAAAGTTTTAGGAAGATTTTTCCAAATGTTAGGACATTTTTTGAACAACACTTTTTTCATTTGACGAGCGCGTATCAGCAGAATGATTGACAACTGGAAGGACCAATGGTCAATGTACACTTTATCTGTATCGCACATTTACAACAGCAGCTGCCCCAAAGTGCGTCACAGGCAAAAAGACGAATGAAAACAGCATCAAATACAAACATGTGGCAGTAAAGTGGCAGTCCTGAGAAAGTGGCAGTCCTGAGAAAGTGGCAGTCCTGAGAAAGTGGCAGTCCTGAGAAAGTGGCAGTCCTGAGAAAGTGGCAGTCCTGAGATCCACCCGGGAGTAGAACCTCCTCCTTTGTCTTTAACATGAGCTCATTCTGACAAAGACATTTAGTTTTAGTTATGACTTTTTTCCTCTTCCAAGGGAGACATTTCTGTATCTTTTTAAAACAAGATCATTTTGCTTTGTCCTGTTGGAAAATCGCCAGAATGTGCTCAAATTAAAGATACATTTTGCCAAAATTTAGCTTTTGGTCTTATTTTTCATCCCTTTTTGCAGTGATACATGTGAATAAACCGAGAGGAAAAGGTTCAAATACAAAACCATGTGAAGCAGAATCCTCCAGCTCTGAACAGACTGAAGGAGAAAGTATTGGATGTAAATAAAAGACTTATAGCCGTAACTGTGTGTGTTACTTCTGTGTTGTTGTTGCTGTTGTTGTTGTTGTTGTTGCTGTTGTGGAGAGTGTGGTTCCTCAGAGTTCACAGATCGGAGCGACCTGAGTCTCCTTTGCCTCGAGGCTGTATCCACGGCGACAGAAAAGACTCTTCGTAATCTCCCACGGCCTCGAACTCTGCGTCTGGAGAAGAGTCTGCGAGAGCTGCAGCTTCCTCCGCTCCGAAGAACTCCTGACACACACAGATACACACAGTTACACACAGACACACACAAGTCCTGACACATGTGGAACAAGTTTATCACACAGGAAGACAGATACACACAGGCTGACATACACACACAGATAAACACAAACACACACAAGTCCTGAAACATGTGGAACAAACCTATTTATCTCACATATACACACACACAGATACACACAGACACACACACAGACAGACACACACACAGACAGACACACAGACACACACACACAGATACACACACACAGACAGACACACAGACACACACACAGACAGACACACACAGGCAGATAGATACAGATACACAGAGACAGACACACACACACACACAGATACACACACACAGACACACACAGGCAGATAGATACAGATACACAGAGACAGACACACACACAGACAGACACACACACACACAGATACAGACACACACAGGCAGATAGATACAGATACACAGAGACAGACACACACACAGACAGACACACAGATACACACAGACACACACACACAGACACACACAGGCAGATAGATACAGATACACAGAGACAGACACGTCCAGCATCAACATGTGGGACAGCTGTCAAATCTATTAATCCCATATAGACACACACATACAAACACACAGATACACACAGGCACACACACAGAGAGATAGATACACACAAGTCCTGCAGCAACATGTGGGACAGCTGCCAAATCTATCTACCCCACACACACAGATACACACAAGTTCTGGGAGGGAGGGATCAGTCTCACAGATGAACACACACACACACACACACTAATAATAAGAAATATTTGTACAGCAAAAACAAATCAGTGCAGTCAGCATAAAACAATATAAGTCACAACAACACAAAACCAATACACACACACACTTACAGTACATACCCATGCACACACACACACACACACATACTGCACACACACACTCAGAATCCATTCAGTGTTCTCACCTCGTCATCCAGTCCCATGTATTTTTCAGCAAATGTGAGCATGTGTTTCAGTGCAGCTGTCTGATTGAAATGTGTGAGCGCCTCCTGCAGGACAAGAAGCACATACAAGTAGCGGCTTATGGTCCGGCACCATAAGAACCATAAACCTACACCCAGCAGCCACTCCCACAGATCGGTGAAGCTAATAAAACATGACAGCCTTTATAGTTCCCCATGGTCCGTCTCACCGGTCGTGGTGTGAAGTCCTCCGGCTGCAGCCCCCACTGGTCCCTGTACGCTTCATAGTATACCAGATTCTCCTTCATCACCTGGTCTTCTGGTGCGAACAGGACGTAACTATGAGCGCACTGGACAGCATCACGGCCTTTGTTCACTGAAAGATCAAAGAAACATCCGCTTTGCTGTAGATAGACACTGGGACCATCACTCAGTACTGATAGTATGGACCAGGAATTACATGTATTTACATTTATAGTACGCAAACTGGAGGTAGTGGTAAATGGTGGACAGAAAGTTCTCCACAAAGAAACCTCCGACATTTGGTTTCAGCTTCTCCTCACACTTTAGTTTACACTTGAGGACGTCGGTGTAAACATCTGTGGAGAAGAAGTGAGTGAGTCATAACAATAATAAGACCGTACTGTCCGGACTATAAGCTGCACCTGAATATAAGCTCGATACATAGATAGATCTGCTCTGGTCCAAAGTGAAATGCTAAATGCTTTGTTCCAAAATGTTAGCATTCCTCAAGTGGATTGGAGTTTATTGGTGAAGCCGCAGGTCCTATTTTTTTAGAAAGAAATCAAATGTTGTATTTGAAAAAGCCGCACTGGATTATAAGCCGCACCTTTGTATTTGTGTATTTTTATAAAAAATTTGAATGCATTTTTAAACATAATCCCTACATACATACTTAAATATAAGACAAAAAGACAAGACACACAACAACAAAGCACACATCAAATCATAAGAATAACAAATATAAAGGACGAAAGACAGAAAGAGAGATTTTTGTAGTGTATTTTTATAGTGTATTTCCATCCATCCATTTTCTACCCTTTAATCCATTTCTGGGTCAGGGGTCATAGCACCAGCCCCTCACTGACCCTCTGCAGGTGGTGAGTCCACAGGAGGACGGCTGCTCTCTGACTGTGAGCACAGCCTTGATCTTTCAGTGGGGGCTATTTTTGGGGAAATTTCAGTGTTGCAGAACAGTAGGATTGAGCAACGCACAGCACAAGATACATGAACAATAACTCTATACTAAATTAAAATAAAATCTCCAACTCTATCATAAAAAATAAGCTGTATAAAATCTATATCTTGAGCATAATAAAGAAAGAAGTCTTAAAATCTGCAACTTTAGCCTCATGAAGAAGCAAGACTTAAATACAAAAACCCCTAACTTTAGCCTAATAAGGAGCAAATATACAATCTTGAATATTCTAGTTCCATTTAAGTAAAATATAGTAGTAGGGGCTATCTGTAGTGTATTTTTGTAGTGTATTTTTATAGTGTATTTTTATAGTGTATTTTTGTAGTGTATTTTTATAGTGTATTTTTATAGTGTATTTTTGTAGTGTATTTTTGTAGTGTATTTTTGTAGTGTATTTTTGTAGTGTATTTTTGACATTATTCCAAATATAACACATATTATCTCCCATCATGAGGTTTGTGGTGGTGACAGTAGCTCAGTTGGTAGAGCATTGGCCTTTAGGCCTGAAGGTCGTGGGTTCGAGCCCACCTCAAGACCTACTTCACAACTCCCACTGATGACTGCTGCCGTTGTGTCCTTGGGCAAGACACTTCACCCCACTTTGCCTGAAGCCCCAACTGAAAGATCTCAGCTCCTGTGGACTCACCACCTGCAGGAGGATCAGTGAGGGGCTGGTGCTCTGTGGACTGGGTGCAGCTCTGACTGCCACCCCCCCGACCCAGAAATGGATTAAGGGGAAGAAAATGGATGGATGGATGAGGTTTGTGTTTGTGCCCGGTCCAAACCTGTGATGATGGAGAACAGGTCCTGGTCCTGGGGCACTCGAGAGACCCCCTCACAGTCAAACTGGCACAGCTCAAACTCAGACAGATACCGTTTCAAAGCTTCTTCCAAAAGTCCAGAGCTGAGACCGAAGTCTTCAGAAGTCACTAGTTTGACCCCGCGGAGAAAAGACGACTAAAACACACAACAATCCAACAATTCAATAATTCCAGCTAAAACTAAGCTTTAATGTTGTTAAAATGGACCCACCTCAAAAGACCTTTCTTCATAGTCGATGAGAAACCCCGTCAGGTTGTATTCAGATGTGTATTTGTCCATCACCGTCTGCAGAGGCTGGTCCTGGGGGTTTCTCTGGAGGTAGGTGAAGGCGCAGGGGATGGCTCTCTGTAAGTCCTGCTCCTGAAACCAGACCAGAGGGAAAGCTGGGGGACCATTAACTATCACAGGTTTGTATACACTGCAAAAAGTGATGGAAAGTTAAAAATGGCTCAAAGTTGGAAAAATGTGTCTTAATGGGACAAAGAAAAACGGAAATGTCTCATAATAAATCAGCAGTTCTTTAAATCAGACTAAATGCTTTTGTCCTGTTGGAGAATCTTGTTTGAACACAGTCTGAATGTGACAGACTCAGATCCACAGACTCAGACCACAGACTCAGACCCACAGACTCAGATCCACAGACTCAGATCCACAGACTCAGACCCACAGACTCAGACCCACAGACTCAGACCCACAGACTCAGACCCACAGACTCAGACCCACAGACTCAGACCCACAGACTCAGATCCACAGACTCAGACCCACTGACTCAGATCCACAGACTCAGATCCACAGACTCAGACCCACAGACTCAGACCCACAGACTCAGATCCACAGACTCAGACCCACTGACTCAGATCCACAGACTCAGATCCACAGACTCAGACCCACAGACTCAGACCCACAGACTCAGATCCACAGACTCAGACCCACAGACTCAGATCCACAGACTCAGACCCACAGACTCAGATCCACAGACTCAGATCCACAGACTCAGACCCACAGACTCAGATCCACAGACTCAGACCCACAGACTCAGACCCACAGACTCAGACCCACAGACTCAGACCCACAGACTCAGATCCACAGACTCTGATCCACAGACTCAGACCCACAGACTCAGACCCACAGACTCAGATCCACAGACTCAGATCCACAGACTCAGACCCACAGACTCAGACCCACAGACTCAGATCCACAGACTCAGACCCACAGACTCAGATCCACAGACTCAGACCCACAGACTCAGATCCACAGACTCAGATCCACAGACTCAGACCCACAGACTCAGACCCACAGACTCAGATCCACAGACTCAGACCCACAGACTCAGACCCACAGACTCAGACCCACAGACTCAGATCCACAGACTCAGACCCACAGACTCAGACCCACAGACTCAGATCCACAGACTCAGACCCACAGACTCAGACCCACTGACTCAGACCCACAGACTCAGACCCACAGACTCAGACCCACAGACTCAGACCCACAGACTCAGATCCACAGACTCAGACCCACAGACTCAGACCCACTGACTCAGACCCACAGACTCAGACCCACAGACTCAGACCCACAGACTCAGACCCACAGACTCAGACCCACAGACTCAGACCCACAGACTCAGACCCACAGACTCAGACCCACAGACTCAGACCCACAGACTCAGACCCACTGACTCAGATCCACAGACTCAGACCCACAGACTCAGACCCACAGACTCAGACCCACAGACTCAGATCCACAGACTCAGACCCACAGACTCAGACCCACAGACTCAGACCCACAGACTCAGATCCACAGACTCAGACCCACAGACTCAGACCCACAGACTCAGACCCACAGACTCAGATCCACAGACTCAGACCCACAGACTCAGACCCACAGACTCAGACCCACAGACTCAGATCCACAGACTCAGACCCACAGACTCAGACCCACAGACTCAGATCCACAGACTCAGATCCACAGACTCAGACCCACAGACTCAGATCCACAGACTCAGACCCACAGACTCAGATCCACAGACTCAGACCCACAGACTCAGATCCACAGACTCAGATCCACAGACTCAGACCCACAGACTCAGATCCACAGACTCAGACCCACAGACTCAGACCCACAGACTCAGACCCACAGACTCAGACCCACAGACTCAGACCCACAGACTCAGACCACAGACTCAGACCCACAGACTCAGACCCACAGACTCAGATCCACAGACTCAGACCCACAGACTCAGATCCACAGACTCAGATCCACAGACTCAGATCCACAGACTCAGACCCGCTGACTCAGATCCACAGACTCAGACCCACAGACTCAGACCCACAGACTCAGACCCACAGACTCAGATCCACAGACTCAGACCCACAGACTCAGACCCACAGACTCAGACCCACAGACTCAGATCCACAGACTCAGATCCACAGACTCAGATCCACAGACTCAGACCCGCTGACTCAGATCCACAGACTCAGACCCACAGACTCAGACCCACAGACTCAGACCCACAGACTCAGATCCACAGACTCAGACCCACAGACTCAGACCCACAGACTCAGATCCACAGACTCCCACCTCCTCAACAAACATCTCAGGACTAAACACTGAACCCTGGGGGGCCGAGCCGTCGCTGCAGCTGCCCCCACTCTCTGGAACTCACTCCCTCAACCAATCAGAAACTCAGACTCACTACAGAACTCACTCTCTTCTCCAAACCCACCTGTTTGTCTTTCCCTAATTTTGTTTCTAAATGTTTATTTTGATGTGTTTTGAAAGTGTCTTTGAGTGTCCAAAAAGCGCTATATAAGTTTGATGTATAATTATTATTATTATTATTATTATTATAAACTTAATAATAGTAAGATAAGATATTTCCTGCGTGCCTGACCATGGAGTGAGCGTTTATAACAGTAATAACAGTTATTCCACATGTAATAATAGTAATAACAGTAATAACAGTTATTCCACATGTAATAATAGTAATAACAGTTATTCCACATGTAACAATAATGGTAATAACAGTTATTCCACATGTAATAACAGTAATAATAGTAATAACTGATATTTCACATGTAATAACAGTAATATTAGTAATAACAGTTATTCCACATGTAATAACAGTAATAATAGTAATAACTGATATTTCACATGTAATAACAATAATAATAGTAATAACAGTTATTCCACATGTAATAACAGTAATAATAGTAATAACTGATATTTCACATGTAATAACAGTAATAATAGTAATAACTGATATTTCACATGTAATAACAGTAATATTAGTAATAACAGTTATTCCACATGTAATAACAGTAATAATAGTAATAACTGATATTTCACATGTAATAACAGTAATAATAGTAATAACAGTTATTCCACATGTAATAACAGTAATAATAGTAATAACTGATATTTCACATGTAATAACAGTAATAATAGTAATAACTGATATTTCACATGTAATAACAGTAATAATAGTAATAACTGATATTTCACATGTAATAACAATAATAATAGTAATAACAGATATGTGTCGGACCATGGAGAGAGCGTGGTGCAGATACTTGTAGGGCATCCTCTGGTCGAAGTCTTCCAGAACCTTCTCTGACGCTGGAGAAAGCTGCAGGACCGGGAACCGACCCCTGCATTTCCTCTGACACAAAGCCCGAGTCATGAACCTCCAGAGAACACCGAGGCCCGCGCTCACAGCGACCGGGGCCGGGTCCTCGGTCCTCTGCACGTTACAGAGCAAAGAACAGAACCTCACACTGTCCTTGAACAAACGGTGCAGACGGAGACTAGACTCCAGCAGAGAGACGGCCTCGGTCCAGTTCTGAGCCGCGTAAGACTCCAGAGCAAGACCGTAAGCGGCGCTCAGGGGCCTCACCTCCTCCACCGGGAAACGCTTGAAGTTATAATGGTCAAAAATGGCTAAAACGGAGCCAGAGAAGAAGAGGAGAGAGAAGAGAGAAATCATGTTCAAGCACACACATGGTAGTGCATGTGTGTGTGTGTGTGTGTGTGTGTGTGTGTGTGTGTATGTGTGTGTCTGCGTCTGTGTGTGTCTGTGTGTCTGTGTGTGTGAAGGCTGAAGGGTCTTGGGTCTTGGGGAGGTCTGGTGGAAAACTTACGGTCTCAGGTTTCTCCTCCGGCTGCAGCTGTTGTTTGAGTTGTTTGAGTTTTTTAAAGTCCGTTGGAAACAGAGTAAACAGAGGCTTTGTTGAACCTCAGCCCGACACCGAGCTCTGGATGTTAGTTTATAAACGTAACAGACCTGGAAAAGGCTGGTCCTGGTCTGACTTTTACTGGAGACTAGTTACTGTGTATTTGGGAACATTTGTAAGATAAGATATGATTAGAGATCCCAGAGTGAGGAAGTTTCAAGGTTGCAGCGCACAGTAGTAAGAGCACACACTATATATAAAATAATACTTCTGTGTTTCAATCAATCATTTAATTGTACAATTTGTGTACAAGGCTAAGTACTGTAAAGTGCTTCACAAGAGAAATAAAAAAGCGCGGATCAAAATGCATTAAAAAGTAAAAAGTAAAAACCAATTATTTCTCATTAAAACAGAGCAGCATAAAAGTATGAGATTTAAAACTCATTAAAAAGTGGGTTTAAAAAGGTAAATAAAAGCAATAATATGTTTTTCTTAGCTGTAAATGCTTCAATATCGATATATCTGTATCTATATCTATCCTTATATACATGTGTGGTGTAAAGTTATATACATATGGAGCAGGGTAATAAGTATTTAAAGTGACATTTTGTGGATATTCTGAAGTTGCAGTTTTGCACATAATTACAGTATTTACTATTTGCAGATGAGTGACATGTGGCTCAACTGTTCTCATTGTACAGTCTGACAGCAGCAGGAAGTAAAGGTTATTAACTGAGATGGTTTATTCAATTTGTTAAAGAGTCTTATGATAAAATCTGGGACAATTTTTAACACACCCTCATTTAAAATCCATTAGAAAGATCTCAGCTCCTGTGGACTCAGCACCTGCAGAGGATCAGTGAGGGGCTGGTGCTCTGTGGACTGGGTGCAGCTCTGGCCACCCCCCCGACCCAGAAATGGATTAAGGGGAAGAAAATGGATGGATGGATGGATATAGGACTTTGGTGGTATTATGGCTTCTGGCGCCCCCTAGTGGTCTTATAGGAGATTACAGTCTGAATGTGGCCTCAAACTCCGCTTGTCTGCACGGGTCTGCACAGGTCTGCACAGGTTTATTTGAGACAGACTGGAAATGTCAGCCAGTCACCAAATACCAGGAGAAAACAAAGTCCAACCTTAATTTTACAAACAACATTGAAAAAACTTTAACACACATTGATAGTTAGATAAAATGAAAATAAAAGTTCCCTGGTTGTGAATGACATTGGGTCGGAATAGATTTCTCAACCCAACATGAAACAACATTGGTTACTGAAACTTTTTCATGTCTAGTCATCATTAAAGGGCCCTAATCTGTCATCATTAAAGGGCCCTAATCTGTCATCATTAAAGGGCCCTAATCTGTCATCATTAAAGGGCCCTAATCTGTCATCATTAAAGGGCCCTAACCTGTCATCATTAAAGGGCCCTAATCTGTCATCATTAAAGGGCCCTAATCTGTCATCATTAAAGGGTCCTAATCTGTCATCATTAAAGGGCCCTAACCTGTCATCATTAAAGGGCCCTAATCTGTCATCATTAAAGGGCCCTAACCTGTCATCATTAAAGGGCACTAGTCTGTCATCATTAAAGGGTCCTAATCTGTCATCATTAAAGGGCCCTAATCTGTCATCATTAAAGGGCCCTAATCTGTCATCATTAAAGGGACCTAATCTGTCATCATTAAAGGGCCCTAATCTGTCATCATTAAAGGGCCCTAATCTGTCATCATTAAAGGGACCTAATCTGTCATCATTAAAGGGCCCTAATCTGTCATCATTAAAGGGCCCTAATCTGTCATCATTAAAGGGACCTAATCTGTCATCATTAAAGGACCCTAATCCTCATCATTAAAGGGCCCTAATCTGTCATCATTAAAGAACCCTAATCTGTCATCATCAAAGGGCCCTAATCTGTCATCATTAAAGGGCCCTAATCTGTGAATCTTTGTGAAAAAGGTGTTGGTTATAGATTTGTTGTTGACAAAACTCTTGTCTATTCAGCTGTTATGGTCCCAGCTGGATTCGTCTGCATATCTGGCAACCTGAGTCAGGGAGAGTGGGAGAGGCTGCAGTACCACTTTTGGCCACAGTTTTACATACTGCTCCTTTAAAGCTGGGGTACCTAACTTCCAAACCTCACACAATAGAAATAATTCTCAAAACCCTATGGTCCTATCTCTAGTTTTCACACACATGTGTTTTAGGCCTTTTTAGACATACGTATTATTCATGAGGGGAAAAGTTAGGTACCCCAGCTTTAAGCGTAGTTCTGTGTGTTTTTATTCATCAGGTTTTAGTCCCGTTCTCAGGTCTTTGCACTGACCTCCTGCGGCTCAGAGACTAGACTTTAAACCAGCTCTGTCTGTTATAGACCCATGAACCAACTCTGACTCTGAGGAGCACAGGGACTGTCCTCCTGCTGGGACTCTGAGGAGCACAGGGACTGGCCTCCTGCTGGGACTCTGAGGAGCACAGGGACTGGCCTCCTGCTGGGACTCTGAGGAGCACAGGGACTGGCCTCCTGCTGGGACTCTGAGGAGCACAGGGACTGGCCTCCTGCTGGGACTCTGAGGAGCACAGGGACTAGCCTCCTGCTGGGACTCTGAGGAGCACAGGGACTGGCCTCCTGCTGGGACTCTGAGGAGCACAGGGACTAGCCTCCTGCTGGGACTCTGAGGAGCACAGGGACTGGCCTCCTGCTGGGACTCTGAGGAGCACAGGGACTGGCCTCCTGCTGGGACTCTGAGGAGCACAGGGACTAGCCTCCTGCTGGGACTCTGAGGAGCACAGGGACTGGCCTCCTGCTGGGACTCTGAGGAGCACAGGGACTAGCCTCCTGCTGGGACTCTGAGGAGCACAGGGACTGGCCTCCTGCTGGTCCTAGAGTCAGGACTAAACACGGCGATCGGCAGCATTTCAGATTTTTGCAGCTAAAATCTGGAACAATCTTCCCGAAAATATGAGACCGACTTCATTCTCTGTCATTGTTCAGATCCAGGTTTGAAACAATCCTGTTTAGCTGCAAAGAAACAACGAATGACTGTGTCTTTCCTCATTTTAGGTGTAACTGACGCTTTGGTTACCATGACAACTCGGGCCATATTTGCGAAGCAGAAATGGAGAGGTATTTTAAGTACGCTGTGACAAAGACGCTTTTGTAGCTTGGAGTAAGAGTATTCTCTGATTGGTCTCCACAGGCGCACACTGTAACTTTATGTATTTAATTTTTTTTTTTTTTTTTGAGAACTGTGACGATTTACTGTGACTGCGATTTACTGTATGGACATTTTCAACAAGATCTCCTTTATCTGTGTAGTTTTCACCGTGTTCCTTTTGCCTGTGGGAAATGAAATTCTTCTATGTTTTTGGAGATCAAAGTAGTAATCTCCTTCTGGTACAAACCATGGATCTATAATAAGGTACAAACTCATAACGTTCACCCTTTCACAAGAAAACCACGATAAATCATCAATAATCATTAATAAGTAAACTAATGTACAGTTTTATTTTATTATATTTTACCATCTTATTACTTACTTATTTTAACGTTATTTAATTAAATCATAGACTGTTTTATGCAATCTGAGTTTTATTTCCTTATTTCTCTGCTGTAAAGTGCAACGATGACACTGACATTTCCAAACAGTGGGACAAATAAAATAATATCTTTTGAGTATGACGCTAGTGCGCATGCGTGATACTTTGTGACCCATGTTTCATGTGTTTTACTGTCTCTGTCATCCCGCTCCGTTTGGTACGCTACATTATCTCATCTACGTCTCTATATAAAAGTCTGTTTCGTGCATGAGCAAAACACAGACTGTGATTGGTTCAAACTTTTATCTTTCTGTTCCCGGATCTCTGTTGTCCACGTCGAAGCGTTAACTTCACTGAAAAAGAAAAAAAAAACCTCCCAGATTTTCACATTCCTGCCCCTGGAGGAGTCTGCAGCAGTTTGCACAGAGCCAGAGTGTCCACGTTTACAGCTCCCCCTCTTCCCCTCTCTCTGCATCAGCCCCGGACCTCAGCCCAGCACCTCAGTCCAGGACTTCTGCACCTCAGCCCAGAACCTCAGCATCTCTGCCCAGAACCTCTGCATCTCTGCCCAGAACCTCAGCATCTCTGCCCAGAACCTCTGCCTAGAACCTCTGCCCAGGACCTCTGCACCTCAGCCCAGAACCTCAGCCCCAGGACTTCTGCACCTCAGCCCGGGTCTCTCCTCTGTCTTCTCCCCCACGATTGCACCATGATGCCCCGGTTCCTGGCGGTGCTGTGGCTCGCTGTGGCGGTCCGCTCCAGCCCCCGGTCGGTGCTGGAGGATGTGGCCGTGGAGAGGCTGGTGGTCCCCCCAAACTGTGTCCGAGAGGCGGCCACTGGAGACCATGTCCGCTACCACTACAACGCCACGTTTCTGGACGGGAAAACTTTTGATTCGAGGTGAGAGGGTCTGAGGTCTCACACGGGCCTGGGCTCACTTTGGTTTTCACTTTAGTTCTACTGATAAAAGTTTGGAGAGTTTGGTTTTTAGTTTTTTTTCTGCTTTGTTTTATCTGCTAAGAATCGCAGCCTAATCCATGACTCAATGATATTATTAAAAAATCAGATTTAATAAATACTGGTCCTGCGTCATCATTTAGGACAGAAAATAATTGTGTGTTTTCTTTAAAGATACGTGTTTTTGAAGCTGTTTTAAAATTATTCTTATTTTTCCCAAGTTGATGCGTATGTGTGAGTGTCAGTCTCTTTTACAACCGCTAGGGGTCAGTATAGTCCAGTGTCTACGATCCAGAGATCTTTATTCGTCTCTCAGTGGGGGAAATTTCAGTGTTGCATCAAAAAGTATAGAACAGTAGGATGGAGAAACAAACGACATAAGACAAGTAAATGATGAGTATTGCAAAACAAATCTCTCTTTAGTTTAACAAAAAAAACTAAGTATTAAAAAAGTGAAGTATTGAAGGTGTTGTATGGAAGCTGTGTACTCGGGTGCAATGTATATATCTATACTACACTGTGTCTATACTATATGTCTCCGTGTGTGTGTGTGTGGTTGTGTGTGCGTGTGTGTGTGTTTGGTTGTGTGTGCGTGTGTGTGTGTGTGGTTGTGTGTGTGTGTGTAAGGAAGAAATGGGGGTCTTAATAAACAAAACAAACCCTCACAGTTTCACACTTATGTGTCATAATGTGTGTCTTTGTTGTGTGTCTTTCTCCCGCAGTTACCAAAGGGGCGGGGCTAAAGTGGCTCTTCTGGGCGAGGGTCGTCTGATCGCTGGGATCGACAAAGGGCTGCAGGGAATGTGTGTGAGCGAGCTCCGCAAGGTCACGATCCCTCCACACCTGGCCTACGGCAGCACCGGAGCAGGTACACACTCACTACACACTCACTGCACACTACACACTCGCTACACACTCACTGCACTACACACTACACACTCGCTACACACTCACTGCACTACTCACTCACTACACACTCACTGCACACTACACACTCACTGCTCACTACACACTCGCTACACACTCGCTACACACTCGCTCACTAGACACTCGCTCACTACACACTCACTGCACACTACACACTCACTGCAAACTACACACTCACTGCACACTACACACTCACTACACACTCACTACACACTCACTGCACACTACACACTCACTGCAAACTACACACTCACTGCACACTACACACTCACTACACACTCGCTACACACTCGCTACACACTCGCTCACTAGACACTCGCTCACTACACACTACACACTCACTACACACTCGCTACACACTCGCTACACACTTGCTAGACTGCACACTCACTCACTACACACTCGCTACACACTCACTACACACTCGCTCACTACACACTCACTCACTAAACACTCGCTACACACACTCACTACACACTCGCTACACACTCGCTACACACTCGCTACTCACTCGCTACACACTCACTCACTACACACTCACTCGCTACACACTCACTCACTACACATTCACTCACTACACACTCGCTACTCACTCGCTCACTACACACTCACTACACAACTCACTCGCTACACACTCGCTACACACTACACACACACTCGCTCACTACACACTCGCTCACTACACACTCGCTCACTACACACTCGCTCACTACACACACACACTACACACTCGCTCACTACACACTCGCTCACTACACACTCGCTCACTACACACACACACTACACACACACACACTACACACTCGCTCACTACACACTCACTCACTACACACTCGCTCACTACACACTCGCTCACTACACACTACACACTCACTACACACTCGCTACACACTACACACACACACTCGCTCACTACACACTCGCTCACTACACACTCGCTCACTACACACACACACACTACACACTCGCTCACTACACACTCACTCACTACACACTCGCTCACTACACACTCGCTCACTACACACTCGCTCACTACACACTCGCTCACTACACACTCGCTCACTACACACTCGCTCACTACACACTCGCTCACTACACACTCGCTCACTACACACACACACACTACACACTCGCTCACTACACACTCGCTCACTACACACTCGCTCACTACACATTCGCTCACTACACACTCGCTCACTACACACTCGCTCACTACACACACACACTATACACACACACACACTACACACTCGCTCACTACACACTCACTCACTACACAAACACACTACACACACACACACTACACACTCGCTCACTACACACTCACTCACTACACACTCGCTCACTACACACTCGCTCACTACACACACACACTATACACACACACACACTATACACACACACACACTACACACTCGCTCACTACACACTCACTCACTACACAAACACACTACACACACACACACTACACACTCGCTCACTACACACTCACTCACTACACAAACACACTACACACACACACACTACACACTCGCTCACTACACACTCACTCACTACACACACACACACTCGCTCACTACACACACACACACACTACACACTCGCTCACTACACACTCACTCACTACACACACACACACTACACACACACACACTACACACTCACTCACTACACACACACACTATACACACTACACACTCGCTCACTACACACTCGCTCACTACACACTCGCTCACTACACACACACACACTACACACACTCGCTCACTACACACTCACTCACTACACACACACACACTACACACTCGCTCACTACACACTCACTCACTACACACACACACACACACACTCGCTCACTACACACTCACTCACTACACACACACACTACACACACCACACACTCGCTCACTACACACTCGCTCACTACACACACACACACTACACACACTCGCTCACTACACACTCACTCACTACACACACACACACACTCGCTCACTACACACTCACTCACTACACACACACACACTACACACACTACACACTCGCTCACTACACACTCGCTCACTCCACACACACACACTACACACACTCGCTCACTACACACTCACTCACTACACGCTCACTACACACACACACACTACACACACTCGCTCACTACACACTCACTCACTACACACTCGCTCACTACACACACACACACTACACACTCTCTCACTACACACTCGCTCACTACACACTCGCTCACTACACACACACACACTACACACTCTCTCACTACACACTCACACACTACACACACACACACTACACACTCGCTCACTACACACTCACACACTACACACTCTCTCACTACACACACACACACTACACACTCACTCACTACACACACACACTACACACTCACTCACTACACACACTTGCACAAGTCAAGAACCAGGACAGTGTCGTGTGCAGACAGAGACACAGGCTTCACTGCAGACTCCATCTTGATGTGAGCTCAAAGTGCTTCAGTCGATCACATTAAACATGATAATAAACCAGCCTCTGCCGCTGTCGTTCAATGAATGAATATATTTGATCAAGACACGACAAACATTAGTCTCATGAACATAATGTCGTGTGCAGGTTTTCGCAAAAAGCCCAGTTTCCACATGAAGTCCATGGAGGCGATGGTTTAATCAATTACAATAAAATAAATAATATGTTTTCATGTTTTAAAATTCAGTCAAAACACGACCACAAAGATACAACACACATAGATCCATTGGTCCATAAGGGACAGAGACCAGAGTCCATAAATGTCCATAAAATGTCCTAAAATGTGTCCATAAATGTCCATAAATGTCCATAGATGTTGAGTGTGGCGTGTCGTTTACCCCCGTGTCGTCTGTTGTTGCAGGTGAGGTGGTTCCTCCCGACACCACTCTGATCTTTGAGCTGCTTCTGGTCGACCTGTGGAATAACAAAGACCTAGTGGTGACTAGAACCCTGTCCACTCCTAAAGACTGTAAACGTTCCGTCACGAGGACCGACTTCGTGCGGTACCATTTCAACGGCTCGCTGCTGGACGGCACCGCCTTCGACTCCAGGTGAGAGGTGCATTCTGGGAGGTGGATCTTTGTGGCACGTCCTCTTCTTAACCTCGGTGTGTTGTGGCTGTGTCGCCCAGGGTTTTGTGTTGTGTTTGACTTGTTTGGCTTGTATGAGCCCCACGCAGCTACGCCCGGAGGCAGACCCAGGACACGCTGGTGGGAGACGGGTGGGTCATCCGGGGCCTGGAGGAGGGGCTGCTGGGCATGTGTGTCGGGGAGGTCCGCAACATTATCATCCCTCCCTTCAAAGGATACGGGGAGAAGGGAGCAGGTGAAGACCACTTTAAACTACATTTTAATATGTACTACCTCTGTATTTACATTCTGCTTCTTTAATAAGCTAGAGAGAGATTTGTTAAATAGATCGTTAATATTCACGTATCTGGTCTTGTCCAACACGCCCAAAGCTTGAAAGAAAGAGGAGAGACTAGAGCACATCACCCTGGGGCTGAAGTCCCTTTTCTGGGGTCTTGAGTTCAATTATACATGATTCTGATCTGATGTATTGTAGCATATGGAGCACTCTCAAAAGGACTGAGTCTAATGTGAATTTTTATCAATATATTTTTTCCTAGTTTAATTTTCTCATTTTCTGTAAACAAACAAAACATGAAATAAAACAGATTCCAAGTCTGTAATAAAGGGGTTTGTTTCCTCTTTACCAGACAATAGTAAGTTAGTGATGTTTTTATTGTTGTTAAGTGACATCTCTAACTTACTATTATCTGGTATATCTGTTATTCATGGTTGATTAAGGACTCACAGGCAAGCGCAGGATCCAGATCTAAACTGAAGAAGTATGAGGTAGACTTTCTCTGATAGAATCACTCAGATTGTGCAAAAGACAGAAGTGAGAAACATGTTTAAAATACAGTCTGTGTCTATAGGATATAATTATGTACAATCATAAAGTGGCGATAGCAGTGCAGAACCAAGAACCAACTACCTTTCTAAACCAAGTAATCCAACATGTCTGATCTTTATGGTCCCCAGGGTCTGAGATCCCGCCCCAGGCCACTCTGATCTACGACATCCTGTTGGTGGACATCCACAACCCTAAAGACAACATCACCACCGAGGACCAGGTGGTCCCCGAGTCCTGCACTCGCAAATCTGTGGTCGGGGATTACGTCCGATACCATTACAACGGAACCTTTTTAAACGGAGACACCTTTGACACCAGGTGGGTTTCTCTCGCTGGTACTGTGTCTGAATAACAGTCACTCATCTGTAAAGAAGACGATAGTGCAATCATGTGCAATGTGCAATACTATACTACACTGTGGGCGGCACGGTGGCTGAGTGGATAGCACTCTCGCCTCTCAGCAAGAAGGTCCTGGGTTCGAATCCCGGTCGGACCAGGGCCTTTCTGAGTGGAGTTTGCATGTTCTCCCTGTGTCTGCGTAGGTTTCCTCCGGTTGCTCCGGTTTCCCCTACCACTAAAAATATGTCCAATAGTTCTGGCATGTGCCTCCTGTACTGGCGACCCCGCTCCCATCTCTGTGTGGAGTGAGAGACAAATGCCCAAAATATAACAATTGTAAACCGCTTTGAGACTCAGATCTGCAGTGAAAAGGCGGTATATAAATAAAGATTACTTTCTTACTACTTACTACACTATATTATAAAACTGGCATTGAAGCGTAGAGCTAGCATACAGCTACTCATGTTGTATATTTAGTCTGCTCTTACTACTGTCCTGTAGGATCTATCTTCTTCTTATCTGAACGTTGCTGAAGTATGTTTTGATTGCTCCAGTTACCAGAGGAACAGCACATACAACACGTACATCGGGATGGGCTACGTGATCGCAGGCATGGACCAAGGTTTACTGGGAGTCTGCACCGGGGAGAGGAGGAGAGTGGTTATCCCTCCTCATCTGGCCTACGGAGAGCAAGGAGCAGGTACACTTTACTTTCATCCCTTTATTTATACATTTCTGGGTCGGAGCTGCACCCACGTCACATGACCAGTAACCACATGACAAGTAAGCTTTATTTATATACCGCCTTTCTCAGACCAGAGTCTCAAAGCGGTTTACATTTGTTATTTTTTGGGCACTTGTCTCTCACTCCACACAGAGATGGGAGCGGGGCCAGTACAGGAGGCACATGCCAGAACTATTGTACATGTTTTAGTGGTAGGGGAAACCGGAGTACCCGGAGGAAACCTACGCAGGCACGGGGAGAACATGCAAACTCCACTCAGAAAGGCCCTGGTCCGGCCGGGATTTGAACCCAGGACCTTCTTGCTGAGAGGCGAGAGTGCTATCCACTCAGCCCGTGACATGACCAGTCACATGACCAGTCACATGGCCAGTCACCCCAATGCTTTCGTCAAGTTCTGTTGTTTTCTGTTTTTAATCATGTTTTTAATTTGTTTTTGACCATGTTTGTGCAGTGTCTTTGGGCGTTTTGAAAGGTGCTTTTAAATAAAATGAATTATTATGAAAAACAAACTGTAAAAATGGGGATAAATACAAAACTAGGATTCCAGTATTTTTACCTGGTACACATTTCCTGATTCAAACTAAAGAAACCCGTCTGTGGCAGTACCATGTGACCAGACACTTTTATGAATGATGTTTTTTTGTTTCTTCTTCAGGAAACGTGATCCCTCCGTCAGCGGTGGTGGTGTTCGACATCCACATCATCGACTTCCACAACCCCAAGGACACGGTGGAGATCCAGGTCACGCACAAACCCCAGGTCTGCAACGAGACCACGGAGGTCAACGACGTGGTCAAGTACCACTACAACTGCTCCCTGATGGACGGGACCCGACTCTTCTCCTCGTGAGTCCCACAGCTCACTACTTTAGGCCTTTTAACACTTGTAAACACAGACTCAAAGAGACTAAACCACATCCTCAAAGGTTATGACTGAAGTACAAGTCTAGTAAAAGTACAGATACTAGTATTACTCCGGTACAAGGCAGAGTAGTAGCTGAGTGGTTAGCACTTGTTTCTCAGCAAGAAGGACCTGGGCTCGAATCCTGGTGTGAACAGTGGAGTTTGCATGTTCTCCATGTGATACGATTTCTGTGTTGTTTTGACCCTTTTTATATTGTATTTAATTTTGTGATGTTTTAACTGTGTTGTGAAGCACTTTGTGGCCTTTGCCTGTGAAAGGTGCTATACAAATAAAGATTACTTACTTACTTACTTACCATGTGTCTGTAGGGGTTTCCTCCAGGTGCCCCGGTTCCCTCTACCATTAAAAACATGAACAAAAGGCAAAATCCTGCAGCTCACAAGGACGATAAACACCAATATATCACATCAAACCACAGGAGATTATAAAATACAAAACACTAGATCCAAGTCTCTGTCTGTTCTCTGTTCTCCGGCTGTGACTGTGAGCAGCAGGCGTTTGGTTCAATCCCCGGTGTGTGTTTCAGACATGACGACGACAACATGCAGGAGACCACGCTGGGCTACGACATGGTGGTGGACGGACTGGACTTGGCTCTGAGGAACATGTGCACAGGAGAGAGGAGGATCATCACCATCCCGCCACATCTGGCCCACGGCGAGAAAGGAGGTGAGGCTCAGACACGACTCTGCGACGTCCGACAACATGGACAAGTAGGAAGTAGGAAGGACAAGTAGGAAGTAGGAAGGACAAGTAGGAAGTAGGAAGGACAAGTAGGAAGTTCAACACAACCACAAAAGTAGATCAGAAAATGGTGGTCGTATTGAAATTAAAATGGGAAAAAGAAGCAAGTAATAAACATGAGGCGACAGTGGCTGGGTTGGTAGAGCGTTGGGCCTTTGAGCCTGAAGGTCGTGGGTTCGAGTCCACCACAAGACTTTCTCCATCGACTCCCACTGATGTCTGCTGTTGTTGTGTCCTTGGGCAAGACACTTAACCTCTGGGAACAGCAGGTGCCACAGTGGGGCGGCTGTGGCTGTAAAGTGTCAAACTGTGGTTGTGTCCTTAGGCAAGACACTTCCCCCACATTAGAATGAGTCTGGTGTGTGTGTGAGTGGTTGGTGGTGGTGGGAGGGGCCAATGGCACAGACTGGTTGCCTCGCTTCTGTCAGTGTGCCCCAGGGCAGCTGTGGCTACAGTAGTAGTTATCGCCACAGATGTGAAGATTATTATTATTATTATTATTATTGGTATGAATCCAAACTAAAACAGATGTGAGTCCAGGATAGATCATGGACTAAAGTGTGTTTGTCTTCAGCGTCTGGCGTTCCGAGCAGTGCCGTGCTGGTCTTCGAGGTGCAGATGATGAGCTTTGAGAAGGGCGTCCCGTCTGGATACATGTTCGTGTGGCTCGGGGAAGCTCCCAGTAACCTGTTCCAGACCCTGGACACAAACCAGGACAAGAAAGTGCTCCTGGACGAGGTAGGGCCGCTCTCAAAGCCACTCTTCTGTCTTTCCCACTGAAATGAACGACATCTTATGACCTGGGCTTGTTCACACTAAAAGGTGCAAAAGTGAGAGAAAAAGCCAAACATTAGATTGTATTAAAAAGAAGATATGATTTTCATGTTTCCAAATCTCTCTCTGTTAGAAGTTTCTAGAACAAAACCGTCTTATAAATGAGTCGTTTATGGATGTGACGGACCTGATGCTTTGAAGGAGCTGAAGTTTGTTACATATTTTCAGATCCACGTTTGATTCAGAGATTTTTAGTAGAAACAAAGTGATACTTTTATATTAAACAAATTAAATGTGAAACCAGAGACATTTTTTTCCTCAAGTTAAATTTTTAGACTAAAACAAACGGAAACCATCATCGTTCGTTACATTTTCAGGTTCATTTAAATTGTTATTATTTATTAAGTGATTTCCTGTGTTTATGTTAATCTTGTGGGATTTCATCTGTCGCTTTTTCAGACTGAGGACCTTTTATTTTCTATGTCTCTGAGTCACAGAATGATCCAATCAGAGGCTGATCTGGGTTTTCAAATGTCGCCAAAAATGTATTTCTCAATCTTTCCTCTTGATTTTCTCCACAATATCTCTTTGATCTGTCTGTGTTTGAAATCTTTTTTTTTCCAATCTATGAAAGACATTTTAGTTTTTCAGTTCTTTTAAAGTCCAGATACTAATGTCCTCTCCTTCCTCTTCCTCCTACAGTTTGGCGACTTCATCAAGCTGCAGGTGTCGGAGGGGAAGGGGCGGGTGAAGCCGGGGATGGACATGGAGCAGGTGATCCAAGACATGTTCCAGAACCAGGACCGAGACAAAGACGGCGCCATCACAGAAGACGAGCTGAAGCTGAAGGTGGAGGAAGACCGCGAGAAGGCAGAGCACGATGAGTTGTGAAGAGGGTGTTCTCGTCCAAACTCAGGGATTCCACCTCCGACAAAACAACAAACACTCATTTTTTCCATTTTAATATTGTCTGAAAAGAAGACGGCGACAGGATTTTTAAGTTTGTAGATTTTTTCTTGTTCATTGTTTTGTGTTTGCGAGAAATGTTCAAGCACTTTCTTTTGTTACAGTCACTTGGAATAAAATCTTTGTTTAAAAAATGGCTTTTTGTCGTGATTTGTGATGTTTAAATGTGAACTTCAACAGTAAACAGTGAAAATTCAACTTCAGAAAATAAGACTAAAATTCTTAAAAGAAAAATTTAAAATAAAACTTCTCCTCATTCCCAACAGCAGCAGAACAATCTTATGTACGCTTTACAACCAATTATATATCATCAATACTAAACTTGAAAAATTATGACTTTTGGTTTAAAAGAAATGGTTATTTTTGGCAAATTTCAACAGCTACTTTTGAACGATACAATAATGAAATATTGTGTCACAAATATTTAAAAGACTTCACCGGCTGATTGGTACTGATCGCAATAAGTAAACCAGCTTCGCTAACATGCTAATATGCTAGCATGCTAATATACTAACATACTAATATGCTAGCATGCTAATATACTAATATACTTACATACTAATATGCTAGCATGCTAATATACTAATATACTTACATACTAATATGCTAGCAGGCTAATATACTAATATGCTAACATACTAACATGCTAACAAGCTAATATGCTAGCATACATTCTCTGTGTTTGAGGTCCGTCTGTTCTTTGCATCGCTGAGATTTGTGATTGAAGGAAGAGTTCTTTTGCTAAAGTCTTTTGGACCATCTCACTTGTGGCTTTAAGATGTTCTTCAGAATCACGTTTGGGATTTCCAGGGTTTCATCTTTGACTAAAACGATATCGAAAGATTTCACGTACGACTCTTTCCTTTCTTCAACCTGGAAATAGAAAACATAAAACAGGTTGAGGCCGAGGTTGGTCCTTTCTCTTTCACTACAAAAGCTAAAATCAGAATCAGAATCATTTTTATTGCCACGTAAGTAACAAAATGCCACAGAGGCCAAGAAACTCATGCTTCAGTCCTGCGCCCCGTGGCCTTGGTCCTGGAGCTACAGGATTTCAATGGTTTTAGATATTATCATAGTTTTTAACTGTCTTTTAAGTTAAGTCCTCCGCGGAACGCCCTTTTTACAGAGATTTTTCAAATGTTCATATGGGCGGAGTCAGGCTGTTCATGTGGGCGGAGTCAGGCTGGGTGGAGTCAGGCTGTTCATGTGGGTGGAGTCAGGCTGTTCATGTGGGCGGAGTCAGGCTGGGTGGAGTCAGGCTGTTCGTGTGGGTGGAGTCAGGCTGTTCGTGTGGGCGGAGTCAGGCTGTTCGTGTGGGCGGAGTCAGGCTGTTCGTGTGGGCGGAGTCAGGCTGTTCGTGTGGGCGGAGTCAGGCTGTTCGTGTGGGCGGAGTCAGGCTGTTCGTGTGGGCGGAATCAGGCTGTGTGGGTGGAGTCAGGCTGTGTGGGTGGAGTCAGGCTGTTCGTGTGGGCGGAGTCAGGCTGTTCGTGTGGGCGGAGTCAGGCTGTTCGTGTGGGCGGAGTCAGGCTGTTCATGTAAGTAAGCATTGTTTATTTATATACCGCCTTTCACAGACCAGTCTCAAAGCGGTTTGCAATTGTTATTTTTGGGCATTTGTCTCTCACTCCACACAGAGATGGGAGCGGGGCCAGTACAGGAGGCACATGCCAGAACTATTGTACATATTTTTAGTGGTAGGGAAAACCGGAGTACCCGGAGGAAACTTACGCAGACAGGGGAGAACATGCAAACTCCACTCAGAAAGGCCCTGGTCCGACCGGGATTCGAACCCAGGACCTTCTTGCTGAGAGGCGAGAGTGCTATCCACTCAGCCACCGTGCCGCCCGAATGCATTTGGGGGCGGAGTCAGGCTGTTCATGTGGGCGGAGTCAGGCTGTTCAAACGTGTTGAAACATTGGGAATATTAAAGTACTTCTAAACCCCCGATAGCCTCTGTGTCCTCAGAGGTTAGACAGAGATGTGCCTGTACCTGGTCATTTAGAAACCCGATGGTCAGAATATGTTCCGTGTTTGAGAGTCCGTCGGCCATGTTCAGGTCCCCCAGAGAGTCCCCCAGCAGCAGCACATTGGGGCGGCCCCTCAGGCGGGCCCCGTGCAGCAGTGCCCCCTCCCTCTTGTTGAAGGTGTGGATGAGCTGTCCTTTAAACGCCTGCAGCACGCCCTACACAAACAGACACAGGTGAAGAGGCGTCATGTGACATCACCTGCACGGCCCTGGGCTCTTACAGCGGCGTCAAAGTCCATGTAGTTGGAGATGACGTTCACGTTGGGATGAAAAACGTTGTTCTGACGGATCACCTCCTCCAACACGTCTCCGATTCCCGCCGAGAAAATCAGCAGCGGGACTTGGAGCTCGGACAAAAGGTCAAAGAACTCTCTGTAGCCTTCTCTGGGAACACAGAGGATAAAACATCATGCTCCAGAACAGAACATCAGAATCTTTTCACATCTTTTTATTTCCATTTTAAGTAACAGGAAATTGCTTTGGCTCTCGGTGCAAACAAGTTAAAAAATACAATAAGGCATAAACAGAAAAACATCTCCATAACATTTCTTATAATTACTGCGATACACAAGTCACTAAGAAAACACTAAAGCAGCAGTATTTCCACATGTGTCCAGCCTCTCCCACTCTCCCTGACTCGGGTTGCCAGGTATGCATCAGCATAAAGGGCTCTGAGCCAGGTATGCATCAGCATAAAGGGCTCTGAGCCCTTTATGCTGATGCATAGTAAGTAGTAAGTAAGCTTTATTTATATACCGCCTTTCTCAGACCAGAGTCTCAAAGCGGTTTACAATTGTTATTTTTTGGGCATTTGTCTCTCACTCCACACAGAGATGGGAGGGGCCAGTACAGGAGGCACATGCCAGAACTATTGGACATATTTTTAGTGGTAGGGGAAACCGGAGTACCCGGAGGAAACCTACGCAGACACGGGGAGAACATGCAAACTCCACTCAGAAAGGCCCTGGTCCGGCCGGGATTCGAACCCAGGACCTTCTTGCTGAGAGGAGAGAGTGCTATCCACTCAGCCACCGTGCCGAGTGGATAAAGCATAAAGGGCTCAGAGCTGAACCAACCTGAGTCTGGAGCCGGACTCTCTCACGACTCGTTCCAACATGTTCTTCCTGATCTTCTGCTCGATCAGCAGCTCGTGAACTTTACTCCACCTGCAGGAGAATAAACAATCAGGATTAACAGAGGAGCACAGGGACTGGCCTCCTGCTGGGACTCTGAGGAGCACAGGGACTGGCCTCCTGCTGGGACTCTGAGGAGCACAGGGACTGGCCTCCTGCTGGGACTCTGAGGAGCACAGGGACTGGCCTCCTGCTGGGACTCTGAGGAGCACAGGGACTGGCCTCCTGCTGGGACTCTGGGGAGCACAGGGACTGGCCTCCTGCTGGGACTCTGAGGAGCACAGGGACTGGCCTCCTGCTGGGACTCTGAGGAGCACAGGGACTGGCCTCCTGCTGGGACTCTGAGGAGCACAGGGACTGGCCTCCTGCTGGGACTCTGAGGAGCACAGGGACTGGACTCCTGCTGGGACTCTGAGGAGCACAGGGACTGGACTCCTGCTGGGACTCTGAGGAGCACAGGGACTGGCCTCCTGTTAGTGCCCAGAGTCAGAACTAAACATGGGGAGGCTGCTTTTCAGATTTATGCTGCTAAAATCTGGAACAATCTGCCTGAAATCGTGAGACAGGCTTCTCCTCTGACCGGTTAGCTGCTAAAACTGAGGGATTTTATATTCTTATCTTTCTTTTGAATGTTCTGTGATTATTTAACCCTTTGCCTTTGTATGAACTGTGCCATACAGATAACCTTCTCACCATTCCACCATCAGCGGCTGCTTCTGTTCAGGAGACAGCTGAGCGTCGATCTCGATGGGGTAGTATGTATTCAACAGTCTCTTGATCTGTAAACATATTAGTTATTATCACGTGGTCTTTAAACATATTAGTTATTATCATGTGGTCTGTAAACATATTAGTTATTATCACGTGGTCTTTAAACATATTAGTTATTATCATGTGGTCTTTAAACATATTAGTTATTATCACGTGGTCTTTAAACATATTAGTTATTATCACGTGGTCTTTAAACATATTAGTTATTATCATGTGGTCTGTAAACATATTAGTTATTATCACGTGGTCTTTAAACATATATAGTTATTATCAGTGGTCTTTAAACATATTAGTTATTATCAGTGGTCTTTAAACATATTAGTTATTATCATGTGGTCTTTAAACATATTAGTTATTATCACGTGGTCTTTAAACATATTAGTTATTATCATGTGGTCTTTAAACATATTAGTTATTATCACGTGGTCTTTAAACATATTAGTTATTATCACGTGGTCTTTAAACATATTAGTTATTATCAGTGGTCTTTAAACATATTAGTTATTATCACGTGGTCTTTAAACATATTAGTTATTATCATGTGGTCTTTAAACATATTAGTTATTATCACGTGGTCTTTAAACATATTAGTTATTATCACGTGGTCTTTAAACATATTAGTTATTATCACGTGGTCTTTAAACATATTAGTTATTATCATGTGGTCTTTAAACATATTAGTTATTATCACGTGGTCTTTAAACATATTAGTTATTATCATGTGGTCTGTAAACATATTAGTTATTATCACGTGGTCTTTAAACATATTAGTTATTATCATGTGGTCTTTAAACATATTAGTTATTATCACGTGGTCTTTAAACATATTAGTTATTATCACGTGGTCTTTAAACATATTAGTTATTATCACGTGGTCTTTAAACATATTAGTTATTATCATGTGGTCTTTAAACATATTAGTTATTATCATGTGGTCTGTAAACATATTAGTTATTATCACGTGGTCTTTAAACATATTAGTTATTATCACGTGGTCTTTAAACATATTAGTTATTATCATGTGGTCTTTAAACATATTAGTTATTATCACGTGGTCTTTAAACATATTAGTTATTATCACGTGGTCTGTAAACATATTAGTTATTATCATGTGGTCTTTAAACATATTAGTTATTATCACGTGGTCTTTAAACATATTAGTTATTATCATGTGGTCTGTAAACATATTAGTTATTATCACGTGGTCTTTAAACATATTAGTTATTATCACGTGGTCTTTAAACATATTAGTTATTATCATGTGGTCTTTAAACATATTAGTTATTATCACGTGGTCTTTAAACATATTAGTTATTATCATGTGGTCTGTAAACATATTAGTTATTATCACGTGGTCTTTAAACATATTAGTTATTATCACGTGGTCTTTAAACATATTAGTTATTATCATGTGGTCTTTAAACATATTAGTTATTATCACGTGGTCTTTAAACATATTAGTTATTATCACGTGGTCTTTAAACATATTAGTTATTATCACGTGGTCTTTAAACATATTAGTTATTATCATGTGGTCTTTAAACATATTAGTTATTATCACGTGGTCTTTAAACATATTAGTTATTATCACGTGGTCTTTAAACATATTAGTTATTATCATGTGGTCTTTAAACATATTAGTTATTATCACGTGGTCTTTAAACATATTAGTTATTATCACGTGGTCTTTAAACATATTAGTTATTATCACGTGGTCTTTAAACATATTAGTTATTATCACGTGGTCTTTAAACATATTAGTTATTATCATGTGGTCTTTAAACATATTAGTTATTATCACGTGGTCTTTAAACATATTAGTTATTATCATGTGGTCTTTAAAACATATTAGTTATTATCACGTGGTCTTTAAACATATTAGTTATTATCATGTGGTCTTTAAACATATTAGTTATTATCATGTGGTCTTTAAACATATTAGTTATTATCACGTGGTCTTTAAACATATTAGTTATTATCACGTGGTCTTTAAACATATTAGTTATTATCACGTGGTCTTTAAACATATTAGTTATTATCATGTGGTCTTTAAACATATTAGTTATTATCATGTGGTCTTTAAACATATTAGTTATTATCACGTGGGAAACAGGAATATGAACAGACTCAGCCCAAACCTTCTTCTCACAGTCTTCATCGATCAATAACCGGTTATCCAGGATGTCTGCGGACGATCAAGGGTTAAAATAAAAATATATACAGTCATTGGTGGACTAGAAGCTTTGAACCCAGCGGCCTGGTTAGCAATGCTGCCTCTGTCTACATGTGTATTTCAGAGCGTCCACTGTGTTTTAGAAAAATATATCAATAAATGAATCAATTCAATGTATTCTTGTATTTCCCTGAAACACAACATTTCTCAGAGGACTTTACAAAACCATTAACGTCCCAAACACAGAGACGTTTCTCGTGAGGATGAAGTGAGTTCTTTGATCGTCACAAACTCATCGTTAAATCTTATTGTGTCCAGTTAAAAGTCTTACATTAGAACTGAAAAACAAAGTGGTTTTTATCCAAGTGCGGAAAATATGTGGGAACAACAAACTTTCACTTCAGATTCAGCTGGTGCGGTTCATACACAGGAGCGGCTTATACACAGGTGCGGCTTATACACAGGAGCGGCTTATACACAGGTGCAGTTTATACACAGGTGCAGTTAATACACAGGTATGGCTTATACACAGGTGCAGCTTATACACAGGTGCGGCTTATACACAGGTGCGGCTTATACACAGGTGTGGCTTATACACAGGTGCAATTTATACACAGGTGCGGCTTTTACACAGGAACAGTTTATACACAGGTGCAGTTTATACACCGGTGCAGATTTTATACACAGGTGTGGTTCAAACACAGATGTGGTTTATTTAAAGGTGTGGTTTATATACAGGTGCGGATTTTATACACAGGTGCAGTTTATACACAGGTGCAGTTTATACACAGGTGCAGATTTTATACACAGATGTGGTTTATTTAAAGGTGTGGTTTATACACAGGTGCGGCTTATACACAGGTGTGGCTTATACACAGGTGTGGCTTATACACAGGTGTGGCTTATACACAGGTGCGGCTTATACACAGGTGCGGCTTATACACAGGTGCGGCTTATACACAGGTGTGATTTATACACAGGTGTAGTTTAACGTCTTTAAGAACTCACTGTGAGTGGTGGGAACTCTTTGTCCTTTGTAGGAAAATCTTGTCAGAGTCATATCAAAGTCTGAAATGACCTGAAACACAGAACCACAGGAAACAGGATCGGTTTAATATCTCTGGGACTGGGACTCTGACTGGGACTCTGACTGGGACTGGGACCTTGGACTCTGACTGGGACTGGGACTGGGACAGAGACTGGGACTGGGACTTGGACTCTGACTGGGACTGGGACTGGGACAGAGACTGGGACTCTGACTGAGACTCTGACTGGGACAGAGACTGGGACTCTGACTGAGACTCTGACTGGGACAGAGACTGGGACTCTGACTGAGACTGGGACTGGGACTTGGACTCTGACTGGGACTGGGACAGAGACTGGGACTCTGACTGAGACTCTGACTGGGACTGGGACTGACCTGCAGACCACTGGGACCAGTCCGCTTCATGCTGTAGATGGTTTCTTCCACTCGGGCTCTGTCCCTCATCAGCACCGAGCATTTGGAGAGTTCAGGAATCTGCAACAAACGAGTAAAAAGAGTAAAAAGAGTAAATAGTGAACTTTTCTCTGGACGTAAGATAAAAACAAAACGTCTCACTTCATTTTTGATGAACTGGTGCCAAATCGCCAAGACGCTCCGGATCGGCGTCGATATCCAGGGAATTTGCTGAATTTACAAAACAAACATTAGAACAGAGCAGGAAGAGGAGTGTCATGTTTATTTATATAGCGCCTTTCTCAGACCAGTCACAGCGGTTTACATTAGTCTCTGACTCCACACAGAGATGGGCGGGGCCAGTACAGGAGGCGCACTGGGAGAACATGCAAACTCCACTTAGAAAGGCCCTGTTCCGACCGGGGTTCGAAGGTAACGAACAGTTGTTTTTGTGAAAGGAAACTATAATAAACCAACAGCATTCACTAGTTTGAGATTGACTGACAGATCGGAGCAGCGTCTGCAGTCAGAGCTGTATCAGACTGTTGTGGTGAAGAGGGAGCAGCGTCTGCAGTCAGAGCTGTATCAGACTGTTGTGGTGCAGAGGGAGCAGCGTCTGCAGTCAGAGCTGTATCAGACTGTTGTGGTGAAGAGGGAGCAGCGTCTGCAGTCAGAGCTGTATCAGACTGTTGTGGTGCAGAGGGAGCAGCGTCTGCAGTCAGAGCTGTATCAGACTGTTGTGGTGAAGAGGGAGCAGCGTCTGCAGTCAGAGCTGTATCAGACTGTTGTGGTGCAGAGGGAGCAGCGTCTGCAGTCAGAGCTGTATCAGACTGTTGTGGTGAAGAGGGAGCAGCGTCTGCAGTCAGAGCTGTATCAGACTGTTGTGGTGAAGAGGGAGCAGCGTCTGCAGTCAGAGCTGTATCAGACTTTTGTGGTGAAGAGGGAGCAGCGTCTGCAGTCAGAGCTGTATCAGACTGTTGTGGTGAAGAGGGAGCAGCGTCTGCAGTCAGAGCTGTATCACACTGTTGTGGTGAAGAGGGAGCAGCGTCTGCAGTCAGAGCTGTATCAGACTGTTGTGGTGAAGAGGGAGCAGCGTCTGCAGTCAGAGCTGTATCAGACTGTTGTGGTGAAGAGGGAGCAGCGTCTGCAGTCAGAGCTGTATCAGACTGTTGTGGTGAAGAGGGAGCAGCGTCTGCAGTCAGAGCTGTATCAGACTGTTGTGGTGCAGAGGGAGCAGCGTCTGCAGTCAGAGCTGTATCAGACTTTTGTGGTGCAGAGGGAGCAGCGTCTGCAGTCAGAGCTGTAAAAATCAAATCTCTCTATTTGAGTGACTGGGCGCTCCCTTAGGGTGAGAGGCTCAGTCACAAGGAAAGAGCTCGGAGTAGAGCCGCTGCTTCCCTGTGCAGGTGTTCTGGGCAAGTTCCAGCAGAGGGTGGCTCTGCTCGGACTGCTACCCCATGATTCGGCAATGGATAAAGTGGAAGAAAACGGATGTACGTAGCTTCAAGTAAATGAATCATATTTACACTAAGTACAGACTGCGGCGCTGCAGTGTTCTGCAACATTAAAGATCATTCAAACCAAACTTACCATTTTAAGGTCTTTATTTTTTCCTATAAAAATGATTCAAATACGACTCGAATTACTCGTTACTTTAAAACAAGATGACTTCATGTTAACGCGTTACTTTATATTTTCTGGTTGGATTATCGTTTGTTTACGTTGACGGAGGCTGCGTCCTACACATAAGAAGTCCCAGTCGAAAACATAGCAAACACAATAGTTCCGGGTGGCCGTTGGTTCCTAGCGTCAAATACAAAACACAAAGACCAGGGACCGAAGATGAAATAAATACAAAAATAACGTGTTACCGTTTGTTGTTTTTGTTTTATTTAAGACTCGTGGCTATGAAGGAGTATATCCAAGTATAGCTAAGAGGGTGATATAACCAAAATTTACTATGGTTAAAAATAATAACAAAAATCAACGTTTTCATAAAAGTGTATAATTTTATTCATAATTTATAAGACTTCAAAAATTTACAAATCATTGTATCAATCAAAGTAAAAAACTGCAAAACATATGGTAGTGATGAGAAAATTGCTCAGCATTGTCATAAAACATTTAAAATCTAAATGAAGCTGGGTTTGGGTTCTGCTTTTAGAACAAATGTAAAGAGATTTTGCAGCTTTTTTAGAAAACCAGAAGAAAGATAAACACATGGCGACAGTGAAAGACAGCAAAATAGCAGCATGTAAATAAGAAAATATATTTTGTGCAAGAAATGTAAGTCCCCAGTACACACCTGTTCCCACATTTGCATAGATTTTTGATTTATTCAGAAAATAGCGCATTAGTTTAAAGACTGGAATTTACTCAACATTCAATCTGAGCCTGCAGCTGTCTGCGCAGAGTAAGTGTCCTTCTCTGGAGATTCCTTAGGTGTTGAAACCTGTCTCTGTGACGTGTGAAGTTCTGGGGAGTGGGGTACTGCTGGTGCCCTTGGAGGTATTTGTACGGGACCCGAATGTGGCAAGCTGCAGCTCTGCACCTCGACTGCGGCATCGGAGGAAGCAACATCCACCGTTTCCTTTCGGCGCAGTATCTATAAGCCTCTTTCCTGCATTGCTTGTCCATGAAATTGCTTCCCTTCCATCCGCCAATCACAAAAATATCTTCGGCAAAGTAGCAGACGCTGGCACCTTCCAGCAAGAGGACCTCTGGAGGCAGACTGTCCAGGATGTCCTCCGGGACACTGGTGGAGATTTTCTGCTGCGCCTCTTCGTTGCTCACTTTGTAGCTTTGGGGACAGAACGAGGAAGTGTTGTAGAAGTTGGAGCAAGAGAGCGCCATCTGAAAAGTGCAGTAGTTGTCCAGCAGAGGCAAAGACGCCACTTCCTGCCACCTGTTGGTCTCCGTGTCGAAGCAAATCCCCACCGTGCGCAAACCGTCGTCCTCGTCCAGATCGATAGGAGTCCGGGCCATCATGTAGACGTATCGATCGTCCACTACAACCGTTTTCACGTCTCTTAATATCTGCGGGGCTGATTCCAGGCTGTTCCACTGGTCCTGCTCCGGGTTGTAAACGTCCACTTCTTTAAACCCGGGGCTAAAGTTCCCGTGTCCGCCGATACTGTACAGGACGTTATTGACGAAAGCGAAACCAAACGAGTGCTTGCGAGTTGATAAAGTGCAAAGAGGTTCCCAAAAGTTTTCGTAAAGGTCGTAACGCTCGACAGCCTTGGCGAATCCGGGCTCCATGGATCCTGCTATGTACACGTAACGGTCAGTGACGGCGATGGCGTGTCCGTCGTGGTGATTGTGAATGTGCGGCAGGTTGACCCAGCGATCCTCGGCGACGAAATATCCCACGCACTCGCTCAGATGTTCGCCGTTTTCGGACACGCCGCCCACAACCAAGATTACGTCCATGTTCTGACAGAGACGGGGCCCGAGTTTCATGACGTACGAAGAATAAAGCCCAACGTCGGCGAGCGTGAGGTGTTCCAAGCTAACGGCGTGGACTTCCAAGGCCTCGGACACAAGCTGAAGGCAAGTGCTGTTACTGGACACTAAAGATTGGCTTCTTACGACTCGGCTGAGGTAAACCGGCGAGATCTGCGTCAGTCTGATCAGTCCAAACAGCTCCTCAAAGTGCTCCTCTCTCTCCTCTTTGTCGTGGTTCACCCAGTCGACCAGCACTTGGAACAGCTCCTGCTCGCTGTTGATGGTGATTTCGGAGTCGGCCATCCAGGAGCGGACCAAGTGGAAGGGCAGAGTCTGGAATTCTTTGTCGTGAATGACTTTGTGGAAGTGTTTGCGGATGAGGGCAGTGGCTTTGTTGGAGAGCCGCTCCAAAGAGTACGTCAAAGCCAAGGAGTGGACGGGGACGCAGTTCTTTAAAGTCAACCGCCGCATCATGAACTCTCCACAGAAAGCCTTCAGGTCGACCAACAGGAACCTGGGACAGACAGAAATATGAAATTAATTAATGAAAAGGTTAAAAAAAGCTAAAGGTGGATAAGCAAAGTTTTCATTCTGAGTCTAGTTTGTGCTCAACGTTTCCTTATGTTGTATAAACTAGTTTTTTACATACATTGAAAAACAAATCGATTGGAAATAAACTGAATCTTAAATCTACAATGTTCAAAGTAAATAACCAAAGTGAATGTACTTATGCTGTATTCTAACGCTTAAAAGTCACACATTTGACTAAAAAGTCTTGTCTTTACCTGTAATGTGCATTAACATTGGGCCTGTGGGCCAAATGCAGCCGGGAAGGCTCTTTTCAGTTTCCCAAAAGATTTAACTATTATGATAAACTTGCAGCACTGATGGTAAAGGGAACCCTCGCTACTTCATCTTAAACTCATTACAAATAGTTAAATAAAAATGTATCATAGGCCATAGGTTTATGGTCCCGTCGGTATTTTTTAGTCACCAGTACTTGTTTGTCAAAATACCTGCGTAAGGAAAAAGTGAAACAAAGTAATACCAGTTGCTAAAGATAAACTATAACACAATAAGAATATGACACAAACCAAAAGAACCAGTAGAACCAGTAGAACCATGAGAACAGTGCCCACACGCACCTGTGCGCCAGCTCCAGGACTTGGTTCACGTTACGCACAGTCACAGAGATGTGTCCCGTGTACATGTAGTCTATGACCGCCTCCACAGTGCTCAGGTCTGGGGCAGAGCTCCAGGCCCGCAGCTCCAGGGTCCCAGAGGAGAGAGCCCCAGAGGAAGGGGTCCGCAGCTCCGGGGTCCCAGAGGAGGGGGCTCCAGAGGAGGGGGCTCCAGAGGAAGGGATCCCAGAGGATAGAGCCCCAGAGGAAGGGGTCCGCAGCTCCGGGGCCCCGGAGGCCCCTGGGGATGAGGCAGATCCCTGTGCGCTCAGCAGCTCAGAGAAGAAGGTGGAAGCGGCCGACAGCACAGACCGATGCGCGGCCACAGAGTGGAGCCTGGCCCCGATAGAAAACATCAGGGTGAGGTCTGTGAAGTGTCCCGCCTTCCGCTGCTCGCTCTGCCGCTGAGCCAGCTCCGAGCAGTGCGGGCAGGAGGAGAACTCTTCGGCCTCTTCTTCCAAACTGTCCTCGTCTTCAGCCTCACAGCTGCTCTCCATCGGGTCCGAGTCTGCGGCCGCAGCCATGGCCCTCAGCCCTGGCCCTCAGCCCGGGAGCAGGTTATGGGAAAGTCGTCCTCAGACGGTGATAAAATAGATCCATGTCATGTGTCAAACATCCGCAAACAGAGGAAAGTCTGATCCATGTGCGCAGTCATGTGCGCAGTGCAGGGAGCAGCCACTTCCGCATTCAACAGCGTCACAAGAACCCGGATGTGGCATTTATGACAGAATTACAGTCTATATCTTATAGATGAATTATAATTATGTATAAACACAGGTAAAAACATGTTTAAGACAATAAAATCTTTATTTTTCTTCTTTAGGACATGTTAAAAAACAATGTATTTCACAGTTTAATATAAATAGCAAAACATAGGTTAAAGACAGCAGGCAGGGCCGTGGGAATTCAGTATTTAGTTGAAGGCAATATATGACGGTACTCCCAGTTTGGATCCCTCTCAGACCTGGACCTCTGCTTTCATGGTCCCTCTCAGACCATGTCCTCTGCTTTCATGGTCCCTCTCAGACCATGTCCTCTGCTTTCATGGTCCCTCTCAGACCATGTCCTCTGCTTTCATGGTCCCTCTCAGACCTGGTCCTCTGCTTTCATGGTCCCTCTCAGACCTGGTCCTCTGCTTTCATGGTCCCTCTCAGACCTGGTCCTCTGCTTTCATGGTCCCTCTCAGACCTGGACCTCTGCTTTCATGGTCCCTCTCAGACCTGGTCCTCTGCTTTCATGGTCCCTCTCAGACCTGGACCTCTGCTTTCATGGTCCCTCTCAGACCTGGTCCTCTGCTTTCATGGTCCCTCTCAGTGACAGTAAAGACTCATTGGGCACATTCATGAAGCGTTTCCACCAAACCACAAGGATGCGTCAGTATTTCAGTGTGTTGTAAAAAATACCCTGATTGCATTAAACAAGACAAAAGACCAACCCCAAAACTGCAGAAATCACAAACAGTGGAAGCCATTAACAACTGGAGGCTTTGGTGAAATTACACAAACTCTTCTATTCAGTAAATAAAGAAGGTTTGAAAGAACTCTGGGCCCTTTTTAATTCAATAACAACTTTGGTTTATTGTCAGAGGGAAAGGGAACTATGACTAAGGTGCAATACTGTTTTGAGAATAGCACTTTGAAAACTAAAACAGACAACTGAAAACCACAAATATTATTATTAAAAACAAATCTATAACCATTGAATAAAAGCAGCATTAGTGCAGACCATGCCCACGGCCCACTACGATATTGTGCTGTGTGCTCGAAACTCTAGCTGCATTTGGCTTCATCTAAAAACGTCAAAACATCCCGGGACGACGGACGTATCCTTCCTCTTCCTCCTCTTCCTCCTCTTCGGCCTCATGTGGCGGTTACATGGACATGTGTTCAGGAAGCACGTAGGAGATGTCGTCCCACGGGTGACGGTACAAACCCTGCTTCAGTCTCTTCTGGTCCAGGTAATGCCCTAAAGCAAATACAGAATGTGTTTGATTCTGATAAAAGGAGACGTATGTATTAGTTATTTATGCACGAAGAGGAACTCACCGATGAAGCCCATGCTCCGGCCGAGGACAAAGACTCCGTTTAAGGCACCAATCTCCACAAACTCGTCTGCCTCGTCCCTGAAGAGAGAGAGAGCGTCAGTGTTGCTACTTTAAAGCTAGCCCTGGTCTTACCATGTGTAAACTCTGGACCATGGAGAATGTGATAGAAAAATAATCTGTTCTGGTTCAATCCAAATATCAAGAAACTGAAGCGGAGCAAGAGGAATGTTTAGTAAATGTCACTGAAGCAAAGATCTTGTGGCTCTACTCCCCACGGGCTCCGATAGCGGCAAAGGAGATGGCTAAAGCTAGGCTACATGCTAAAGCTAGGCTACATGCTAAAGCTAGGCTACATGCTAAAGCTAGGCTAAATGCTAAATGCTAACGACTCACTCGGGCTCATTTCATACGTCACAGTAAACTCAGATCCAATGGTTTCAATCTGCAAAAGGAGTTAGCCCCTCCCACCTGTTCACGGAGTCACTGGAGCCAATCCAAACCTTAGCACATAATGAAATGTGTACTATGGTGTGGTACGACCAGGCTAGTTTAAAGCAGCCGTCATGAATAAATCTGAATCCTAAATGGAAGACTTACCTCGTGAAGCCCCCACACGTCCGGAGAAGATCCACAAAGGCGACTCCAATGAAACCGTCGACGTTGAGAATCAGGTTTGGTTTCTGCAGCGACACAAAGAACAAAAGGTTAAAGGTTATTCTCCCGTTTCTAAAAACAAACAAACGTCAACTCTGAGCGTACCTTAGATGTGGTGATCTTCTCTACGTCTAAAGCATAATCCAGTAACTGTGTGGAGGGGAAATGCTGCTTCACAAAGTCCTTCAGGATCTGGACTCTCATGTCTGGATTATTAATCTGTAATCATAGACATACACATGAACTGAAAATGACTGAGTAAACCAGTGGTTATATGTTCAGAACCCGTCACGTACAGACTTGACCCTGTGGCCGATGCCCATGATGAGCTTTCCATCTTTCTTCATCTTGTTGACAAACTCCATGGGCAACATCCCGCTGTCGAAGGCTTTACTGAACTGTTTGGCTGCTGCGTCCAAAGCTCCTCCGAACCGGTCGCCCTGAGACACATTCACCACGGATTATTTATTATCTGAGCAATGTGACAGATTATCATGTCCAGTCATCATTAAAGGGCCCTAATCTGTCATCACTAAAAGGCCCTAATCTGTCATCATTAAAAGGGCCCTAATCCGTCTTCATTAAAGGGCCCTAATCTGTCATCACTAAAGGGTCCTAATCTGTCATCATTAAAGGGCCCTAATCCGTCTTCATTAAAGGGCCCTAATCTGTCATCATTAAAAGGGCCCTAATCCGTCTTCATTAAAGGGCCCTAATCTGTTTTCATTAAAGGGCCCTAATCCGTCTTCATTAAAGGGCCCTAATCTGTCATCACTAAAGGGTCCTAATCTGTCATCACTAAAGGGCCCTAATCTGTCATCATTAAAAGGGCCCTAATCTTTCATCATTAAAGGGCCCTAATCTGTCATCATTAAAGGGCCATAATCTGTCATAATTAAAGGGCCCCAATCTGTCATCATTAAAGGGCCCCAATCTGTCATCATTAAAGGGCCCTAATCTGTCATCATTAAAGGGCCCCAATCTGTCCTCATTAAAGGGCCCTAATCTTTCATAATTAAAGGGCCCCAATCTGTCATAATAATAAACTGTTCTTTTCCAATACTTCTTTAACTGAAAACAGTAGTTCAGAGATATTTGAATTTCTAAATTAGTTTGTGCACTTTCCTCAGTGGTTGTTGTGTGGCAATATTTTACGGTATAATTTTAAAGAATCTCATTGGTCGTTTGAGAAGAGGCGGTGACAGCGACTGCATGAAGCTGAAGCCAAAAAATATATATAAATAATATTTATAACAAAAAAACATGGGTATCGGCCCAAAATGTCTCACTCGGTGCGTCCCTAAAACAGTGTGTTTGTGGCTGTGTTGGTCTCACTATGGTCAGCAGTCCCGAGGTCAGGCTGGAGATCAGGTCTTTCCCGGCTCGTGCACAGACTATAGTGTTGTGAGCTCCGGAGACCGCGGGGCCGTGGTCCGCGGTCACCATCAGACACATCTCAATGAACTGACAGGCGTAACGAGGCAACCTGGAAAAGCAAACACATCTGTCACATCTCCTGAAACCAGATTCTAAAGTATGGACTGTCTACTTTCATCAGCAAAAAGAATTTTATTTCTAGCTTGTTTCGTTCTCCTGTAATCCCCAGTCGAGTAGAGGGAAGTTTTACTGAAATCACCAGTCTTGGACAAAAAGCTGAGAAAAAGAGGCGCAACAAGAGCATCCTGTTTTCAAACCGTTCAGAGAGCGCTGCTGCCCCCTGCTGGCTCCATAAAATATGCTCTAAAGCTAATCCCCATACACATTAGATATAACAGACATCTGGGAACATGAAAATTGCGGAAAACACCATTGACGTGTTAACACCTCAATGGCACACAATGAGTTAATTACATTTATCATCATTTAAGGACATTTATCATCATTTAAGGACATTTATCATCATCTCTGTCTCTTATGGACCAATGACTGTGTTTTTATCATTGCATTTCTTGTGTTTGTTGATTCTCTAATCTGTGTCGGAGAATTCAACAGTTTTGTCAAGTCCAAGATAAACTACTGTTGTGATTTAGGGGTGTCCAAACTTTTTAGTAAGAGGGCCACATTCATTTCTTGGGGCAGACGACCAGAATTTTAAAAACTGGATTTAAGCTGGATTTTTACTGGATTCTGAATTTTAAAATAGTTTATGATACGTCCTTATTGAGGCTCTGAGATAAACAACAGAGCAGAGGGCCACATTAAAGCGCACAGAGGACCGCAGTTGGCTCGCGGGCCTGAGTTTGGACCTGCCTGGACTATAGGATCTCTTCATCTTAACACACACTAATGACAGTTGTATGCATTTCTTTGACAGACCTGCGTTGGAACCACAGTAAGCCGAGCACGCCACCGATGCCCATCTCCTCCTTGAAGACCTCGGTGATGGGCATCCCGGCGTAGATCAGCTCCTGTCCTCTCTCGTCACAGATACTGGTCATAAACGAGGCTGGTTTGCGGATCAGACCCAGCTCCTACAGACACCAGGACAATCAGATCGCAATGCATTCATTCATGTATAAATACTGTATATGTGTACTTTATGCATTTAATATGCGTGTGTGTGTATATATGAAGACCTAACAAACAGGTTTTCTTGGGGTTCATATGACGTCAGGGCAGTGGTGTGAATAACAAACGTAGGACAGGACGTGACTTATCCTGGCGGAGCAGTCTGCCGGGTTTATACACAGAGATATAGTAGAAGAAGAAGCGGTTTATACACAGAGATATAGTAGAAGAAGAAGTGGTTTATACGCAGAGATATAGTAGAAGAAGAAGTGGTTTATACACGGAGATATAGTAGAAGAAGAAGTGGTTTATACACAGAGATATAGTAGAAGAAGAAGTGGTTTATACACAGAGATATAGTAGAAGAAGAAGTGGTTTATACACAGAGATATAGTAGAAGAAGAAGTGGTTTATACACAGAGGTATAGTAGAAGAAGAAGTGGTTTATACACGGAGATATAGTAGAAGAAGAAGTGGTTTATACACAGAGATATAGTAGAAGAAGAAGTGGTTTATACACGGAGATATAGTAGAAGAAGAAGTGGTTTATACACAGAGATATAGTAGAAGAAGAAGTGGTTTATACACGGAGATATAGTAGAAGAAGAAGTGGTTTATACACAGATATAGTAGAAGAAGAAGCGGTTTATACACAGAGATATAGTAGAAGAAGAAGCATCTTTTTGTGCGGTGTACGTTTGTAGCAACCGCACAAATAGAGAAAGACCAGAGTTTGTTCATGTTCCAACTGTGGTCTCATATAAAGGAGGACACTTTGAAAAAATCACTGGAATGAGGCGGAGGTGGATCAAGGCTTTCCCAGATAAGCGCCCCCTGCAGGCCACCCCAATGAAACACAGCCATTTCTTCTGTTTTTCTTTCCAAAAATGCCCAAAATCAAGACTCTTTTGAGAAATATTTGTTAGTACTTCCTTAGAATTGAGTGTTCCCGGTTAAGACTGTTCCAACAACCGTACACCGCACAGGACGAGAGCCTTTGACTCCAAAACAGACTTTACATGGTTTTCAATGGGAGCAAAACTGTCCCACCTCTGCTCATGCGCCCCCTACAGGCCAGGCTCATGAAACACAAGAATAAGTAAGTAGTAAGTAATCTTTATTTATATACCGCCTTTTCACTGCAGACCAGAGTCACAAAGCGGTTTACAATTGTTAATTTTTGGGCACTTGTCTCTCACTCCACACAGAGATGGGAGCGGGGCCAGTACAGGAGGCACATGCCAGAACTATTGGACATATTTTTAGTGGTAGGGGAAACCGGAGTACCCGGAGGAAACCTACGCAGACACAGGGAGAACATGCAAACTCCACTCAGAAAGGTCCTGGTCCGACCGGGATTCGAACCCAGGACCTTCTTGCTGAGAGGCGAGAGTGCTATCCACTCAGCCACCGTGCGGCCCTAAGGCGGCACAATAAGGCTAAATGTGTGTGTGTTGTACAATATATATATAATTAACAATTCATGTTTGTGTTACACTTGTTGCATTGTATTGCTGACATATTATTTATTTGTTATTAATACTTGATAAAGGACCCCCTCAAAAAAAAGAGATAAATTATCCTTAAATTAATTAATCAATACGCAAATATGGAATAAGCAGCGAGTTTAGAGTTTCCTTACCCTGGCCCAGGAATAATCCATTGGGACAGTAGGGGGCGGTACCTCTTCAGCGGGAACTATCGTACCGTCGGCCACCAGGTCGTTGTAAACAGTTCTGAGCAAAAGTACACAACATATAATTACAAAAACAAGCAGAAACATTGTATAGACAGTTTGAGTAGACATCAGTCCTACTTGATGACGTCTCCCAGCTCATCAAAGCTCTTGGGGACGTATGCTCCGGCGTCCCTCAGGGCTTGGTTCTTGGCCACAGCTGTTTCTGAGGCCTGATTGGCACAAGCTCCGGCGTGACCGAACTGGACCTGAACAACGTCAAACATGAAGCTCAGACATTTCACTTCCTCATAAATATAAATATGTGAACTCCAGACGCACTTCGGGACACCGTGGCCCATAAACAAACATTAGTTACTTACTAAACCCGACATAAATGAGATGGAGACAGTAATGCAATCATGAAAAAGAGTATGCTATGGTATGGTATGGTCTGCTATGGTATGGTCTGCTATGGTATGGTCTGCTATGGTATGGTCTGCTATGGTATGGTCTGCTATGGTATGGTCTGCTATGGTATGGTCTGCTATGGTATGGTCTGCTATGGTATGGTCTGCTATGGTATGGTCTGCTATGGTATGGTCTGCTATGGTATGGTCTGCTATGGTATGGTATGGTCTGCTATGGTATGGTCTGCTATGGTACGGTATGGTCTGCTATGGTATGGTCTGCTATGGTATGGTCTGCTATGGTATGGTATGGTATGGTATGGTATGGTCTGCTATGGTATGGTCTGCTATGGTACGGTATGGTCTGCTATGGTATGATCTGCTATGGTATGGTATGGTCTGCTATGGTATGGTCTGCTATGGTATGGTCTGCTATGGTCTGCTATGGTATGGTCTGCTATGGTATGGTCTGCTATGGTATGGTATGGTCTGCTATGGTATGGTCTGCTATGGTACGGTATGGTCTGCTATGGTATGGTCTGCTATGGTATGGTCTGCTATGGTATGGTATGGTATGGTATGGTATGGTATGGTATGGTATGGTCTGCTATGGTATGGTCATGCTATGGTATGGTATGGTCTGCTATGGTATGGTCTGCTATGGTACGGTATGGTCTGCTATGGTATGGTCTGCTATGGTATGGTCTGCTATGGTATGGTATGGTATGGTATGGTATGGTCTGCTATGGTATGGTCTGCTATGGTACGGTCTGCTATGGTACGGTATGGTCTGCTATGGTATGGTCTGCTATGGTATGGTCTGCTATGGTATGGTCTGCTATGGTATGGTCTGCTATGGTATGGTCTGCTATGGTATGGTCTGGTATGGTCTGCTATGGTATGGTCTGCTATGGTATGGTCTGCTATGGTATGGTCTGCTATGGTCTGCTATGGTATGGTCTGCTATGGTATGGTCTGCTATGGTACGGTATGGTCTGCTATGGTATGGTCTGCTATGGTATGGTCTGCTATGGTATGGTATGGTATGGTATGGTATGGTCTGCTATGGCAGTGTTTTTCAACCTTTTTTGAGCCAAGGCACACTTTTTTCACTGAAAAAATCTTGCGGCACACCTCCAGAAGAAAATGTAAAAATGTATACAGTACTAATGTAAAAAAATATATACTGTACATACTCTGTGTGATATATAAAGTATATCTTATCTTATAATGTATACAGTATACTCTGTAGCCTATATTCACAATATACAGTTATTCTCATCAAAATGCTTAAGTCCAGGCCTTGAAATTAAGCTTTATTTAATATTTCTCGATACAATTAACAAGAGTTTGGGAATAAAGTGGCACTAACTGTGTGGAAAAAAACTAAGAAAATCCACTCTCTGCCCAAATAGTCAAATAATAACTCACACAAAGAACATGCATTGTTAGTGCATGGGAAACATTTTGGTATCCGAGCTTTAAATTCAGGAGTTTTGGATGAGGGACACGGGAGGTCCTGAACGCGAGTCCATGGTTCTGTCCGGTCCGCATGTCTGTGGTTCTGTCCACTCGACTATGGTCTGCGCTCGGTACCCAGTTCAGAAGTGCGTTCGCGAGAGCTGTTGTACAAAAATCGTACATTTCATAGTTAAACCACTACAACGCGGCCACAGCTACCCCGGGGCAGAGCGGAGGATGTTAATCCTGTTCAGAAACGGCATAATTCATTTTCAAAAACGTCTCTATCACTTTCACTTCTCACTCGCCACAAAGCTCTTGTCTCGCTCCCTCCCACATTTGTTGGTCGCATCCAATTTTACCTTTCTCGCCACAATGCTGACCTGTTACAGCCTGTGGTCGCATCCAATTTTTCAGTTTCAAAGTACTTAGCTATCTGCTGCCATCTACTGATTTGAAAAAGTATTACATGGTTACTCACAGTTCAAAACAAGTCACCGCTCGTCAACAGCGAATGCAGCTATTTTTAGACAAAGTAGACGAATTTCTCACGGCACACCAGACAATATCATACGGCACACTAGTGTGCCGCGGCACAGTGGTTGAAAAACACTGTGCTATGGTATGGTCTGCTATGGTACGGTATGGTCTGCTATGGTATGATCTGCTATGGTATGGTATGGTCTGCTATGGTATGGTCTGCTATGGTATGGTCTGCTATGGTCTGCTATGGTATGGTCTGCTATGGTATGGTCTGCTATGGTATGGTCTGCTATGGTATGGTCTGCTATGGTATGGTCTGCTATGGTATGGTCTGCTATGGTCTGCTATGGTATGGTCTGCTATGGTATGGTCTGCTATGGTATGGTATGGTCTGCTATGGTATGGTCTGCTATGGTACGGTATGGTCTGCTATGGTATGGTCTGCTATGGTATGGTCTGCTATGGTATGGTATGGTATGGTATGGTCTGCTATGGTATGGTCTGCTATGGTATGGTATGGTCTGCTATGGTATGGTCTGCTAGGGTACGGTATGGTCTGCTATGGTATGGTCTGCTATGGTATGGTCTGCTATGGTATGGTATGGTATGGTATGGTATGGTCTGCTATGGTATGGTCTGCTATGGTACGGTATGGTCTGCTATGGTATGATCTGCTATGGTATGGTATGGTATGGAATGGTCTGCTATGGTATGGTATGGTATGGAATGGTCTGCTATGGTATGGTATGGTAAAGTATGGTATGGTAAGGTCTGGTCTGATATGGTAGAAGCCTTCACCTCTGAGGAGAACATGGTCGCACACGTCCCGATGCACCAACACACAACAGGTTTAGTGATGCGGCCTTCTTTGATGCCTTGGCAGATCTTGTATTCTTCTGTTCCTCCGATCTACAAATATATACAACCACACATTATATACAGCCACACATATATACAATCACACATATATACAGCCACACATATATACAGCCAAACATATATACAACCACACATATATACAACCACACATATATACAACCACACATATATACAGCCACACATATATACAGCCACACATATATACAGCCACACATATATATACAACCACACATATATACAACCACACATATATACAACCACACATTATATACAACCACACATATATACAACCACACATATATACAACACACATATATACAACACACATATATACAACCACACATATATACAGCCACACATATATACAACCACACATATATACAGCCACACATATATATACCATCACACATATATACAACCACACATTATATACAACCACACATTATATACAACCACACATATATACAACCACACATATATACAACCACACATATATACAACCACACATATATACAACCACACATATATACAACCACACATATATACAACCACACATATATACATATACAATCAGACATATATACCATCACACAAATATACAACCACACATATATACAACCACACATATATACAACCACACATATATACGAGCACACATTATATACAATCACACATATATACAACACACATATATACGACCACACATTATATACAATCACACATATATACAACCACACATATACAACCACACATATATACAACCACACATATATACGACCACAGATATTTACGATCACACACTTTTCAGCCACTTTTCTTGCCACAGAATGCCGTTTTTTTGGGTTATAAGTCACAGTTTTTGTCATAGTTTGGCCGGGGGTGCGACTCAGGTTTATGATTGACAGCAAGAAGGTCCTGGGTTCGAATCCCAGTCAGAACAGGGCCTTTCTGAGTGGATCAAGCTCAAATCCAGTTTAAATCCAAGTTGTCAGCCCCAGGTCAAGTCTGATGAACTAAAGTGGCCCTCTTAATGAAAAGTTTGGACACCCCCTGCTCTAATGTTATGTTATTTTACTTCTTCATTATACATTTTCAGAGCGACTCCTACCACGGAGCCATTTATAATCCAAAAAATACTGATTCATGACAAATAGAACATGGTACTGTATTGTATCATTTCTTGTTGATTCTCGTTATACACATGATATATTATTGTGAAACTTAGATTACCTCTCCCAGAACCACAATCATCTTAATTCCAGGAGTGTCTTGGTACCGAAGCACATGGTCCATGAAGGTCGAACCTGGATATCTGGATTATAAGATTAAATTAAATTACATTCAGGATCATTGTAGAACAGGACATTATTTTTAAAACATTAAACATTATTATGTTTATCATTCAGTCATTTTTAGTATAATTTGTGTTTTATATTTTTATTTTCCTGCATTCGTTGATGCTAGATACAAACAGCTAACAAACCAAACTGATAAAACAGGATGTGGCTACAGGAAGTGGCTACAGGCAGTGGCTACAGAAAGTGGCTACGGGAAGTGGCTACAGGAAGTGGCTACAGGAAGTGGCTACAGGAAGTGGCTACAGGAAGTGGCTACAGGCAGTGGCTACAGGCAGTGGCTACAGGAAGTGGCTACGAAAAGTGGCTACGGGAAGTGGCTACAGGAAGTGGCTACAGGGATTGGCTACAGGAAGTGGCTACAGGAAGTGGCGGCCATTACCTGGTCTATTTCTCACAGTCAGTAATGGGAGAATTTACTCATATGATCTGTAACCTGGAGTCTGCAATAAAGTTATCTATCTAACTAATTGAGCAAAGCCAGTTCTCAGTCCTAGGATTCGACTTCTAACGGCCGATGTACTGAAAACCAATCTGTGAAGGCTCTTTTGCGTTTGAGGAAGTTTGTCATAAATGCAGAAGGGTTGGGCTGCTCAGGCAAATCCAGGGCAAGCAGATGGAAAGAACGCAAATTTGACTGGAGACATTTGCAAAACTAATTCATAACAGTGAAGAGAGGACAGAAGGGTCGGGCTGACGTCTATTTTTGATGTTGTAACAAAATAAAGCACTAGGGTTAGTGCTGGTGCTAGGATTAGGGCCAGAGTTAGGGTTAGTGCTAGGATTAGGGTTAGTGCTGGTGCTAGGATTAGGGCTAGAGTTAGGGTTAGTGCTGGTGCTAGGATTAGGGCTAGAGTTAGGGTTAGTGCTGGTGCTAGGATTAGGGCTAGAGTTAGTGCTGGTGCTAGGATTAGGGCTAGAGTTAGTGCTGGTGCTAGGATTAGGGCTAAAGTTAGGGTTAGTGCTGGTGCTAGGATTAGGGCTAGAGTTAGTGCTAGTGCTAGGATTAGGGCTAAAGTTAGGGTTAGTGCTGGTGCTAGGATTAGGGCTAGAGTTAGTGCTAGTGCTAGTGCTAGGATTAGGGTTAGTGCTAGTGCTAGGATTAGGGCCAGAGTTAGGGTTAGTGCTAGTGCTAGGATTAGGGCCAGAGTTAGGGTTAGTGCTAGTGCTAGGATTAGGGTTAGTGCTAGTGCTAGGATTAGGGCCAGAGTTAGGGTTAGTGCTGGTGCTAGGATTAGGGCCAGAGTTAGGGTTAGTGCTGGTGCTAGGATTAGGGCCAGAGTTAGGGTTAGTGCTAGGATTAGGGCCAGAGTTAGGGTTAGTGCTGGTGCTAGGATTAGGGCCAGAGTTAGGGTTAGTGCTGGTGCTAGGATTAGGGCCAGAGTTAGGGTTAGTGCTGGTGCTAGGATTAGGGCTAGAGTTAGGGTTAGTGCTGGTGCTAGGATTAGGGTTAGTGCTGGTGCTAGGATTAGGGCTAGAGTTAGGGTTAGTGCTGGTGCTAGGATTAGGGTTAGTGCTGGTGCTAGGATTAGGGCCAGAGTTAGGGTTAGTGCTAGGATTAGAACTAGATTTAGGGTTAGTGCTAGTGTTATTGTTAGGGCTAGGGTTAGTGTTAGTGTTAGGGCTAGAGTTAGGATTAGTGGTAGTGATAGGGCTAGGGATAGTGACTAGGGCTAGAGTCACAATACACTAGTTAGCAATTAACAAGTGATGTCTAATCTAAATGTCACCAAAAAGAACAGTATCTATCCTCTCTATCGCAGACCAAAGCAGTCTCCCTTCGTGCCCGGGTTTGTACCTGTCTCCTCCGATGGCCACGCCCTCGTACACGCCGTCTGTGGAGCGGGAGATGATGTTATTGAGCTCGTTGGACATGCCGCCGGAGCGGGACACGTAGGCCACGCTGCCAGGACGGTACAGTTTGGACGACAGGATGTTGTCCAGCATTCCTCCCGTGTTGCCGATCTTAAAACAGCCGGGTTTAATTCCGCCGACCTGAGAGCAGGGTCGAAGAAACAGGAGCGGCTTGAGTTACTTTTCGGGTGTAGATTACTGCAGTGAATACTTCATGATGGGGTCGTTTTGGAAAACTCTCACTCTACTCTTGTCTACTCTTACCGTGGCCGGGCCGATGATCGTGATGCCTTTCTCGTCAGCCATCTTGATCATTTTTCTGGTCAGAGCTTCGGGAATGCCTTCAGCGATTATGGCAATAGTGTGGATCTGTGGAAGGGAATCAATCAATAAGATAACCTTATTGTCCAACGGGAAGTTTGCAGTTTGCAGTGGGATACAGTGGCCCGCCGATCTGCATGAATGAAGAAAAATACAAATAAAAATGGAATATTACAGGAACAAACATAGATAGAAGTGCGGCTGTGCTTTGAAGTCTCTGTTTGGTTCAGTTTTGCATCAAAATAAGTAATAAATCATTATAATCACCTTGAAATTGAAGTGTTGATGGGCTAAAAACAATCTACACGATTTGAATGACATGTTTTCTAAAGTAATTTCTCACTTGGAATGAGAAAAAAGAATACTAATGCTTAAAAATATGACTATACGAATCATCTAAGGTCTATGCCAGGGGTGTCAAACTCACAGGTCCTCAAAGGGTCCGTGTGAAATGGGTGGAGTGTGGTGTGCTCCTGCTTGGTTGGAATGAAAACCTGCAGCCACACTGGGCCTGTCCGGGATCAGCGTGACACCCCACAGTCAAAACATACTGAGCCACAGATAATAAATGCTAGAATCAGACCAAAGTGAACTTGTACATTTCTCCAGTGTGAGATCAATAAAGTTTATCGTATCGTAGACACACGCCGGTCTTCCCTTTACCTGTGGGAACTGCATCGCCTCCACCGTGCTGTCAAACGCCGAGCGCAGAGAGGCGAAGCTGATGACCACGTCCACTCCCGGGTGCTTCTTCATCGCGTCCGCCATGTTCTTATAAACTGGGATGAGGATTTCTTTGTGGCCCCAGTAAAACTTCTGCTTGTGATCCCCACTGACAACACAAATAAAGAAAATGTGTGAGTAGTTGTAGAAGTAGCAGTTTATTTTCTTCGACCAATATGGACATTAGATCTCAGGTCACACAGAAAAATAAGAAAAAAAAAAAATAAAATGTGTCTTAAGAATTCTAGAGCCAAATAATGAGATTAAAAGAAAGAAAAACAGTCTTTTTCTGTGATGGTGCGAGACCAAGCCCCGGTGATCCAAGATGGCGGCGGATTCAAGTCTATAGCGACCGTGGGCACCCAAAGATTAGCGGAACTCGCCCATATTTGGTCACACCTCTGGTCCTCCCAGTGTAGTGCAATGGACGAGCTCCCATGATGCTTTGAGGCAAATACTAACGAGTACGCGTGCACGAGTATGCAAGTGTTCAGACCAATCAGAGGGCAGCGTTCAGACCAATCAGAGGGCAGCGTTCAGACCAATATCAGAGCTGCAGATCAGAGCGGAGCCTTTGTGGCAGTAAAGTGTGGATTTATAGAAAACTGAAGGATGACAAGAAACACTACCATCCCACAGAATCTTCTCTGTCAGGTTCTCTGTCAGGTTCTCTGTCAGGTTCTCTGTCAGGTTCTCTGTCAGGTTCTCTGTCAGGTTCTCTGTCAGGTTCTCTGTCAGGTTCTCTGTCAGGTTCTCTGTCAGGTTCTCTGTCAGGTTCTCTGTCAGGTTCTCTGTCAGGTTCTCTGTCAGGTTCTCTGTCAGGTTCTCTGTCAGGTTCTCTGTCAGGTTCTCTGTCAGGTTCTCTGTCAGGTTCTCTGTCAGGTTCTCTGTCAGGTTCTCTGTCAGGTTCTCTGTCAGGTTCTCTGTCAGGTTCTCTGTCAGGTTCTCCGTCAGGTTCTCCGTCAGGTTCTCCGTCAGGTTCTCTGTCAGCTGAGATGGAGCCGTTTTAGATTACATTGAGTTCTAGGGGGAAAGAAGTCTGTGTAGCCCACGTGAACTTAGTCTTACTTAGTCTGCATTACCAGAGTAAGCCCCAGTGCCCATGGTCAGCACTAGATCATCAACGGAATCGGGACAAAACCGGAAGTAACAATCCTACTTTCGAACTAGTTTTAGGCTAATAAGTCCTAATAAGTAAATGGTGACTGGTTAAGTTTTAGGTGTCTGAGTAAGATGGTTAAGGTTAGGGTTAAGGTGGGTCTGAGTAAGATGGTTAAGGTTAGGGTTAAGGTGGGTCTGAGTAAGATGGTTAAGGTTAGGGTTAAGGTGGTCTGAGTAAGATGGTTAAGGTTAGGGTTAAGGTGGTCTGAGTAAGATGGTTAAGGTTAGGGTTAAGGTGGTCTGAGTAAGATGGTTAAGGTTAGGGTTAAGGTGGTCTGAGTAAGATGGTTAAGGTTAGGGTTAAGGTGGTCTAAGTAAGATGGTTAAGGTGAGGGTTAAGGTGGTCTGAGTAAGATGGTTAAGGTTAGGGTTAAGGTGGTCTGAGTAAGATGGTTAAGGTTAGGGTTAAGGTGGTCTGAGTAAGATGGTTAAGGTTAGTGTTAAGGTGGTCTGAGTAAGATGGTTAAGGTTAGGGTTAAGGTGGTCTGAGTAAGATGGTTAAGGTTAGGGTTAAGGTGGTCTGAGTAAGATGGTTAAGGTTAGGGTTAAGGTGGTCTGAGTAAGATGGTTAAGGTTAGGGTTAGGGTGGTCTGAGTAAGATGGTTAAGGTTAGGGTTAAGGTGGTCTGAGTAAGATGGTTAAGGTTAGGGTTAAGGTGGTCTGAGTAAGATGGTTAAGGTTAGGGTTAAGGTGGTCTGAGTAAGATGGTTAAGGTCAGGGTTAAGGTGGTCTGAGTAAGATGGTTAAGGTTAGGGTTAAGGTGGGTCTGAGTAAGATGGTTAAGGTTAGGGTTAAGGTGGTCTGAGTAAGATGGTTAAGGTTAGGGTTAAGGTGGTCTGAGTAAGATGGTTAAGGTTAGGGTTAAGGTGGTCTGAGTAAGATGGTTAAGGTTAGGGTTAAGGTGGTCTGAGTAAGATGGTTAAGGTTAGGGTTAAGGTGGTCTGAGTAAGATGGTTAAGGTTAGTGTTAAGGTGGTCTGAGTAAGATGGTTAAGGTTAGGGTTAAGGTGGTCTGAGTAAGATGGTTAAGGTTAGGGTTAAGGTGGTCTGAGTAAGATGGTTAAGGTTAGGGTTAAGGTGGGTCTGAGTAAGATGGTTAAGGTTAGGGTTAAGGTGGTCTGAGTAAGATGGTTAAGGTTAGGGTTAAGGTGGTCTGAGTAAGATGGTTAAGGTTAGGGTTAAGGTGGGTCTGAGTAAGATGGTTAAGGTTAGGGTTAAGGTGGGTCTGAGTAAGATGGTTAAGGTTAGGGTTAAGGTGGGTCTAAGTAAGATGGTTAAGGTTAGGGTTAAGGTGGTCTAAGTAAGATGGTTAAGGTGAGGGTTAAGGTGGTCTGAGTAAGATGGTTAAGGTTAGGGTTAAGGTGGGTCTAAGTAAGATGGTTAAGGTTAGGGTTAAGGTGGGTCTAAGTAAGATGGTTAAGGTTAGGGTTAAGGTGGTCTGAGTAAGATGGTTAAGGTGGTCTGAGTAAGATGGTTAAGGTGAGGGTTAAGGTGGGTCTAAGTAAGATGGTTAAGGTTAGGGTTAAGGTGGGTCTAAGTAAGATGGTTAAGGTTAGGGTTAAGGTGGTCTGAGTAAGATGGTTAAGGTGGGTCTAAGTAAGATGGTTAAGGTTAGGGTTAAGGTGGTCTGAGTAAGATGGTTAAGGTGAGGGTTAAGGTGGTCTGAGTAAGATGGTTAAGGTTAGGGTTAAGGTGGTCTGAGTAAGATGGTTAAGGTTAGGGTTAAGGTGGTCTGAGTAAGATGGTTAAGGTCAGGGTTAAGGTGGTCTGAGTAAGATGGTTAAGGTCAGGGTTAAGGTGGTCTGAGTAAGATGGTTAAGGTTAGGGTTAAGGTGGTCTGAGTAAGATGGTTAAGGTTAGGGTTAAGGTGGTCTGAGTAAGATGGTTAAGGTTAGGGTTAAGGTGGTCTGAGTAAGATGGTTAAGGTGAGGGTTAAGGTGGTCTGAGTAAGATGGTTAAGGTCAGGGTTAAGGTGGGTCTGAGTAAGATGGTTAAGGTGAGGGTTAAGGTGGTCTGAGTAAGATGGTTAAGGTTAGGGTTAAGGTGGGTCTGAGTAAGATGGTTAAGGTTAGGGTTAAGGTAGTCTGAGTAAGATGGTTAAGGTTAGGGTTAAGGTGGTCTGAGTAAGATGGTTAAGGTTAGGGTTAAGGTGGTCTGAGTAAGATGGTTAAGGTTAGGGTTAAGGTGGTCTGAGTAAGATGGTTAAGGTGAGGGTTAAGGTGGTCTGAGTAAGATGGTTAAGGTTAGGGTTAAGGTGGGTCTGAGTAAGATGGTTAAGGTTAGGGTTAAGGTGGTCTGAGTAAGATGGCTAAGGTTAGGGTTAAGGTGGTCTGAGTAAGATGGTTAAGGTTAGGGTTAAGGTGGTCTGAGTAAGATGGTTAAGGTCAGGGTTAAGGTGGTCTGAGTAAGATGGCTAAGGTTAGGGTTAAGGTGGTCTGAGTAAGATGGTTAAGGTTAGGGTTAAGGTGGTCTGAGTAAGATGGTTAAGGTTAGGGTTAAGGTGGTCTGAGTTAGATGGTTAAGGTTAGGGTTAAGGTGGTCTGAGTAAGATGGTTAAGGTTAGGGTTAAGGTGGTCTGAGTAAGATGGTTAAGGTTAGGGTTAAGGTGGTCTGAGTAAGATGGTTAAGGTTAGGGTTAAGGTGGTCTGAGTAAGATGGTTAAGGTTAGGGTTAAGGTGGGTCTGAGTAAGATGGTTAAGGTTAGGGTTAAGGTGGGTCTAAGTAAGATGGTTAAGGTTAGGGTTAAGGTGGTCTAAGTAAGATGGTTAAGGTGAGGGTTAAGGTGGTCTGAGTAAGATGGCTAAGGTTAGGGTTAAGGTGGTCTGAGTAAGATGGTTAGGGTTAAGGTGGTCTGAGTAAGATGGTTAAGGTTAGGGTTAAGGTGGTCTGAGTAAGATGGTTAAGGTTAGGGTTAAGGTGGTCTGAGTAAGATGGTTAAGGTTAGGGTTAAGGTGGGTCTGAGTAAGATGGTTAAGGTTAGGGTTAAGGTGGGTCTAAGTAAGATGGTTAAGGTTAGGGTTAAGGTGGGTCTAAGTAAGATGGTTAAGGTTAGGGTTAAGGTGGTCTGAGTAAGATGGTTAAGGTGGTCTGAGTAAGATGGTTAAGGTGAGGGTTAAGGTGGGTCTAAGTAAGATGGTTAAGGTTAGGGTTAAGGTGGTCTGAGTAAGATGGTTAAGGTTAGGGTTAAGGTGGTCTGAGTAAGATGGTTAAGGTGAGGGTTAAGGTGGTCTGAGTAAGATGGTTAAGGTTAGGGTTAAGGTGGTCTGAGTAAGATGGTTAAGGTTAGGGTTAAGGTGGTCTGAGTAAGATGGTTAAGGTCAGGGTTAAGGTGGTCTGAGTAAGATGGTTAAGGTTAGGGTTAAGGTGGTCTGAGTAAGATGGTTAAGGTTAGGGTTAAGGTGGTCTGAGTAAGATGGTTAAGGTTAGGGTTAAGGTGGTCTGAGTAAGATGGTTAAGGTTAGGGTTAAGGTGGGTCTGAGTAAGATGGTTAAGGTGAGGGTTAAGGTGGTCTGAGTAAGATGGTTAAGGTTAGGGTTAAGGTGGTCTGAGTAAGATGGTTACGGTGGTCTGAGTAAGATGGTTAAGGTTAGGGTTAAGGTGGTCTGAGTAAGATGGTTAAGGTTAGGGTTAAGGTGGTCTGAGTAAGATGGTTAAGGTTAGGGTTAAGGTGGTCTGAGTAAGATGGTTAAGGTTAGGGTTAAGGTGGGTCTGATTAAGATGGTTAAGGTTGGGGTTAAGGTGGTCTGAGTATTATGGTTAAGGTTAGGGTTAAGGTGGTCTGAGTAAGATGGTTAAGGTTAAGGCTGGGTTGGCGTTATTCTTTGGGAATGGCTGGTTAAGTTTAGGCATGAATAGGTAGTTGGTTATATTTACTTCCGTCCCGCGTCCGAATATGATCTACTACTGACCCAGTGCCCATGGGTCCTTCAGCTAAACGCTAGCCCTATAAGCTAGTAACACCCTATCCAATGATCATCATAGATCCATGTCCGAGACGCACGTGAAGGGGTAGACCATGGCGGCTACGGAGGGCTCGTCTCTGGAGCACACGTAGTCGAAGTCCAGCATGCCCTGCACGGCCCGCGTCTGCATCCCCCACACTATGGTCTTGGTGTGTTTGCTGAACAGAGTCGTGGCTTTCGCTGAAGAAGAGACAAAAGAAGACATGATGTTAGAGGGATGTATGGAATCTGGCTGTAACTGCTGAACCCTGTGGCTGCGTGAAAACCACAGATCAGACACATGGGGTTGTTTATTTACTCAGTCTGTAAACGGCATCGATGTGTTGGTACTTTCAATTAATTAAGATAAGATGAGAAAATGAATGTAATGTATAAGATTGTAACAGATGTATGTTGATTTCTTTTGACTTGTTTGCACCGAGAGCCAAAGTCATTTCCTTGTCTGTGACTTCCTGTTACTTACATGGCAATACAAATTATTCTGATAAACTTTATTGATCTCACAATGGAGAAATTTATAAATAAAATAGTGTTTACACAAAGACGCTGCGACAGTGAAACGTTAGAGTTTATATCGGATTGGCTTTTCGTTTACATGAAGACGGTGTTTTAGGTGAAAACACAAGAGTAGAGAAACAGCCTCCAGATAAAGAATGTAAACAACAATCTCCCTCTCTGGTCTCCCTCTCTGGTCTCCCTCTCTGGTCTCCCTCTCTGGTCTCCCTCTCTGGTCTCCCTCTCTGGTCTCCCTCTCTGGTCTCCCTCTCTGGTCTCCCTCTCTGTCTCCCTCTCTGGTCTCCCTCTCTGGTCTCCCTCTCTGGTCTCCCTCTCTGGTCTCCCTCTCTGGTCTCCCTCTCTGGTCTCCCTCTCTGGTCTCCCTCTCTGGTCTCCTCTCTGGTCTCCCTCTCTGGTCTCCCTCTCTGGTCTCTGGTCTCTCTCTCTGGTCTCTCTCTCTGGTCTCTCTCTCTGGTCTCTCTCTCTGGTCTCTCTCTCTGGTCTCTCTCTCTGTCTCTCTCTGGTCTCTCTGTCTCTCTCTGGTCTCTCTCTGGTCTCTCTCTCTGGTCTCTCTCTCTGGTCTCTCTCTCTGGTCTCTCTCTCTGGTCTCTCTCTCTGGTCTCTCTCTCTGGTCTCTCTCTCTGGTCTCTCTCTGTCTTTGTCTCTCTCTGGTCTCCCTCTCTGGTCTCCCTCTCTGGTCTCCCTCTCTGGTCTCCCTCTCTGGTCTCCCTCTCTGGTCTCCCTCTCTGGTCTCCCTCTCTGGTCTCCCTCTCTGGTCTCCCTCTCTGGTCTCCCTCTCTGGTCTCCCTCTCTGGTCTCCCTCTCTTCTGGTCTCCTCTCTGGTCTCTCTCTCTGGTCTCTCTCTCTGGTCTCTCTCTCTGGTCTCTCTCTCTGGTCTCTCTCTCTGGTCTCTCTCTCTGGTCTCTCTCTCTGGTCTCTCTCTCTGGTCTCTCTCTCTGGTCTCTCTCTCTGGTCTCTCTCTCTGGTCTCTCTCTCTGGTTCTCTCTCTGGTCTCTCTCTCTGGTCTCTCTCTCTGGTCTCTCTCTCTGGTCTCTCTCTCTGGTCTCTCTCTCTGGTCTCTCTCTCTGGTCTCTCTCTCTGGTCTCTCTCTCTGGTCTCTCTCTCTGGTCTCTCTCTCTGGTCTCTCTCTCTGGTCTCCTCTCTCTCCTCTCTGGTCTCCCTCTCTGGTCTCCCTCTCTGGTCTCCCTCTCTGGTCTCCCTCTCTGGTCTCCCTCTCTGGTCTCCCTCTCTGGTCTCCCTCTCTGGTCTCTCTCTCTGGTCTCCCTCTCTGGTCTCTCTCTCTGGTCTCTCTCTCTGGTCTCTCTCTCTGGTCTCTCTCTCTGGTCTCTCCCTCTCTGGTCTCCCTCTCTGGTCTCTCTCTCTGGTCTCCCTCTCTGGTCTCTCCCTCTGGTCTCTCTCTCTGGTCTCTCTCTCTGGTCTCTCTCTCTGGTCTCTCCCTCTCTGGTCTCTCTCTCTGGTCTCTGTTAAAGAATGATGTTGGTTCTTTCCCGTTGTAAAGTCCCACTGCCCCCTACTGGCCGGAAGCTAGAACTACATTGTTTTACGTCATGGTCTGAACGCTGTAGACTTTGAATACGGAGCCTGGTCGTTTTTGCTAATAGCTTCACAGCGTCTCCGTCTAAACAAGGCCTAAGGTTGAACTAAAGTTGTTGTTGTGGGTAAATAACTTGGCTGCATGCTGGGTCAGTTAGGACACATGTAAAGTGGGAATGAACTTAGAAAACAAAGGAGAACAAACGGGAGACTGCCATAATCTGGGACTGAGCAGATGGAAGTGAATCACACCCATCCATACCTCCAGAGCAGCCTGAAGAGGCCTGGGCTTCTGTGACCCCACGAGACAGAAAATAACCAAAAACAAGCAAAAAGAAAAAAGAACAGTGAGTGTAACTTTAACAGAATATTTATTTAACATTGAATCTTTGAAACACGAGAGCCGCAGAGATCACAGCAGAGTATCTACCATGCAGAGCACAGCTAAAGCATGCCTTTACCGCACTTCCTGTTTCAGACACACACTCATAAGTACAGTTTAAACACACACACACACACACACAGTTGGGGGGGTCAAAGTAGCAGAGGCCCCCCATGTGATTAGATTCAAGTTTATTGTCATTACAAAGTCAGGACGAAAACGCAGTTTAGCGTCTAACCAGTGCAAGTATAGGATCATATTTACAACACAGATACATATATTTGTATAAAAGGGAGACTGTACAAGCTGCTATCGCTAATATATACATGAATTATACTACATTAAGTGCATCTAATGGGGAGAAGTCGGTGGAGAGTTCGGGAGTATGACTGCTCTGTGATAAAAGCCTACTCACTAACACCATAAGCACACTCTCTTCTGTCCATGATGCTTTTAACTTTATATTTTAACTATTTTTTAAAATGCACTTTTTTTTACATGTGTGTCAGGCAACCTTGAGTGTCAAGAAAGGCGCCTAAGAAATAAACTGTATTATTAATTGTTAAAAACTGTCTCTTGGCCAACAGGTAAAGCAGACATGTCCAGCTCTGGCCACAAGGGGCGCTACACAGGCCCTGTATGAACACTGCACAAGCTGCTGATGCCGTGGTCCACAGTGCAACACCCTCCGCTTACCTTTCCAATCGCTAGTGACCGCATTCTTCAAAGGCCACAAAATAGAATGAAGCGAATCTTAAGCAAGAAATGTGAACAGAGCGAGACAAGGAGAAAACAGGGGGGAAAGAAAACAGGTGAATGAGAAGTGTTTGGAAGAAAGGGTAGAGGCAAAGGGTGAGAACAAATGAAAAGCAGAAGTGTGTGTTTGAGGCGGTGCAGGGCAGTGCTGAGGCTGAGTTACCTGCAGGGACACCTTTGCACTTCTTGGCCGGGCACAATTCATTTGTTATTCTGGGCTCGGAGAAAGAGGCCGTCCTCGTGGCAGCGGGAGTCTAAAGAGTCACAACAAGGATCGAGAAAAAGACAACGAAAAAGGATTAAGAACTTTGCATATTTGTTATTGTTTTACTTTTTTTTAGACATATAGGGGCAGCACAGGGGAGAGAAAAGAGGAAAGAGAAAGTAAAATGTGTGTTGTTATGCAGTATGTGTGATGGGGAAAACCTAAAAATGAATGAAAAAGACACAATAAAGTATTAAGTAAAAAAATAACTGCCTATTTCTTGTTATTTTACTTTTTAGAAGGGGGTTAGTGGAAAGAAAACATAGGAAAAAAGAAAGTAAAATGCTGTATGTGTTGTGGGGAAAGCTAAAAACGAATGAAGACACACTAAAGTCATAAAATAAAAATAAAAAACAAGCTATTACTATTTCACTTTTTTTTAGAGTCAGGGAGAAAGTAGTGAAAAGATAAAAGTACAAAAAATAAAAACTATGCTATAAACAAAGTACAATTTCTACCTTTGCGTTGCTACTAGCATTGAGGAGGAAGTTAGCCGTGTGTGCGTCCGACGGAGGCTCGTGCGGAATCGGGCGATGACCCAACGCCATCCCGACTATGGCCGTCATGTGAGTCTCGGTCCCGAACACGTGGATGGGGATTCCAGTGGTCTTCCCTGCACGGACGGAAACACACACCACGTCACAACAACACACAACAACACACAGCAAAGATGAAGCTCCGCCCACTCACCCACTTCCCCCATGACCCGCAGACCCTCCTGGTAGTTGGGTCCTCCCCGACGGACGAAAATGGTGACGTCGTGCTCCTGGAGAGGCTCTTGGTAATCTTTGATGGCTCTGACGATGCCCTGAAGTGTGTGACACAGAGGGGAAATGTCAGTGTTGCAACAGCATCAGACAAATGATTAATAACTAATAATAAATACAATACATTCTCTAACTTTAGCAGAAAAAGCAGTGTAAAATAGCTTAGCCGAGTAGTCAGAGATTGACTTTAGCAAAATAAGAAGTGGCTTGATGTAGCTACTTCTTTTTCTAATTATTGTATGACTTTTAAACGTTATTATCCGTAGGGAGACTATGTCCAGCGTCCGCAGATGAAAAAAAACCGACTTGGCTAATTCTGGTGGCTTTACTTGTAGCCAGTCTGCTCCTATAAACTAAATATACACATTGAGGTGAATATAAACTTGTCTGGAAAGACCAAAAAGACTCATTTCTGAATCGTTTAAAACCAGTGAAGCTAAAATCTGCAGATCTCACCTTGAAAGTGGCTGCGACGTTTGTGAAATTAGCAATGCTTCCTCCAATGATGAGAACTTTCCCTGTCGGAGAAAAGTAAAAAGTCAAACACAGAGGTCTCTCAGAGGTCCGGTCTCACAGAGGTCCATGGTCTCACAGAGGTCCATCTCACAGAGGTCCATGGTCTCACAGAGGTCCATGGGTCTCACAGAGGTCCATGGGTCTCACAGAGGTCCATGGGTCTCACAGAGGTCCATGGGTCTCACAGAGGTCCATGGGTCTCACAGAGGTCCATGGGTCTCACAGAGGTCCATGGGTCTCACAGAGGTCCATGGGTCTCACAGAGGTCCATGGGTCTCACAGAGGTCCATGGGTCTCACAGAGGTCCATGGGTCTCACAGAGGTCCATGGGTCTCTGGTCTCTGGTCTCTGGTCTCTGGTCTCTGGTCTCTGGTCTCTGGTCTGGTCTCTGGTCTGGTCTCTGGTCTGGTCTCTGGTCTCTGGTCTCTGGTCTGGTCTCTGGTCTCACCGTTGGGATGCTTGTCTCGGGTCATGAGTGACAGGATGGTCTTGGCGTAGTCGTAGGTCTGCTGCTCGCTGGGGCGCCGGAGTATTCGCCGTAGTTGGCCAGTTCGTCGACGCCGCCGCAGTCGCAGATGGTGTCACTGCAGAGACAGAACCTTTGGGTTATTTAAATACAGCTCCCTGTTTATGTTCCTGGCTGTTTTTATTCAGTTTTGGTTTGGTTTTGTCGTGTAAATAACTGTGTATATTTTAGGTTGTGTTGTTCTACCTGCTGCTGTGTGGCCTGTGTCTGACTGTTGTGTACACACATTTAGAGCGATTTAGTTTTTCGATAATGATATTGTACATGTTTTTAGTGGTAGGGGAAACCGGAGTATCCGGAGGAAACCCTGGAAAGGCCCTGGTCCGACCAGGATTCGAACTCAGAACCTTCTTGCTGAGAAGCGAGAGTGCTATCCACGTCTGTGTGTGTTAAATGATCATTGTTTGGACTGTGTTGTATAATTGTGTTTGTTTTATGTTCATGGGACCCTCTCACAAATGAAATGTTGAATCTCAAGAGGATTTTCCTGAATATAATCAAATACAGTGAGTGCAGCAGCAGCAGCAGCAGCAGCAGCAGCAGCAGCAGCAGCAGCATCAGCAGCAGCAGTAGCAGCAGCAGTATCAGCAGCAGCAGCAGCAGCAGCAGCAGCAGCAGCAGCAGCAGCAGCAGTATCAGCAGCAGCAGCAGCAGCAGCAGCAGCAGCAGTATCAGCAGCAGTATCAGCAGCAGCAGCAGCAGCAGTAGCAGCAGCAGCAGCAGCAGCAGCAGCAGCAGCAGTATCAGCAGCAGCATCAGCAGCAGCAGTAGCAGCAGCAGCAGCAGCAGCAGCAGCAGCAGCATCAGCAGCAGCAGCAGCAGCAGTATCAGCAGCAGCAGCAGCAGCAGCAGCAGCAGCAGCAGCAGCAGCAGTATCAGCAGCAGCAGCAGCAGCAGCAGCAGCAGCAGCAGTAGCAGCAGCAGCAGCAGTATCAGCAGCAGCAGCAGCAGCAGCAGCAGCAGCAGTAGCAGCAGTAGCAGCAGCAGCAGCAGCAGCAGTATCAGCAGCAGCAGCAGCAGCAGCAGCAGCAGCAGCAGCAGCAGCAGCAGCAGCAGCAGCAGCAGCAGCAGCAGCAGTAGCAGCAGCAGCAGGAGCTACAGAGGCTTAATGTTATCAAGAGCTAGCGTTAGCTTCATATCAGCCTGGAGGATCAGACACAGGTCTTATACAAAACATACATCAGGTTTGTGTGGTTCCAAAGTCATACCAAGACACACAGCTTTGTTTACAATCACTGAATGATCTAAAACAGTTTATATCTGGGATCAGTCCTTCTCAGTCGTTAAAAGCTGCATTACCTCACTTTATTTGTGTATTCATGAGTTAAATCCAGTCCATATCCATACAGTGCAGTGGGACACACGTCCTTTTGAAGAATAAGAAGCACAGGTTTGTGCTGACGTGACATTTTATTTTAGATTGAGTTTCCGTGAAACAAGGAAGAGAATGTGTTTCAGGTCCAGATTGTGACCAATCACAGCGGACCACTGGCCCCCACTTTCTTGAGAAAAGCCACAGGTCTGTGGTTAGCACGGACAGGTCTGTGGTTAGCACGGACAGGTCTGTGGTTAGCACGGACAGGTCTGTGGTTAGCACGGACAGGTCTGTGGTTAGCACGGACAGGTCTGTGGTTAGCACGGACAGGTCTGTGGTTAGCACGGACAGGTCTGTGGTTAGCACGGACAGGTCTGTGGTTAGCACAGACAGGTCTGTGCTAACCACAGACAGGTCTGTGGTTAGCACAGACAGGTCTGTGGTTAGCACAGACAGGTCTGTGCTAACAGACAGGTCAGTGGTTAGCACAGACAGGTCTGTGGTTAGCACAGACAGCTGAGGTAAACAAGCGGCGGAGGTGAACCTGAAACTTCTGTGTCTTTGTTATCGGTGACTGCTTACTCAGAGAAACAGACAAAAGAAAGTCTCGTTCCTCCGCACTTCCTGGTTCTATTGTTCTATGGTCACGCCACGTTCACATGTGTGTCCATGTGAGACGTGAGCTCCGTAAACAGTTAGCATGAGCAGAGGCTGAGGGGGAGGCTCCGAGCAGAAAGAGCGAGGGCAGTTAGTGCAGCTTTAAGTGTTTGATTGTGTGGATGTTTTAATGGAATGTATGTGATTTTATAGTAAAAGGCTCTACATAAAACTGTATTGATTGATACCTGTAGACCACAGAGGCCCCTCCTCCAGCCACCATGGTCCAGATCCGGCCTTTTGGGTTGAGAATGGTGAGTTTCAGACTGGCTCCACTCTTGGCGTCCAGATCAGCGATGTACGCCTCCTACAGGACAGAGTTTAGAGATTAATCAGAACTCAGTGTAACTCAATAATAATAATAATAATAATAACAACATTGCTCTAACCTCTGGATAGGCCTCTCTGCCGAAAGGGGGCGGGAACTCCACGTCGCCCCACTTGACTTTACAGATGTAGTCGGCCGTGGCGTCGATCTTGGCCGCCATGTCCAGGATGTACACGCCGTCCTGAGTGACCACTGGGGGCACAGGGACGTACGAGAGCGGGAACGTGACTAAACAGCTGATTTAACATTACTATTGTTTTTTCTGCTCATATTCTCCGCTGCTAAAGTACAATACACACATCTGTAAATACTTCTGAACCACGTGACATTATAGCTGCAGAGTTGTTTTATTATATTTTAACATCTTATTCTCTTATTTTAATTATATTGTCTATTTTCTTAAATAATAGACTCCGATGTGTGCGTCTGAGTCTTATTTTTTTATTTCTCTGCCGTTATGTGCAGCGATGACACTGACATTAGCTTAATGGACTATTTCCAAGGCACATCAATACACATCTCGAGGCCCACCAACGTGCCACGGCCCATGGGTTGAAAAACACTGGTTTAGACGCCATATTCACCAAGAGGGTTGATCTCCAGGTACGTGAAGTAGAGATCCTCATACAGACTGAAAAGACCCACGATGAAGCTGGCCAGGACTCTGAGGAAACAAACGTGGAGTGAGTGGAACAATCGACAAAGCCTCTCATCACCATGACAACGCATCATTATCGAATATATATAAAAAAAACCTCCGGGCAAAGTGGAGATTTTTGAAAACTCTGTTCATGCATTTGCTGTAGACAGAGATAACCGTCACAGTCAGAGAGCAGCAAAGTGATCACAGGGACTCACGCTCCAAAAAAAACAAAACAGGAGCTAAACTAGGACTAAACCAGGACTGAGGGTCAGAGCTTGTAAACATGTCTTTACCCTGAGTTTCTACTAGTAAGTAAGTAATGTTTATTTATATAGCACATGTTACAGACCCAAAAAGGTACAGACCCAAAAAGGTACAGACCCAAAAAGGTACAGACCCAAAAGGTACAGACCCCAAAGGTACAGACCCCAAAGGTACAGACCCCAAAGGTACAGACCCAAAGCACTTTCCAATGTTCAGAGTCAGATATTGTTCCAATCCTTCCACACGGTGATGACAGAAGCGAGTCCAGAACACACTGGACCATCAAAGCCTCTGACCCAACACCATCATCCACTCTCTCATTTACATTCAAACCTATTGTGCATGTTTTTAGTGGTAGGGGAAACCGGAGCACCCGGAGGAAACCTACGCAGACCCGGGGAGAACATGCAAACTCCAATTACTAGGACTAAGTGCAGCTACAGAAGAACCGGCGTCTGCATAAAGATTACTACTCCTGCATCAAAGCTCCGCCCACTTCTGTGTTTTTCCCCCAACGGAAACCCCGCCCCCAGAGCCGCACCCTTTCTTCTGGTCCGGGACTTGGGTCAGGAGTTGCTCCGTGACCTGCTGCTCGTGGATCTTCTCGCCCACGGGCACCAGGAGCTTCAGGGCTTTGGCGTCCACGTCCCCCACCTCCACGCCGCCCTCGTGGTGGAACAGCACGTGGTCCCCCTCGCGAGTGGCGTAGACGCAGACGTAAAACTCCTCCTCCTACGAAAGAAACGCAAACACACGTTCAGAGACAGAACCAGCCCAGAACCAGCCCAGAACCAGCCCAGGACCAGCCCAGAACCAGCCCAGGACCAGCCCAGAACCAGCCCAGAACCAGCCCAGACCAGCCCAGGACCAGCCCAGAACCAGCCCAGGACCAGCCCAGAACCAGCCCAGGACCAGCCCAGGACCAGCCCAGAACCAGCCCAGAACCAGTCCAGAACCAGCCCAGGACCAGCCCAGGACCAGCCCAGAACCAGCCCAGGACCAGCCCAGAACCAGCCCAGGACCAGCCCAGAACCAGCTCAGGACCAGCCCAGAAACAGCCCAGAAACAGCCCAGGACCAGCCCAGAATCAGCCCAGGACCAGCCCAGGACCAGCCCAGAACCAGCCCAGGACCAGCCCAGAACCAGCTCAGGACCAGCCCAGAAACAGCCCAGAACCAGCCCAGAACCAGCCCAGGACCAGCCCAGGACCAGCCCAGGACCAGCCCAGAACCAGCCCAAACCAGCCCAGAACCAGCCCAGGACCAGTCCAGAACCAGCCCAGAACCAGCCCAGGACCAGCCCAGAACCAGCCCAGGACCAGCCCAGAACCAGCCCAGGACCAGCCAGGACCAGCCCAGGACCAGCCCAGAACCAGCCCAGGACCAGGCCAGGACCAGCCCAGAACCAGCCAGGACCAGCCCAGAACCAGCCCAGAACCATCCCAGGACCAGCCCAGGACCAGCCCAGAACCAGCCCAGGACCAGCCCAGGACCAGCCCAGAACCAGCCCAGAACCAGCCCAGAACCAGCCCAGGACCAGCCCAGGACCAGCCCAGGACCAGCCCAGAACCAGCCCAGGACCAGCCCAGGACCAGCCCAGAACCAGCCCAGGACCAGTCCAGGACCCTGAAAGGACATTTAGTGCATGTTGTGTTACCTGTTTGTGTTGTCGTGTTACCTGTTTGTGTTGTCGTGTTACCTGTTTGTGTTGTCGTGTTACCTGTTTGTGTTGTCGTGTTACCTGTTTGTGTTGTCGTGTTACCTGTTTGTGTTGTCGTGTTACCTGTTTGTCTTGTTGTGTTACCTGTTTGTCTTGTGTTACCTGTTTGTCTTGTGTTACCTGTTTGTCTTGTTGTGTTACCTGTTTGTCTTGTGTTACCTGTTTGTCTTGTGTTTACCTGTTTGTCTTGTTGTGTTACCCGTTTGTGTTGTCGTGTTACCCGTTTGTGTTGTCGTGTTACCCGTTTGTGTTGTCGTGTTACCCGTTTGTGTTGTCGTGTTACCCGTTTGTGTTGTCGTGTTACCCGTTTGTGTTGTCGTGTTACCTGTTTGTGTTGTCGTGTTACCTGTTTGTGTTGTCGTGTTACCTGTTTGTGTTGTCGTGTTACCTGTTTGTGTTGTCGTGTTACCTGTTTGTGTTGTCGTGTTACCTGTTTGTGTTGTCGTGTTACCTGTTTGTGTTGTCGTGTTACCTGTTTGTGTTGTTGTGTTACCTGTTTGTGTTGTTGTGTTACCTGTTTGTGTTGTTGTGTTACCTGTTTGTGTTGTTGTGTTACCTGTTTGTGTTGTTGTGTTACCTGTTTGTGTTGTTGTGTTACCTGTTTGTGTTGTTGTGTTACCTGTTTGTGTTGTGTGTTACCTGTTTGTGTTGTCGTGTTACCTGTTTGTGTTGTTGTGTTACCTGTTTGTGTTGTTGTGTTACCTGTTTGTGTTGTTGTGTTACCTGTTTGTGTTGTTGTGTTACCTGTTTGTGTTGTTGTGTTACCTGTTTGTGTTGTTGTGTTACCTGTTTGTGTTGTTGTGTTACCTGTTTGTGTTGTTGTGTTACCTGTTTGTGTTGTTGTGTTACCTGTTTGTGTTGTTGTGTTACCTGTTTGTGTTGTCGTGTTACCTGTTTGTGTTGTCGTGTTACCTGTTTGTGTTGTCGTGTTACCTGTTTGTGTTGTCGTGTTACCTGTTTGTGTTGTCGTGTTACCTGTTTGTGTTGTCGTGTTACCTGTTTGTGTTGTCGTGTTACCTGTTTGTGTTGTCGTGTTACCTGTTTGTGTTGTCGTGTTACCTGTTTGTGTTGTCGTGTTACCTGTTTGTGTTGTCGTGTTACCTGTTTGTGTTGTCGTGTTACCTGTTTGTGTTGTCGTGTTACCTGTTTGTGTTGTCGTGTTACCTGTTTGTGTTGTCGTGTTACCTGTTTGTGTTGTCGTGTTACCTGTTTGTGTTGTCGTGTTACCTGTTTGTGTTGTCGTGTTACCTGTTTGTGTTGTCGTGTTACCTGTTTGTGTTGTCGTGTTACCTGTTTGTGTTGTCGTGTTACCTGTTTGTGTTGTCGTGTTACCTGTTTGTGTTGTCGTGTTACCTGTTTGTGTTGTCGTGTTACCTGTTTGTGTTGTCGTGTTACCTGTTTGTGTTGTCGTGTTACCTGTTTGTGTTGTCGTTACCGTTACCGTGTTTTGTGTTGTCGTGTTACCTGTTTGTGTTGTCGTGTTACCTGTTTGTGTTGTCGTGTTACCTGTTTGTGTTGTCGTGTTACCTGTTTGTGTTGTCGTGTTACCTGTTTGTGTTGTCGTGTTACCTGTTTGTGTTGTCGTGTTACCTGTTTGTGTTGTCGTGTTACCTGTTTGTGTTGTCGTGTTACCTGTTTGTGTTGTCGTGTTACCTGTTTGTGTTGTCGTGTTACCTGTTTGTGTTGTCGTGTTACCTGTTTGTGTTGTCGTGTTACCTGTTTGTGTTGTCGTGTTACCTGTTTGTGTTGTCGTGTTACCTGTTTGTGTTGTCGTGTTACCTGTTTGTGTTGTCGTGTTACCTGTTTGTGTTGTCGTGTTACCTGTTTGTGTTGTCGTGTTACCTGTTTGTGTTGTCGTGTTACCTGTTTGTGTTGTCGTGTTACCTGTTTGTGTTGTCGTGTTACCTGTTTGTGTTGTCGTGTTACCTGTTTGTGTTGTCGTGTTACCTGTTTGTGTTGTCGTGTTACCTGTTTGTGTTGTCGTGTTACCTGTTTGTGTTGTCGTGTTCGTGTTACCTGTTTGTGTTGTCGTGTTACCTGTTTGTGTTGTTACCTGTGTTTTCCTGTTTGTTGTTTGTCGTGTTACCTGTTTGTGTTGTCGTGTTACCTGTTTGTGTTGTCGTGTTACCTGTTTGTGTTGTCGTGTTACCTGTTTGTGTTGTCGTGTTACCTGTTTGTGTTGTCGTGTTACCTGTTTGTGTTGTCGTGTTACCTGTTTGTGTTGTCGTGTTACCTGTTTGTGTTGTCGTGTTACCTGTTTGTGTTGTCGTGTTACCTGTTTGTGTTGTCGTGTTACCTGTTTGTGTTGTCGTGTTACCTGTTTGTGTTGTCGTGTTACCTGTTTGTGTTGTCGTGTTACCTGTTTGTGTTGTCGTGTTACCTGTTTGTGTTGTCGTGTTACCTGTTTGTGTTGTCGTGTTACCTGTTTGTGTTGTCGTGTTACCTGTTTGTGTTGTCGTGTTACCTGTTTGTGTTGTCGTGTTACCTGTTTGTGTTGTCGTGTTACCTGTTTGTGTTGTCGTGTTACCTGTTTGTGTTGTCGTGTTACCTGTTTGTGTTGTCGTGTTACCTGTTTGTGTTGTCGTGTTACCTGTTTGTGTTGTCGTGTTACCTGTTTGTGTTGTCGTGTTACCTGTTTGTGTTGTCGTGTTACCTGTTTGTGTTGTCGTGTTACCTGTTTGTGTTGTCGTGTTACCTGTTTGTGTTGTCGTGTTACCTGTTTGTGTTGTCGTGTTACCTGTTGTGTTGTCGTGTTACCTGTTTGTGTTGTCGTGTTACCTGTTTGTGTTGTCGTGTTACCTGTTTGTGTTGTCGTGTTACCTGTTTGTGTTGTCGTGTTACCTGTTTGTGTTGTCGTGTTACCTGTCTGTGTTGTCGTGTTACCTGTTTGTGTTGTTGTGTTACCTGTTTGTGTTGTCGTGTTACCTGTTTGTGTTGTCGTGTTACCTGTTTGTGTTGTCGTGTTACCTGTTTGTGTTGTCGTGTTACCTGTCTGTGTTGTCGTGTTACCTGTTTGTGTTGTCGTGTTACCTGTTTGTGTTGTTGTGTTACCTGTTTGTGTTGTTGTGTTACCTGTTTGTGTGGCACGAACGGCTCGATGATAAAGTTTTTGAGAACTCCTTTGGCCTTTCCGACCTGACGACAGAAGAATCCATGCAGTTAGTTCTGTAACTTGTGATGCAACATTGAAATTTCCCCACTGTGGGACTAATAAAGGATCTCTTAATCTAGAACAAAATGACAAGACTGAAAATAATTAACTCAAACCCAAAACCAGTCTGCAAAGTTTTATTTTGTTTTGCTTTTCATGAGTGGAATTCTTATCCAAATATTAGTTATGTAAATGTTTCATCATATAATAAACGCCAAAGTCCTTGTTATAGTTTTAGTCAATTATGTTTTATTTTCTCAAAAGCAGAGTAAGAGCAGAGGAAGTGCTCAAGAACAGTACCATAAAATATCAAACTATTTGAGCTTACATTGTCCAGTCAACAGTCACAATATAATAACACACTCACAACGGCAACATTTCCTTTGATCAGTCACAAAAAAGTCAGTTGCAAATGTCTTAAATTAAAGTGTTATAATTAAAACGGATACTTCCTGCTTTTCACTTGTGCCAAAAGTAAAACATGAGCCGTATGTAAAGAGCAGCGTGTGTCGGACCAGAATAGACCCCGTTACATAACTGTGCTAAACATAAGCACTGTCTACATACCGGCAATGCTAATGCTAATGCTAACGAGTATCCACACACTGCATAGCGCCAATGCTAACGAGTATTCACATTTTAAGACAACAAAAATGCATCAAGAGTATTTGTTTTATTCTAGATCTTAAACAGGAGGATTTCCCCAAGTTTTAGGAAAGAACCGCCCTGCCCACTTTCTGAGCTAAACTCGAGCATTTATCACCAGGATGATTGACAGTTGGGAGGGACCAATAGTCTTGATGATCCACCCGGAAGTAGAAAATCCTCCTATGTACTTTTAAATCTAAGTCTTGCAGCGGGAACAAGCAAGGAATGGTTTTTCTTTCATTTCTGTTTTTAAAAAGCTCCATGAGACCAGAGGGTGTTTTTCCATCAGCACAACTTTAATAAAAGATTTGTTATTATGTTATTATTATGTTGTTACTAAGTTGTTATTACGTTGTTATAATTATGTTATTATGTTATTATTAAGTTGTTATTATGTTGTTATAATTATTTTATTAAGTTATTATTAAGTTGTTATTAAGTTGTTATTATTTAGTTGTTATTATGCTGTAATCCCAGCCTCAGACATTCCACCGTGTGTGTGATGAATCTGGAAGAGAGAGGGTTAGAGTGAGCGTGGGGGGGGGGGGGGGGGTAGAGTGAGCGGTGGGGGGGGGGGGGGTAGAGTGAGCGGTGGGGGGGGGGGGGGGGGGGGGGGGGGGGGGGTAGAGTGAGCGGGGGGGGGGGGGGTAGAGTGAGCGGTGGGGGGGGGGGGGGGGTAGAGTGAGCGGGGGGGGGGGGGGGTAGAGTGAGCGGTGGGGGGGGGGGGGGGGTAGAGTGAGCGTGGGGGGGGGGGGGGGGGGTAGAGTGAGCGGTGGGGGGGGGGGGGGTAGAGTGAGCGGTGGGGGGGGGGGGGGGGGTAGAGTGAGCGGTGGGGGGGGGGGTAGAGTGAGCGGTGGGGGGTTAGAGTGAGCGGGGGGGGGGTAGAGTGAGCGGTGGGGGGGGGGGGGGGGGGTAGAGTGAGCGGTGGGGGGGGGGTTAGAGTGAGCGGTGAGCGGTGGGGGGTTAGAGTGAGCGGGGGGGGGGGGGGTAGAGTGAGCGGTGGGGGGGGGGTTAGAGTGAGCGGTGGGGGGGTTAGAGTGAGCGGTGGGGGTTAGAGTGAGCGGTGGGGGGGGTTAGAGTGAGCGGTGGGGGGGGTTAGAGTGAGCGGTGGGGGGGTTAGAGGGCGGTGGGGGGTTAGAGTGAGCGGTGGGGGGGTTAGAGTGAGCGGTGGGGGGGGTTAGAGTGAGCGGTGGGGGGGGGTTAGAGTGAGCGGTGGGGGGGTTGAGTGAGCGGTGGGGGGGGTTAGAGTGAGCGGTGGGGGGTTAGGTGAGCGGTGGGGGGGTAGAGTGAGCGGTGGGGGGGTTAGAGTGAGCGGTGGGGGGGTAGAGTGAGCGGTGGGGGGGGGGTTAGAGTGAGCGGGGGGGGGGGGTTAGAGTGAGCGGTGAGCGGTGGGGGGTTAGAGTGAGCGGGGGGGGGGTAGAGTGAGCGGTGAGCGGGGGGTTAGGGGGGGGGGGGGTAGAGTGAGCGGTGGGGGGGGGGTTAGAGTGAGCGGTGGGGGGTAGGGGGGGGGGGGTTAGAGTGAGCGGTGGGGGGGTTAGAGTGAGCGGTGGGGGGGGGGTTAGAGTGAGCGGGGGGGGAGGTGCGGGGGGGGGGTAGAGTGAGCGGTGGGGGGGGGGGTTAGAGTGAGCGGTGGGGGGGGTTAGAGTGAGCGGTGGGGGGGGTAGAGTGAGCGGGGGGGGGTTAGAGTGAGCGGTGGGGGGGGTTAGAGTGAGCGGTGGGGGGGGGGGGTTAGAGTGAGGGTGGGGGGGGGGGGTTAGAGTGAGCGTGTAGCGGTGGGGGTTAGAGTTAGAGTGAGCGGTGGGGGGGGGGGGTTAGAGTGAGCGGGGGGGGGGGGTTAGAGTGAGCGGTGAGCGGGGGGGTTAGAGTGAGCGGGGGGGGGGGGGGTTAGAGTGAGCGGGGGGGGTTAGAGTGAGCGGTGGGGGGGGTTAGAGTGAGCGGTGGGGGGGGGTTAGAGTGAGCGGTGGGGGGGGGGGTTAGAGTGAGCGGTGGGGGGGGGGGGTTAGAGTGAGCGGTGGGGGTTAGAGTGAGCGGTGGGGGGGGTTAGAGTGAGCGGTGGGGGGGGGTAGAGTGAGCGGTGGGGGGGGGGTAGAGTGAGCGGGGGGGGGGGGGTTAGAGTGAGCGGTGGGGGGGGTTAGAGTGAGCGGGGGGGGGGTTAGAGTGAGCGGGGGGGGGGGTTAGAGTGAGCGGTGAGCGTGGGGGGTTAGAGTGAGCGGGGGGGGGGGGGGGGAGAGTGAGCGGGGGGGGGGGGGGGTTAGACTGAGCGGTGGGGGGGGGGGGGTTAGAGTGAGCAGTGGGGGGGGGGGGTTAGAGTGAGCGGTGAGCGGTGGGGGGTTAGAGTGAGCGGTGGGGGGTTAGAGTGAGCGGGGGGGGGGGGTTAGAGTGAGCGGTGGGGGGTTAGAGTGAGCGGTGGGGGGTTAGAGTGAGCGGGGGGGGGGGGGGGGGGGGTTAGAGTGAGCGGTGAGCGGTGGGGGGTTAGAGTGAGCGGTGGGGGGTTAGAGTGAGCGGTGGGGGGTTAGAGTGAGCGGTGGGGGGGTTAGAGTGAGCGGTGGGGGGTTAGAGTGAGCGGTGGGGGGTTAGAGTGAGCGGGGGGGGGGGGGGGGTTAGAGTGCGCGGTGGGGGGGTTAGAGTGAGCGGGGGGGGGGGGGGGGGGTTAGAGTGCGCGGTGGGGGGGTTAGAGTTAGCGTGGGGGGGGGGGGGGTTAGAGTGAGCGGTGGGGGGGTTAGAGTTAGCGTGGGGGGGGGGGGGGTTAGAGTGAGCGGTGGGGGGGGGGGGGGAGTACTCACAGCGGCCTCGGTCATGAGTCTATCTTTGAGCCAGTCCTTGACCCCCTGAAGGTCCAGGTTGATGCCCACGAGCCCCAACTTCCCCCGTCGCTTTATGAGCTGGTCCGGCTTCACCACCAGAGTCTGTGGGAAAGAAACCAGACCAGACCAGACCAGACCAGACCAGATCAGACACAGGTATAACAGGAAGAGTAGGATTTGTAGAGAGAGGGACGGAATTTGGAAGAAAATACAAATATAATTATTTAAAGAAATGTATTGTTCACCTAATTGTTTTAGAATGAACTTTTTACCTCAGTACTGCTACTACTACTACTGCTACTACTGCTGCTACTACTGCTACTGCTGCTACTGCTACTACTACTGCTACTACTACTGCTGCTACTACTGCTGCTACTGCTACTACTATTGCTACTACTACTGCTGCTACTACTGCTACTGCTGCTACTGCTACTACTATTGCTACTACTACTGCTACTACTGCTGCTACTACTGCTACTGCTGCTACTGCTACTACTATTGCTACTGCTGCTACTGCTACTACTATTGCTACTACTACTGCTACTGCTACTACTACTAATCCACATGATTTCCTGTAGTTTTGTATTTTATATTAGAAAAAGAACTGGTTTGCCAAAAATATTATTGAAGAATATTGACAGGAGATACTGATACTACTGATACTACTGATACTACTGATACTACTGATACTACTGATACTACTAGATACTACTAGATACTACTAGATACTACTAGATACTACTAGATACTGCGGACAGAAGACTATTGTGGTTATTTCTTCAGTCCTCACTCACTCTGGTAGCACCAATATCAGACCCATGTTTTTGGGAACTGAAAAAGCTGGATCGAGTTTAAACCTGGTCACATGTTTTGTGATGTGGACTCAAAGACACCAGTTTAAACATATCTCTGTTCAATTCTGTTTGTTTACATAACTTCATAGTTCACACCGGACTTAACTTCGGCGTCAAAAGCGTCAGGTTTCCATTGAAAGTGAATGGTGAAGCGCGTCAGGTGAAGCCGAGGGGCCCGGCGTCACTTGACGCGCGTCAAAAGCTTCAAGAGTCGCGCGTACTACGCGCTCACTTGAAGCTTTTGACGCGCGAAACGCTCGCGTATCACAACAATCCCTTTGACGCCGAAGTTGAGCAAAGCTGAGCTTTTGAAGCTTTGACGCGGGCTTCAACCAATCAGGAGACGAGGAGCAGCAGCAGCAGAGGGTCTGTCTCTGTCATGGAGAGAAGTCATGCTGCTGCTGTTTTATTGTCATTATTGTTGTAAGGTTAAACTTAGGACAGGACCAAGCCTGTCCACTCTGTTTACCATTGACCAAATGGAGAGATACAGCTTCAAAGGAGCCATGGGGTCAGCCACAAGCCGCCATCAATCATGAGGATTACCGACGCCAATCGGACCCATAAAAACAGCGGGATACCCATCTGGTGCCCTTTTTTCATGTTAACAGAAGAGCTGATACAAATCAGCATTGTCACAATGCATTCCACGGACCAAGGGGTCCACCCGCGGCCCTCTGACGCTCCCTAGCGGACACTGGACGCTACCGCACCCAAGACGAACATTCAAAGGGGACATTACTCAATGATATTAACGTTACGGACCTTACTCGTGTGTTTAATGTCTGTGATGTAAATACACTGTGTTTGTACATGTCTTATGATCATTTGCATCAATCCTGTATGTTTCTTTACAAACTGTCTGTGTAAAGGAGTTTGTCCACAGAGAGGGAAGACATGGACACGCCCCTTTAGAAGTCAATATAAGCACCCGCAAAGCATTGTTCTTTCTCTTGCCTTCTCCTGAAATCACTATCGCAACCTCCCTGGCCATCGGCGTTCCGCGGCACGTGTCTCCTACTACGGTCGCGCCAGCACGCATCGGGCCTTCTACTCCGCCAAACATACTCTCCTCTGGTTGGGATTTATGAACTCTTCATCACCAGCCGGCCCTGGCTCTGGACTCTGCGCACGTGACTCATTCCGGACTCAGTGTGCACGCCTGGATCCAAAGTTGGACTGCCGTCGCTGGCTTCATAATTCCCGCCTGCCCGGACAAAGAAACCACGTGGACGACATCGCCTCCACCCCATTCTTCATTCTCATCCTCCACTCCATCCTCATCCCAGTCACCCACTTCCCTCTACGCTCCTTCAAAGTAAGACTGTTCCTTTGTTAAATGTATGATTTGAATGATATGTGTACAACTCCTGCTTTTAATGTGACCAGAAATCCCTTTTCGTTATATTTTTACCCTCATTTTTGTAATCAATAAACTACTTTTCTTTAACTCAACCCCTTCAGAGTCGCGTTGTTAGATCTCGGAATATCCCTGGCCGATAAAAGTACTCACTACCTATTAGATTTATAAGACTGACTCGAGGCAAAGTTGGTTTGGATCTGTGCAGTGTGTCATACACTGCTGGTGCCTAAATAAATATAAAGCAGATCCCCCACTCGAATAGGACGGCCAGACTCTGATTTGAAGACTAGCCGCACTATTCTTCTCATAACATAATCTGGAGTATTATTACCCTAATTACCTTATATATATAAATAGTTACCCTACAGTATTGGTACCCTGTTTGTGAGATCCGCGAATATAGACCAGATTTATCGACTCGTACTCTGTGAATTGACCGGTTAATATACGCTAACTTAGACTGCTGCTCCGCTCACAGCGCTTCCCCCCACTCCCGCACCCCCTCTGTCCCTGCTACCCCCGTTGCTATAGTGACTTCAACGGCAATCGAGCCCCCCTACGCCCCACGCTTGCGATAAAAGCGTCTCGTGCATGCACCAGACTATTAATTTAGTCTCAAAAATCCTGGCTTTGGCGCAGGTACTACGCATCTCCTGCAACGTGTCGCCCGCTTGGCCAGCGGGCAGCGTGGAATGTGAAGTCGCTTCCCTCTGAAGAGAAAGTGCAAAACCTTATTCTTATAACTCCACTGTACACCGTGTCCAGAACACGGGTGTACGGATCTATTGTGTCCCTTTGTGACCCAAGTCACACAGGATTTTAACAGAGTATATCTGTGTAAAAGGCTGTAAATGGCAGCTGTTTGAATGTGATGCTATCGTTTTGCTAAAGGCGGCTAACGCTAACTCTGTCTCACCACTCTCTCTGCCTGCTAACCTGCTGTTGTATACACACACCAGCACCCTACAGTACATACATACAAACCCCATTCCACCACTGTGATTACGTGCTTGTGCGAACTGTATAACTCGCTCCAGACTTTCGTGTATAAACTGCTGCTACAATGTACCGTTGCCGGCAAGCTAAATGCTAGCTACGCTCCTTTGTTTTTAGCATACGGCTAAACTTCCGCCCGGGCCCCGCTAGCCTCAAAGCTAACTCTGACAACGCCGTTGCTCCTACTACTGCTCCCACTATACGCTGCTTCTCTACCGTTAAAACTAGTGCCACTCTGTTTAACCGAACTGCGTTCGGTCACCAAAACTCATTGTTTATTGCCTAAACTGCTGCTACAATGTACCGTTGCCGGCAAGCTAAATGCTAGCTACGCTCCTTTGTTTTAGCATACGGCTAACTTCCGGCCCTGGCGCGCTAAAAGCCAGAGCCGCATCCCCACTGCTAATACCATTCTGCTGCATTGTCTACCTGTTATCTAACAATAACACTACTTACTATACTTCGTACTATCCTATCCCACTCTGATTCTGTGTTCTGACGATCATAAGGCGCCAGCCGTCTCGGCATACTGCTAAACGGGCCGCACCTCTTATTGTCTAAACACAAAATTGCTTTCCGGTCCCGGCACTACTTCCGGGACCACATTGCTGCTGTCTTGACTTTTACCCTGCACCACGTCTCATGATCAAGTGATTGGCTGTGGTTGTAACGTTAACACTGTTTTGGCTGTTGTCCCTTGCTGTTTCTGTTCCAACTAAAATCTCTACTTTGCCAAACTTGATGTTTGATTGTAATAAACTAATACGCTAATTCCGCCCCTCCTTGCACTAAACTAAAACTAATAATTTTAATCCTGCCCCTTCTTCTGCATGCCACGCCTAGACCACACTGCTGCCCATGGTGGTAACATTAACACGGTCTAGCTGTTGTTCCATGCTGTTTTGATTGCTCAAACTAATAACCACTCTATGTTTGATTGTACTACACTGAAACGAATCATTTTAATTCCGCCCCCTTCTGCATGTCATATTGTTTTATTAGAACACATTACTGCTATACATAACAAAAGCTAACGCTCTGTTTCTGCTTCTCCTCTTAAACATAATTGTTAAGCTACATTGCTGCATTAGCCAAGGTTAATGCTGTAAACTCTGCTCTCCTTCTGCTGCATGTCGCTGGTGATACGCATCCTATGCTTTATTCCTGCTCACTCACTACTGCTAGTTTACAGTAACACATCTGTGTGGTGATTTAACAAACACTGCACTCCCACACACCCCCGCCCCCTCCTTGCCACTGATAATAACACATTGCTGTGGTAACTAATCCTATTCTGTACTCCTGCTCCTGCATGATGCGCGTTATTGTTGAACCACATCGGCGTGTGATCTGACAGATACTGCACTCCCACCTAGTGGTGAAACTAACACTCTACTATGCCAAACTCTATGTTTGATTGTACTACATCAAAACTAATACTCTATTTCTAACCCTCACTGTCGCTAAAACTGCATTACCTTGCCTCAGCCTGCTGCCTTTTTGCTACTGCTTACGGGAGCTGCGTCTAAAGCTACGCCGCGCCACGAACGCAGGTGCGTCACAAACGCAGGTGCGTCACAAACGCAGGTGCGTCACAAACGCGCCTCTAACGCTGCGTCTTAAGCCGCGCCCATCGCGCTGCGTCTTAAGCCGCGCCCATCGCGCTGCGTCTTAAGCCGCGCCCATCACGCTGCGTCTTACGCCGCGTCCGTCACGTTGCGTCTTACGCCGCGTCCGTCACGCTGCGTCTCTAACGCTGCGTCTTAAGCCGCGTCTTAAGCCGCGCCCATCGCGCTGCGTCTTCAGCCGCGCCCATCGCGCTGCGTCTTAAGCCGCGCCCATCACGCTGCGTCTTACGCCGCGTCCGTCACGTTGCGTCTTACGCCGCGCCCGGCACGCTGCGTCTCTAACGCTGCGTCTTAAGCCGCGTCTTAAGCCGCGCCCATCGCGCTGCGTCTTAAGCCGCGCCCATCACGCTGCGTCTTAAGCCGCGTCTTAAGCCGCGCCCATCGCGCTGCGTCTTAAAGCCGCGCCCATCACGCTGCGTCTTAAGCCGCGCCCATCGCGCTGCGTCTTAAGCCGCGCCCATCACGCTGCGTCTTAAGCCGCGTCCGTCACGTTGCGTCTTACGCCGCGTCCGTCACGCTGCGTCTCTAACGCTGCGTCTTAAGCCGCGCCCATTGCGCTGCGTCTTAAGCCGCGCCCATCACGCTGCGTCTTAAGCCGCGCCCATCACGCTGCGTCTTAAGCCGCGTCCGTCACGTTGCGTCTTACGCTGCGTCTCTAAAGCCGCGTCTTAAGCCGCGCCCATCGCGCTGCGTCTTAAGCCGCGCCCATCACGCTGCGTCTTAAGCCGCGCCCATCGCGCTGCGTCTTAAGCCGCGCCCATCACGCTGCGTCTTAAGCCGCGCCCATCGCGCTGCGTCTTAAGCCGCGCCCATCACGCTGCGTCTTAAGCCGCGTCCGTCACGTTGCGTCTTACGCCGCGTCCGTCACGCTGCGTCTCTAACGCTGCGTCTTAAGCCGCGCCCATCGCGCTGCGTCTTAAGCCGCGCCCATCGCGCTGCGTCTTAAGCCGCGCCCATCGCGCTGCGTCTTAAGCCGCGTCCGTCACGTTGCGTCTTACGCCGCGTCCGTCACGCTGCGTCCCTAACGCTGCGTCTTAAGCCGCGCCCATCGCGCTGCGTCTTAAGCCGCGCCCATCACGCTGCGTCTTAAGCCGCGTCCGTCACGTTGCGTCTTACGCCGCGTCCGTCACGCTGCGTCTCTAACGCTGCGTCTTAAGCCGCGTCTTAAGCCGCGCCCATCGCGCTGCGCCTTAAGCCGCGCCCATCGCGCTGCGTCTTAAGCCGCGCCCATCACGCTGCGTCTTAAGCCGCGCCCGTCACGCTGCGTCTTAAGCCGCGTCCGTCACGCTACGTCTTAAGCCGCGTCCGTCACGCTGCGTCTTACGCCGCGTCCGTCACGCTGCGTCTCTAACGCCGCGTCCCCCTACGTGCGCCGACGCCACTAACCCCAACGCTCTCCGCTGACACACAGGTGAAGACGCACTAACGCCGGCCCCTGTCCTAGGCCGCCCACTCGCATACACCGCCACACGGAGAGGACGCTGTAGTCACGACTTTGACACACACCAAGGTTTGCACCACCACACGAACAGCTGTGCTACCCTCTCTATAACACCGCTTTCCTCCTTTCCCCCTCCCACTGTGTCATGCACACACGTTCCAAGTCATACTCGCATACACTCACCCACACAAATATGGAAACCGATGGCGGAAACTCGCCACGACCGAGCGAGCACAACAGTGTCGTGGAGGAACACGACGTAGTGGATAACTTTCTGCGCGACTTCACAGAGAAGTTATCCCCAGGAACCTACGACATGCTTGAGCACGGCTCACCCTCTGACTTACTAGATGCCACCTCCACATTGGCATCCGAGGCTATCACGAAGAAACTAGAAGGTAAGACCCTGACCCAGTGGCTGGGACAGCTAGCCACGGTCTCCAGAATAACCTTACGCGACTCCGAAGCCCAGAACCAAAGGCTTCAAGACACGGTAGGTGAACTGGAACGGCAACTAGCGGAAGCTAAGAGGTCCGCCGCGAGCCGCTTGGAACCAACCCAACAGGTAAGTGGGAACCACCAACCGGGACTTAACACGATTCCAAGCGCGACCATGGATCTAGATCGCGCAGCGAGAATCAGGGCCGCTATTTCGAACGGAACCGGCCGAGATAGTCATTTTTGTGTTGATGCTGTTATACCCACAAAGACAATGAAATTCTATCCAAACAACAAATCCTACATCACAAAAGATGTTAAGGATTGCATTCTACGTAAGAAGGCTGCATTTAGGAACAATGACCATGTAGAAATGAGATCCATACAACGGGAGCTAAAACAGAAGATCAATAATAAAAAACAACAATATAAGGACAAAATTGAAAATAATTTCAGGAACGGGGACACAAGGAAGATGTGGGCCACCATGAAAACCATCACGAACATGACTCCCAGCAAGAAGCCCCTGTGTGCAACAGACGAAAGAAAAATGGCAAATGATTTGAATACTTTTTATTTGAGGCATGAGTCGCATGATTTTTCTGCTGATTGTCGTAGAACATTAATCAACTCAAGAGTCCAGGGAGCCTCAAAAATTGACATCAGTGCTGAGGAGGTCACAAAAATCTTTAAGATGTTTAACACTAATAAAGCTACTGGCCCCGATGGTATCTCAGCCTTCCTCCTGAAGACATGTGCAGAGGAACTCTCACCAGCTTGGTCCCCTGTCTTCCAGAGGTCAGTGGACTCACACATCATACCATCCCAATGGAAAACTGCAACCATCATCCCTGTCCCTAAAATACCTGTCCCAAAAGAGGACAATGATTATAGGCCCATAGCCTTGACCTCCAATGTTATGAAGTGCCTGGAGAAGCTGATGGTAAGAGAGCTGAAGTCAGACATAGGAAGCAAGTTGGACCCGTACCAATTTGCTTATAAAAACAATCGAGGCACTGACGACGCAGTGATAACAGCAGTGCATAATGTTCTCCAACACCTGGAACACCCTAAAGCATATGCCAGGCTGCTGTTTATCGACTTCAGCTCAGCGTTTAACACTCTGCAACCACACATCCTTCTCAAAAAATTTCAACAAATGTCCGTCAACCCATACATAATCCGATGGTATCACTCATTCCTTTCCAACAGGAGCCAGCAGGTTAGAGTGAACCATACACTGTCTGACATGAAGACCATCAACACAGGAGCGCCCCAGGGCTGTGTCAGCTCACCGCTCCTCTTCACACTGTACACAAACGACTGCACCAGCAGCCATTCCAGCACTCTAATCATCAAATTTTCAGATGACACTGTTTTATTAGGACTCATGGACAAGGACACAGACACTACCGAATACAATCTGCAGGTGGAGCATTTTGTACACTGGTGCGAGGACCACCATCTTATCATCAACGTAAAGAAGACAGAAGAAATCATCTTCGACCCCGGACATCTTGGAAATCACTCTCCGCTCTCCATCCATGGCTCAGCGGTAACACAGGTACACTCATATAAATACCTGGGAGTCCACATCGACTCAAGTCTGGTCTGGGATGTACACGTGAACTCTGTCTGCAGCAGGGTTCAACAAAGACTCTATTTCCTGCGGAGATTAAGACTTTTTGGAGTTGAACAGAAAATAATGACGCTATTTTATCATGCTGTAATTGAGAGTGTAATAAGATATGGTATGTGTGTGTGGTTTGGGAATTTGACTGTTAAAACAAAAGCAGAACTTTACAGATTAGTGCGCACAGCCTTTAAAGTCATGGGAGTTAGGGAGCATCCATCTTTGCAGCAGATATTTGAGGAGACTGTAATTAGACAGGCCAGGAAAATCACCTCAGACCCCTCCCATGTCCTCCACTCTCAGTATGAGCTCCTCCCATCAGGCCGCCGCTACAGAGTACCCACTAGAAATAAGAAACGATATCTAAACCGGTATAAGAACTCATTCCTACCCATATCTGTGAACCTCCTGAATGCAGGCCATCGAGCAGAGCGGTGATGGTTTATGTCGGTGTCACTGTGTTGTGTTTTATGTCTGTCTTATGTGTATTTTCAATGTAGCAGCCTGTGAGTCCAAGACAAATTTCCTACGGGACATAATAAATTAATCTTGAATCTTGAATAGTGCCTCCGGCGCACACTCCCCTCACTCCGACCGTGGCGAACCATCGTCCGAGAGTGAACGCAGGAGCGTGGCCGAACTGGTAAGTATCATCACGGGAAAAGACCAGAACCAAGGTCAAAGACACGATACACCACCCAACAGTAACAATCGGAACAGGTCCCAACGGTCCGTCGATGACGAACCCGATCGCGTTGCGCGCAACCACCACCATACAACGGGACCGCCCGCAACTACAGCCAACCCTCAATACTACGTTAGACACATCGACCACTTTGACCCCAGACTCGACCCACCGACGAGCCAGGCGACGTACCACGTGACAGACCGCTCACGGGTCCCCGGGGACCCCTCCGCCTATGAGAGACAACCCCCGGCCGGACCCGCCGCAGCACACCGGCACGTTAAACACGAAACGCATGGCCACCAGACCCATACACACGGACTGACCATGGACCGCGACGAACAACGGCCAACAGCCCGCCATTGGGACGGTGGAGACCACCTCAACCAGGGACGGGACTCCCACGCCGCCCCTCCGGGAACACACATGGACATGCGACGCAGCCAACATGACTACCCGACCCATGACTCTGACCCACCTAACGTCCATACGAGACATGTTTCAGACTACCGCCATTGGGACGAAAGGGCCCGCCCTGAACATGGCGGACAACCCTACAACGACCCCCCTGGCCCACATCAGTACATGCTACATGGACCACACGACATACGGTACCCTGGGCCTGGGCCGCCCGCATATGCTGCGGCACAACGGCCAGTGATCCGCCATGGGAACGCCGGGGACCTCCCCAATCATGGAGGACAACCCAACAGCACCCCCCCGGACACACGCCAGGACTTGACCCCAGGGCAACGACACTACCCGGACTATAGAGGACGCGACGCCCGCTACGCGCCCCCGATAGGTCGAGACCCGCTCGGACCATCCGACCGCGACTTCGACCGCATAGCTAGACACATAACCCGCTTTGACCCCCGGCCCGGCATACCTACAAACACTCGGTCATACCTCCGCGTCGTCGAATTCCACGCCGACCGCATACCACACGCATCCCAAGATGACAAAATATTCTTGATTAGACTCACGTCCAATGGTGAGGTGAATGACTTCATCGAAAGGCAACCAAAGGCTATAAAACACGACTACAACGAGCTCTGCAAAGCCATCCTAGCAGAATACTCAGACTACGGCGCCTCCGGGACCCTCACGGCAGCCATGGCAGTCAAACAAGCTCACAACGAGCTTGCGGAATGCTACTACCACAGATTGCGACAGGCCTTCTTCGGCAACCGAAACTACGAAGGGATGGAGGAAGACACGAATTTCAGGGCCCTGTACCTCCAAAACCTCCACCCCAACCTTAGCCAGCTACTAGGCGTGTACGCCTGCCCCCTTACACAGGACATACGGCAACTGAAGACCCTGGTGGCACGAGCACAAGGTAAACATCTGCTCAAGACACAGGTGAAGCCGCACACCCAACCTACAGTGTACAGCGTGGAAAACCACATGGAACTGGAAGGCGCACCAACGGCCCGGAAACACAAATGGGGAACCGACCACGGACCCCAGAGGAATAACCACAAACACACGGACCCGAAGAACGGACAGCCACGCGACCAGCACCTCCCGCAATACGGCGAGAGACGCGCCGGCCAGGCCGACGGGAAAGACCGCGCGCCACAACGGTCCCACCAAGACCGCACTGCCACAACCATTAATAAGGACAACCTTTCTAGGGAGGAACAATCCCTCCTCCGCACGCTCCTGCGCAAAGCCAGAGAGAAGCCAGACAACGCCGACGTGTTCGCAGTGTCCGTGTCGGATGACGCCGAGAACGCTCCCTACCACATGGACGACGGCCTCGGCGGACAGGAGCTAAATGACGACTACTCAAACGCACCAACGGTGGACACCTGCTACGACCAGAGGGATGTCATGGTAATACAGGTAAACTCCATCACAGACCCACGAGAGGACGGCCCCTCGACAACCATCTGCGAACCACCGTTCCACCAATTCATGGGCGACCTACAACAAAGAGGTACCTACGGGAAACTCTACCTGCCCGTAATACTCGAAGACCAATGGGAACACGAGGCGCTCGTGGACACAGCTGCCGATATCAGCCTGATTGGCGAAGACCTCTTCGGTAAGTTACAGTCTATGGCCAGTAAATCCCACAGACACCTAAAAACGCAGCCATGCGACTTAGGAATAACACCCTATTCCCAGGTGGATACGACCATACGTAAAATGGCTCTAATGCGACTGACCGTGGGCCCCATGACACTGGTCCACCCGGTCTACATCTCCCCATTCAACACGCATCCGCTCCTATTGGGCCAGGACCTTCTAAATCGGTTTAAGCCCCTAATAGACTACCAACGTCTAAAGATCTGGACACAGGTCCGGGAGCCCTTGCCCATCCCACGCCCGTTGGGCGAAAACCACCGCTACTCCATAGACGCGCCGCCCACGAACGGCCCACAGCCCGCCGCGGCACAACCTGAAACCGATCAGGGGACGCCCACAACCGGCGCGAACGCCACGCGCACGGCCCCCGACCTCGACAGGTCGGACTTAGCCTCCCCCCGACATGCAGACCCCACACTGGAACGCCCCTTCGACGTCATGATCGACACGACGCTCGGAACCCCCGGCCGTGATGAAGAAATACTGCCGATACGCCATGGGCTGTTAGATTCTGCTTCCGATACACTCACTTCGTCGGTACTCGTGGTGCCTCGAAGCATGAGGGGGGTAATGTTGGCACACGCCCATGACGCACCTACCGCGAAACAAACAGGTATAAACAACACACGTCAGGCACTACAACAGGTAGAAACGACGGACCGGACGGTGACCGAAACACCAAGGTACGTATCCCCAAACCGGAGTGACGAGAATGTGAAACTCCCCCGGCTCCTGAGGACAAACCAATACAGGACCGACCCGCAGGACCACCTCCAGGTCAAAAACCAGGTATGGTATTACACCTTGGCACATTCCCCAGGACACGTGGGAACCGGCCCCACCAGACTACGCCGGAAACCGCGACCCCGCTGGTCAAGACCATACAGGGTGGGAAACAAACTCTCAACCGCAGTGCACCAAATCGAGGTCACAAAAGGTAGAGAGCCCACCCTCAGATGGGCCCGTTACAGCCAAACCAAACCACACAAACAAAGCCCCATGGGACAAGCAGGGCACACCACAAACCCCAGTTAGGAACACACCACGTGACCTCAAACACGATTAGCCCAGCACTCACCAACACTCTTCTCGGCTGCACTAATCGACTTTCTCTTTCTCTGTCTTTGTCTAACCCCTAACAGTTGTTTCACGCCTTGCAGAACATGTGGCCCACTTTCCTTCTCGTGCTGACCTGCATACTGGGTCTCGGCACCCCAGAAATTATTGAGACCGGACCAGCCTCCGGGATCGTTTTAAAGGAACAACCCGGGCTCCTCATCACGGACGTCCGACTCCACACACAGCGAATCTTTGTCAGACTCAATCCTAGTGAAGTCTGCCGCAAGAACCTGCCCTTGAAGGTCACACTCAAAGATTGGGCAGGTGCACGCTGGACCCAGACGGTCGTGGAGCATGCTGAGGCAGACATACAACACATGCTGACGCACCTTGTCGGAAGGTGCATCTCTGCCGTGGGGGGGGTATGTAAGGTTAAACTTAGGACAGGACCAAGCCTGTCCACTCTGTTTACCATTGACCAAATGGAGAGATACAGCTTCAAAGGAGCCATGGGGTCAGCCACAAGCCGCCATCAATCATGAGGATTACCGACGCCAATCGGACCCATAAAAACAGCGGGATACCCATCTGGTGCCCTTTTTTCATGTTAACAGAAGAGCTGATACAAATCAGCATTGTCACAATGCATTCCACGGACCAAGGGGTCCACCCGCGGCCCTCTGACGCTCCCTAGCGGACACTGGACGCTACCGCACCCAAGACGAACATTCAAAGGGGACATTACTCAATGATATTAACGTTACGGACCTTACTCGTGTGTTTAATGTCTGTGATGTAAATACACTGTGTGTTTGTACATGTCTTATGATCATTTGCATCAATCCTGTATGTTTCTTTACAAACTGTCTGTGTAAAGGAGTTTGTCCACAGAGAGGGAAGACATGGACACGCCCCTTTAGAAGTCAATATAAGCACCCGCAAAGCATTGTTCTTTCTCTTGCCTTCTCCTGAAATCACTATCGCAACCTCCCTGGCCATCGGCGTCCCGCGGCACGTGTCTCCTACTACGGTCGCGCCAGCACGCATCGGGCCTTCTACTCCGCCAAACATACTCTCCTCTGGTTGGGATTTATGAACTCTTCATCACCAGCCGGCCCTGGCTCTGGACTCTGCGCACGTGACTCATTCCGGACTGAGTGTGCACGCCTGGATCCAAAGTTGGACTGCCGTCGCTGGCTTCATAATTCCCGCCTGCCCGGACAAAGAAACCACGTGGACGACATCGCCTCCACCCCATTCTTCATTCTCATCCTCCACTCCATCCTCATCCCAGTCACCCACTTCCCTCTACGCTCCTTCAAAGTAAGACTGTTCCTTTGTTAAATGTATGATTTGAATGATATGTGTACAACTCCTGCTTTTAATGTGACCAGAAATCCCTTTTCGTTATATTTTTACCCTCATTTTTGTAATCAATAAACTACTTTTCTTTAACTCAACCCCTTCAGAGTCGCGTTGTTAGATCTCGGAATATCCCTGGCCGATAAAAGTACTCACTACCTATTAGATTTATAAGACTGACTCGAGGCAAAGTTGGTTTGGATCTGTGCAGTGTGTCATACACTGCTGGTGCCTAAATAAATATAAAGCAGATCCCCCACTCGAATAGGACGGCCAGACTCTGATTTGAAGACTAGCCGCACTATTCTTCTCATAACATAATCTGGAGTATTATTACCCTAATTACCTTATATATATAAATAGTTACCCTACATTGTTATTAGTAATATTATTTGTATGAGTAGTAAAATTCTGAGTAACAAAAATCATTGTACACATGCTGTGTAGTAAACATAGTTTATTTAAAATAAGAACAGGCTGACGATGAGTCTGGCTCAGAGCAAGGCAGCTCCGGGCGGGCGAGAGGCAGGGAGAGGCAGGGAGAGGCGAGAGCGAGCCGGGGAGAGGCAGGGAGAGGCGAGCGAGAGCCGGGGAGAGGCAGGGAGAGGCGAGCGAGAGCCGGGGAGAGGCGAGCGAGAGCCGGGGAGAGGCAGGGAGAGGCGAGCGAGAGCCGGGGAGAGGCGAGCGAGAGCCGGGGAGAGGCAGGGAGAGGCAGGGAGAGGCAGGGAGAGGCGAGCGAGAGCCGGGGAGAGGCAGGGAGAGGCGAGCGAGAGCCGGGGAGAGGCAGGGAGAGGCGAGCGAGAGCCGGGGAGAGGCAGGGAGAGGCAGGGAGAGGCAGGGAGAGGCGAGCGAGAGCCGGGGAGAGGCAGGGAGAGGCGAGCGAGAGCCGGGGAGAGGCAGGGAGAGGCAGGGAGAGGCAGGGAGAGGCGAGCGAGAGCCGGGGAGAGGCGAGCGAGAGCCGGGGAGAGGCAGGGAGAGGCGAGAGCGAGGCGGGGAGAGGCGAGCTCCGGGGTTTGAGAACTCAGACTGGGCGAGTGACATGCGGAAGTACCGCTGAAAGCGAAACTCCTCCGTACGCAGCTCCTGGAGTAAATGACGGAACTCTGCAAACACGGCAGCCTCTCAAGTCTGTGGTGAACCCAGAACATGTTTTGTTGAAGCCCTACAACAACGTTATTTTGCTTTATATAACAAATAAAGGCTCGCTGCTCATTGAAAAATCCACCGCTGTTCTGACTACAGACAACAGAGAAGCTCCTCCCACCGGCGTCAGGCGCGTCACTCGCGTCAAAAGCTTCAAGCACCAAAAGGACAAAACTATCCCGGCGTCAGTTGAAGCGCGTCAAAAGCTTTTTGAAGCTTTTGGTCTGAACGCGCCTTTACACATTCAACGATCGTAAGTGGTTTGTAAAAGGAAGCAGAACTAGACGTTAGCATTAGCATTGTATTGAAAAGAATAGAATGTTTATGCTAGCGTCTGATGGCCACGCCCCTGACCCAGAAATGAAATGAAAAATAAATAGATATGATAGACGTGCACCTCGGTCAGCAGCCATGGGTGGTCCTGCGTGAGGCGGTCCCAGTCGGTGTCGGAGGTGACGGCGGCGTATTTGAAGCGGTTCTGGACGGCGGCGGAGGTGCAGATGTGTTTGGAGAGGAGCTCTTTCCCCGTCTGCTCAGAGATGGCTTTGGCCGACATGGTACCACTGGGTCAAACCTGCAAAAACACCATCAGGACAACGGTTAGGGTTCTGGTTAACGGGTTTGAGGCCGGAAAGGAACCGAAAAGACTACAGCACTTTGAGTATTATAGAAAGTTTAGACTTGGACATTAGGGACAGAGATCCTTCAGGATGGCACCATGATGACCACAATCACGCCATTCTAAATGATCTTTTATTGTGACATTTTAATTACATTTATGATTTAGCCCTGTGTATATTCATTCTTGTATGTTAAACAAAATATTAATATATAAAACAATAATATTCATTGAAAAACCTATGAATAGCAAGAACAAATTCTTACACGTTCTCACGTCTTTTAAAGAAATGGAGAAAGAGAGACAGAGAGAGACAGAGACAGAGAGGGACAGAGAGAGAGAGGGACAGAGAGAGAGAGACAGAGAGAGAGAGAGAGAGAGACAGAGACAGAGAGAGAGAGAGAGAGACAGAGAGGGACAGAGAGACAGAGACAGAGAGAGACAGAGACAGAGACATAGACAGAGAGAGAGAGAGAGAGAGAGACAGAGAGACAGAGAGACAGAGAGACAGAGACAGAGAGAGAGAGAGAGAGACAGAGAGAGAGAGACAGAGACATAGACAGAGAGAGAGAGAGAGAGAGACAGAGACAGAGACAGAGACAGAGAGAGAGAGAGAGAGACAGAGACAGAGAGAGAGAGAGACAGAGAGGGACAGAGAGACAGAGAGAGAGACACAGACAGAGAGACAGAGAGATAGAGACAGAGAGAGATAGAGAGAGAGACAGACAGAGAGAGACAGAGAGACAGAGAGAGAGACAGAGAGAGAGACAGAGAGACAGAGAGGGACAGAGAGGGACAGAGAGAGAGAGAGACAGAGAGGGACAGAGAGAGAGAGACAGAGACAGAGAGACAGAGACAGAGACATAGACAGAGAGAGAGACAGAGAGACAGAGAGACAGAGAGAGAGAGAGACAGAGAGACAGAGAGAGACAGAGAGAGAGAGAGACAGAGAGAGAGACAGAGAGACAGAGAGACAGACAGACAGACAGAGACAGAGAGAGACAGAGAGACAGACAGACAGACAGAGACAGAGAGACAGAGAGAGAATGAATGAATGTGAGGTTTTAACTAATTGTGCGTGTGAAGACGTATTTTGGCCAAATGTAAACCGTAGATCCATGAATGTGTTATTTTAATGTAATAATTAAATAAACTAAACTAAAGGAAAACTAGTGTTGAAAAAAAAAAAAACAAGGCTTGGGTTTTCCTGACATTATAAACATCGACTAAACTGATAGACTAAGAATTGAGCCAAGAAAATAATGATTACAACAATGATTGAGAATGAGTCATGAATAACGTAATCCCATCGTCTCCGTCTCTAACCTCAAATATTTTAATCATTTCCGACTTTCACAACAGCACCAAGTCTTTGTGGCTGTAGTACAGTGAGCTGACAGTTGGTGGAGCATTGACCTTTGAGCCTGAAGGTCTTGGGTTTGAGTCAAGCCCCGGCGATCCAAGATGGCGCCCTATTCAAATGAATGGTTGTGCTCAGTGGCGCTTTGTGACGGCACGGGGGCTGAAAGATTAGCGGAAGTTGCCTGAAACTCTCAAAGATCTATGGGAAACTCTCAAAGATCTATGGGAAACTCTCAAAGATCTATGGGAAACTCTCAAAGATCTATGGGAAACTCGCCTGTATTTGGGCATCGTCTGGTCCTCCCGGTTCTGCGCAGTGGATGATCTCCCATAATGCATTGCACCAAACACGCGTGTGTGGGTCTCACGCACGTGCACAGAGGGGCTCGGCTCTGACCAATCAGAGCAGTTCATCAGAGCGGGAGTTAGAGCGAGAGCCAGAGGAGCAGAGTTTGTGGCACTAAAGTGTGGATTTAAACAAAACCGAAGGATTTAAGAAGAAGAAAGGTTCTTGACCTTTATGAAAGCTGTAGGTTCTCTGTCAGGTTCTCTGTCAGGTTCTCTGTCAGGTTCTCTGTCAGGTTCTCTGTCAGGTTCTCTGTCAGGTTCTCTGTCAGGTTCTCTGTCAGGTTCTCTGTCAGGTTCTCTGTCAGGTTCTCTGTCAGGTTCTCTGTCAGGTTCTCTGACAGGTTCTCTGACAGGTTCTCTGACAGGTTCTCTGACAGGTTCTCTGACAGGTTCTCTGACAGGTTCTCTGACAGGTTCTCTGACAGGTTCTCTGTCAGGTTCTCTGTCAGGTTCTCTGTCAGGTTCTCTGTCAGGTTCTCTGACAGGTTCTCTGACAGGTTCTCTGTCAGCTGAGGTCGAGCTGTTTTAGTTTACATTGAGTTCTATGGGGAAATTTTCTGGGTAGCCCTCGTGAATTTAGTCTGGTTCAGTCTGGTTCAGTCTGCAGTACCGCGAGAATCCCCCGAGCACATGAGTTATTCAGCTACAAGCTAGTAACACCCTATCCAGTTACTATAACACAAGTTGACAGCCAAAAAAATGGTCAGGGGTTTCTCAACTGATTCAGACTAATGTTGGTGTTCTGAGTCTGAATATCACATGCATGTTGCTCTATCAGGTCAACTGTTTGAGATACATAGTGTTACGGATTATGTACGTCTACGTTATTATGGATTCTGCTTATCAAATTTGATGGAGTAAATAAAAACTGAATGACTTTGGATACGTTGACTTTTATTTCTTGAGGAAAACGTCAAGGGTTTCTCAGCTGATGATCCGCAGAAATTTGTTTTTTTTTATGCAAAATTGATTTTAAAAAATATTTCCGTAGCAAAAAATCCTGACCTGATTGAGCAAAACCAAGATCATTTTCGGACTCAGAGCATCAACATTAGTCTAATTCAGCTGAAAAACCCTGGACTATTTTCAAACAATATTTTTTTGTTACCCAGTGTTATAGATCCATGGTTTGAGTCCAGCATGAGAGACCTTCTACACTGCCTGTCGTTCTGTCCTTGGGCAAGACACTTTACCCATAAGGAGCGTGTATTTGTACGCTGCCTGGTTGTGTTTATGTATTCATCAAACTGAAACTTCCCCACTAAAGGACCATCTAAGTCAGTAAGTAATGTTTATTTATATAGCGCATTTTACAGAACAAGGTACAGACCCCAAGAGCTTTACAATGTTCAGAAATCAGATATTTTTACACACTGGTCCATCAAACCCTCTGACCAAACACCCTCCACTCACTCACTCATTACATTCAGACCTATGTTTTTAGTGGTAGGGGAAACCCACGGAGACACGGGGAGAACATGCAAACTCCACTAAGAAAGGCCCAGTTCCAACCGGGATTTGAACCCATTGCTGAGAAGCGGGAATGCTAACCACTCAGCCACTTCTTCCTCGTTACAGTTTGTGTTAGCAGCAAGTTAAAGGTTATTTACATTCGCACATACCTGAGGCTAATGTTTAATTATAGAAAAACTAAACTAAAGGGGGCGACAGTAGCTCAGTTGGTAGAGCATTGGCCTTAAGCCCAGAAGGTCGTGGGTTCAATTCCCACCTCTGCACTCTGCACCTTCTCCACCGACTCCCACTGATGACTGCTGTCGTTGTGTCCTTGGGCAAGACACTTAACCCCACTTTGCCCAAAGCCCCCACTGAAAGATCAAGGCTATGCTCACACTCAGAGAGCAGCCGTCCTCCTGTGGACTCACCACCTGCAGAGGGTCAGTGAGGGGCTGGTGCTATGAGACTTGGGTGGCATCTCTGACTGCCACCCCCCTGACCCAGAAATGGATTAAAGGGTAGAAAATAGATGGATGGATGGATAAACTAAACCTTGAAGCATGTTGTGTGTGAACATAATCATACATTTTTGTTCTATTCTTGTAAAAAATATCACAGTAATGAAGGATGTTGTGGCGAAAGCAGCTCCAACAAGGAAACAGATTCACAGATTTGTCGTCCAACCCGTCCGACAAACCTCTCAGAGAAACACACAACGGCCTTTTACAGGGACTTTGTGTAACCTTTCACTGAACCAGATAAGAACCTTCACACATCATGTTTTCATGGTTCTCCTGGTTTGGTGAAGGCCTGTTATTGCAAAAGAAGAAGAGAAGGTGAAATTAACCCTCCAGGCGCCACGGTATAGACTTAAGTTGTCAATATGCGGTACTGTTAAAAATGCGATTGTGTCAAAATTCATTCAAACTCCGGCCACACAATGAGTCGCATTGTTTTACTATTTACCGACGCTTGAGTGGTACAGTGTGAGTTCTGTTTGTGTGTTCATGTCCTGGAGATCTGCGTCTGTCTGTAAAAAAATACATATATTTCATGAAGATCCACGATTGCGAATGGCATATGAAGTCATAATATGCAAATTATATGGGTACATTTAATTCCTACATAAACTTTGGGTCATTCTGATCATTTTTCTCATTCACACAAAACCTCTATCTCTTTTCACGTTTAAGTTATTGAGCGTCTTAGGGAAAAACCTCAGGCACCTAAAGGGTTAAACTGAAGCTTTGTCTAGCTCCAAGTTTGTCTGAAGTTTTGTCTTGCCGTAAGGCCCCGACTCCACCAGCTGCGTAAAACGTACTGCGTATCCGTCCAAATGTGTCCGTTTCCTTCATGAAGGTGAATGGAAGCCCGCGACAGGCCCGCGTCAGGCCCGCGACAGGCCCGCCACAGGCCCGCGACAGGCCCGCGACAGGCCCGCGACAGGCCCGCGACAGGCCCGCGACAGGCCCGCCACAGGCCCGCCACAGGCCCGCCACAGGCCCGCCACAGGCCCGCCACAGGCCCGCGACAGGCCCGCGACAGGCCCGCGACAGGCCCGCGACAGGCCCACAACGGATACGGACGGACGAAATAGAAACAATCCTATTTTTTAAACACGTCGACATGCGTATGGTCCGTTCTCACTGGAAATATATATTTACCACATTATTATACATGTATTGATATATGCTGTGGTCCGTGGTTATAAGTGTTTGTAAGTAAGTAATCTTTGTTTATCCACTCGTGCAATGACAATGATTATTAACAAATGTGTGCAATGTATTAAACTGAAATAATTGTTTATTGTTTATGCCGTTTATTTTTTGCGTAATGTCAATATTGACTCACAAAAAAAAAATATATCTTCTTTTCTCTCTCCCCTTTTGACCAGTGGCTTTCAATAAGTTTAGCCTCATCCATCGCGACGTCCTCGATGCTTCAATAGTGCTTTTGCCTCGATCATCAGCTCATGCAAATCACACACCGCTTCTTTAATGTGAATGGTCTGAAGTTAAAACAAAGCCCTAAACACACAGAGGGGGGGCTGCACGCTGCTGAAGCCGCACTGGACACTATATTGTTTTACACACGTCTGACGAGCAGCAGCATACATGTGTAAACGGAGACAGTGGAGTCCAGCACCGAGTTTGTCTGAAGCTTCGTCTTGTTTTAAGTTTGTCTGAAGGTTTTTTCGAGTCGTTCAGGCTGATTTTCTCTCGGCAGCAGAATCCCGTGGTGCTTTCAGGGGCAGATGTCACAGTATTTATGGACATAATCCACTTGTCACAGCCCATTGTCTGAAGTCATCTGGTCGGAAGAGACGTGTCACTGTTAAGGCTGAAGGCCGTTTTAAAAAGGTAGAACTGGGATCAATGACAGAAGATTTCCACCCGGAGCATCAGTGTTTAGGCCCGTTTATGACATAGTAGTTACTCAGAGGGTTTGCCATTTGTTTGTTAAAGGAGTGAAACTGAACAATACAACTTTGTAAAGGAATATCTAACTATAACAACAACAGAGTTTACTGGGTCATTCAAGACAAGTTTATTTTGTGTGTCTAAAATGTCTTAAAATCACGTGGTAATAATAATATTGTTAGCTTTTTTTATTTAATTATGTGACAGAGACACTGCACAATAAATGTATTGTTCAAACCAGACATAGCTCCAAAGGCCTAATTAGCAAAATACAGATAAAATACAACACCTCTAGTCACAACAAAGACACAATAACACACAATTATTAACATCTGACTGCAGACTGGATTCTCTTTGGGCTGAGTTTAAAGACCTTATGACGGGTTTGATTTATTTAGAAATACAGTTTTAATACCATTTTATATTAGAAGAGAACTACTAAAGGTTTCAAAATCAGGTGTTGTTTTTTTTGTCTGATCCCCCCAAATTGAAATAACCCCATAGCAACGCCCTTAGAGACGAAAAAACTTCACAGCCCTTGGTGACGTCAGAGTGGGTACGTTTCAATGCTGTAAGTTGTTTACAATTTGGTATACGTTCTTTTTTCGCAGATATTCAAGATGACAAGGCCATGTACAGCGAGTATGAGCTTACTACTAGAATATATCATTTCGTTGTCACTGAGATAGTCCAGTGGTTGTGTTGATGGACTGCCAATCCAGATACTTGGGTTCAAATCCCACCTCGGACACTTTTTCACTCTCAAAACGGCAATTTATGTGTAGTGAGCAATTGTCGCCTGTAGAGGGCAGTATTGTGTTGGGCATCAGTGGAGAGAAGAGAGAAAAGGCAGTCCTGTAGCATAGATCCATGGTTTTCAATGCATGGGCGTTACCCGCTGTGACGTCACACACAGGTTAGAGCATAGACAACTTAAATTCATGAAAAACACGTTCTTTTAATAAAATATAGGATTTTTTTTGCCGGAATCTCTTTCAAATTGACATTGTCATGCAATTTTGATATCCACTATTTTTTTTTTTTTAAACCCGTCATAACGTCTTTAAAGTGCATATGACAGATACAATAAATCATTTGATTTCCCTCTCATATAATTCCTTCATCCCCATGAAAATGATAAAAGTTCTCATTAAATAATAAATTACACAATTCGTTTGTAAAATGCCTCAAATAGACATCTATTTGTGATACTTCCGCAAAATCCTTAGTCACGTGACGTGACGTAGCGTAAGGGAGTATGAACTTGCCTCACTCTAGTTATTGCTATCACCCCTAGTAGCTGGTATCGGATTTTCTGTCAATTTGTCGTTTATTTTAGTGAATATGGTGAACTGATTGTGTGTGTGGAGGGTGCACGAATTCTTCATCTCCGGATTCAGGGTACATTATTTTCCCAAAGGAAAAAAAAAGTCTTCTCTTTTCCGTGCCTGGGTGAATTTTGTACAGACGAAGAGGAAGGACTTTACCGCGGCCTCTGTGACCACGAGCTCTGTCATCTGTGAAGCCCATTTCAAGAAAGAGGACTATCTAAGTGTAAGTAAGTAAGTAAGTAAGTAAGTAAATAAATAATAAGTGGAGATCTGATGGAAATGGAGATGGGCTTCAAAAGTCGAAACAATGTGAGGCTGACGGAAGGAGCCGTGCCCAGTGTACAGTCTTTATCTTTGTCTGCTGCTAGCGCGGCTGCTAGCGGGGGTGCTAGTGCTAACGCGGGTAATGCAGGTGCTGGTACAGAAAGATCTTCATCAGCTTCAACAAAACGCTGGTTATTTTCAGTAAGTAACAGTTACCGTTGTTTCTATTTAAATGTATTAGCTACATAAGCGCTATTGTGTTGGATACATATGTTAGCAACTCGTAGTTCAACTAGCAAGCATAATAGCATAAGCTAGCCATTATGTGAATGAATGTACTGGCATGTTCTGTAAACGCGTTTCAACAAATTAACTTGTGTAAAACAAAATTTCCAATAACAAAACCCATATTTTCTATTTGTATTCGTGTTAGTCATTTAAAATCCAGTTGTGTTTTTAAAAACGTCCCACAGTTGAAACTCGTAAAGTTACCTGAAGTGGTGGGGACTAATTTGTCAGCTGTATTTCCCAATTACTAACTGGGAGTGGACTGTTCCCATTTCAGAAATTTACCAGTTGAATTGTGGACATTTTTGAACCAAGAAAATTGTCTAAAAACTTTTACCTAATGAGCAGACATAATCAGCAACATTCAATTATAACCAAGTTTGCGGATTAGTAATTTTGTCCATGTTTTGCTCATATAAGCAATTGTGTTGGAAATTACAAATTTTTTCGAAGCTTGTTTATAGCTTCATAACAAGCTGCTGACAGATGATGTGTAGTAAATGTTTTTGTGCGTTTCAAGATTTTGAGTGAAGATGAATGAAGCTCCTTACAAAAAGAAATCATGTAATGAAATCCCGATGAAGACTTTACCACTGAATCTTTGCCAAGAACTATCGATCAGGCTCTACAGTGCAACAAAAGACTTCCCTTATCTGTTTCATCCGGTAATGTTTAGGTTTTCCCAAACAATAGATTGAAATAGTATCTAAAAGTTACTAACACATGTCACACTCACTTTTGTAGAACTAAATTATAATATAAAATGGAAAACATTTTCCAGCCCCCTGATTCAGAAAGTTTTTCCCCCTTATGTTCAAGATGTCCAGTGAAGCCTACATTGATAAGTATATGGCACTCAAACTGAAGAGGATATTCATTCCAATTGGCTCATGTCCTTGTGAAGAATGATGCCAGTCCTCCTTTGTTTTGATAGTCCACAGCTCTTGGAGCATTGAGGAGGAGGAAATGGACACTGATACATCGAGGAAAGGCCCAGCGAAAAGTTTTGGTACTGTTCTAATGGGGAAGTAAATGTATTAACTTTACTTTCAATAGATTTGCACAAACAGGTTTGAACCTTTATGCCGTAAAGTTCTGAGGAAACCCAGCAAAAGTAAAACACCAACAGGGAACCTTTATTAAAGTGGAACAGGCAAGATTGTCTTTACCATGAGTAACTCTGTTCTCACTGTTGGCTGTTTTTATTGCATAACTTAATGAATTAATTTTCTTACAGATTTGCTCTGCTTGTGGTTTTGAACGGGAATGGCAGAACCAACCAAAGATGCACAAATATATGCCTTTGTGCAACTTGATGCTTAGTGGGGCCATCCACTTTTCAGGGTGCATGCCAACACAGGCTTTGAGGATGCTTGGCCTGCTTGGAGTGCAATGTATAAGTGTTAGGACATTCTTTCGACACCAGCAACTATACACGATCCCCACCATCATTGGAACGTGGAAGAACAAACAAGCACAAATTCTGAACCAACTGAAGGCCAAAGAGGGAGGGCTTATTCTTGCTGGCGACTGCAGGTGAGTTGAAGATGAATAACTGTACGGTATGAATAATTATAACAATGTATAAACAAACAAACATTTGAACAGATCTGATTCACCGGGGCATTGTGCTAAATTTGGAACATACACCGTAATTGAGGAGAGGATAAACAAAGTTTTGGACCTTCAACTTGTTCAGGTATGGCAATACTGTGGCTGAATCACATGTTTCAATTTCAATATGGCCTATCTGCACGGTGATCACATGATTATCTACGTGTCTGGGTGGATTTTCTCCGGGCACGGTTTCTACTACCACACAATAACATGCACCATAAGTAAACCCATGTGTTGACCAAGCCAAAACTATCTGCAGAGGTGGAGATGGAAAAATATGAATGCATTACATACATTTTCAAACCAGCCATGATTAGTTATTAATGTCAATATAGAATTTAATATTAAATACCATCATGTATAAGGCATAAGGAATTCTGTATTTAAAAGGTTCATAGTTAGTCGTGCCTTGTACACAAAGTTTGGGATGAGAATAATCCTGTTTTTGTGTGCCTCTCAAAGAGCTCGGAAGTACCCAATAGTAATTGGTGTGAATTGGAGGGACTAAAGCGGACCATCAACCTTCTTTCTAAGGAGAAAATTAGTGTCTCTACGCTTGTGACTGATCAAAATCGCCAGGTAAATGAATGTGGATAACTTTTAATAATATCTTCAGTCACAGTCATTTATATCAAAGACTTTTGTTACTCAAAAGGTGGCCAAGTGGGTGCGTGAGAAGCTATGTCCAGAAGGCACAAAACATTTCTTCGATATTTGGCATGTTAGTAAAGGTAACTATGAAAGCACTCTTATACCTCCGCCATTTGGTGAGTTATGGCACAAACAAAGTTAGTTTCACCTCAAAAATGGATTGTTGATTGGCCCATAGTTCATGTTTCCTAAAAACTTCAAATCCAAATCCACCCATAACCGGAGTTGTGTCATAAGCAAATGGACAAATTCTCCCAATCACAAATGGTGGTAATAATGATCTAATTATAAATTGTCTTGGGACCGTCTGAAATATTTTTGCTTTTATAATTCATGTTCTGGTTTTTCAGGTTTAAAGAAGGCTTTGGATGCTGCCTCTAAAGAGCAACACTGTGAGGATCTCGCCCTCTGGAAAGCTGCAGTTATAAACCATCTTTACTGGACTGCTGTATCCACACCTGATGGCAATCCTGAAGTGTTGGAGGCAAAGTGGACTAGTTTGGTGAACCATGTCCAGGACATCCACACTCACAAGAGCCCCTGGTTTCCAGTCTGTGCTCATCCTCCTCTGGAAGGAGAAACCAGAGAGAAGCAGTGGCTGGAACCAGGTGATTTATTATTATTGTTGTTGTTAATATTACAAAAGTGAACATGTGTGCTAACCATCCCTCGCGTGGAGAAAGTCCCCACAGAAAGATGCTGTGAAGCCTGAGTGTTAGCCTGCCTGCCGCCATATATTATTCTAGGAAAGCATACAATTTTGTTTGAACTTGCACTGACAAAATAAATTGATCACAGGATCCCTGGTATCCATAAAGCTGGAGAGCATGGCGATGCGGCCGATGTTTGTTAAAGATGTGCGACAACTGTCGCCCTCACATCAGACCTATTCACTTGAGGCGTTCCATGCGCTCATTCTCCACTTTGCACCGAAACACACTGGGTTCTCCTTCCTGGGCATGTATAGCAGGTAAATATTGGCAAATTTTTGAAACTGCTGTTTTACTGTCCTATTTTATAACAACAATTTTGCCAATTCCCATTAGGCTTCTTCTTGTTGCCCTTCACTTCAACCATAACAGCAACAGAGAAGTTCTGCGATCTGACGGTGAGGTCCGCCATCAAGTACGGTACCCACGGTTTATGAAGGGTACTGCAGTGGTCCGTCCAATGAAGGAGACTCCGTCATATGGTTTGCATCAAGCGTAACTAAGAATAAAATGGATTGTACTGTTGGTATATGCATCTAATTTATGTCTGTATCCATTAGAATATGCGTTTGATCTTATGGAGCATCTGCATCGAACCTACAGCAGCACTCCGGAGGAGTTGAGACAAAGCAGTGCTCTCCTGGCATCCTCCGCGCCGCAGCCTCTTACAGCATCATTTCAGAAAGTTCCAAAGGAGCAGGCAGTCAGACAATATAAAGCGCTTCATTCTAGATTTTCTTCCCAGTGAATACTAATTGCTAATTTCCACCACTGAGCGGGAAATCCAGAGCTCTGACTGCAGACACTGCTCCCTCTTCACCACAATAGTCAGACACAGCGACCATGTCAGAAAGTGTGAATGAATAAGACCACTTACAGTCTTCATCTTATTAGAGAACTTGCCCATTGAAATGTTAGTAAGAGTGAGAAATATTCGGCATGTTTTTCTTTTTTCTGGTTTGAAAATGCACAGGTTAATTGTAATATTAATATCAAATTACTTGTTAAGTGTTATGAGTGTTTTGTAAGTTGTAATGTAAACTCCAATACTTTGGATTTTAATAGTACAATATTCCTACATAATTGTAAATATTGACAAAGCAAGTTCATACTGTGTTAGTCATATCTTTGCATGTGTTATTATAGTTACTTTTTGTATTGTGTATATTCTAAATGTTTTTGTATACAAAAAACACTTCTACAGCATAGATTTACCTTTTTATTCATAATTTGGTAAGTTGGGCCACTGAAAGCCTTTGTACTGCCCTTGTTCTGGAAAGGAATTCCTTATTATGGAAACAATGCATGATGGTATGGGCTTTCTTATGTGCCTGCCCAGGATGCCATATGCCCAGCGCACCACCTGCCTGTAAGCTGTGTAGCGATACTGCCTGCAGAGTTACATTTGCATGTCAACACACAGACATCCACCATGATAGAAATGTGATGAAAAAGAGAACCTACTCATGCTGGGTAGCAACAAGAGGGCCAAACTCCTGCCTGAAGTTGAGGTAAGCTATCTGAAGCACATAAGGATTCAGACAGCAAGCTTCAAACCCTGGATGTTCTGTCAGACAGGTAATATTTGGTTGTGGTGGGTTTATCTTTTCCACCAAGGTCCAATAGGCATCAACCTCCTTGCAGCACATGCTTTCCTCTTTCCTCAGCTGTTGGCATGAATTGACATTTCCCACACAAGCACCTTTGAGAAATAATCAAATTATATAAATTAAAAGTAGTGCTAGTTGCCACTGGAGGGCAGCATAATTTTATAAACGACTGTATAATAATCATGTGATATGCGCAAATGGGGAGTACGACTTAACCAATAGAACTAAACCATGCGCTCAATTCCGTGAGTGAGACATCTTAAGAGCGCATTCATGAATGGACAATGCCCTATTTAAACAATATATGGTTTTAAGTAATAAAGTTAGGCTACGTTTTATACAGAATTTAGAATTTTGCGCGGCTGTCGCTGCCTAGCTTACCAAGATGATTGGCCTGTTCGCCATTCATTTTCTTGACACCAAAGCTCAATTTCCCTTCTATGGCCATCATTCCTCACTCTCGGGCGTTCACGTTCTCTGTGATCTATCACAACAGGCTCAAAATTGTATGGAATAGGTCCATCATACAACAGTTGTGATGCATCGCGCTCCATGTATATAATATACAGCAATGTGTTGTGTACCTTACGTGACGTAGGGCTCGGAACCGGGTTGGAATGCGGAAGTAAATATTTTCACATAAAATGCAATAAACTGTTAATATTACTTATATTTTATATACATTTCAACCTTAATAATAAATATGATTGTGTTATCGACATTTAAGTGACATTGGTACCCTAATCTGTCATATGCACTTTAAGCTTTTAGTATTATTTGTTTAGTTTGGATGGATGTGTTTTTGCAGCTTCTGGACGTTTGCGTTTCTCCTACAGGTGATAATAAAGTGCCCCTTCACAGATCTGCCCCGTCAGGTAACTTTGTCTTGACTAGGGCATCGTTCATGGTCATAGATTGGTTTAGCTGGTGTCCATGTTAGCTACACAGTGCTGCTTTTTAAGAGAAACCATAACAATAATATTCATGTGTGAGTCTATCTGATAATTCACTGCCTGTTTTCAAGTCTCCTCCAAAAACTTTAGCTTTTTCTCTTTGGCTTTTAATTGCTGTAAATAAATAGTGTGTTTTTTGCCACTGCTTTTGTATTTGTTTATGTACAGCACTTTGGTCAAACTTATTATTAGTGCTTTATAAATAAACTGGACTGGACTAGACTTTAGTTATGCTGATTTACAATGAACTATGAAAGAAATGTTAACATGTTTGGATTTGAATAGTGAAAATAAAAGGCTTAAATTGCACAAAACTACACTTTGCAGAGTATGTGAGATCCTGCATTATAACACACACGTAATAAGCAGTAGTTTTTGCATCTTTCACTTCTATAAGAACCCTTTTCTACCATCCACCACACCCACCTCTCTCTCTCTGTCTCTGCAGACTGGACAAGCTAGCCAGACCAGAAGTTCACAAACTGCCTTGCAATGTAAAGCAGAGAGAATGAATGAGGAGAGCTGAGGTATTGGTGGAAAATCACTAGAAACACAATGAACAGAGGAGATGCAACTGTCATGAAAACAAGCCTGAACATGTACTTCTGCAAATATGTCTGGAAATAAGTTAGTATATGCAGTTTGAATGGCCTGAAGGTGTCATAACATGGCTTATTACATGTTCATTCCTCAGCATCATCAGAAGCATCAGAAGCTAACCCAAACTCCTGACCACACACTGTGCTAGCGCTGCAGACACACGGAGCTAACGCTAGCCACAAGCTAACAGCAGAGAAGCTAACATGATGCTAACGGAGCAACAACACGCGACTTCCAACGGCCTTACCTTGTCTGTAGAAGTAGTACCTTGGCAGATGTCCTGTTTTAAGGCCACAGAGTCGGTTGTCGTGCCGGGGAGAGCCGCTGCCACCTCACTGTGTCGCACCATAATCTGCAGCGGGATTACACAGTGGTGCGGGCCTCTGATTGGTGCTCACAGTCACGCGGCCACGTCACTCACACATACAGGGTCCCGCCTCCAAACAGCGTCATCCTCCATCATCATCATCATGACACATAAAGGGTGGAAACTCATTTTATTACTTCTGGTTTAGTCCCTGGTCGAGTCCCTTTACTCCTGGTCTAGGTCCTTCCTGGTCTAGTCCCTTTACTCCTGGTCTAGGTCCTTCCTGGTCTAGTCCCTTTACTCCTGGTCTAGGTCCTTCCTGGTCTAGTCCCTTTACTCCTGGTCTAGGTCCTTCCTGGTCTAGTCCCTTTACTCCTGGTCTAGTCCCTTTACTCCTGGTCTAGTCCCTTTACTCCTGGTCTAGTCCCTTTACTCCTGGTCTAGTCCCTTTACTCCTGGTCTAGTCCCTTTACTCCTGGTCTAGGTCCTTCCTGGTCTAGTCCCTTTACTCCTGGTCTAGTCCCTTTACTCCTGGTCTAGGTCCTTCCTGGTCTAGTCCCTTTACTCATGGTCTAGTCCCTTTACTCCTGGTCTAGTCCCTTTACTCCTGGTCTAGTCCCTTTACTCCTGGTCTAGTCCCTTTACTCCTGGTCTAGGTCCTTCCTGGTCTAGTCCCTTTACCCCTGGTCTAGTCCCTTTACTCCTGGTCTAGGTCCTTCCTGGTCTAGTCCCTTTACTCCTGGTCTAGTCCCTTTACTCCTGGTCTAGTCCCTTTACTCCTGGTCTAGTCCCTTTACTCCTGGTCTAGTCCCTTTACTCCTGGTCTAGGTCCTTCCTGGTCTAGTCCCTTTACTCCTTGGTCTAGTCCCTTTACTCCTGGTCTAGTCCCTTTACTCCTTGGTCTAGTACAATACAATACAATACAATGTATTCTTGTATAGCCCTAGGTCACAACAGAAGTCATCTCAGAGGACTTAACAAAACCATTGAAATCACCAACACAGGTCAGAGAATCAACAGTTAAAACACATGAAGAATACAGTATAAAGCACACACAGAAGAAAATGTCCATACATGTTGTAGAATGCTAAAGTGTCCTGATCATCACCAATCCTTTCTGTTGGACACTAACTGTCCAACAAGACCCTCCTGCATCGACAAGGAACAACTCTTAAAAAACCCAGTGGGAAAAAGTGAGAAACCTTGGAGGAGAACTAGGGAAACCCACAGGGAGGGAGACCCATATGAGAAAGGGATCCGCTCCTCCGGACGGACAGACTAATGATCTAGGACCTAAGCTAGCTACAGAACGTGGACCAGTGGACGCTGAACGTGGACAGGTCCGGTGCAGGACTGAAGCACTCCCAGGCGGGTCGGGCGGGGCAGTCCGCAGGTGTAGATGGAGGAGGCCAGGCTCAGAGATCCCGTCATCGTACCATGAAACAGACAATGGGACAACGGGTGAATAGCAATGAACAAACTACAGTCAAAATCCTAATAATGCTAAACAGATAAAGTAGGAAGGAGAGGATAGTGCTCAAGTTACCATACTTCTCCAGCAAACTGGTCTACTCCTTTACTCCTGGTCTAGTCCAGTTCAATTCCCTTTTTTTGGTTTTCTGATTGGTGCTCAGAGTCACGCGGTCATGTCACTCACATCTACAGGTCCCGCCTCCAAACACCATCATCATCATGACACATAAAGGGTGGAAACTTATGATCACAGTTGGGCTTGACCATGTGCTACTCATGGTACTGACGTAGGTTGGGCAGTGGTGAGAGTCCAAAGCTCGAGTGTCAAAGTCAAGGCCCGGGGGCTAGATGCGGCCCACGAGCAGGGCTGGACTGGCCATCGGGCGTACCGGGCAATGCCAGAAGGGCCGATGCCCATATTTGGGCCGGTCTGTTTGCCTCATACAAAAAAGATGTTTGTGAAAAGTGTAAATCCGTTGAGAACTGTTCGAGGGGAGCGCGCGTGTCCGCGGGGCACCTGCTGTATGTACTCAAACGGGATTCTACCACCTCAGCGGCCGCAGTGTTCCGGCATCCAGCGGCTCTGAGCTGGACACGGGAACCGCTCACCGGGAGCCGCTCACAACACAACACGGTGAGCGCGTAGCCGCAACGTGACCATGTACCCAAGACCATAAACGTGCACAGGACCATGCGTGTCTTTGCGTAATTTGTGCACCCAATAAATACACCGCTGCAGGAAATCGTCCGCGTCTCCCCTCTCCTCTCGAAGTGCGACTACATTAAAGCTCGGGTGCCTAAATTTTCCATTGCATTAAAAGTTCATGTTTGAGCCCAAAAGTAAAATGTTGTGAACAGATTAAACAGATTTAGAGCCAGCAAATGGCTGACATTATGCATTTCAGACTTTTTTGACCAATTCTCATCCCTGTAACAAACAACAGTATTGTCTGTGCCCACCTCCCTCACTCTGAGACATGTTTATTACTCTCTTGTAATGTAGACTATTGCACTTTATTTTTTTGTTGAAACTGTAGACATCCTGATCCTCTACAGTATGCTTCCATATACTGTATAAACCAGGGGTCGGCAACCTTTAGTGCCCCTAAAGTGGCTCCTGGAGCCTTTTCAAAAATGTCTGAAAATGGAGTGGGAGGGCTATATTTTATTCCTAATTTGAATGTGGTTTCTGTAGGAGGAAAAACATTCCTAACGTATTTCAATGCTGTAAAAATGTGTATAAGTAATATTCAATTTCAACATTTCTGTCAACGTAGTGAGTCATATCCTGTGGCGCGGCCCCGCGCCAGGCGGCCGCTGCTGTAAACAAACCGGCGTGTGCGCACGGATCCCAAAGATAAAAAGAAAACGATAATAAGACTGGACTAAGAACAAGACTGAACATTTGCTTTTAGTCAATGAGGAAGGAC